CTGACCAGAAACCAAAAAGCCCTGGAAGAGCTGCAAGAAATTACCTTCGACTTATATCCCATGTAAAAACGTCCCCACACCATAGTCAAGATGGGAAGTCTGCAACACAAATCCCCGAGTTTTGGGAGTTCTGCATGAGAAGTTTCCATCTGCAATGCAGTGCTGGCTATTAAGAGAAGCCGCATGAGAAAGCCACTTTCTCATCCTGTTTACAGCATTACAAATGCCAAAACACGACTGGAAATGCCTCTCATGGAGATGCGCATTCCAAATGTTCCTGTCGTTGCGCATTTTTTGCATGACAACTCTGCTGGGGTGGGGACGTTTTTACACATGATAACTTACCCAAAGAAGTCAAGCAGCGCGCACTGCAGGCGCTGTTGGCCGTCGGCGAGAGGTACATGAAAATAACGCAACTGGAGGGAGATCATAAGGAGCACGTCTCAGAACGAATTCGCGGCGCCCTGACACTGCAGCAGCGCACCACCGTAGTCACGGATTTGCTGGCGCTGCTGCGTTATGCAATGCAACAGCATCGTGCTAGTATAGATTGCATCACAAATTTCGGCAAGAACAAGAGTAGCATTTGTAATGCTGTTTCAGGTTCGGAAAGAGCTTTGTCATGCATGACTGGAATATATACGAGTGCGGTACTTTTGCAATGCATATGCGTACGGCCGTGAAATCGAACATGAAGAACGCGCACTCGCAGGTGCAGACCACGGAAAATACGCAGACTCCGGTATCCTGAGTAAAAGCGTCCCCACCCCATAGTCAAATGGGAAAAACTGCTACACAAATCAACAAGGTTAGGTTGTTGCGCATGACAAGTTCTTTGGCCTGGTGGTGTAATCCCGTTTAGCTCGTTCTTCAGCAGCATCACAAATCTAGCCTACTATGCTAATTGGCGCATTACAGATTCTAAAACACCAGCAGGAAATGCTTCTCATGGGGCTCCGCATGAGAACGTTCCTTGGCTGGTACCTGTCGTACACGGAGCCAGTTTTGCACGCCGCATTCCACACATCCGGCCCCTCAGCACGAATTAGATAAAAGCCTCGCGCTATGCCGCCGAAAATTTCTTTGCGGTTTGCATCTTCCCTCGTTGGGTAGATCCAAGCCTCGTAGGTGAATTCCTCGTACCGGCTTCCTTCCTTTTTCCCGCCGACGGTCAGCGCCGATTTCAAATTCGCACTGCGCAAATTTTCTGCTGCCACGAGCCCCGCCAAGTCTGGCGCTGCCTGATAGACGTAGCCGGCTGGAGCACTGCGAACGATCGCCGTGAAAGCGATGGAGAGCGCCACCGTCATGGTAGCGCGCCGGAGCCTGCGGGCGGCGGAGTCCGCGAGGAAACTACGGCCGTTGCTAAGAGCAAATTCCTCTTCGTCCTCCAGAAAGGCCGCTGCACTCAGGGCGGCAGAAGAAGCCGAGATTGCACTCGAGCTGCTACTTGGCGTCCCTGCGGTCACGGTAAACAACTGGAGATCGGCTTTGTCCAGCTTGATGTTCCCGTCTTTTTCCAGATAAGCCAAGGTTGCGTTTTTGACCGCCTCGACGACCGCGGTATTCGCACCGAGCTGCGAAATTTGGTGTTCTGGAATTACGCCCGTGTCCACAGTGAAATCCAGGTCAAAAGCCCGCATTATGGTCTCCGTAGTTGTGGTAGTCGTGGTCGATGTATCAGGCGGAAAAAAAACCCAGTCCCACACGATACTCCAACTGATGTTGGTTCTTTTACGTGCTTCACTGTCACGAAGGTTAATGATTTTAGTACTGTGCACTACACTTCCACCATGAGTGCTGCGCGAGTACCTGTACATTCAGGATGAAGAGCAATGCAAAAAATAAATTTCCTGTATACTGCACGTCGAGCCACACCTGTTCGTTTCTTTTCACCCTGCCGCGCACTTAAACTCGGTATTTTGGTGCTAAGAAACTTTTATCCGCCCAGAGTATTTTTCAACTGGAGGTTGGGGGACCCAAGCTTTAGTTCCTCGTGATACGAGGTGGTAACGGTTGTACGTGTATGGAGATGAGGAAAATGCTTTCCTGCAGGAACATCAAACGTCTAAGCTTTTTATTGCGCATTTTGAGCATGCATCAGTGCTGCACTTTGTCTCGCTCGCACGTACTAGCCTTCCGACAGTTCGGGATAGCGCGTTGTGAAACTGCCGACAAGTATCAAAACAAACGTGGTCATTGTCTGAAAAACCATGGCGACGCAGTACTTTTGATTTTCTTGGTTTGAACAGGATGAGAGCCGCATAGACCACCAGAGAAATACTTAGGTGTTTTCTTCTGTTCAAGACCTCTTTGTTGATTTTCCTCTGATAAGTAGTCGTGGACGTTGTCGTGGTGGTGGTCGTGGAAGTGGTTGAGGTGGTACTCGTTGAGGTGGTCTGGGTGAAAGTTGTCGAGCTTGTGCTGGTATGGCACACAAACGCATCGCTTTCCTAGTACAGCTTACAGACTGCAAGACAAAGATCATTTTGGCGAAAAGTTATTTGAAGATATTTAAGTCGAAAAAGGAGCCCTAAACGAGTCCCCTGTGATCTGCCTCTGTGACTCGCAGCATAATTTTCAGGATACTAAATGCGTTTTGTTCCAGTAACTTGTAGTGCTGGTGGTCGACGTGGTCGTCACGGGTCCGGTGTAGCTCAACTCGCTACTGGTGGTCCAGGCGTCGTACCCCGGATACAAGGCCGGAGATTGCACCAGCTCGTCCCACGAGGGCGTGACGGTGAAAATGTTCTGCACCACCGTGGAGCTGGGTTTGCGGCAGCTCTGCACGCAGCAGGAATCCCGGCAATTCGCGTCCGTGCCCGTCCGGTCCGAGCAAAACTCCACTCGCTTCCCACTCAGCCCGTGCGGAGAGCCTAAGTTTTCCAGCCTCGGCCGGAAGTAAGTGCTTGTAGCCGGGTCGTCAAAGTCGCTGCAGGTGATCGCCTCGCAGTAGCGCCAACACTGGGTCTCTTTTCCTGTGGGGCTAACAATCGAGTCCACCACGCGTGGCTTGTACTTGGCGTTGTAGCACTTGCCGCAATTTTCCACATTGTAGCCCGGGCAGGTGGAGAAGTCCTGGTTGCGCAAGCCACCCGTGCACTTGCACTTCCAGTGGTTGCAGCTGTTTCCGATGGCGATCGGCGTGTCGGCCAAATTGCAGATGAACGTTGCGAGACCGGTGTTTTGGGTCACACTCCCCTCGTACTCAGTCGCGCAGGACCCATACTGGTATCCCGGACCACCTGCCCGCATGTCCGGGTGAATCATGATCGCGACCCACTCTTGCTCCGTCAACGCAAACCGCTTTTTCTCCGCCGCGGCGAGTTGCCGACAGCCAGTGTAGCAGCAGATCGACCGGAAATCCGCGGGCGTGGTGGCCACGGAGTGCCAGGGCTCAGACGCGTCCTTCAGACTGTAAAACAGTCCGTTTTCGGCTGCGCAAACGCCGGTCTGCGTGCACCGTGGCCAGCAGGAGGCCTGCTGAAAGCTGTTGTCGTACCGGGTGCCGGCCGGGGGTGCCACGACGGGGTAGTTGGCGCGGTGGAAGTAGTAGTTCTGCTCGTCGCAAAACCCGATCCGACACATCTGCGTGCCCCACACCGGGCACTCGGGCATAGAGACGTGGGACCCGTGCTCGCAGACGCACTGCGACAGCTCGCAGCCCTGCAGCTGCATCTCGGAATGCGAACCCGGGTCGCACTTTGCGTTCAAGCTCTCCTTGGCCGGGTCCCGCTCGTAGTCTGCGTGACAGTCGTAGTTGCGGCTCCAGGAAGGGGCCGGCATCATGGTCGAAGTCTGGAACTCCCAATCCTGTGAGGCGAACCTGGAGGGAATTTCTGGCACCGTGAAGCAATGATCATAGTTTCATGTGTCGGCGCAAATTGAACCTTCCTAATGCTCGATTTTTTCAAACTCCATCATGTAAAAGAACAGAATTAACTTTCTGCTTTGAAAATTCTTTGATGCTTACTTCCGGTCTACATTCGTTCTCTACACCACCTCCGTACTTTGCCAAAGTCCCTGATGCAACAGTTGAACCATCTCTTCTTATCATGAAGCGAGCTTGTCCAAAAATACTTCTTCTGCGCAGCGGCTGTGGGCACCTTGCAGCCGGTGTGGCAGCACGTGTCCCTGAAGCTGCTCGGCACCTGCTTCGAGGCACCCCACGGCTGGGTGCTGTCACGAAGCATGTAGTAAACTCCCTCGTGCTTCTGGCAAACCCCACTCTGGGTGCAGCGGGGCCAGCAAGACGCCTGCTGGAAAGATGGCGGGTACCGCGTTCCGCTCGGCGGCGTGGCAACCGGCCAATTGGGCCGGAAGAAGTAGAAATTGTCCTCGGTGTATGAAAGCGCAATTGGTGTTGTCGTAGTTCCACAGAGAGACAATTGTCTGCGCAAGTGAGATTGCGCGCTATTGTTTGATGCGAAGAGAAGATGACTCCTAGAGTCGTGGTCACCGTGCTTTGCTCATCTGCGCCGTCCCCATACCCTGCAATAGCACTGACCCTTGGAACTAGATCGCACACCTTGATTCTTGCTTGCATACGTCGCAGCTGTTCGCTACACACATTTCTTTGCCCCACGCTGGACAATTTACGGCGGCTGTGTGCGAGCCGTGAGAGCAGACGCAGGGTGCGACTTCGCAGCCGCGGAGCTTCATTCTCTCGCTGGCGCTTGGTTGGTATCCGGAGCTCAAGCATTGCATTCGTAAAAAATGCGATTATTGCATGACGGGACGCGTTTCTATGCCTTGCGGGCAGTACACGTTGAAGGTTAAACCTCTCAAAGAACAAGAGCAAATGAAATTTTGCAATGCAATTTCAATTCGCACGATTACGATATTAGATTTGTATTGCATATCCAGCACTGCGCGTTCGCATGATCCACGGCAGAGTCGCGCTCGAAGTCCACATGACAGTCATAGTTTCGGCTCCAGCTGTCTGCCGGCAGCATCGTAGAGGTCTCTGTGTTCCAATTTTGCGCGGCAAACCTGATATGAGCGGGTCGCTTTTTGAGTAATCATCCATGAATAACCACGACCTGATCAAAAGCGCCGATGGTCTTTAGCATGCAACACATTTGGTTCCTCTTGATTTTTCAGTCTATTCCTCTTGAATAATTGACTCAGCATGCAACACAAGTCAATGACTTTCGGTCAGTTCCGCGTGATGTTTCGCCGCGGTCACAAAAAAGACAAAGACAGCGTGCGGTCCTGTCTCGTTGAAAGAGGATCGCGGAACATATCAATCAGAACGGCCTTTTTACGAGGAGAGCATTCGAGTTTCTTATGCAAACGCAGATTCTCCTGTCGCAGCGAATTAACACAGTTCTACTTTTCCTGATCCTCCGCGCTGGGCACCTTGCACCCCGTGTGGCAGCAGATGTCACGAAAATCCGCCGGCGCGTCCCTGGTAGCGCCCCAGGACTCCGCACTGTCCCGCAAAATGTAGTAGACGTCGTTATGCTGGGCGCAGACCCCTGCCTGGGTACACTTGGGCCAGCAGGACGCCTGTTGAAACGCGCTGGTCTTGCGCGTGCTCTCGGGCAGGGTGGTCATGGGGAAATTCGGACGGTAAAAATAGTAATTCGCGGTGTCGCAGCTGGTGTCTAAGCACATCTCCGTGCCCCACACGGGGCACTCGGACTCGGCCGTCGCGCTGCCGTGGTGGCAGACGCACTGCGCCATCACGCACCCGCGGAGCTCCATCGCCAGGCTGGTGGCCGGATTGCACCGGGCGTTCGCGTTGTCATACGTCGAGTCCCGCTCATAGTCGACGTGACACTCATAGTTGCGGCTCCAGGTCGCGCCCGGCATCATCGTTGCCGTTTCCACCTCCCAATTCTGCGACGCGAAGCTGCAATAAGTAGTACATTACAAGAAAAAGTCAAGGTTCTATTCGAATAAGGGAGAGCAATTCACTTCACGCAGAAACAGTTGCTTCTCCCGACACTTTTTTCCATCAACGTGGTGATGGCAGCTGCGTGACAGGAAAAATGCACATCAGGAATTATATATTACCAACTGCGCGCGAAAACAGATAGAACAAGTGTCATTGATCACAATGGAAGTAGATATCTATGTCTCCTCACAGTGCGTCGACTCAATAGGTGGTGATGCTGTCCAAAACAAACCTGTCTTGCGCGGCCGCAGCTGGAATCGTACAGCCTGCATGGCAGCAGATGTCTTGAAAATTTGCAGGTACTGTGGACGCCGAGTGCCACGGCTCCGTGGAGTCTTTCAAAAGGTAGTGCCGGCCGTTTACCTTCTGGCAGACCCCCGCTTGGGTGCATCTCGGCCAGCAGGACGACTGGCGGAACTGCGTGAACCTCGTCGAGGACGGCTTGTTGACAGTGGGGTAATTTCCGCGGTAAAAGTAGAAGCTATCAGTGTCGCAGGACCCCGGCTCGCAGCGCTGCGTGGCCCACTGCGGACAAGAGCCTCCCGGCTGGCCGTGAGAGCACGCACACACCGCGGGGTTGCATCCCTGCAACTGCAGCGGACTATTGGCCGGGTCGCACCGCGCGTTCTGGTTGTCTTTTGTGGAGTCGCGCACGTAGTCGGTATGGCAAGCCAGGTTCTGCGACCAGGCCGCGCTCGGTGCGACACTCATCGTCGTCACCGGCCAGTCTATGGTGTTCAGCATTAGACCGCTCGCGAACTTCTCCTGGTCCGCCTCAGCCGGCTCCTGGCATCCGGTTTGACAGCAAAAGGCACGGCAATTCGCTTCCGTCGGGTTGGTTTCTGTGCAGGGCGAATTCGCGTTTTTGCTGGCTTTCCAGGGATAATAGGTCCGTACCCCATTGGCAACAACCGAGCCGCAGTTGCACAGAGGAACGCAGCACGTGTGCTCGTCTGCGGCCTGTGTGCAGATATCGCCGGCGCATCGCACGTCGTCGCGGGAACTGTCGTACCTGTGACCGGTCGGGCATATCAGCGTCCCGGACTCTTCCCAATCTTTGCACCGCTGATAGGGCGTGCATTCGTATGTCTTGAAGGGGGAGCTATCGAAGTAAGGGGCGCCGTACCGGTCAGGGCAGGCGTCAAAAAGAAAGCATCCGCCGACGGTCGGTGCATGGCTGTATGAAAAAAAGTTGCACCCCGGCAAAGCATTGCACTGCTGTCGGCACCAGGCTATTTTAGTGCCAGATACCGAACCCGGTTTCCTCCCGACGTTCTTCTTGAAGCACGAAGCATTCCCGGTAGCAGTCGTGAAATCTTGCGCCGCCGTGAGGTCCTGGCACTGCTGGTTCGGTGCCCGCGCACAAAAAGCTCGTGACTTGAGAGCACCTTGCGATCCTGTTGATGGCCCATACGAAATTGTCACGCGCCCGGAAATCGCAACTTCTGCTTCCGCCAAGCAGCCCGGTACTGCGACGCACTCGTGATAGTTCGTGTGCTTGAAGGTGATCCCACTGTAGCGACACGCGTCGGGGTCGTACGTGTCCTTGCCGTCCCTGCGGCAACATGCCCCCGCCACTTTACGGTTGTTAACAGTCCCCACGCAGGCTTGGCACCACCCAGCAAACCGGTCGAGGTGCCCGCCCCCGTCCGGGGGGACGCCGCACACCGAGAAACACTCGTCCGTGCGGGGGCCGCAGGTGTTGGACGTGTACGCACTGTCGGCACACTGGGGTTCCCCGGCAGAAGTCGAGGCCAGAAACGAAGAAACTGTAGCTCCAGAAGACAGAGAAAGAGCCCCATTTTGATTTTCATCCGGCTGCACGTCCGCTTCTGGCCCAAAACCATACGTGGAAGTGGTCGCAGTTTCTCGGTCGACGGCACCCGTTGGGCCGGCATCCAAAAATTCTTGGTCTTGATGAGGAGCAGTTGCGTAGTGGTGGTCTTTACTTGGGTCCTCGCCGATACTTGCCATGGAATATTCTGCGCAACTCCCCGTCGTACCCCACGGTTGTCATGCCGAACGGACGAAAGAAAGCACAGGAGTTTGTTGCCTTGTCATTGTCATGCAGAATAGTATTTGCGCATCAGCCCCTGTTGGCCTTGAGCAGGACTGCCTTGCCTGAAATCGATAAACTGCAGGAGGAGCACTCCCAATATAACATGAGTCCGTACGGAAATGATTCATCATGCAGAAGTGACTGCACTCTTTATTTTGCTCCTTCAGGTCATGAACTGGCGGGGGTAAAAGAGTTTTTTTTTGCAATTTCATATGGAAATCGAACCACTTGCCAAAAAGTCCTCGTCGGAAGATTTAGCCACGTCGATGGTCGTCGTTGTAGTCGTCGTGGTCGTATACATGGCAAAAGCATCGCACTAGTAGTGTATTAAATCGCACGAAAATAAATTTTCCGGCAAGGAAGAAAATGGAATTTGTAATTAATGCAGATTCAGGTAGCGGAAAAGATCTGCCATGCGAGACTGCACTTTGAATTTATACGAATACGTTACTTTTGCAGCGGGTAGGTCGCCGTCGAAAATGCAGAAACCCGTGCTGCAGAGGCTGCACTTGCAGTTGCGTTCAGATTTGAAACCACAGTTCTCATAACGTGCTCGTATTCCCGCATTTTGATCGCGTATCCTCTCTAAAAACGCACCTACCCTATATTCGTCATGCCAATCTGAAATGTATGGCGGGTGTCTCATGCGGTTTCCCCTGCGAGCGCATCTTACTCGATATGGCAAAAAAATGCGGCCTTCTGTAAAGCTAAACACACGTCTGCTGTGGACCTAAACTGCTCCCGCGTGAATCTCAAGAGTACTTGATTTGTGTAGCAGATTTTCCATCTTGATCAAGTTGTAGGTACATTTTTACGCAGAATATGGTGTCCTTCATCTTCATCGCAGACGAAAACGTGTATATTCTGAGTAAAAACGTACCCACACCAGAGTTGTCATGCGACTTTGCCATGACAGGAACATTTGTGATGCGCAACCCCATGACAGGCATTTTCAATCGTGTTTGGGAACTTGTAATGCTGTAAACAGGATCAGCAGATCGATTTGTGATGCGGCTTTCCTTGCTAACTTGCACTACCTTACGGAATGAAACTTGTCATGCGTGACTCACAAAACTCCTAGGTTTGTGTTGCAAAATCCCCATCCTGACTCTGGTGTGGGTACGTTTTTACTCAGAATAGTGTAAAATCCGTAATTAGCGTCTGACGGACGGGGGACAAGAAGCTGCAGAACGATGAACAGGAACACCGGCTGAAAAAAGTAGCTGGTCGTTGTAGGCATGATACTCCTCGTCCTCGCACGACGTGCCGATATGTTCAAAAGTCGTATTGTGTGTGGGGAGATAATAAACCGCGGCTGCAGATGCGTAGGCTCCTCTGTTACAGTTTCTGTGGTGCGCGCGGAGTCGATGCGCCATCGCTTCCGGCGTTTCCTTCGGGCGAAAAATAGTTCTGCTAGGTGCGTCCAGCTGCGCGCTCTTGAGCAGCTTTTCAACCCGCACACACTTCTTACGTAACCGGGAAAATAATTTTCGGAAAAAAAGCGCCCTTCTGTGGTCGAGCTCCGGCTCGAATGGGCCTTTCTTCGTCGCCCACTCCAATGATCGCAAAAACCCCGTTCCTGTGGTCGTCGTAAAGCAATTGCGTTGCCCTGGTGATAAATTTGCTTTCGCTCCACAGCGGAGGACCTCGTGCGGGGTTTTGAATTTGAAGCAGTCATTGCTGCGGAAAAAATACAAAAAAAAAAGGATTCGTGCGCTTAATTCATTTGCAACAGAATTTTAAAAAGATTATCGGTAGAGAAAGCAACGACTCATCGGAATTCGTGACTTGGCGATCGCTTTGGACGCGCCGGTCTGATCGCAATCGACACCTAGTCGTGCTTTGATGTGAAAAAAATGCACCTCTTTTGGATCTTCGTTTTTGATTGGTGAAAATTTGCTTTGGAATTGTATGTACTTTTCGGAGATACACGTTGAAATTGATAATATATCTAGTTGTACATCATCAGCCTTTGAATTTCCAAGATCGCTTTGGATCTAGTGGGAAGGTGCTCTTCCTCACTACTCAAATTGTTTGACAGAGTGCTGTACTTGCAACTCGGTAAGTTACTTTGGTTTTCGCGGAATGTCGTGGCTTATTAATCCATAACGTTTACAAGATCAATTCAACTTCGGATTGCTTTTTATTTGCGTTTCAGCAAGAGATTCGTTTGTGAAGCTTGTACAGTTATTTTGGGACACTTGGCAAGACTTTTTTCCGCAACTTCTTAATAGCAATAGGTCAAACAGGAGTAATCTAGGGTTTCATACTCATACAACGAATCCGACATTATTTTTGCGTTTCTTATCAATACAGACTCGCAAGCTACTTCGTGGTCGATTTGCAGAAAACTTGCATCGAGAAGCGCTTGCATCATCGTCCCACCATGGGCTTGAAAAAACTTTGACGTCAACGAAACCATAAAACAGGGCTCCAACAACACAACAACGACAAGAGCTGGAGAACCTCTGTGGACACAACGACCTTCTCAAGTTCTTAAGCGCTTTCACTATCTCGAAAAAGAAGATACCGGGCAATTTAGATCCGCAAGCGAAACACACAGGCAATTCGCATGGGGGCATATCAGGTATCCTCTCGTTGAATTTTTGAACTTATCCACCAGGATTAGGAACAGTAGGCGCAAGCTCGTGGCACTTCGGTACTGTTGATCAGGCTTCGCCACCTGTACAAGCAGCCATGAGAATTAATAGATTTCCGTGTCGGGCACGGGCAATCACAATAAGAAAAGTTCTGCCATCGCATACTTTCGGTCATTTTTCCCGAGTAAACAAAGCTCTTGCGCCGTGATTCTGGATCAGGCCCTCTTGTAGTACCTGAATTCCTGGCGTCCGTGGCGCCGCCTGCTACTGTTGCGCGGTCATGCAATACCATTGGCATTACATTCCGGCAAAAATTCGAATTATGGCCTTTTTCACGGGCTCGTGAAACCAAAATACATTAGCTCGAAGAAAATTTTGCAATTGTCTAAAAACAAATCAAGAAGGGCATATATCTGACGACTTCCTGCTGCATAGATTTGTATTTGATTTGAAACTGGGTGAGATAGAAAGGCTGTAGATTTGACGAATGAAAGTTCTGTTGTGAGCTATTGTACAAGGAAGAAAAACGAAGTTCTCTTTTCGTTTATCAGATCGTCTTCGGTGCGCTGCGAACAAAAGTGAAAGAATACTGTTAAGTGAAGTGAATTGTACTTGTGAATACACCAATCTCAGAGCATTTCTACTTTATTCCACTGTGAATAGAATGAACCAACGAATTGGAGTTCTCGATGAAAGAGAGCTAATGGCCTCTCCAACGCGACAACAAGTTCTTGCGCTGACATAAAATTACAATACTTATTTGTAGAGCACCAAAATGCGATGAAAATCCAATAGTAAAATCAAAATTACCAAGATAAATCAAGCCCATTCTCATTGTGGTATCTGGTGTTAAAGGCGATACAAAAGTTCATCTGATTTACCGGCGCAAATACTTGACAAGGTGGAACATCTGTCCGATTGAGTGTAAAAGTTCGACCAGATAGAAAAGCTCGCTGCAAATAAATGGTATTTCGCGTCCAACATATCGATCAATAGCGAAATGAGGTTAAGCGCTGCCAGCTAACGGGAGCGACACCGCTGTAGGGGCAACGGCGCGCGCCGGGCGCGTGTTGTCGTTTCCCCTCTGCGTGTGGTGTTGCACGGTCTGGCTTTGGAATAAGTACACACCCGCGGCGGCCCTGCGCCGTTTATCACCAAAAAGAAAATGAAAGAGAGTAGCCATGGCAGATGTGCGGGACGCACTCCGGGGTGGTGCTGCGGCGAAAGCTGAGGTGCACGCCCTAGAGGTCTAAGCTGGAGGTGCTGGCACGCAGGTGCACTCCAGCGAAGACGCGCAGATCGCACTCTGCCACGCGCTCCCGGGTGGTGCTGCGGCGAAAGCCGAGGTGCACGCCCGGGAGGTCGGACCTGGAGGTGCTGGCAAGCAGGTGCACTCCAGTGAAGGCGCGCGAGGCGGCAGATGTATGCGACGCACTCCGGGGCGGTGCTGCAGCGAGAGCTGAGGTGCACGCCTTGGAGGTCTAAGCTGGAGGTGCTGGCACGCAGGTGCACTCCAGTGAAGACGCGCCGGCCATACTCTGCCACGCACTCCCGGGTGGTGCTGCGGCGAAAGCCGAGGTGCACGCCCGGGAGGTCGGATCTGGAGGTGCTGGCACGCAGGTGCACTCCAGTGAAGGCGCGGGCGAGAGTTTTCGGAAACGCTTTCCCGGGCTGTGCTGCGGCGCAAGCCGAGCTGCACGCCCGGGAGGCCTTTGTTGGATGTGCTGGCAAGCAGGTGCACTCCAATGATGACGCGCGTTACCGCACTCCGCCACGCGACCCGCGCCCCAGTTGGGGCGTGGCCGCAAGCCGCGCTCAACAAATCAATGAGTCCCACTTGCGCGAGCAGCAAGTGAGGGCGCGCGACACGCACGCCAAGGTAGTGCTGCTGCTGTGCGCAGATCTGCACGACATGGCAGCGCGTGCGCCCCCTGCCGCACAGCGCCAGTGCCTCGGACAGAGGCCTGGCGCCGTGTGCTCGCGTCCCCGTGACGGCACGCTTCGAGAGAAGCGCGCTGCGCAGGTCCCTATCACGGCACGCATCTGGCTAGGTGCGCAGCGTGGTCCCCGTCGACACCAGCTCCGCAGCAGGAGCTCCCTGGTGTCGTCTCCGCAGGTCCCGCACCCGACACGCTTTGAACGAAGCGTGCGGCGTGGTTCCCGTTGCCACCAACTCCGCAGGGCCTTGGTGTCGGCTCCGCAGGTCTACACTGTGACGCGCTTCCTCGAAGCATGCTGCGTGGCGCTGTGGCACCACCTGCAAGGGTGCTTTGTGCTGCCGCGTAGGTCCCCACCATGGCACGCTTCAGGCGAAGCGTGCTGCGTGGTCCCCGTCGACACCAGCTCCGCGGGAGTTTGGTGTCGTCTCCGCAGGTCTCCATCGCGGCGCGCTTCTTGCGAAGCGTGCTGTGTGGTCCCCTCCGGCACCAACTTCGCAAGGCTTGGTTGGTGTCGGCTCGAGAAGTCTCCAGCGCGGCGGGCTTCTACGAAGCAGAGGCACGCCGCGTGGCCCTCACGCCACCTCCAGAGGAGGTCGGAGGTCCCCATCACGGCACGCTTCAAGCGAAGCGTGCCACGTGGTCCCCGCCGACGCGTGTTGCAAACTTGCTACAGGTTTGGTGTCGCGTGTCTCCGTGAGTCCCCATCGCGACGCGCTTTTGCGAAGCGTGTTCGTGGTCCCCGTCGACATCAACTCCACTACGGCTCGGTGTGGTGTGTTGGTCTCCGCAGGTCCCCCTCGGGGCGCGCTTCTTACAAAGCGTGCTGTGCGGTCCCTGGCCCTGTCGACACCAACCCTGCAAGGGTGTGGTGTCCGCTCTGTGGTCCCCCCGTCGCGCCACGCTTCCACGAAGCCTGCTGTGTGACCCAGGCACCCTCTCCACAGGAGTTTGGTGCTACCTCTTGGGCCCCCATTGGGGCATGCTTCAAGCGAAGCGTATATACGGTCCCTGCCGACGCGACGGCGAAGCTATGAGCCTCGTGTCGTGTCTCTCCGTAGGTCCCCGTCGCGACACGCTTCGCCCGAAGCGTGCCGCGCGGTCCCCAGCGACGCTCTGTACCTCAGAAAATGCCCTGCGTCGCGTCCGTAGGTCCCCGTCGCGGCATGTTTCCCCGCGGAAACGTGTTGATGTGTGGTCCCTTGCGATCCCGGCCCCGCGTGAGCCCAGTGTGTCGCTGCCTTGCGCTTCTGCTCCACGCAAGCGCCCCTCCACAGAGGGCATGCTCACTGCGCGAAGCAGAAGCTCAGGGTATATCTTCCTGAGGCGACTGGCTCTTAGATACTCGCATGGGCGGGCATCTGAAAGCCAGCCCTTGGGAAAGATAGAGAGGTGTAGAGAACGGGCAGCATGGCCCTGGTTTGCGGGCATGATCTCCAGTGCATGCACTGGCTGAACATGCCGCGCACCTTGGCCATGGCCTAGCATGAATCTCGCCCGGTGGAGCATTGGGAGAGCGGGCGTTGGGAGTTAATCTCCACCCGCCTCGATGCATGGATTAGCGAGCGCGCCGCAGCTGCGACGCACGGCACAACGCAGTCGGCCGACAATGCCGGCCTGCGTGCTCGCAGCGACCCAACGTCGCTGCAAGCTGGTGCAATGGCCGCAACTGCTGCGTGCTCGCTGGTCTGGCGTCGCCCAATCACCCAAAGCTGTGACAGCTAACCTCACGCACACGTCGCGAATAATGCCAGCAGCGGTTAACTGTGATTTTCATTTTGTTCAAAATTCGAAAAAAGATGCGACTGTCTACTGCTGTACTTGTGAAGCACATAGTTGCATCTGTCAAAGTATACCGCGCATCCCTCTTCGCGCAAAAGCTCACTTTTACATCTGCACCGGCACGATCGGAAATTCAATCCTTCTCTTTGCCGAGTAGTCTCTGCGCTCGTTCGCAAAGGGTGCGCTGGCCATTGCTGACCCGGTGCCGCATTTTGGTGTTGTCGTCGAGATTTGTGCCGCAGGTGTTGGACGTGTACGCACTGTCGGCACACTGGCGCTTATGCAGACGAGAAAGTCCCAGTGCGAGTACGATTACGATACTTTTGCAATTCACACTTCTGCTGGTACGACAAGTATGGTCAACTACTACGGTAAGGTAATAGAGGAAGATGATGACGTTGGCGACGATGAGAAGGTGAAGGACGAGGAAGATATGACAGTGCACAACTCCCCCTCCCCCTCATTTGTCATGCAAAATCTGAAATCTACCTTGTGCCTGTTAGCACTCTACTTTGCATGACAGATTCCGAAAGCCAAAACAGCACTACAGTGATCCTCTAAGGAATTTGTCATGCAAAAGCTGCATCTTTGCCAGCGCTTGTGTTGCTGTTCATGCAAGAACACAAATCAATGAGGGTCGTGAGGGGGAGTTGTCGCGCACTCGGATAGAAAATTTAGAAGTCTTAGAAGGAAAGAAGACCACCTCCACACGACGAAGATATCAAAAGGAAAAATCCCCCCTCCCCATATCAAAACGGAAATCTGTGATGCAGATTTGTTGTCACGAATCAGCTTTGTCATGCTACACGACAAAAGATGCGGACTGGAGTGCTGGGTGGAAAGGGGAAGCCTTGCATCTTCAGCATGACAGGAGGCATCTGAGAGTGGGAAACAGCATGACAAATTGCCTGCAAACGAGGCCGCGACTGCGGCTCTTGGCCTTCTAGCATGGCAAGTCGATTTGTGACCTCAAATACAGCATCACAAATTTCGTTTTCGATATGGGGAGGGGGGATTTTTCCTTTCGATAGAAGAGCCCGCGGGACCACGTCCCGCGATTCGGATGAAGATGAAGTAGAAGATGAACAATATGCAATACAAATTTTCCGTACATGTACAAGATGCATCACAAATTTTACCAATTCGTAGTGTAAAACTTGTCATGCTAAACTAGGACCGAAGCCAAGTTTTGTCATGCAGGGAGTGCATTTATACGTGTACGGGAAATTTACTGTGGATAAATAAGTAGAGAACAGCATAGACAAGGACGAGCATTTCAACGACAAGCGTTTAAGGCGGGAAGCTAGGCACAAGTTTTACGATTTAGATAAAGACCGAGCCGAGATTTTTTTCCATTGGTACCGTCATAGGGACCTGAAGACCAAAGCTGGGAAGTCGGTCAGCTCCGGAGCGAGCCTCCAGAAGGCACATGACACAATGGACGCTGCCACGCGGTCTTTTGACTGGAGCAAGTGGCTGCGGAACCGCGCACTGATCGTGCATCGTTGTCGTCGAGATTTGTGCCGTCTACAGCGGGTCAGCGCCCGCCCTTTGCGAAGTAGTTCACGACGACGAACGAGTTCCTACTTTTCTCCTTTCGGACAGGCAAAGACGGCTACAAAACTACTACAACATCATGCGAAGGGGGATACCCATTCTCACAAACGTCGTAATTGATGTCTGGTCTCGCTGTTTTCGTAGTTAAGCTAGCAAATAGAAATAGTGCTTCTACCTCTTGTTCTACTCCTGTTGGTTTTGCTCGAATTTTCAATCTCTCTCTTCCTTGCGACCACCGTGCTTGTACTGCAGCCGCAAGAAGGGATCGAAAAACAAATAAAGCTACTGCTACGTCGAGGTGGTGACGTTGTTGAAGCTTTCAAGTTTTAAAACACTAAATCTAGCTATCAAAACCACGAAGAAAAAGAAAGAGACGCCAAGGGTTTCTTGGAAACCCAAGGCAATGCTCTCCATTCACTTTCTTAAGCAGTCCAGGCACAAAAAAGTAAAACATAACATGATAGATTACTTGGTCGAGATACAATTCTGCTTCTTTGCTTTGTTGTTGTTGAAAATGGAATGCAGATAAATGTTGCCAGTGAGTTCTTTTTGTTTCTGATTAATCTTGACGAACAAAAAACTTATGAAAAACACAAAGTGTAGTCCTTTTCTCAAGGTGGAAAAAAGCCTCTAAGCGCGCGCACACTTGCAAAAACAAGTCAAGCGCAAGCCAGAGGTTTTTCTTCGAGGTAGTGCGAGGACGAGAACACGATTAATATGAATACGAAAAAATGAAAATTCGAAATTACTTAATTATAAAACGTAAAGAAGTGAAAAAAGAACGGGGAGATTATAGAGAAACTTGAAAAAAAAAAATATAAATCATGGAACAACACAAGGACTTAACACCTGGGGCACAACCGTTGCCTGAACAACCCAAGAAACGTGAGCTTGATCGGCGCTAAGACAAGACATTGTGGCTTTAGCCCTAGCTTCTTTCACGTCGCTGCGAAAATTGAGCAAATCGACAACATCTTCGGAGAGGTCATACTCATAGCCTCTCTTAGAGCTGACTTTTGTGCGGAAAGAGATTGTGGCGCTAGAATGTCAGTACAACGACAACAAGTCGGCTTGATTAGAATCTTTTTTTGGAAGATAGGAGTGAGGGCGATCATGCTGAAGTAGTTGTCAATATCTTTACAGATGTGAAGACGTTCGGAGTATTTATATTCCCACTTCGCACTTCATCTTTAGATAGTTTTTCCTCATTTGTCGCCCCCTTTCCGATCGGCCAAAGCTACATACTGCGACATCATATCCAGGCTCGCAAACGTCTGGGTCGCAATGGAACTCCTACCTTGGTGCTTTCATTAAAGTAGTAACCAACGTCCTGGCACTCCTACGTAATGTTCTACTACTCTCGCACTAGCAGTGTATTTCCATCTCTCCCTTGCTGCTATATTTTGTACGTGTACTACAATCATAAGTAGGAATCAACAAACCACAACTAGGTCGAGTTGGTGACGCTGAAAATTTCAAAGTACCCAATGTAGCATCGAAGCCGGCGCGAAGAAGAAGACAAGAAAGAGGCGAAAGGGGTTCGCGGAGAAAAAACCGCAGGTAATGCTCTCCATTCACGCTTTCAAGCGGTGCAGGCACAATAAAGAAATAGAAAACCTAATTTGGTTGAGGTGCAATATTTTTTACTAACCACAGAGAAGAGGCACTAAAAATAATAAATGACTTTTTTTGTATTCTGATTTTTGAGTTTCTTGTATCAAGTTCAAGCATCGAAAGTTGTATATTCATACTATCCTTCTTCGCATTAATATTTGCAGAAAATAAAAGTAAGTACTTCCTTTTATGCGTCAGCATCATCTTCGAGCGTTAGTTTCATCTTTGAGTGGAGTTGTGATTCATGTGTAACATAAGCAAGGCGCCGGCTTAATTCGTGGTGGTGGCGGAAATGGAAAAATGGCAAAAATATATTATAAGACATGACGCCCTCAGTGTAGATGTAAGTTCTTCCTGTCCTCCTCTTCGATGCGACAGTGACAAGACATTGCATAAGAGTAGCTAGGCCACAATGGCTTAGATTTCCTTTGTCTGCGCAGGCGTTACAGCTGCCAGAGCGCCTGTGCAGGAAATGCGGATGCTTACTCATCGGGCTCGAACTCCCAGCCTTTTGCCTTTACACCCCCAAAGAACGTCGACGATTCCCCCAGCGGTTTAAGCTTGACCCGGTACCGCACTTCGGTGTTGTCGTCGAGATTTGTGCCGTGGAAAGCGCGGATTTTGGTTGGTTCACCACCAAGGTGTTTACTTTTTTCACGGTGTTGTAATTGCCGATCGTGGAGGTGGGATTCGCTGGAGCCGCGGCTGCGAGATGATGAACAACCTGAATTCAATATTTTTCAAATTAGAACGGAGGATTCAAAAGGACAGAGCAGAGGACAGACATTTCCATCACTACGTGACAACGGGGATTAAGTTGTAAGTAATCAGTACTTGCTGTCGAATGATGCCCTCTCGATCCTGCCTCGTTTGCCGTTCCATAATGCTTTGCCGCTGCGGTTGGCCTGCAGTCCCGCCTCGTGGTGCCGCTGTGTTGAGCTTGAGTTCGTTTGTTGCACCTTCTTTTGCTGAGCGATTCTGCTCCTTCTTCTTTCGTGCCTGCAGCATAGCTTCTGCCAGTTCCTCCCTTCTCCGATTCAGAGAAATCACCTGCCGCGCTGCAGCCGATCGGGAGATTGCGGGTGAGAGACTTCTGGCGTGGACAAAGGCGTCGGTTGTCCTACTCCTACCGGGCGCTGGTGAATTGAAGATCACATTTCGGTCAAAAGAGCTTGCGCGCGGTGTCACGGGCGGGCACTTTCGTAAAAAATTTCGCACGCGGTTCTTCGCCCTCTCCGTTTCACGGTAGAGCTCCTTTTGCAGCACCAGCTGCTCCGCGGCTACTTTTTTCGCCAGAAGTTTCTCTTCTTCCTTGGTTTGCGGCTGCGCGGGAAGATTCTCCTTGCTCCTGTGGTTCTTTGCTCCATCTTTCGGACGATCAACGAGGCTCGGCACCCACACCATCGCTTCGATTGACGGAATGATCGCGGTGTGTTTGGTCGCAATTTGATGCTTCTGCGGCTGAGCCGCTTCTTGGGGCGGTTGCACTTGCGCCGGCACAACTCGATTTTCTGGTTTTCCAGATACCCGCTCCACATCTGCTTGCTGCTTCGTCTGCGGCGGAGCCGAAGCTGTCGGTGCTTGGTTCACAGCAAGGGCGTTGTTCTGGTACGTAATTGACTGCGGTTTGAAGCTTCCTTCGTCGTAGCTCTTCACATCCTCGGGCTTTTTCGCTGCTTCTTTCTGCTTTTCCTGCACGACCTCCTCCTCTGAACTGCTTTCAGAGTCCGACTTCGCGTACGGATTTTGCAATCCTGCCGGGGATTCGTCGTCGATTTCCTCGTCTTCCTTCGACGCCGGTACTTTACTCGCTGCTGGCACGTCCCCACCGTTCAACCCTGTGCCTGATGGAACAGGCGGCGCAGGCACGACTAGTATTTCCTGCGGAAGTACTGGGGAACCCTCCGCGGCACTGGAGTCGTTGCCCGTGCCCGCAGTTGAAGCTTCCCCGCCGCCCCCTGCTTTATTCTTCGCTTTTGGCTTTGCTTTGGCCTTCCCCTTCGCTTTGGGTTTCGCTTTCGGCTTGGACTTTGCTGCAGTAGCTTTTGCTTTTGACGCAGTTGTGGACTTTGGGCGTGCTGTTCCTGTTTGTGCATCGTGTGACCCGACATCGTCCTCGTCGACGTCCATATTCAGTGCTTGCGCTGGGAGAGGTTTCTTTTTGTTCTTCGAGCCCTTCGGTCTTCCTACTTTGGGTTTCTTTGCCGGCGGCTCTTCCGGCGAAAGCAAAAGCTCCAGCTTCTCGGGCTGTGCCGCCGGCGGTGCGGCGACGTCTCCACTCGGAACGAGGGCTACGGCTTCCACTTGTTCGGCTTGCTGCGCAACTTCTCTCTTCGCCGCACGCTTCATCGGAACGGACTTTTTCACCTTCGGCGGCGACGGTGGAGGATCTGGTTTCGGTGCGACGTCAACATGCTGTTTGAAGGGTCCACGCAGGAGCGAATTCGTGGAGTGTGCGTTTTTAATACCAATCGCCATGCCAGCAGTCCCGCTTCCAAAGATGTTCATGTTTTTCTTTCCTCCGTTCGTCATATTCGTGTTGAATAATGCAGACATGAGAGCCGAAGTGCGATCACGTTCCTTTGCACCAGTGGTTGTCGATGCGCCCGCGGATCTTGTCGCAGCTTGCTTTGGCGCCGCTGACTTTGACGAGTGCTCTTCTTCAGGAATTGCATGGTCTCCTCCACCGTCCTTCTTCGCAACTTTTCGCTTCCCTCTTGCCTTCGCCTTCGGATTTGCTTTAGCAGCGGGCTTTGATACATCTGGAAGTAATTGAGTATCGGTTTGCGGAAGCCCTGCCGGTCCAGTGCCTGATACTTGTCCACCCGTCTGCTGCGGTACACCAGATGCTGCAGTGCCGCTTTGTCCGCTTGCAACAACTCCGGGAACTGGCCGGTTGCTTTCGTTGCTGGTCTGCGGAGTCAGCTGTTTGCGCTTGCGGGATAATTGCAGGTTCTGAAACTGGGCGGCGGAGGAAGATTTTGTGGGCTCCTCCAGTTGTACACTTTGACCTTCGCCAGGAGCAAGTCCTTGGTCTTGAAGCGTCGCACTCTTCCGTGCTTGCATCCCACTAATTTCCTGTGCTCGCTCTGCCCCAGGTTCGTTCTGCAGATCCTTCTTCGTCACTGTTTGTCCGCTTGCAGCCGGCTTTTCCGGTATCGGCAACTGTGCAGGGGTTTCTTTCGGTTGCGTCGTGGATGCTGGATCTATTTTCGGCGGTGTTGCTGTTCTAGTACCCAGTCGGGAAGAAGCCGTGGTCGGGACGATCCCTGTGTCGTGTCTGGTACTGCTAGCCGGGTTTCTGGAAGATCCAGAAGCGAGCTTCACATCTTGTTCCACCTCCGACGCATCGCGATTCAAGCGACGGTCCGTTTCACCGGTGCCGTGCCCTCCAGCAGAAGCCGCAGTTTTAGACCGCTCGTCACCAAGATCAACGGCGTGAAGCGCGAAGGTACCGGTCTGGGGCGCTAGTTTTTCGTCATAGCGACGAGCAGGTTCGTTTTTGTCTTTGACTGTCCCGCCCTCGACTTGGTCCTTCGTTTTTTCCGACTTCAAGGGAGGTTCTGGAAACTCTTGCGGTGAGAGTGCTTGCTTTCGAAACCGCTTCTGCTGCACCGGATAATTGGCGGACGGGGATTCTTTCGGCTCCAAACTTCCTACAACAACTTTCCCAGCACTAGCTTCTTCCGGTCTACTTTCTCCCCCGGAGCCACGTGTTCGCAATACAGGAGAGGCCCCGCATGCGATTTTCTTCCGCTCCTCTCCTTTCTCGCAATGTCCCACCTGCTCCACCCCTTTAGAAGTAATTTCAAAGTGATCGCCGCACTTCACCGCTTTTCCGGCGTTCTCCTTGGCCCAATTCTTCAACGCCGCCTGCCGGGGCCGCACAATCTGCTCCTGCTCCATCAAGCTTCGCTTCCGCCGCTCTTCGTTTTCTTCCTCGAGAATCGCGTCTTTTGCGTCCCTGCGCAAGTTCACCGGTTCGTAGTCCACCATGCCGCGCTGCCGCAGCTGCTCCCGCTTTTCGATCACCTTCGGGTGCTGCATCACCCGAAACTCCAGGTTCTGTTCGTACTCATTTTCCGCATCCTCGAACTCCGCTACGCTCTTTTTCCGTGTGCCGGCCGCGGTAACAGTAGGATGATTGATCTTCTGATGGCGTTCTTCCTGACGCAGGTCAGGCGGAGCGTTCTTTCGCTGCCTTATCTTCTTATCCGTCTCCTCTTCGTCAGGCAAGCCGTTCCCGCTCATGGTCCTGTTTCGCTCGTCCCGGGCTAAAATGTCTTTCGTCGCGTCACGCACGGCTTGCTCCATCTCCAAAACAGCACCGGGGACGACACGCTCGTAGTTGTCACAAGACAAATTATCATCCGAATCGTTGTCGCTCATGTCGGTCTGCTGGTTTTCCATATGGGAGAGCTGTCTGCTCGCTTTCGCATAGCGACCACGCTTCTCTGCAGATGATGACGACGCGGAAGGAACGGCAGCTTCAGCCTGCTCCTGCTTCCCACGCCGACTTTTATCTCCTCGGCGACGCTCCTCCAGCTCACCTGAAAGCAAACCCTTGCCGTCAGCAGCAACTCTCTGATTCGCGTGGTCTTCGTCGATTTTCTCCACCTGTTCCCACTTTTCCCGTATCTGCTGCTGCTCCAGCGCGGTCGGCTTGAGGTTCTCCTCGAGCTCCCGCGGCAACACGAGTTTTTCGACGAGCGCGATCTCCTTCTTCTTCAGCTCTTCCAAAGCGGGGTTGTCGGAGATTTCCGGGCAACAGGAAGCTGCTTTGTCGTCTTTCACCTTCCCGGCCCACACGTCCTGCCGCAGCCGGTGGACGGCCATCTTCTCACATTGCCGCAAATGCGCGCGCATCGTGGGGAACGAGTTGTAGAGCACGTTGTCGTTGCAGTAAGGGCACATCATGTACTTCTGCATATTGGCCGGGTCCAGGACCTGGGGTAGGGTTTTTGCTCTTCCGGTATTACTTCCTTTCATTTTCAATTTGCATCGCAATAAATCTACTCTGAAATTTCACCCCGATATGCAGATGAATTCCATGAAAGAAGAACAAATATCATTACCAGCTGGTATAGCCCTTCCCCTCTACCGCTTCCCAACTGCATCCTATGCGGCTGGTCGTCGATCTTCATCCACTCTTGGTACGTGTCCAACTTCGCGATGCCGCAGTTCTCCATCTGCTTTTTCCTCCTCTGCTCGTTGATCTTGCGCACTTGCGCGGTAAGCTTCGGCGGTAACAGATCTTGCTGATCAAAATCCGAAGTAGGTAATCCGCCTTCTCCTCCGACGGCGGACAAGGACGAGCTATTGCAACCAGCCGCGGACGAAAGCTGCGGGTGTGCCTGCATGAGTTGCTGGCGCTTCTGCAAGAAACTCGCTCCTCTGGAAGTGTTTTGGCTTGGTCCTCCTGGTGGCAACTGCCCCTGCTCCTGTTGTTGACTCTGGTCCACGGAGCAATTCCGGCTACTTCGGTTTTTCTTCACATCCTCCCCGTGGTCGGCAAGAGCTGCCCGTGATCGAGAACACGTATTCTCCACTTGCTCGTCCTGTTGCGTGCTGGCGCTCCGGTCGGGAAGAACCATCCGCATGTCGATGGAATTCTCTTGTTCGTCATTGCTGTTCACGTAACAGCCCGCGTTGCTCGAACAGCTTCGGTCCCTCTCTCTATCTGCGGCTGAACGTGGAAATTGCGGCCGACGAGATTTGGAATGGGTCGCGTTCTGGTCTTTGAGGATCACACTATTGTCCTGACGTCGCGGATCATGCAATCGTTGATCCTGCATGCGATGCGGCTGCCGCACATCACCTCTCGGCGTGGGCATGTGACTTCGTGGCGTCGGTATCCCGATGCCGCTCATGCAGGTGGAACGCGTGGGATCATTGCCATTGCCGTCGAAATGCGGACCATGTCCTCGGTAATTGAAATCGCGCTGGCGGTTGTGGCCCTGATGCCCTTCTCCCGGGGTTGGCTGCATGTGCGCACCGCGCATTTGGTTGTACGACTGCATACTGTTGTTCTGCATGATCCCATTGGACGAGTCGTGGGGTGGAAACCCAGCACCGTAGGCGGCGGCTCCCGGCGTAGTTCCGGAAGCGCCTCCTCGCAAGGGGTACAAATTGCCATCGTTGCTGTAGTACATGGGAGTCCTACTTCCACCCGGCATATTATTCCCTCGTTCAAACATCGGAGTGCGCGGGGTTTGGTGCGACAGCATGTGCCCATCGTCAGGATGATGTTGACCCATCATGCGATGGGGCGCACCCGAATGCTGCGGATAGCCGTAAGCCGGAGTCGTGCTCGACGGATTGCGGTAGCCTTGCGGCATCTGCATCTGCATGGACATCGGCGTCCGAGCGTGTTGAGCACTTTGATGATGCCCGGAAACGAAATTCCGCTGGTGCTGCGGAACCTGTGGATTCGGCGTTGCGTATCGGTTCTGCGGTGCGTGCGGTCCACCACCACCAACTCTGTGCGAGGACGGACCTCCCGAGGGCGCAGCCATGGCGGTCCGTTGCCCGGTTCGGCGGTACAGGTGGTGGTCTGTGGCAGTCGGACTTCCGCGCGGAGCTAGAGAGCTAGGTAACCCCGGGGAACCTATTGAATTGCGAGACAGCAAAGACGAATAGCACAAACAAAGTTCAAATAGGGCGGCCTCAATTCCCGATCAGGCTCAGGCGTTGCGTGGTCAGCTGCAGAGCACATCGCATCAGAACAGTAGCAGCAAACTCCCCCCGAGAAGTGCCAAGCCGCTGCGCTAAGTAACGCGACTAGAACAGCCAAGCACCAAGCTAGCTGCCCACTGTGGCACTCAAATTCCATGCGATCCAAGAGTAGCAGACTAAACAGACTAACGTCAGGAAAACACAAGCAGCCTTCTCGACCACCCCCGGTAGCTATCCTACCCTAGCCGACCCGACAAGACAAGCGGGCCATCCGAAACTTCCAAGAAGTAGCCTCCCTAGGGCAGCCAAAATTCCCCGACCGGTTAACCAAGCCTAAGAATAGCGTCGCACCTCCAACGTGCCCCCAGCCACTGTCTGGGTGGGAAAATAGCAAGCGACCCGAAACAAACCCAGCCGCTGCAGGTGCGGCAAACTCCAACCCAACACCAAAGAGCAGACCATCGCTTGTGAAAAAACTCACTAACGCTGAGCATCGACAAGTGCCCTACTCCTACGGCCAAGGCCCGTCCGTTCGTGAGGCTGCAACAATCCCTCTTGCGAGGCAAGGAAAGAAGTCCGGACATCGGCTGAAAAATAACCCAGGCTAACCTCGCTAGAAAACCGAAACTCCTCGTAGGAAAGTCCAAAACTTAGAGGCGAGCAACCAAAAGCAAAGGCGTTGCACGCGCCTGGCGTGACTCCTAACTCTGTCACGAGAAAAAAGGAAACCAGAACCACTAGTGGGCCTCTCACCCACTAGGCCCGAGCGAGCGGAAGACCCCCGCGCACGTCTACGCGAAGACGAGTGCGGTACCCCCAGTGCGATCAGCTACCCCGCAAGGGTGCCACGAATAGCGCACCCTACTCAACCCCCAGCCCAGCTGGGCCTTCCCGCAACACTAATGCCCGCACCACAGACAAATTTTGGCGCGGGCCATCATCCACGAAACAAAACCTCGGCCCCGCCCCGCGATGGGAACAGGGGGCGAACGAAGGAGACACCAAACCACGAGCCCTAGCCAGGGAACAAGTTCGCAAGGGTAACGGATTGGGTACCGCCAGTGCCAAACGACCCCTGTTCCCAAAGCAAGGCGAGACCGAGGACAAAGCGGAGCTCCCCTGGTGTGGTGCAGATGAGACTGTAAGGCCAATCCGAAACAAAAAGTCAAAGAAGAAGGCAGCCGCCGAGATAAGTGCCAGCGCTGTGAGGCATCTGGCCTTCCGAAAACAGAAGTGCCCCAGGTCCGGGAAGTTCCACCGCGAAACGAGATGCACTAGACCGCAGTATCAACAAAGCGAAGCAGAGGGTAGCACTATGGGCCCCTGAACGGAAAACTTCCAATGTGTAAAATGACCCAGGCCCCAGCCTAAAATCTATAGACACGGCCAACAGGCACGATAGAATAGACGCTGGGTCCGCGCCCCCAACGGGATGCGAGCTATCCGCGCATCCGAAACAAAGTAAGTATCCTCACCGCCGTCAACAGGTACAGGGCCAACCCTAGCAAAACCAATCGCTAATAGAACTGCGGCGAGCCCCGCCAGCTCATATCCCTAAGTGCCAAGCCTCTAGCTGTCGGCCCATGCGCTCCCGGCTGGAGGTTTTGTACACTCGCTGACCACCCCGCGCAGCACTATACTACCGACCCATTGAGACCGAGGACGAAGCGAAGCTTCTCTGGTGTAAAAAGGAGTAGAGACGCGACCCGGCAGGGGAGTAGCTGCTCCCAAGATAAAAACCAGCACAGCGAGGTATCTGGCCCCGACAGGGCTTCCCAAACGAGGCTTGAGAGCCTCCTGCCCTTACTCGGAGTAGCAGCTAGTAAGTTGGAAAACCCGCAACATATCGAAGGGCGAGCAAAACCCGCCTTGCACCCTGAGCAGCACCATAATGCTCTCCAGCACTGCCGCATATTCCCTAGAAGCGCGAACAAAAACAAACTCCAGCCAGCCCATCTAGGACCCCGAGCTTGAGGGCCAGAGCTCGGAAGGAAACGTCCTGCCCTAATGAGGAGCGAAAACAAAGAACAGCCCATATCTCCAGGGGCGAGGGGCTCGAAAAACAGAAATATCCATGACTAGGCATCTTAGTACTTCGATGGTGGTCTGTGGCAGTCGGACTTCCGCGCGGAGCGTTTTGGTTACTTGCGTTTCTGCCCTGGTCCGCATACCTCTGTCCGCCTTGATATTGCCCGTGTCCACCGCGCACGCTGGTGCTGTAGCCCCCGTTTTCACCACGAGAGTAGGCCGATTGTCCGTAGGGCGTTCCGGCAGTCGGACTGCCACGCGGCATTTCGCCGTAGACTGAGCCGGTTGGGCTGCCGCGCGGTACGCGGGACATCGCGCTTCCTGGTACTGGATCTCCAGGACTGGCGCGGGGACGGTGCTGCTGGTTGTACTCACCGTTCGCGACTCGCGGAGTCTGGCCCCGTCTGTCTGCACCCGGTTGCTGGCTCCAGTTCTGCTGGTGCTGGCTCGGGCCGAAGTTTCTCTGCCGCTGCTGATGCATACTTATTTCTGTAGCGCTTTATTTTACAATCAAGTACTAGCAGCCATCTGGAATAGGCACAAGTTTATCCTTCAGCCACCTCTTTCACGCACCTGTGTACTATCTCGAACGTGCTTGAATGCGCAAAAGGCTGGGCACAGACAATTTCAATATCGAAAATTACGAAAACAGGATGTTGCAGATGCACAATTTACGCGTGCGCCATTTATTTTGATGAATGCAAATTCGTTTTGGTTCAAGAATTCGCACGATATTGATCTTTTACGGCATAAAATAAATGTTAAAAACAAATCGGAAAGAAGTCAAACGATTTTGACCCTCTTGGCAGCCCGAAATCAAGCGAAATAAACAAAATCAAGATCAGAAAGTTATTTGTCGATCAGCGTTTTGGTTCCTCCATAGAGGTCTCGCTCTCTGTCGACGCGTTTTTTGGCCGATTTCAATTCGACGTTTTATCACGTTTTTCGAAGATCCGAGTCCCTCCTCGACACTGTCCGATCAAAATGCAACAAGACAAAATTGCAAAGTTATGAAATCGAGGAAAAACCACCAACGAAAGATCCTTCGCAACACCTTGCTGAGTTCCAGAATCGGGCTGCGAGCGACGTCGCGCGGAAAAAAAGCGGATGGCTTCTTTCTTCGTTCTCGTAGGTACAATTCAAAATGAGACACACATCTCGAGTGGTACTGTCAAGGAAAAGAGTGATGCATACCGCTGACAAGGCAAAGCACAAACAGCATAGTTGAAGCCATCACAAAGTAGAAACATCGAAACGCATGAAAATTGAATGGAGAAACTTTGGAATGAGATACTTCATATCTTCTTAAACCACACACGACCTGGAGAGAAAACAGTTGATACATCATGAGAAACATCAATGTGGTATTCTGTACAGTGGGTGGCAAGGGAAATCGGTTGAAGTACGTTTTACCCATATTGCAGAAAAAGATCGGATTGTTTGATTGTACAATAGAGTCAAAGAAAAATTGAAACCAGACATCGACAAGGAAATACTTTCTTACCTAGGCCAGCTGTCGGATGATACGCGCCGTCGCACTGGGTGTCCTTCAGTATTCAGCACAAATTGGTTTAGGTCGATTATGCCGGAGGTTGCGGAAGTTTGGCTGTTTGTGTTTCCGGTTCCAGCGACAGAAATTTGAGAAGACGAAGCTCCAAAAACCACTGGCTCTTGGAAAATCATGTACAGGTACTTCAGCGTTTCCGCGAGCCAAAAAGACTCCTCCTTGTCCTCGTGGCGCGGAATGGTTTTCGATCCATCTTCGTCACCTTCTCCCACTTCTTCCGCCGAAACGCTACTACCCTCTACTTTGTCTCCCTCCACCACGTCGGTGCTCGCATACCCGTATTTCGTCTTCGCAAACTTCTTGAAAACAGAGAAAATCCTCCATGCAAAATTCCGGTAGTAGACGCGGGATCGGGACAGTGATGGAGATACGACAGATGAAGAAATCTTCTCTGCTCCCCTAGTACTTATCGCGGCTCCACCTCGGCCGTCAGCAGTTTCCCCTGGAAACGCCGACCATGCGTCGAAGTGCGGGAACGGTACAGCAGGCTGGCCTTTTCCATGTCGTTTTTCCTCCGAGCTCCTGGGCACAATATCCACGTCGAAGTAGTAGAAGTAGAACAAACTCTCGAGAATCTCCGGGCGCAGCTGGTTCTTGCCGTCGATAATCCCCATCTTCCCGGTCCGCTTGCCGAACCGCACCACTTCGGGCGCCAAAAACCGTTCATCGGCGTCGTGAAAGGCCAAGCAGGTCCGCAGGAGGTGCTTGGCGGTCTGCAAGAAAGCGTCGAACTCCTCTTGGCCGGATAAAAATCCCGCCCGTACCAGGAAAGGCAGTTTCTTTCCTGATGCTTGCCCTGGGAGGGCAACTGCATCCCTTTCGCCTTCCGTGCCGTACAAGGCCAAAATCATCATTCCCGGCACGTAGCAGCCCAAGTGCTGCATGGTGCTGGCGCCCGGAGTGTCCGCGAGAAAGTAGAGAGTGGCGGGAGTCTGGTCGGAATCATGATGCTCCTTCGGTGCTGGGGGAAAAATCGCAGTGAAAATCATGATTGTGAGAACTACACGTCGTGAGCAAAATTTTTTCAGAAATAAGTCGGCAAGCGAGACGGTCTGCTGGTGTGAACAAAAGCAGTTTTCAGGAAAGTCATAGAATTACATCTATTCAGCTCCTGGAAGTCCGACAACACCAAGGTTTGCGTCTAGTCCTTCTACATAGTCAGGTAACAAGAAAGTTCCGAGGTTGACCCCGCCTTCGCCACAAAAATTTTCATCGCGATATAGAAAGTCTGTGGAATCGGCCGCATCAATTGACTCCGCATGGTCCGCATTGCGTCGACCCAAAGCTGTAGGTAGTCTTCCTGGTTTCCTCTCGCTGCACCCGTCCCGCCACCTGGGTTCGCCATCAGCCACCCCTTGAGCAGGTACTCGTAGTAGCTGTCCGTGCCGGCGGAGACGGTCGCCTGGCCACTCGAGTGCAGACGCAGCTGCTTCTCCGAGTGTGATGCCGCGCCAAGCGGCCCGATGCTTTTAGCTCGAACGTGCCTGTTTTCGCTGCGCAAGTACAAGCGGCCATCGTTCTCATCCGCATCTTTCTCAGGCATCGGCTCGATCAGCCGCCCGGGTAGTGAGCTTCGGCTTCGTGTCTCTCGCCCTCCGTGTCTGACATCCCCATCGGGCGCAGCTGGTAACAAGTACGATCTGCGCACTTCAGCATTCACCTCTGCCATCACCCGCTTGGATCGCTCTGCAAGCTCCGGGGCCTGCAAAATCGCCGCCGCGTCTTCGAACTCCAGCAGGTTGGACCCGGCCTCCGCCAGGCCGACCTGCGTGCGACCCGAGTTGAAGCGGCCCTGGTCAGCGGGGGCGTGGTCAAAAGTACCAGCCTTGTCGTCCTCGGTTGCGAACAAAGTGACTTCTCCGCGCGGGAAGAAAAACTTCTTGTGCGGTGGCGCTTTTGTTCCACTGTCACGCCTCACCTTGTCGGGAAACTCAGCAAACGCAGTTTGCAGTCTTATCGCGGTGTCCCTAATCAGCTCCTGGAAACACGAGGGGTAGCTGGTCGAGTCATGTTCCAGGTTCTTGTTCTTCCTCTCTTCATCGAAAGCAGGCTGTACTCGCTGCTGAAAACCCGTTTCCCAAACGTGGTATGCGCCGAGTAAGCCCCCCAGCCTGCGGATCGTCGTCTCGAAGAACGAGACGTCCTTTGCGCTGTCTCGCCCGCGGGAAGTTCCACCGAGCAGAAACTTCTTGCCCTCACCCTGGCATAGGTACCGCAAGGCTGCGTCCACGTGGCTGGGTAGGGAAACTGAAGTGGTATTATTTTCGTCTGTCCTCGTCCTCTCCGAAGATGATCCTGCAGCGAGCAACAGCGTGTCCAGTCCGTCGACGAAAAACGCCAGAGAGTAGTCCCAGTCCTTCGCCGCGCCAGAAATCGGGCCCACCTCGTCGTGCCCACGGGCCCGGGCCCAGTAACTCGCCCACGAAAACTCAATCTCCGCTTCGATCGAGCGGAGTCGGGCGAGGTTGGTAGGTTCCTGATATGCAGTTAATGTGTTGGGGGACGCAAAAGCATTATTTACCACTTCTGTCGAATAGCCGGATATACGGCTGGTCTCCACCAGATTCGCTGTGCTCGTAGGTTTTGAGGAAACTACCACTGCAGCGGAATCATCTTGTGCAAGGATGTTGTTCCTCCCATCGTGCTCGCCCGGAGGAACACGTTGCGTCCTCCTTCCCCGCGGAGCTGGCGAGTGAGGATACACTGGAGCGACCACCACATCGGTCCTTCTTTCGTTTCGAAATTTCTTCGAATTTTTGACCCGCAAGTGCTCGTGGTCTGAAGCCACGCGCTGCATCCCCGCGCTGTCCGCAGCAACATGCTCCTGGCTTTGTCCTCCTGCTTGTCGCTCATAGTGCACACCGCCTCCATCCGCGAAAGTCAATAGCACCAACGCGAAAAGAATCAGTGTGAGCTTGGTTTTCACATCCCAGATAGGGAGTGATGTTGACCAGAGGGCCGTCACAAAGAGCGGTTTTCTACGTTGGATCTTGGTGGAAGTGTAGCCAAACGGTTGAAAATTTTTTTGTCCATCTTCATCGCGGAGGGATTGCCGCTCTCTAGAGTCGAGATGTTGTACTTTGTGCGGTGGAGCCGCAGTTGCATCCCCCTCTGCGAGAATAATGTCGCTGGAGGAGTTTGATGGCAATGTGGCACTCTCGTAGCAGACCATTCTTTGTGTCACCACCTGTTGCTGCTCGTTTTCCGGTGCATCCAACTACAAGATCTCTGTGTCGGAGAGTTCCACATCCTCCTCATAGTGGACTTGAAAAATTTCGGCCTTCCCAGCAGAAAAGAAGCTGATGCTCATTTTTTGTTGAAACTTGCTGAACTCCGTGATGAATTGCGAACAAATATCGGAGACGAGTGCCTTGTGCGGCGAGACGTGAGGGTTGGTGCTGGTGATCGGTAAGTACGTCGATGGGCTGTGCGAGAAGGTCAACGCGACACGACTATCTCTGTGAGACAAATAACGTTGATCGAGATGCAAAGAGAAGCGGTTACGATGAGGCAAGGAAAGTGAGAAAATACAAGGTAATTCGCAACAAGAAATGCTGCTGCTCCGCTGGTCATTTATTTTCCTCAATATACAACGACACGCGAAGTAGATTTCTCATCACTACACGCCAAATCTCGATCGAGAGACACGAAAAGGAAAACTAGCACTCACGGTGGGGTTTTGCATGGACGAGTTCCTTTGAGTAGCTGCCTGCTAAGCGACACGAAAACAGCAACCAGCAAGAGTCAGCCTGCACGCGAAGCACTACCTGTGGGTGTCTGCAACCAAGAGCGCATTTCCCGACGTACTCTAGAAGTATACACGATGCAGTTTATTTTTGAAACATATCATGTTGTACAACGCATTCTACAAAAAACCAACATTCGAGGCCATTTTTGGAATTTCGTTTTTCCTTTACAAATATGGACAATTTCGACACCTAATTTTGCTGTAGATCTTGGATCTAGGGCAGATTCAAAAAAATCTAGTGCTAGTACAGTAGAAAACGAAAATGTACCTCTTCCCGCGCCAATCCAAAATCATAACGTGCAAGTGCCGGCAGCACTGCAGCAATTCTCCATTACAAAACGTGTGCTTTTCCCGCCCTCTACTCAAACTACTTACGGGAGACTCAAAAAACTGAAATCCAAAGTGTCACAACTCTCATGTCGTTCAAAGAAAAATTCGTACTTAACAACACTGGTCATGTCCTTGCACTTGCGTTCCGAACTAGTATTTCTGCCGTGGAAAAACCGCCATGCGAGCAGGGCAGCTGACTCACGAGTAAAGCTCCCGGGGAGCAGACCCTGCGCCCTGACGGTGTGCCGCGACATCGGAGTCTTTCGTGTGCTGGTCCGCATTTGGTGCGCTCCCGGAACCATAGGACGGCTCTGGTGGGGGACGGGTGGCCGACGCCGCATTACCTTCGTCCATTCGTTTGTCCTCCGTGTGGGGCGTTTTCACGCGCTGGTGCACAGCTGGCGCCTCAGCAACGTCGTCAATGGTCGACGCGGAGAGAACGACGGAGGCTCTCGTGGCAACGGCTGGTGCGGGGACCGGGATTGCTCCGCTTGGCACTCGTGCCTGGACGGGGTTGCCGCGGACGACACCGTCCGTAACTGGCGTCGGAGGCCTCTGGGCGGCAACAGAGCTGCGATCTGGCATGGTGTCGATTCCAGTTGTCTCGCCGGTCGAAGACTTCGTCAAAGGAGCGGTAGGTGCCACATCTTGCTCGTCAGCAAGAAACTGCGCTTTCGCTTTCGCTTGATCATGTCGCGTGCCAGGAGCCGTGTCTTCTTGTGCGTGCGAGAGACTAGGAATAGCAGACTTTCTTGCCGGCGGCGTTCCGACAGCTGGAGAAGGTTCCGCGGTCACATCTGTGTTTGCAGACAGGGAACATTTGGTGCAAAGGTCACGACTAGTCTATTCAAAACCATCAATCTAGCTGAAATAAATGAAAAGGGATCGTAGCCAAAACAAGACCATGAGCGTGGTCCCAGTTCGCGCCTTTCAGTAGGTGTTTCAGATCGGCATCGGCGTTAGCTTTCAATGACTCCAGGTGATCCGGTAACTTGTTCAGCATATTGCTATCGAGAAAGTCATCGACTTGATGTATGAATAGTAAGATTGGAGTCAAGGCGAATTATTCTTCGCATCGGTAGCAAAACAACCTTGGAAACTGTTATGCATACTGGCACAATCGCAATCGTGGACCTTTATCTTGACTCCAACGGCATCCAATTTACGTTGTGATATCGACACGCATATCATTCTCCATTTCCACAGCTGCACTGGAACTGGAATCCGCAGATGCAGATTTCTTCTTGCACACCCAATACAGATCGTGCTTGCCGAGGATCTCCGTCTTGAAGGCACAGGTTTGAATACTAGATGCCATTTCTATGGCAGACGAGGAGGAAAAGGATTTCTTTGACCATGGTGCCCTTGGCCATGGTCGTGCTCTTGTTGCTTGTTTAGCAACTCCCCTAACTCCGCCTCTGCGTTCCCAGTCGCAAAACTCGATGTCGTTCATATTGACTTTTCTGAGCGCATCGCAAAAATTCTTGCATTTGCCGTTTGCCTTCGTTGCCAGAAGAAATTCGTATCCCTGGGGGCATTCTTGTTTTGTTTTCAGTTTCCTTTCCACTTTGTCGTAGTACCCTTCGAAGTCCCTTTCCGGTTTTTGCGTTTTAATAGCATCAAGGTCCAACTCCGAGTAATTTTTCGTTGGTCTGCATGAAGTGGAAAGATACGGCCAACTTTCGCCTACTGGCCACACAGGACAGATCTGAAGATAGGATGCATACATTTTGAGAACGCATCTATGCAGGCACACTTCATCGGTGAACGTTGCTGCAGCTGCAAGTACGAAGTCAGACGATTGAAGAAAGACACACGACATGCAAGAAAGGTGGAGGAATATATCATCGTAGACGGTCATTTTTCTTTTATATGGGATGGCCTTCCGCGGATGAAAACTAACCCGCGGGATGACCACTTGCCACTGAGACACAATACTTGCTGTTCTTCTTAGCCGTGCGCGTCCAGCGGATAATGTTGACCGTAGCTAGGCTAATGTTCGTAGCATCAGCACTTTTTTCACAATGAAGTAGCTTTTGCCCGAGACAAACATCGGAATCCTCTTCTCCACTGACGGATCCTCGGATTGCAAAATAGCACCGCACTCTTTCATGATAAAACGTGGATCGTCGAGTGGCGTCACATAGTTCGGATTCAAAAACTTCGCGACTTTAGCCTTTACTCTTAAAATAAATTCGGCTAGGCGGTCTTTTCCGGTCGCTTTAACCTCGTTTTCTTCTGGACCCATGATGCGTTCTCGAATCGCGTGACATTCATGCAGTGCAAGTGTGCCCAAGTCACGATCATCGCTTTGGCTTTTCTCGGTTCCTGCGTCTTTACCTGGAACCAGATCGTAGTCGCGCATCAGATCATTTTTACCGTCCTCGGACCGAATGTCTCGCAAGTTCTCGGCCACGGTCATCTCGAGTGCTGCGGGGTCGCCCGCGATCTTGAGGTGTTTTCCCTTCCCGAATCGTTTGAATAACTCATCGTTTTCTAGAAGTTGGCTGCCCTTCCGTTATGGCAATGGAGCGCTTCGCTTTTACGCTTGCCAAGCGAAATACTATTTGACGCACTTCTACACTTGTGCGCTTTTAGCATTCGCATGAGAAAGATGACACAAGGCTACGCTCTTGTCGTCCTCCTAGGTATGTCATCATAGTCAATTATGATAGTCACTTTTGATGGCTGCAGCTGTATGCATTTACAGGCGTCAGTGCCGCGCTTATTGTGCTTCATGCGAAACGAGCATGAGGCTTACCGAACTACGGCCGACGTCGCCAGAGTTCAAATCGTTCACTTTCCTAAGTACGTCACCGACTATGACGATCATGACCCTGCGTGATGTGCGAGTGAGGCCACGTTGGTTCTAAAGGTGCAAAGCTGTGCGGTCACAAGTGCAGTGCCAGCCTTGCACGACCATAAGGCACTGACATCGTTAGCGTCACCGTAGGCAACTCTAAGTGTGCCTATGCATAGATACAGACAGAGATCCATAGTTACACATAAGTGCCGAAAAAGCGGCTTTTGCTGTGTCCCATACCTTCTCTTCACACGGAATCGGAAAGCGAAGAAGTCTTTGGTCATAAAACGTGCAACCCGAGCACTTGCAGTTTGTCCTTACCATTCTCGACTGCAAGAAGACGAAACTTTTCTTCGCCGTCGGATGCCTCGGCGGCGTCCTGTTTGGCGGTCATTTCTTCTCCGACTCTTGTAAACTGGAGCAGTCCTGGAAATGGTTTCCTCCAAGAGAGATATTCCTTGAGGACGGTCGCAAACCCTTCCTCAACCTCTGCCGTGCCTTCATCGCTTGACGTCAGACCCAATGAAGAAATCGCAGCAGATAGCTCTCCGAAGAGCACGGCATTGTCTTCCGCGCTTTCGTCGTTTCGTTTGTCCGGTTTGCACGCTTCATCGGTTGCTTCATCTTCGTTTGCCTTATTGCCGTCACCTAGCGCTTGCTTAACGCTGATCGCGACGGAGCACTCCACAAACTTTTGCATCACTGGTGCCACAGACCACTGGAGCTTGCGTAGCCAAATGGGTTTCTTCTCCAACACGTGCGACACATACACCTTCACGCCGAGGCCAGCAAACATGGCGATCGGGGTTCCGAGAGAGATCGGCGTTGTGCCAATTGCTTCAGCCGCCACAAGACCGAGGACCGTAGACAGGCTCTCTTCGAGCAGAGGGACAAGCACTTCCTGCAACATCGTGACCACTTCGCGCGCAATTGCGTTTGCGATGCCGCCCGCCACGGCGTTGGCGATTGCAGGCACGAGAACACCAGACATTTTCTCCCCAACAAAATTGCCTATAGTTGCGGCCGGGTTCATCTCTAGCTGCAGAGCTGACAGAGTAAAGTCATCCCTTTCCCTTGCCTGCGACTGCGATGGGGTCATGTTCTCCCCGTCGGCGAGCTTTGTAGCAGGGAAGGGATAGTTTTCCGTCTCGTCTACGCCATTAGGGAGTGCGTGTTCTGGGGAGGTGGGGCCTGCGCCGCTGTCACCTTGGTGAGGCTGAATGGAGGACAGTCCGCCTGAGGCAGGATATTCAAGGTCTATCTGTGGAAGAGTTGGAGGAGAAAAATGTTCCAGCGGATTCTGCAAGAACGCCGCAGCTTGTTTGGCGTCCTCGTCGGTAGAAAACTTTTTCAAGAGAATGCTGCAGATTGTTCGCATTGCATAGCTGGGAGTAAGTGGTATGCTTAATCCGGGTATCTCTTTTTTAGGTTCTGCTTCGTCGTTAACGCGTCCACTACCGTTGTGTTCGGAAGCCGGGTCGCTGCATGTCTTCAACGCGGATCGCACTGAGTCCAAAAGACTGCGCAGCATCATGCCGTTCTGTTTGTCATCGTCTTCAGCACCAGTGTTCTTGTCATCACTTGCAGTCGAGTCGTGTTCGGCTTCGAACAGGCCTTCGTCTTCATTCATGACCTCGTCGCTGATGTTTTTTATTTTTTCTGCCGGATCGCCGTCCGATGTTTGTTTGTGTTGGACTTTGAATACACCTGCCACACTGAGTGACTAAAGCTTCTACCTAAACAGGTCTTTCAATCAATTCCAGCACTTCAATCTCTCAGCAGACAGGGCGAAAGCCTCTGGCTGCGTTGCATCCTGTGGGTTCAATGTCATTCAAATCCATCACATGGAATGACCCTGATCCTGGTCAGAGTCAAGTGGCTAAAAAGCATGGGAGTACCTCCCTCAATGCTGTCGGGAAGGTGCTCAACCCTGACGGGAGTCAACCCCCTCAGGGTGGTCATTCTGAACGTCTAACACGAGCGGAGTCCCTTCATTTCATTCCGATCGCGATGGCTTTGCCTTCGTAGTATTTGGGGGATTCGGGTCAAATGGTGAAGAGATTCCTTTAGGATCTAGCTAGTTCAGGTCATTCCGGTCTTGTCATTTCATTGGGAACAGGCATTTCAGATCATCTTGAGAAGCTTCAGACACAGCTGCGCGAGGGTTCTGATCACATGACCAACGCCCCTCCTCAATCGATGCAGTCTGTGAGCCTCCAAGAGCCTTACTACGCCTTCTTCCATGATATAAAAGCTGATATAAAATATGCACGCACGCCCCTCCTCGGGCTAAAATCCAAAGTCTACAGCGTACAACACTAAAGCTACTCCACTATCATCGTAGAAACTAGTATAAAGGGCATCAGAATCATCCGCATCATCCGACTGGGCGTCAGGATGTGAAGAGTCACAGGCGATGACTGGATTGTCTACGTGATGCAAAAGCAGCCTGCGCTGTGGGGCTGAGCATTCCAGCTTCGTAAGCCCATCTGCCTTCATCAGATGCGTCGGGCAAAAGACTATACGACTGGCAGCATCTCGCACACGCAGACAGCGTAGAGCGTAATGCCGTGACTTCGGTTTTGTGTCTGTGCTTTTGGCCGTAGCGATTGCGGATTGGTTGCCCACCCACAAGATGGCATCGTCCAGGGATGGGGATAAGCCGTACTGCGTTTCTACCATCTTGGTAGGTAGAGGAGCAAAGAAGTCAGCGAAATCGTTTTGCTCACTGAGCACAATAGTGTCAGAGGCGGCGATATACTCGCTCTCCGCCGTCGAATACGCACGCACGGTCTGCCGATTACTGCGCCAGCAGATCGGGAAGCCGCGGTAGTACATAATCGAGCCGGTGGTAGAACGCATCGTCTTCAAACAATTCGCGAAACCAGCATCAGAGAACAGGCTCAGACGCGGCACGTTCCTGCCCTCCGGCGCCAGCTTCTGATAAATCTCATTGAACTTCGCTTCTTCCTCTGGACTGTACGATAGTCCCACTTCCTTCGTTGTCAGGAGGAACTTTATCACTTTTCTGCAGGCGTGGGCGATCCTTTTCGTGGCTGGTTTGCCCACATAGCGAGCGAGAGTAGAAACCGGCACACAAATGTCAGGACGCGCAGTGGTCGCGATCCATTGCAACGCACCAACTACGGATCTGAGAGGATAGTCCTTCAGCTCTTCAAGAACTTCTTCCGTCCGAGCTGACTCGTCAAAGTTCGGAGAACGTACCGGCTTGCCTAGTGTCACGGCGAACTTCTTGGCAATTTTCTCTATATACTCCCCCATGGTCACACGCGCTGACTTGTGCTCCCTGGAGTAGTACACAATCGCCCCAAGGAAGTCGAACTCTTGCCACCCGATACCATTGGAATCGGTAAAGAGCTCGGCAGCTATCTCACGCCCGGGGACGCGCGACAGAGTCTTTTGCAGTTCGGCACGAAGTTCAGCAAGGTCGGGCCCTGCGATCAAGTTGTCGCCGACATAGACAGCAAGCTTGAGATATCTTCCTGGGTGCGATATGCTTGGCTTTCTCCACAAACCAGGCGCAGAAGGACAAGGCTCCCAACCTAACTCGGTCAAGATGCTCTCATACTTCTTGAACCAGGCCCGTGGTGCGTCCTTTAGCCCATATCGCGCTTTGTGTAGTTTCACGACTGCACTCCTGTGCTTTGCTGCCCAGATGGGTGGCAAGCGGCAGTAGACGTGCGTCGCGATCTAACAAGGCACTAAGGAACGCGCTATCGAGATCATGCGGGATGACATGGTCGCCGTCTGCGGCTGCAGACACCAGTAGCAAGCGATTAGCTGCATGCGATACCACTGGCGCGAACATGTCGACATCACCCGACCGATCAAGATTGCCAAGGACACAGGCTCGAGCTTTATGCGTCCCGTCGCGTTTGACGGTCAGTATGATAGCGATTGGAAGCACTTGCCTCGCGGTAGCTAGCTCCTCTTCAGAGGCTGGCTTCCACGTCTCATATGCTAGCAGACGCGCTTCCTCCTTGTCAGTTACCTTCTGCCACTTAGCTGCAAGCTCAGCGTCAGGCAATTTGAGAGCCTTCCCAGCGGAACGAAAGATAAGCTTCCCAGGAGTCTGCGTTCGTCAACATCGCTATGGCCTCGGCGATCTCCTCACCATCATCAAGCTTGCCTATAGCGTTCCAATTCGCTGCGGCAAACGCCCCTGCGTTTTTCTTCAGCTGCTCGAGCTGTGCTGTTGTGCGCCGAGTGCGTTTCTTCTTATCCTTGACCCCTTTCGGGCGTCCGCGGCGCGGCTTGGAGTTGCGGTTGCCAGCCACAATCCTTGCCGGTGCGTGACGACCCCTAGCAGGACTAGAAGACGCTTCTCGAGCTTGTTCCCCTCCTCCACTGTTGCTCGCTGCGAGGTTCCCCGCCTCAGCTTGCGGCAGTATAGGAGCTTCCGGGGACTCTGCTGGACCTTCTTCCTCTCTGTCCAGTGTCTCTACTTGAAGTTCTAAGCCGGCGGTCGATTCCTCAGCGTGCCCCGCCCCATGAACCTCCAGGCGATGAGCCGAACTAGATTGCGAGTCTAGCCGTCCAAGCGCGGGCGGAACCGGTTGCGATGCGCCGCTTTGGAGATCTTCCAGGTAGTCCATTGGTATGAAGACTCCCGTCGAACTGGGTAGGAGCCAGTCGATGTTCTTGACGAGTATATCCTCCCGAAACTCGGCATCGCGAGGAGAATACTCGGCCCACCGATGTCCGTCTCTTGTCCGATCGTCTGCAACGAAGGTGCCCACGAGCCAGCCCGATGACTTAGGACAAAGCCCGAGAAACACTCCTCGACGAAAGGGCGGACTGAGCTTGGGACCTCCTTGCCCTTCTCTATCCGTCTTGATTTGTTCACGGAAGTAAACAAGACAACCAAAACGCCTGAGCAGGCCAGCGCCCTGCTTCGCACTGTTCCTCCCTGTTCTCTTCTCGAGAATCTCCATCGGAGTCATTCCGTCAAACTCTGGCATCTTTGCGTATTTGTGCGGCAGCCGGTCCCAGCAATCACCACTGTAGACTATGGCATAGGGCCACAGTCGGCGATCAACGTGGACTAGCAGTGTACGGCACGAACCGAACAGCGCCCGCATGAACCGTTCGCAAGTTCCGTTTTGCTCAGGATTGTGAGGAACAATCGGAGCGCCACAGATCTGCAGCGATTGCATGACCTTGGCCATGTGCTCACTGCCCAGAACTGGCTCACTGTCCCGTCTCAGGAACCAAGCGACCTTGTCACCCAAGGACAATGACCAGTCTGCGCGAATGCCTTTGATAATCGCTTCAATCTCCTCAACGCAGTCGCTCTTGTACAAAAGAGGCCTGACAAAACACTTCTTGATGTCGTCACAGATGCCAACAAGTACACAGGTGGGCCTCATGATTGAGGTAGGTTTCACACCGACACCGAAGTCAAACGCTAATAACTTTAACGGTTGAGGTGTATAATTCTCGACATTTCGTACTTTCGCGCGTGGATTTCTCTGTCCCTTAGTTCTATCACATTCGGGACAACTGACGCTGAGCCCGTCCACGTGGAAACGCCGAAGCGTCTGTGTAATTCTAGTTTAGTCAAGTAACAATCACCAGCAGAGGCCTGGGCGACAGTAGTACAGACGAGGTCCGTGCTATCTGCCTCCTGCAGGTCGAACAAGTTGCAACCGAGGACGGGAAGGCACATTCTGGGACGATTCTTTATGTCCAACACGCGGCCGGTACCAGTGTGAGCAATGGTTCCGCCGGTGCTGTGAGAGGTTAGCTCCCATCCTATTTGTGACATATTACCTTCACCGAGCCAAGGCAAAATCCCATCAATATCCTTTGGTAGATCTTTGAAATAAACACCATGTCGCGGGTTTAATTGATTTTCTTTTAGTTCTCCTATAAAACCATCGCGCGCGCCGGCTGTTCCGTTGATGGCACAGCGTCGGCCCGTGATGTTCTTAAAATCATCAGCGTGCTTTGATAAGTAACTGTTTGCACAGCTGTCCACTAAGTTTACCTGCTTTGCACCTAGGTAACTGGCTGCACAATAGTCAACGACAGACAACATGGCAGCAGCAGAGTTTACCGAATCTACGAAACTCCTGCAATAACTCTCATCCTCCTCAAAATTCAGACAGCATCTCCCTCGTTCCGGATCTTGGACGTCGTCTTCTCAGCTTGGTCCGGGCTTGCCGGAACCCGCTCCAGCGCTAGCGTCGTGCCACATCCAGCAGCCACCCCAGTCTCGGTAGGCCGTAGGTTCACCAAAACCGGTGCACGCGTTGCCCCTTCCTTTGCCTTTGCCTTTGGGCTTCCCACCCGCAGACGCAGCGCCGGTAGGACACTCCCACGCGTAGTGACCCCAGTCATAGCACTTGCAGCACTGGATATTCTTTTTGTAATCCTTGAGATTCTTCTCCTTCTTGCCCTTCCCCTTCTTGCGGGTAGAAGGATTACCGCCCTGGCGTGCGTGGACTTCGGCGGTAACTTTCTTTTTCAGTTTAGCCCTGAACCGCTTGAGAGCAGTCGTAGACATGAAAGCTCTACCGCCCTCATCGTTACCACTAGCCTGGGGGCGTTTCTTGGAAGCGGCAGTCTTGTCCTCGTCGTACTCGACCGCCGGGAACGCCTTGCCGAAGCTGGAGTTCTCCACCTTGTGCTCGCCGTCCTTGATCATGGCCTGCAGACGGGCCGCCAGCTTGTTACCCATTTCCTGCATGGTCAGCTGGGCGCCGTCCTCCACCATGCGCGCGATCGTGTCCCTCAATCCCTTGGAAAACATCTTGGGCAGGTAGTCTAAGACGTTCGGGGCCTGTTGGTCGGGGAGAGGACGCGCAGCATCAGGCGGAAACACCGCAGGGGACTGGTCCGTGATGCGCTTGACCTTGGCGAGGAAGGTAGGCGGGTCCTGAGGTTGGTCGCGGTCATCGAATTTCATCGATTCCAGACCAGCGACACGGATTGTCTGCTGGGTCCTGTTCTGCTGGTTGCAATGACCTTCATCACGCAGCTCCAAATACAACTCTCCAGCGTTCAGATCGTAGATCGTTGTAATTCGGGCGAGCGTGTAGCCAGGTCTTACAAGAACCCTGAACCAGTCAAGGACTTCAACATAGCGGCCTTCAGGTTGCGCCATTTCTGGGCAACCGTCTGAGCCTGCTGCCCGGGCCCTCCGGGGAGGCCGGGCTGACCGAGATTGGCGACGACGTTGCTGAAGTGGATGTCTAGTCCGAGGCGCGTGACCTCCTCACGGACAGAACGATCCCACTCAATCCAACCAGTCGCATCCGGCAGCTTCGCGTCGATCTCTGCGGATACCGCAGTCATCTTGTTTCTTCAATGAATCTACTGTCACTAGTGTAAGTAGCACAGACTGGCGTCTAAGTCGCAAAGCAGTGCTGGACTTTGAACACACCTGCCACACTGAGTGACTAAAGCTTCTACCTAAACAGGTCTTTCAATCAATTCCAGCACTTCAATCTCTCAGCAGACAGGGCGAAAGCCTCTGGCTGCGTTGCTTCCTGTGTGTTCAATGTCATTCAAATTCATCACATGGAATGACCCTGATCCTGGTCAGAGTCAAGTGGCTAAACAGCATGGGAGTACCTCCCTCAGTGCTGTCGGTAAGGTGCTCAACCCTGACGGGAGTCAACCCCCTCAGGGTGGTCATTCTGAACGTCTAACACGAGCGGAGTCCCTTCATTTCATTCCGATCGTGATGGCTTTGCCTTCGTAGTATTTGGGGGATTCGGGTCAAATGGTGAAGCGATTCCTTTAGGATCTAGCTAGTTCAGGTCATTCCGGTCTTGTCATTTCATTGGGAGCAGGCCTTTCAGATCATCTTGAGAAGCTTCAGACACAGCTGCGCGAGGGTTCTGATCACATGGCCAACAGTTTGAGTGTGCCGCGCTCTAATTTTTCGATATTGCTTTCAACTTTTTCATCCGAGACGGTGTCTTGATCTGGGGGTGCTGACTCGGCAAGATCCCAAAAACGCATGTACTCGCCGAGTCTTTTGAATCCAGATCCGGCAAGTTTGATGCCTGCCCGGATTCCATTCCCCATAATGCTTTTCAGGATTTTCAAAACCTTTTCATTCAGCACAAGGCTCACCATGCGGGGTACAATTTTTGCGAGGACGAAGTCGTTCGCGCGCCGGCCGAAATGGATGGACTCCAGAGCGCCCTCAATCTTTGAATCAAGTTCCTGCTCGACTTTTCTGCGGATGAAGGGCCCGACAACAGGAATCGAAGACACAAGACCTCCTATTACCGCTAAAACTTTAGTTTTAACCGCAGCAACAGTCTTATCACCGGTCACCGTAGCGAGGATCTGGCGCATCTTTGTTGTGAGGCTTTCGAGCGAGAGAAATCTGCTGCCTTTCGTTGGTTTCGCAGCTTGCTCTTGGCCCTTTTCAGGGCCTTTAAATAACCTTTTTACTGCCTCAACTCCACCTTGAAATTTTTTTGCACCCCAACTCAACAAGAAGGACAAGCCGTTCTTCAACGACCGCAGCGTCCGGGCCATGGCGTGGCCGGTAAATCCACTGACGAGCCTTGGAATTTGAGTCATCGTGGCGTGAGACATGCGTTGATTTAGCATGAGCGGAAAATTCATGCAGGGTCGGTTTGCGGGCATGCAGAACATGTACTTGGAGGTGAAGCACTTGTTCTCGTTTTCTTCTTTGGCTGCGCGGCGTTCCGCACAGGCACTGGTCCTCGCCGCAAGTGTTGCCTTTACATAATACCGATCCGCCTTCTCAGGGCTGCAAAAACAAAACTCATGCGCTAAGCTGGTTCCGTCATCAGATTCGGCTTTCGCGGGAGGGTCTGTTCGTTTTTCAGAGTTTGGCACTTGTTCGTGCCACTCCTTGCAATAGTTCTTACACAGCACATCAGCGTAGTCGTCGTCAGTTGCAATGCACTTCGCGTTCTTGTCGCTTGATTGTGCGCCATTCGCTCGGCATCTTCGAGGGGAGAAATTCGGCCATCCACTTGCTGCGCGTGTGAGTTTGTTTTCATGATACAACTACACCAACGATGTACATTGAGAAGAAACATTCTTTTTTCTCTCTATGTATTATTTGTACGTATGCAAAGTGTGGTCATTTACTATACTGCAAGGAAAATAATGCTCAGTCTTTTACGTACATCCATCCAATATGCACGCGCTGCAGAGTCTGGAGTTGCGGCAGGTCGCACAATGCTTTGGCGAGGTATGTGCGTGTTCATTCGCGCCCATGCTAAATCATGTTCATAGATACAAAGTCGCGCGCTCTGCTCATAGTGAGCATTGGCAGTCGTGGCTAGGAATGTGCTGTCGTAGTTTGTTCGACGTTACTAGGCCTGGAATTTCTCCCTCTTCGCACTGCAGTTCGCCGAGCGTCCCCGTCTTCGGTGGGCCTGAACACTGTGGAACGAGGCGCATGATGAGACCTTCCATTTTCTCGTTCATCTGTCCGTCCTCAAGTGGCTTCAGGCAGCAAAAAAGCGCATCGTCTTGGGTGGTTGCGGTATCACTCGGCTCACCTTCTTGACTGATTGGTTTTCGCTTCGGGAAATAGCTACTGCGCGGCGGCGGTACAAACGTCGACTTGTTTTTTTCCACGCATCTCCCGTTGCTCGGTTGGTTTTCAAAGACAGCTACAATCCTGTCGGAGATGACTTTGTTCACAATCGGCTTCACCAAGAAGCCAAGGGGTCCTGCGATGACACCAACGACCGTGGACACTACCATTCCTACAACATCGCAGAGCAGAGAAAGTATGTTCGGGAACAAGTACTTCCCCGGAGACTCGTAATACTTCGGCAAGACCAGAGCGCCCACTCGTATGAACGCACCTTTGATTTTTGTTTGAGCTGTATCCATCAATCTTCCAATTGGACTTTTGTCGCCTTTCTCGTATATGATTTTCTTTTCGTCCTCAACTTGATCTGGCTCGGCGTTTTCCTCATTTTCCGCTGAGCCTTCGATCGGGATACCAGCGGCTTCAAATTCTTTGTCTTCGTTCGCGATCTGTTCGGCAACTGCTTCGAATGATGCGTCGCCCTCTTTCATTGAACTTAGCGCACGTATTAAGGCCGTCACCTTCTCGTTTGTCGCAAAAGAGGAAAGCTTTTCTTTGATTCGGCTGATAAAGGCATTTGCGCCACTTTTTTCGGCATCCGTACTTCCTGCTAGTAACACGGAATTGAGCTTGTCGGCCACTTTCTGGAAAATGTCGCTTTCATTCGACAAATAGTAAACCAGGGCTTCGAAGATCGGTCCCTGCGGGGTCGCCCACTCATTGATAACGATACTGAGATTGTCGCGCAGTAGTTCGTAGATTCTACTTTCTGTCGATCTTGCGTACTGCTTCATACCCCGATCGAGCAACAGCAAAAACGGCCCTGAAAAAAGCAAGCCCGCGAAGGTGCCAAATGGCGGAAACAGGGCTGCGAAAAATCCTTTCAGCAGAATTCCAAATACGGCGCCAAGCTCCTCCACCATGGTATCGACCATGAGGACTACCGAGTTTCCCTGGACGAGATCCAGCAATCCACGGCATCGTTCTGAAAAATCACGGCACTCAATCGGGCGATCAGCTTTGCAATCAATTCTTCTGCGTCAGCACCAGGGAAAATATCGCACAGAAACGTTACTTATTGCCCGTTTGAAGAAAGAGCGGTAGAACTACAAGCAAATTCATTAATCACGCAGGGCGCCTCAGCGTCTATCGATAGTGCCTGCACATTTTGAAGGCCCACTCCTTCCAGGGGTTGAGCGCAACAGGTCGCGCGCTGGCGCCGTCTTGTTCTATTGAGCGCCTGAGGATTATTCGCATCGTAGCATTTTCATGACGCGAGCCATGACGGTCTTCACGGCCGAAGTCATATCAGTTCCTTTGTCACTGAAATATAGCTCGATGTGATCTTGGAATTTTTGAATAACTGTCTGCGTTGCAGTGTCCTTAGCTGCTTGGATCGCACCATCCAACAATCCAGAAGTTGAAGAAAGGAGGGTGGGGGGAAAAATGTTCGCGCGGGTCTCCAGCAGCGAGCCTGTTTTTATGGGATGAGCAGGGACGAGAGCACGACCCACGGTCTCCCTCCCATCACTTCCCGTAGCGGGTGCAGCATCAGCACGGCGCGGAGCAGGATCCTCATCGTGTTTTTCCTGTGCGGTCTCCTCGTCCTTCTCCGCATCCGTCTTCATCCTGGACGAAGGCGAGACCACGACGACGGTTCTTTCAGCCAGACGTTTCTTGAGTCCGGGAGTACCGACGGTTCCTTCCGTGTCTGCTATGCTCGACTGCGTATTTTTCTTCTGGTGCAACTGTTCTTTCTCCGCAGCAGAGGATGCGCCATCTACAGTAGTTTCGCTTGGGTCTGTTATTCGTGCAGAAAAATTTCGCTTCAGATGAAGCGGGGACGTTTTCTTATCGTGCAGAGCCTCAACAAAACACATACTGACCACAAGCGGGACGATATGCAGATCGTGCCACACCGAGGGCCTCTTCGCGCGCTTATCAATCATTCGCAGAATGGAGCTCTTTGGCCCATAAGAATCGCTTCCAGCAGCCTGCCTGCAGTAAGGCAAGTGTCATCGAAGCACTTATCAAGCCCACAAAAAAAAACATTAAGAATACACGTTTATCCACTTCATCGATCATGCGCTCGGGTCGCTTTCGACCACCGATTGTTTAGATGATAGGCGAATAAAACCTCCTCCACTTTATCTACTGTATCTGCGCAGGTACACTGCATATGTTCTCTAGTGGATCTGCTAGAAAATCCGTTGCCGTCTTCTTTCCACCTGCATCTTGAGGATAACTCCGAGTAGCGGGATTCTCATCATGTCGTCCGGGATCGTGATCCTCTCCAAGCTCGCCTCCATCGCGCTGACGTCCATCAGCTGGCGCTAGTGCTCTCACCAGATCCTCGCGCGCACTCTCTGGCGCAGCGGCCGCCGTGCTGCCGAGGTTACCAGTCCCCTCTTGCGCAACATGAACATCCTTCGGCACGACAGTCGACGGCGTAGTCGAGGATCCACTTCCTGCAGCACTACCCGAATCGCTTTGATCCACCACGACCTTCTGCCCACCAAGCAGTTGGCCCGTCCTTTCCACTCGTTCGGTAATGGAGATGGGAATCAAACCTCCGGAGACGCCGGTAATAGGTTGGTGAAAAGATAGATTGGATATCACGAGGAATCCAGCTCGTCGCACAAGAATCCCCAAACAACGGAGGGCTCCGGAGGGCCGCGCGCCAAGGCAAATTGATCCGCCGCCGCAGTTTTGTAGCTCGCCGCCGAGCCAAGGCGGCGCTCGCCCCATCGTCATTGCAGCATGTTTCCCTCGGTGGTGCCTAGAAGTGTTGGGTGTGGGCAGTTTTTGTCAATTTCATGAGTGAAGCAGAAGCTCGACAAGGAGAAGCTGGAAGCGGATAAATCAATTTTGCACTCTGGAGCTTCGTATCTATTGATTCCTTCTGTGATCATTTTCAAGCAGGCACAGCTCTTTACAAGAGCGCAGAAGTAGCCGCTCAGATTCGATGCAGAGGTGAGCGTGCGTGAGAATGCTTATGGTGAAGCTCGGACCTGCATGCAAGAGGAACTGCTTTTTCCCATGGATGTAGGGAATTGTCGCCAACTTTATTTTTCGGTCAGTTTGTAGTCACTGTGGGAATGGCAATTACTGTTTCGCCACAACAATATTTTCAACACGGTTGCATGTCGTATAAGTATTGCAGCGCAGATCATGGTGCCAGCTACAGCTGATTCGGCCCTGGGCGGCAAAGGGATCAGTACGTCTTCTGGACTTTTCTGAATGCTTATGAGGAGTGCCTTTTTGTTGTACATGTTGCGCAGCGTCCTATTGTCTCCTACTCTTATTTACAGGGTCATTCTCGCGTTTATTTCTCGGATCACGACGCACGTCCTTTCTTTAGTGCGATTCCAGCGTTGACTTATCGCCTATTATCGACTTGTAATCAATTTAGATTTCGGTTTCGAATCTTTAATTTCCATACTTACCGTTGTAGTACCTCGCCAGTAGCAAAGATGCACTTGCGTAGGTGTCGGTGGTGCTACTCAAATGGACTATTTATTTGGCAGTTCCATAGATACTTTTGTCCTTTCAGCAATGTTACTTGTTGTACGTACCTTCACGAACGGTGGGAATCTTCAATAAACCTACGATGGAGGTAGAGGAAGTTGCATACGGCGCTACCAGCCTCACTTTCGCAAACAACCTCGAGCGCACCCAAGGGTGAGAATTGGAGGAACGAGCGTGCTCGCCTTGGGCATTTTGTAGCTATAATTCCATCATTTGCGCGTGCTGGTAAAGAGATACAACAGAAGCCAAGTATAACGCCCTGTCGTAGTCCTCTTCCCGGCCGCTGGCTCTAGTAGTTCGCGCTCGCATTTTTCTCCAGGATCTGTTGCAACGGGCCCAACAACCGGCTGAAGGTCTTCCGGTCCACGGAGAGCAACTGATTTTTATGGGTTTGTCATGCGTGTCATCATCAGTAGAAGTAATGGCTTCGTATTATGCGAAGAAATGTATCCATGCTTTTTCTTCACGTTTGATATAGCCATCTTTCTACCTTGCAGTCCGACCGCGTCGTCACGTTGGCTTGTCGCAGGTCGTTTCTCAGCAGCGCAAGCTCACCGAAAAATTGCCCTGGACCGTGGTCTATGCATCGCAAAAATGTTTTTGTTTTCAAGCTTTGTTCTCACGGCACAAAACAGGGACATGAGTTTCGATGCACCTCCATGTAACTGCATGTTGGCACGCAGGTTTTTTTGAACGGGAAGATAGAGCACTTAAATTTGTCGTTTTACAACATCACAAGCAGTGCACAGTGCACAAATTAGGCACTGGGCGCCCTTTAGTCACACAAACTGGCGCACGATCAGTTCTGTTCTCCGTGCTGCCTCTTATGCGTACGACCTTCAATTATGACAGAAAATTTGCAATGCGTAAACTCCAATAGTGAGATGTCTGGGCTGTTGCCCTTCCATGCGTACAGCGCGCCGTCCTCCACGAGGTAAAAGGTGTCGCCTGCAAAGGAAATAGATAGAAAGAAATCTACTGATCGAAGATATGTCTCTGATCATGCATCGTATTTTTCTAGAACAACCTGTTTGGCAATGGATAAAGATATCACCGTCAAACCTATCACGGAGTCTGTCACGCGCAGACACAATAACCAGCAAACCTGATTCTCCTTGCGTCACGACATTTGAACCCGCGGGCACAATGCTCGGCTTTAATGCGTCGGCCAGCTGCGAAACTTCGTATCCGCCCAAATCCTTGATGATCTGCACTCCCTGCAAGAAGGCGATGTACTTTTCTCGCTTTTTACCTGGTGGGTGGGGGTAGATTGGCATTTGCATTTTTCTCTATCTCCAAAGGGAATTTCTAGAAAGGATCCCGCATGAAGAAAAACCTGTTCTCCGCACATTCTGCATGAGAAACTCATCAACAAAAAGTACTTGCTGCGTCCTTCACGATGGCGTTGAAAGTTAGTCGGTCGAGTTTCCACAACACCGATGGCTCTGCGGCGTCGACGGAAGCTGCCCGTGGACAGTTGTACAGGAGCGCCAGTTCGCCAAACGCGTCTCCGGCCTCGCACGTCTTCACGACAACTTCTCCCTCCAAGCCTTTATTTATCTTGCACTGGCACAGGAATATGGAGGTGGAAAAATTTCGAATGAGTGGGGGTGTTCATCTAGTTGTTTATGATAAATCGCTGACAGTCAATGACAGAAGCCTCCTGCTGCGAAAATGAAAATGCGCGTGGTTCTATGAAAGCTATGTATGAAGATCCCCCACCGATCTTTTCTGACGAGATTTCCTTTGCATATCACCCTCCTCGATGACGTAGAGACAGTCGCCGTCGTCGTTCTGATTTCATTTTTGTTTTCTGGATGATCTGCATTACAGGCGTCAAAAAACGTGAATCTTATATAGCTTCTTAATCCCGTCCAATTACTACCGCCACGAGAAAGCGTGTTTGTCATGCAGATCCAACATGAGACCCCATTTACCTGCTGGATGATTCTTTCTCCAGCGGCGGGCTTGACTTCCTCCATCGCCATGACAACGATTTCGAGTTCGGATTCTTCTAATTCAGTATCGAATGTCAAAACTAGAGCTTTCCTAAAATTCTGTTGCTTCTCGTACGATGCATACTTACCTATGACATCACACATGTTGACATTCAGCCAGAAAAAAATGAAAACTCCTCAGTTCTATCGCATAGGTAGAGAACAAGAAGGAGCCTTGCAGGACTTGCCGGATTCGTGCCTTCGCCTCGTCTGCGATTGTGCTGATGAAAACTGGTGGTGCGCTAATTCAATCAGTACATATGGAATTACATGAGCATGGCTGCCAGCACACCAAAAGTTTTCATCTTGATAAACTTTGGGATTTCCACCGGTTTGTAGTCCTTTTTCTTGTTCCACTGCCCGTATGCCTCGGCGGATACTGACCCACGGTATGGAAGGAAATAAGGGCGTGTGTCACGGTAAACTTCTCTTTCGGACAAGTTGCTCTTGAATTGTTGCAGATGCACCATGCGACGTTCGAGGGCAGCACCAGCAATTCTTTGGTTGCAGTAGCTAGTCTACACTTACGTTTAGCAGCGCATGACAGAATGTCCCCCTCACGCAAAACTTTCTTCTTCTCCCTCATGCTGCGATTGCATTGATCAATGGAGAAGATCTCATGGAAACGCCCTTGTTCTACGTTCATAAACGGGGCCCCTTCTTGACTGGTGGTGGTGGGAGCTCGTCGACGACATCGTCGTCGTTATCGTCGGACTCGTCCGCTAAGGCCAGTTTGTTCTCCAAATCTGCAATCTCCTGCTTCACGGCATTTATTCGGAGTCGCAAATTGTCCGCCTCGGAGCCGCCACCTGCTGCTTTGGCGGAAAGCCAAGAGATCATGAAACCCACCGCATCGTCCGGCTTGTCTGGATAGGTTTTTTTCTTTAGTAAGAACTTCCTGAGAAAAGAGAGAGATGAATCACGTCTGGCACCAGTGGTGCACGCTGTTCTCGTCAGAGATGTTGCTGTGTTGGATGTGGAAATTTTCTGTGTCGAATCAACATTAATTCATTGTCCGTCTGACGAAGCATAAACAAAACGAGACATGGGCAAACTGACAGGTGTTACCGAGTAGTATTGCCGTGACTAGTGATTCCAGGATGGATTTTATCCTGTGTAAAACTCATGATTTTCCAAGGACAAACTGAGGCTTTTACTTATAATTCAGATCTTTCTCACCTCGCGTGGGTGCTCTGCGGAGGCCACATACGACCTCAAAGCGTTTCATGCACAACATGCACAAGCTGCAGCTGCAAAGTGAATTTTTGAAGTGGTGAGAGTACTGAAAAAATGTACTACATAATCAAAAGCGTGCCTCGGTAATTGGTTCGTGAATTGTTTACACTGGATAGGATTCACCTTCTTCTGTATGTATTCTTGATGCTCGGTTGACGCCATTTTTGATGTAGGAGATTTTCTTACCAGAAAAAAATCCTACCCAAGCAGCCACCTTCCCGGTAGCCCTACAAGCGTGAAAAAAGAAAAAATTGCGCAAAGTTTATTTCTGTCAAAACGGCAGCTCGCATGATGTGAGATAAGTCTTTGCGCGTGTTCCGTCACCTCGTCGCTGGTCTCGTTTCTTGATAGACGCTGTGCCGTCTTTGACGTTTGACCTGACCCGCCCAAGAAACAAAATCTGAATTATTTGTCCGTCTCATCGGCGAGTGCTGCAAATTCAGGAGACATCTTGCTAGCACTGATACTCCAATCCCAGAAAAAACAAGTACCGGCACCGACCCATGCGCCACGTGGCACGACTTTGACCTTCGGCGGAAAAAAGCGAAAGCGTCTAGAGGTGAGGTTGCTCTCAAAAAAAGGGCCTCTCAGTGTGTTCTAGTCTTGCTCCTACTCTCGCAAGAATCAGGCGGAGTTCTACTTCAAGCAGTGCTTTTTACTTGTATCGGATTGAGTCAAAACAATCAGCACACTGCAGGCCACACAAGACGGCGCTTTTCTTTTTTGCAGATGATAACTCGGTTTCCGACGATCTATATTCTCATTCTTCTACCAACGCCGAGGAATTGCAAGCAGCCTTCGTTGCAAGTCTGTTGTGAAAGAAGTCAGAACTTCTGTAGCTGGCACCACACACCAAAATTCAGATGAGCGCACAATCAGCGCCCTCCCTGTAGTTGAGTGTATCATGATTTTCCTCATCATGTCGACCCAAACGCTTCGTTCCACTCGACATAGCGATTCAGATCGCAGGTGAGCGGCGCGGCGTGCACGCGCGTCAGGCCCTGCGCGACGTCGCTGCTTGTTACCAGCTGCTCCTCCTCCGTGAGCGTTTTCAACTGCGACAAGTCCTTCGCATTTTCCAACTTGGCCAGGCACCGACGCAGGGGGTGCATCGCAATCTCCTTGCACAACAACCGGACATCGCTGCCGGACCAACCGGCCAGCTTTTCCGTCAGGACTTCCGGATCGAGCAGTTGCAGTGCGGTGGATGCGGTGCCGGTTCGCTCGGGCCCACCGTCTGCAGCAGCGGTTGTTTCTTTCCCGTTCTCTGATGCTGATCCCCTGTCGCTGGGCTGCCTATCTCGTTTCTGCTGGTCCTCCCATCGCACTCGGCCGGAGAGAAACCTGTGGATAGAGCTCTGTGAAGAGGATTCGAAAGGAACGTCAACTCAAAAGCCATCTGAGTCCTCGCATGTTCTGACACTGCGTACGATTGTCAAGGTTAATCTAACATTTCCACAAAGAAGTCAATAGAAGTTCTGTATAGAGCGTCGATACCGCTTCAGCAACGACTTCCTTGCTTCCGCGCATGGCAGGGGCACCAGAATCCTTTTCTCCAACCTCCGCAGCATAGCCGGGTCCAGGTCCCAGGGCAAATTGCTTGCGGCGAGGAGAAACACTTGCGGACCGTAGTCGACGGGCTGGCTGATAGCTTTGTTGCCGTCTGTTGCAGAAACGGTTGCAGTAGTACTTTTGTTGGACATCGAATTTAATCCGTCCATTTGGATAAGTAGTTCGGTTTTTAACCGCCTAGATCCCTCGTGCTCGTCGCCGCCGCCGCGGGCGCACATCACGCTGTCCAGTTCGTCGATGAAGATCGTCGAGGGTGAATGGTGCGCGGCCAGGTCGAACAGCACGCGGATCAGCTTCTCGCTTTCCCCCCGCCACTTGGACACGATGGTCGAGGCGGACACGTTGAAGAAGGTCACATTGCACTCCGTCGCGATCGCCTTGGCGAGCAGCGTTTTCCCCGTGCCCGGCGGACCGAACAGGAGAATCCCGCGCCAGGGGGCCAGGATGCCTTGGAACAGCTGGGGGTACTTCATGGGAAGGACCACCGCTTCCTTCACTAACTGCTTGGGCCGCTCCAAGCCGACAATGTCGGTCCACTGCACGTTCGGGTTCTTCACGCAGATGTCCCGCTCGATCAGTGTGGCCAGCTCCTTCAGCTCGGGATTGTAGGCGTATTCCAGCGGCATCGGCTTCCGCACCCGGTTCACGAAATGGTCTACTCCGGGGCCTTGGCTGGCAGTCTGCAGGAGGTTCTTCGCATTCTGCCCGATGATGGATATGTCGCAGGCGTTCATCGCACCGGCGCCGTCAGAGCCGGTAGAATTGTCCACTCCCGCGGTTGTTGTACCATTACCGCCGTCGGTTGCGGCGGAAGAGGACGAGGAACTGCTCACCGTCGTCCCGACAACCACTCCACTCCCGCCACTGCTTGCTTGCGCTGCTCCACCACCGCCTGACGCTGCGTTTCGCGTGGACAGCCGGCGCTTGCTGGCCGCTGGATTGTTCGTCGCACTGGGTGGTCCTCCTGCTCCTACTGATCCTGGTTCCTCGGGGTTCATCGCACTTGCTCCTCCAGCACCATGAGAAGGTGCACCAGAACTACCCGCAGCTCCACCACCGCCCCCGGTTGCGCCCCCGACCGCCGGCAGCATTCCGTACCTGTAGGCGTTTTTCGCCATCTTTCCACCGCCCTGCTGGGCCAGCGCACCTCCTGGGTTGTCCTTGAGCAGCTTGGGCTTCTTTCCAAACTTCATCTCGTAGTAGGTTTCGAACTCTTGGAACACCACATCCAGGTCCATGTTGTCCGCGCAATCCAGACTGTCCAATTGCAGATTCGTGTCCTTGGCGACCGCCTGGGCTGCGGTGAGGTAGCCGGAGTGCTGTAGGTGGTTCTGAATGAAAATCAGAATGTTCTTCTTCCGATCCTGGATTTTGCGCAGCTCGGAAGACCGAGTCTCGGACTCGGTCTTGATGCGGTTTAGCATCATCTTGTGCGAAACTGTGGAGGACTTGTACGAGAATAGCGCGCTTAAGTACTCTCAGGCAGCTTTCCTTCTCGAACCTCTTCTTCTCGAACTTTTCTCGACACAAGTTCAAGTTTGCACCGTTCCTGGTTCGTAGGGAGCGGGATAAATATCCTGCAACAGTTTAGAATTGGCGCGAGCCAGCGTGGAGTTAAAGCATATGCGAGAAGGTCAAGCTCAGGCAAGGGTTTAGGGTTTAGGTTTTTTCTAAATCTCTTGCTGGAGGAAAAAAATGCTCTCAGCTCTTTTGAAACAGTTCACTCCCTCTCGTGGTCTGTGCCGGTTTGTTGTCACCGGGCGCTGTTCATCGGCGCAGAAAGTGGAATTTCGTCGCAGCTCGCAAAATATGCGAGACGAAACCCGCCACTGCTGCAGCACATCTTTCGGTGGATAAGTGCCCCACACAGCACGAAGAATTGATCGTGCGCTTCGTCGGAAACTGAACGCTTTTGAGCTGAAATTTCGATTTCCCCATCCGACCCTCGGCCTTGACGAAAGGGAGAGATGCTGACCCTGCATCACAGGTTGATAATCCCCTTCTTTCGTAGTCGTCAAAATTATTCTAGTGCAGACTCCGAAAAACTACATGCGCAAAAAATTTGTCCACACTGCGTCTTTTCTCAACCGGGAAAAGACGAACCCAGACTGGAGGCACAGGATTACACCTCTGTGTCAGTTTCTACTGGGCCCGCAACGCTCTCCACACACAGCAAAGTAGTCAATCATATTAACTACCGCCAACTCGTCCTATACAGCGAGCGGCTTTTACAACAGCTTTTCGAAAGCTCACTACTCGCTGTGTTTGCAAGAAACCTATGTACCTCAACACTAAGCAAAGATCCTGTGCAAAAGTATCGTACTCGTAGTAATTGCATTTATGCATTACAAATCTCTTTTACAAGGTAAATCAGCATTACAAATTCAATTTGTCATGCTGAGCTAATTTGTAATGCAATTTATACGAGTACGATGCTTTTGCATTGCATAGTTCACGACATCAAGCAAGATGTCAAGAACCGAAGGAAGAACCACCTCCCCAAGAACAACAACAGAAGCGGCGATGAAAACCGCGGAGAGGTCGTTCTTGCATCTGCAGCTGAGCCGGGAGGTAGTACTACGAGCAGGAGTTTAGAATCGAAAGAGGAGGCTGACCAACAGCAACAGTCGCTGCGGGAGATTCTCTCCAAGGTGTACGGTGACCAGAGCGCTTCGGTCGCAGGCGCAACTGTATCCGCAGCGTAGGAGCTGTTCTTGGCGGTTTAACAACCTCCTTGCGGTACGTAGGATAAGAACTACCGTCGACAGCTTATTTGTTGCCGCCACCTTACTGGTTTACGTTTACTATGTATAGCGAAAAGTATTTTACCACGAGGATTTTGATACCGCCCTGTTTCAACTCCGTCTCCCTGATTGATGTCATCATTTTCCTAGGTTTTATTTTTCGCCCAGGCCCTGCTCCTGGACGGAGAACTCTTGGCGGTGAAAGTGAAGGAAGAAAACCAACTCATGCGGACTACTGTCATTCGGAGGACTTCATCTCCGACTGTACAAGAGCAAGAGCACAAGCGGATCGACATTCGTTTTGTTCTTCGTTGCATCTGCTTCATGACTAACAACAGCATCGATCGTACTGATGAAGGAAGATGCTGCACCACAGGGGACGACCGTCCTCCCAAGATGGAAGGCTCGAAGATCAGGCTTTATAAATCGTGGCAAACTCCTGCTCTTCTTGGCCTGGTGCGAGTAGATCAAGGTGATTGGCATTTTTTTGATGGTTGTTTCGAAATCTCAGTTGAGTTCCTTTGTCGCGAAATCAGAGATCATGTAGATGACCTGAAGGTCACGCGTGCGTTCGGAGTAAGTCTTTGGTCGGTAAAGAATTGTGAGCGCGGAGAAATAAATCGGGTGCGAGCAAGAACGTAAGTATGTACCTTCTTCAGCTTCTCGACGCGGACTCCGGCACTGTGGTTTATTCGCGCCAGAAGGACGTGCCGCCCAAGTCCTTCGCTGAGTCGTCTCTGTACCATGCGCTATTCAACTCGACGAAGGGCAGGCTCAAGGGTCTTCGTGGCGGGCGAGACAGTTTTAGTGTTGGTACGGCGCTGGGACGACCAGGAGCGGCCGTGGCAGCCACGACGGCACCGGGAGGACTACAGAAGGATGGATTTATTTTTCGGAGTTCTTCTTTCGCCGAAGCCGAACTCGAACATCAAAGGGTCGTGCCGCCAGGCGGCCTGCTTTTCTTTGATTCGTGGAGTGCGGAAGAGTTGTGGTCCCGTCCTGCTGCAACGACGAGAACAACTTCGTCGAGACCAAGAGCAGGAGACGCCGGCTCTGCAAATGTGGGTATGCGTTTGCCCTTCAGTAGGCTCCTCGTGGTTCTGCTGCTACCGCGCAGCAGGAGCACCAGCACTTCCTCGCCCGGTCCTGCTCGTGCGCACGAGGATCCAGAAGATGCTGGCTTTCATCGCGAAGATGTTGATGATAACTCCTCTTCGGAATTAGAATTACGGTTGCGAAAGACGATTATGCGAGATCTGAAGGGAGGACTGCAAGCCCTAGATTTGTCCGCTGCATCGCCAGCTGGTATGACGTCCACTGCGGCTTTAGCTGTTTTAGGGAGCTTCTTGGAAACGTTTTACACCGCAATTGTCGACGGTGTTCTGGGGAAGACAACGGAACAATTGCCTATCTCATTGGAAAAAAGAACACACCATTCCGCTTGAATTAAAGCGCAAAAAATCATTGGTGCACGACGTCTCTATGGAAGCTATACATAGCTAAGGTTGTGTGATCTTCCTCTTGCATGTCCGAGTCAATGTGTAGAAAAGCATTCAAGAATGTGCTGGGTCCGAAACCGAACCTGTGCACGACGTGACGTGCTGCCTTTTTTCTGCTCCACCATACTACGAAGAACAAACCTCCAACTCCTACACAGCGAGCGGCTTTTACAACGGCTTTTCGAAAGCAAAATTGCAAGTTGTGATTCTCCGTCGAGGACCAGACGTCTTGAGTTGAATCAATCGAGTCCACAGCTTATGCTCACGAAAGGTAGTTCTGCATCTCCAGGAGCGAGGTGTGCGCGCTGGTGTACGTTTTGTACAGCAGCAAGTGCATCCGTGCCAGCTGCTCCGCCAAACTCGCACCCGCGTGCTCCAGCGCGTCCGTTGCTCCAGAGAGAGTCGCAAATGCGTCTTCTTCTTGGGAAAGCCCCGGTGTGGCCATGCTGAAGAAACTCGAGGAGTAGAAATGCCGGAGCATGTTTCGAATGTTGCTTTGGCTTTAGCTGTTTGAATATGCGCGAAAGTTCTGAATCTGTGCGAAGGTCATCTTGTGATATTGACGATCGACAAGAAAATGTCAAGGCGAGACGCCTAGAGGTTCAATGACATCTGCGCGTACGTATAATTCCTGGTGCTTGCATCGTAGTACTACTGTTTGCGCCTCCGCGTCTATTTAGTTGCTCATGCTTGAAATCTTCAGAGTCTGAATCAAAGGGCATCACTACATGGTTTTGCATGCTCATCCAGAAAGAGAAGCATCAATCTCGAGGCAACACAAATCTGAAAAATGAGAGATCAGATGCACGGAAAGCGAGCGACTCATGGTCTGTGTCCTAGCACCGAACCTCGTGCTTCCTCTGCAAACTTGAATCCATATGGGCTTTGCAAGTTTCGCTGCTAATAGATACTTCCTTTGCCGTGGTGAAAACGAACCGCTCAGTGCAATTGAAACTGTCCGAACGAAGCCAGCCGAGCCTCGTTCTCGCTCAACAACACGAAATACTATACGGTGCGAAAACGATGCCAAAACACAATGCTTAGGGTTTTCTGCAATACAAAATCACATTAACGCCTGAATCGACGACGACCCGGGACACGATGGCATGGATTTTTGTTCTATCGTCGCCATAAAATTTTCTCGTCCGATATTTTGCTTCGTCGGCAAGCTGCAGTTTGTAATGGTATAATCAGATACAATCTTTTGAATTCTCATTCTGTCAGCTATACCATCTTTATCGTTTTTTCACTTAGTCTTTTTCTGGCATCGTGATTGATTTTTCGATTGGCTGTTTTGTACAAGTCACAATACCAAGTTGCTGTAAATAATCTAAACCAACAAAAATAGTTGCTTAATCAATTTCGAGGTAGGCAGGTTGAACAACACGTCGGTCGTGTGAAACTGAGGTCGAGATAAAAGCATTACCGTGGCAGCTCCTACAAATTGTTCTGCAATGCAGACGCGAGACCTGGATTGTTCGTGGGGCTGCGATTAATAGTGGCTTTTACCCGCGATGCCGCCTACTTTGTTTTTTATTCCGGGCTCGCGCGTGCGTCGCTTAAGTACATAAGTGCATCCTTGAGTAACGAAGTTAGTAGAGCTGGTCGCACAACCAGCACTTCGGAAGCGCGGCATCACCGGGGCAGGGTGAATCGGAGGTGAAGCGGATCATTTCGCTGCTAATTCTATTCAATAGGATAAAGTAGTTGCTTTCGCAGATGATCGCCAGCTTTCTTGGAATGTCACCACTTCTCGTCCTTTTGCTTTTGGAGCAGCATAGCCTTCGACGGTTCCTTCCAGGTTGTATCAGTTGGCTTCGTCATTCTAATCTAGGATTGCAAACGCAACTTCCAGTAGTTGCCAACGGTAAAGGCTAATGTACGTCAGTGGTTTTTTACCTGGGTCTACATAGCTGTGTAAGTAGGCACTTTTTTTTTTGCGAGACTTTCTTTCGACTTTTCTTGTTTTATCATACGGTCAACGTTGTTGTTACATGAAGTAGGCATTAATTTCAAACTGTTGGCAAACAATAATTCATTGGAAGACTGACATTGATGATAAACACTTGTTTCTGTGGAGTGGATATAGTGGCGATTGGCGTTGCCTCTTACCCCAACCCTCGATAGACAGACGCGGGCTTACATCTTTTCGCGACCTGGCACACGACTAGGAAGAGGCAGTGTGGTCGCCTCTCAGGCCTGAGCACAAGCCGAAACCCTAAACCAAAAATTTTTGTTTCTCACTTGGTTCGGTTCCATCATACAATTAATCATGTATCTTCGACTCTGGCAAGACAGCGGAGTGAGGAGGGGTATTTCTTCAATAATTTCTCATGACGGTAAGCAAGTTCAAGATTTTTTGCGTATTTTCTTGCGGTAAACAATAAATGGAAATTGTGTTTTTCAGCAAATAGGTGTAGATGTCGATGTTCACGTTTTAATAATACAGTTTCAGTCAATCCTCGGATGTTCACAACAGTGATATAGTGTTCGCGTCGAGAAAGTCAAAGCTGTCTCACGGGTGATAGGTATTTCTTCAAAGAAATTTCTTAATTTTCAATGGCAAACTTGGATACTCTTGTCATGATACCTTTACCGTCCGGCGGTCCCATTGTTGGGTACCTCTCGTCCTTGTTCTCTGTGTTCTCTCTACCTGTTTGTTTCGTTGCTTAAAATCTAGTCCACTTGTGATTCAGCTCCTGATCATTCGAGGTCCGGGCTTCTACTGCTTCACTTGCGCGAGCGGAAGTTCATGTCGCTCGCCCCGACTGTATGCATGCGAGTCTCCTAAAAGATCTATATTGATTGTGGTTTTCCCACTGTCATCTTCGTAACAAATAGAAAGTTTCTTTGCTTTATCCCTGAATCAGATCACGACTGTTACCTGGCAACACTCAGGCACGGCGGAAGTCCTCGCCTTCGCTGCTCGCCAGAGTGGTGCTGCTCGCTGGCCTGCGTATCAAATTGAAAAAAGCCACCTGCCCGATCATACTTGGACGAGGTAAATTCGGCGAATCTTGGCCGCAAGCCAATTAATTGTTGATGTAATGTATAGAGGACCACTGTGCAGGCAGATGAGATGCTGCTCGCCCCTCGCAAGAAAGATTTGAATTAATGCACTTGTCACCCTTACGAGTTTGTCATTGCGCACATGGTATCCGCCAAGCTTTCCCTTTAGATTGCTGCATATCTTTCGTCCAGGTTGCATGCATTTAGACGCCGTCGCAACCCAGAAGTCTTCTTCGTTTTATTCTCCTCGTTTCTATCATTCTCACTCATAGTCCGGTGGGGTAACCAATGCAGCGCACAACCACCTCGCCAGAAAATACAGGAAAGTGGCTTTTTCCCCAGGATAGACTCGCCTTCACTTGCATCGGCGACGGCCGCCGCACTATCCTGCTGCTCCGGCTGGCTGCAGCTTGGCGCCGCGCTCTTGTTCGTCTCGTGTGAGCCTGCAGCTTCCGCATGTTCGTCTGTCTTTCGAATCCCAGAGAAAAAAGGTCGCGCGTTATACTTGCAGAACATCACTACAAATGCAAGAAACATCACTGCAAGAGAATAAGCATCTCTGTCTGGTATACCTGACGCAGCATGCTACGTGCCCGCAGTTCATCGCCAATCATTTTCTTTGTCGATTTCTGCACTTTTTAGTTCCACATACAAACATAGCGTGCTATTTTTTTCCTGTGTGATATGCTCGATCAGTTCGTTTTCCTGCGCGATCAGCTGCCGTTGCAAGAAGTCTTGCTGCAGGCCAACACGTACGCCCGCTCTCCAACCGCGCGCGACCCGCACTATCAGAATGCAGGAGTACTAGAACTTTCCTTGTCCTGTGCTACCCAGCTATAGAGGCATACTTACTTATGTGGAGCGAAAAGCAATATTGATTTTTATGGCATACGAAGCCTCCGCATATGAAATTGTTATCCGGGTATCTACTTCCTCGAATACTCACAGCCACTGCTGCTGCTGCTCGGACAACAGCTCTCGAAACACAGTCTACTTTTTCATCGCGTTCATTTACAAAAGGTAATTATGACACTGAGGGATCGCTGTGGAATAGTTCTTATCAATTTCGTTCTCTGATACGCAGGACCAGAGCCGCACACCCGCCGAGGAACAGCATGCAGAGGAGGAGGGAACTGGTGGTGGTGAAAATGCTGGGGGAAGAGAAAACAGCAGAGATTTTGGTGGAGCTCGAAAATGTGGTCGTATCACTCCCGTCGTCAATGGATCCATGATCGCGCGAAGTCTTCAGCCCATACGAGGGCGACGAGGAGCTGATACCGTCGAGAATCTCGGTCGCAGGTCTTCGCGGCGGCTCTTGCTGCGTCAATTCGTCCACATAACTAGTACCCGGCAGAGAGACTGACGCGGGCTGCTCCTGCAGGCTGTAGCTCTCGGTTGGCGCCACTTCGTTCTTGGTGCTTGTTCCAGCTGTTTCGGAAACCGCGTGCTCTGCAAGTCCGGCAGCGTTCCGCCGCCCGCGGAGGCTGTGGCGCTTATCTCCACGTCGATCATGCGAAGTAGTTGCAGCAGCGGCAGACCCAACATCGCCGTTTTCGTTCGTCCTTTCAGTGGTGGGAGCCGACGTCGGCACTGCCCTCTCGGTACTACCATTCATGTCGATGGTACCCACACGCTCGTTGCTGACGTCGTTCTGCACGACTGACTGCCTCGATCCCGCACTGGTTCGAGTCCCTTTGCCTTGTAGCTCTTCGAAAACTTCCGGCTTCGCTTCTGCCGCTCGTTCCCCAGCCTGGCCGGACCCCGCTCCCCGCAGTGAGGCACGGGAGGAGGCTGACGTGGTTGCTGCATTTGTCTGGGTCGCCGTCTTCTTTTCCACAAATTTCCTGGGCCGCTTGTGGTCGTCCGGGTGCGCCGTCGCTGGTGCGTTTTTGGTGGTCGGCCTCTGCTTCTTTTTCGCAAATCTGCTGGGCCGCTTGTGGTCCGCCGGTCCACTTTCTCCGATACTAGGTTGCTGCGGGAGAACATTTTGGTTGCGTTGTTTTGCAAGAGGCGACTCCGCGCCGTGATGCGAAAAGAGATTCTGATCCTCCTCGCGCGGCGGTTCGCGTGCGCTAGGCCTCTTGTCCCGCGTCATCAACACCTCTCCAGCGGTGGGCCACTGCTGTTCCAGGTTTGGATCCACTGCGCCTTCTGTGCCAACTCCTGCGGCGACGCGGTGCTGTCGCGCGGCCACGTAAGTGGTGGAAGTACTCTATCCTGAGGAAAAACGTACCCACACCAGAGTCAGGATGAGGATTTTGCAACACAAACCTAGGAGTTTTGTGAGTCACGCATGACAAGTTGCACTATGCAGCGTAGTGCAGGTTAGCAAGTGCAGCCGCATCACAGACTCATCTGCTCATCCTGTTCACAGCATCACAAATTCCAAAACACGACTGGAAATGGCTCTCATGGGGATGCGCATTACAAGTCTTCCTGTCCTTGCAAATCTGCATTACAACTCTGGTGTGGGGACGTTTTTACTCAGGATAGCTTGGGACCTACCTTCACCCGAGTCGCTCGGTTCCACGTATCGGGCCCGGGATCGTTCTATCAAATGTAAAAGTGTCTGGGTCTGGAAGAATACAACTTGTCATGCTGATTTTGGATTCTAAAAAAATCTGTATTGCATGAGCAGCAAAGAGAGTCCAAATTTTGCAGCACGAAGAGAGCACTTGTCATGCGGAATAGGCATCAGGAAGCCCTCTAAAAATCTGTGATGCTAGGGCATGCCTCACAGACTTGAGGAGTCATGCAAAATGTGCATGACAAACCCGGCAATCTTCCAGACCCAGACATTTTTACATTTGATACGTTCGCATCATATCCTGAGTCAAAACGTGCCCACGCCAGACTGCCCACGCCAGACTCGCCATGCTTGTCTGGATAGGTTTTTTTTTAGTAAGAATTTGCTTAAAAGACAGGGATGAATCACTTCTGGCACCACCATTGGCGCAGGCTGTTCTCGTCAGAGATGTTGCTGTGTTGGATGTGGATCTTTATCTTTTGTGTGTCCTCGTCGAATCAACATTAATTCAGCTCCGTAAATAAAAGCATAAAACAAAACGAGACAGGGGCAAACTGACACGTGTTACCAAGAAGTATTTTTGCCGTGACTAGTGATTCCAGGATGGATTTTATCCTGTGCAAAAATCATTATGTTCCAAGTTCAAACCGAGGCTTTTCCTTATGAAGATTCAAATCTTCCTCACCTCTCGCCTCATGCTGTCGCGCGGCCACGTAAGTGGTGGAAGTACTCGTGGTGGTGGTTTGGAGCAATTAGAGCTTTCAGAAATTAGTTCCCAGAGCAGTTCCTAAAAGCTTCGGTTTTCAAAAATTTTGAAGCAGGTGCGTGGGATCTGCGTTTCGACCGATAATCCCGGTCTGACGACACGTCTTACGCAGGTGACTTCCAGCAATTTGTTCCCAAGGATTTTCGCCACATCAAATACTAACTCCTGGGATGTCTGCGCACATCCGAGAAGTTCTCGGATATGAGCTGACACGCGAGGAATTCCTGGATGTGAGTTCACGTCCGGGAGTTCCTCGGAGGTGAAGTCCCATCCGAAAAATTATGCTGCGCAGGTCTTCTGACCTGCTAACTCTTGGATGTGCGCTCACATGTGAGGAGTTCTCGAATGTGAGCTCGCATCTGAGGAATTCCCGGATTTGAGTTCGATATCAGCAAATCTTAGGAGCACAATTCTGCAGGCCAGAGCACGAGAATGCTACCCGAGTTTGTGTTCTGGTCTTGAAACACAGAAAAACCCGCACAGCATCATCTTGGGCGGGGGCTTAGGAGAACTATGATCCCAGGTCTCGACGCGGCGAAAATCTTAGGAGCGCGCTTCTTTATCTCCCCGACGTCGGATGATTTTGCGCGAGGTCTTCAGACCTACTGCCGGCCAGAGCACAAAGCCGACGTGGGGGCCTTGCCGAAATGTGCTCCCAGAATTTCCGGCAAACCTTGGGAACGCATTTCCGAAAGGCTAAAGTGTGGCAGCTGCTAGGCGACCCCTTATATTGAGGGCGCGTTGCTTTCAACGACCTGGCGCTGAACACGAATAACTTGCAATATACTAGCACAGCAAACAAAATACTTGCTATGCCAAGGCATTGCAAGTAATTCGTTTCCAATAGCAGGGCACTTCAAAGCAACTCGCTTTCAACGAGCAGGAGCGCAAGGCCCACTCCTGGCAGCCCGGCAGGAGAAGCGCCGCAGCCCCGCCGAAGACGGCTGCCCATTCTCCCCCAAGCTCGCGCGCTGGCTGCTTCCCAGCCACATTTTTCATGGCCTTCGGCCATTCCAAGCGACTGCGAGAGTGTGCAAGCTAAACCCCCCTCGCGGTTTGTTTCCATTTTTTTCAAACCTAAGCTTTCGGGAACAAGGGTAGGAACTAATTTCTGTAAGCCATAATTCAAATCTTCCTCACCTCTCGCCTCATGCTGTCGCGCCCCCACGTAAAAGGTGGAAGTACTCGTGGTGGTGGTGTGGAGCAAGGGCGAGGAGAGGGGATCGGCGGAATCCCAGTCGGCTGCGTTGTGTGTGTCGTACGGATCAGCTTCTTCCTCCGATGAGGTAGGGGAAGCAGCATCATCGTGGTCGCCTCGTACAATTTCGTGTTGTAGCACTTGACCAGATGCTTGCTCCCGTTCGAGCGCTGGACCTGCTGTTGGCGGTACTTGTTCACCCTGTTCCTCACGCTGGGCCTTCTCGTCCAGTTCTTGCGATCCGTTGTTTGGCTTCATCTTGATCCTGTGTAAAAACGAGGCCCCATAATCCCAGGGTAAAAATGGGCACTTTTTTACACAAGTCAACCTCAACAAATGTTGGCTATTGCGCATGACAATATTAATTTGGGCACGTAGTATGATTGTGTTTAGATACTGCGATCATCTCATCCTGATTCCAGCATGACAAAATCCCAGACAACAGTAAGAAGTGCTGCTCTTGGTCCTGCACATCATCATCATCATGGAGTCGACACGCGCACTCAGCGCCACAGGCACAGGATCTCCTGCCCGAGGGAGGAGCGGGGGCGCATGAGAAAAATTTCAGGCTTGCGGATTTGCATGAGAACTCTGGGTTGAGGACGTTTTTACACAGGATATTCTCGTCTGGCTCCTGCTGCAGGAAAGAACCGCCACGGCTGGATGATCGAGACGAGGATGATCGTCGAGAGGACGAGGCTGATCCTTTTCGAGAAGACGACGCAGATCTCGAAGAAGAGCTTTCCTTGGTTATCATTTTGAAAAGTGCAGGGCCTTCCCCAAGGAATCAAGATCTCCCACTTTGCATGCATCAACATCACCGATTTATTTTGATGCAGAATATTACTTAGCGAGAAGCAGTGTTGCACAGCTGCGCACTATAAGTGACAGGGTGCAGTGCATATGCCTGAGTCTACTCTATAAATGCGATGAGACATCAAAACGCGTTGCGTTCCAGTATATGCAAAAATACAAGATAGTGTCTCATAGAGCGACTTTGAGACTTTGCCTTTCACTTCCTGAGAGCGGTGCACTTTTCAATTTGATACTTCTGGAATTTTTGCTGGATGAACTTTTGGAACTACTTTTGGAACTGCTTTTGGAACCACTCTTGGAACTCTTCCTGGAACTGGAGCCGCCACGTCGTCTACGACCACTGTCCACCTGCACGTCGACCTTTGTTGTTACCCCAGAATCAGGGGCAGCAGCACCATGATCAGGCTCCGGGGGCGGCGGTCGGTCGGTCGTATCTACCGGGTCCCATGGCCTCTCTGGTGTATCATTTCTCGCCGGCTCATCGGATGATGCGTCGGACTGTGGCTCTTGGGGTCGCGGCGCTCGTGTTCGCTTGTTTCGACCAAAAGCACCGTAGGCGAGGCCACCGAGTGCAGCGCCGCCCACTACTCCTGCTGCACCGCAATATAGAGGATGCTCTAGACAATATTTTTTCAGGTCGAACTGCGTCTGCGGCTCTTTCTCGTATCACATAGAAATACATAGCCAGCATACCATCTTTGTAATACACAAATACATTTACCAGATGAAATCATAGTTTGTTATGCGCGACGAGACCACAGCGTGGAGTGGGAGGCATACAAGTCAGATTTACTCGCGTGCTGATTTTTGCATTAGAAATCATTTGGTATGCTAGCGCTTGCTTCCCCGATAACGACGAGGGGCTCGAGGGCGGGACCGGTCCGTTTGTCACGGGGACTGATGTTTTGGCCGGATCCGACGTAGTGCCTATGCAATAGAATCAGGCCCAGGTCATCAAAATTGTCAAGCAAAACGTGCGTCCTTCTGATATTGATGTCTGTGATGTACACAACTTACAAGCCAGCGTCAGCCGCGTAAGCACGCAAGGCAAAACAATTTAGTTGTTCTCAAAGTCATGATGGTGTACGACCCCCCTCCGCCTTCGGAAAGCAAAGGCATATTCATACAACCACACAACCGACGCGCAAGAAATTATAGCTCTTGCGTGACGAACTAGCCATTGGATCGTATTTCTGTTTGGGCTTCTTCTCCTTCCGGAACTTTTGATGAAAATCTACGTGCAGCAAAAAGGCGGAGATACTGTTTTTTATTTTGCGTGACAAAAGTACATGGGAACAAGGAGAGGGAGAAGTTCAGTATCATCGGAGTGACTGACAACTCACACAGCCACCGCACGGAGCTGCGTGCCTCTCCCAAGTGCCGGATATTTTCATGTAAATCACTTTTTTACCACCACCAGTCCGCGGATGGGAGTGAGATACCTACGTACTTTCACGCCGAGGAAGCAGAGCAGATCACGCACGTTCCTGCACATGCAAACATTGCGGGTTGATGACCATGCGGCGGGGACTCTTCTACACGGAGTAAGGTGGTTGGTAGTATCCGATGTTGTGTCCTTCTTGTTGTCGTGATGGGGATCCGCAGTGTTGTCGGGATGCGGAGTGGTTTTGTGCGCCGTGGTCGGCGCTGTTTTTTTTTTTTGGAGTGCTACAGCCTGTCGAGAGGTGGAATATCCCATTGCACCCTCAAAAAAGATGTATGATAACGACCTGCCGGTGCCGTCGAGTAAATGCATCGGATAGGACGCACCGTAGTGGCGCTTCCGTGCGATTTCAGCTGACGCTTACTTTTTTGAAGACGAATAGCCTGCGTGCGCTCCTTTTCCGCCGCACCAGCGCGGTCACCTGCCGCTACCCGCATCACCGGCGTGGGGGGGCGGAGCAAAGGTTAAGTGGCTCGCCCCACTGCCCGGGGGAGGGGAGCGCTGCTGGGCCTCCACGCAATGGGGCCACGTGCCGGCTCGTCCTTACTTTTCGAAAAACACACAAACCACAGCGCCGCCCACCCTCCGAGTGTCCCGAAGATTCGTGCCTTCGCTCGGTGGTTCGAGTGCCCTTAGCACCACCCGCGCATACGATCTTTTCCAGCGAGGCGATCGGCTTCAGTACAGCGAGGATGGCAAGACGCACGTCCGGCCATTTTAGCTTCGGCGCGACACTTTGTATTCGCCCGCCGTCGAGGACGAGTAGGACGAGTAGGCTTGTTCTAGCCTCGGCGCACCTCCCAGGCCATTACACTAATCATGAGGGGAGGTCATAAATGACTTTTTGTTCTGCTTCACCAAGACCACGATCACGGATGGGAATAAAGTGTTGAAGAAAGAAGTATCTATGTGCAGAAGGGACCACATTCCTCCACATGGAAACATCGAGTATTGATGACCATGTGGCGGGGACTCATGTTCTACACAGGATATGGTTCTCTTATCAGCCCGAAAATAGCCCCCGGCGCCTCCGAATCTAAAATGCGCTTCCTTGCAAATCTCGCTTCAAGAGACGAAGCATTTAGTGACGTCTGGCGGGGGGAGTGGAATTCGAGGGACAGAAAGTCGCAACGTACAACTTTGCGATACATACAACCCTCGTTAAGTTTCCTCTCCGTCCGGCGAAGGCGTACATTCGTATTGATACTACATTCTCTGTATGCCAGTCTGTCCTGAATCCGCGCTGACAGGCGAATTCGTGCAAGAAAGGAAGGCTCCTGTCTGGTGTTTGTTCGTCAGAGATATTACGGCTCACACCACATCTTCAGGTGCACATATTGATAAATACTTTTTTCTGATGGACGCGTAAGGGCTATTCTTGAAGGGATACGTTACCCGACGTCGGCGGTTTTGTAGTGTTGTCGTCATCGTCGTGGGGATGATGAGTATATCATTATGAAAAATCTCCTCTCCCTCCACTGGTGTTCAAAAAGGCGACTTGGGTACGCAAATCAAGTTGTCATGCTAGAAGAGAAGCGAGCCGGAGCTTAGTGCATTATCTGGCATGGATAAAGGTCGCTGCATGTCCACCATGACAGAAAGCCATCGCGTTATACCCAGAATAGAATGACAAGTTCCCTGCAAAATGGCCCAGGATTATACTTCAGCCCCTCTGGCATCTAGCAACTACACAGCTTTGATTTGTGTACACAAATCTCGCATCACAATTCCTCCTTTGAGTTTCATCCGAAGGAGGGGTTTTTTCTCAGGATAGAGTCGTAGTTTTGGGCGGTTCTGGATCGTCGTCGTCACTGGGTGTGTATCAACTGCAAACATGTCTTGGTTTGACACAAAAGTGAAAGAACACACTGAGCTTGCCTCGCTGTACTCCTGCAAATAATCTTCATTCCATGACCAAGAAATCAAGCGCAGCTTGTTTTTGTCGTGCACATCACCTGCGACTTGTAATGCGCACTAAGGACGAGCATGAGAGAGCGCCCCAAAAACTTCTCATGCTTGATTGCACTCACAAGCACAACTGTAGTGGCAGTTATTCACAATGGAGCATCAAAAGTTTCCGGAACACCACGACACATTTGCAATGGATAGTGTGTTCGGATCGTCCTTGACCTCATCCCAGCCGTGGTGGTCCAGCTCTTCGCGGTCGGCAGCCGTGAGCGCATATTTGCCGGCCTTATCGTGCTCGGAATGTGTAAGCGGTTCCGCATTCCACACGTCCTTGAAGTCCTATGCCAGAGAAAAAGACAGGCACGGCATGCTTGTGATGCAGAAACAAATTAACCGAAAGACTTGCCATGGGTGAGCCCCTAGCGTGGTCGTTAGGATATGCAATACATACAGAGCTTTCAATTGCGTATTTTAGATTGCATTACATTTACAAATATCCCCCGCCTGTCATTTTCTGTGGGATAAATCCTTCTCGGTGATCACGTCGTCTTTCTTTCCATCCGTGTGCTACCGAATGCAAATATGTCCGGGTCTCCTGGATGAGAACAGACTTGTGATGCATGCTGAGGGTCACACAAAAATTCGTCTTGCGTGACCATCAAAAGTAGGCCCTCGTTTTTGGTGAAGTTGACAGCAAGTGTTCCTCAGACAGGATAGGCATGCAAGCGACCTTCTAGAGGTCTCTGTGAAGATGCTAAGTCCTGCATAGCAGACCACATGGGGAATGGGACCCCTGCATCACAAATCTTGTACTTAATCTTCCTGACCCAGCTTGATATTTGCACTGCATAGGTGCCTCGGGTCCACCATTTGGTTCCAGAAGTTCAGCGGCATGCCGGCTTTTTTCGCCTCATCCCACGTCAATTCACTTTTCGGATCCTCGTTTTTTTGGAGACTTTCCAAGTCCTTGAAGGTGAGCAGGCCGGGGGTGTTCCCGGTTTTTTCGGCGACGAAGCCCATCCAGCCGTCGTCCCTGTCGACATCGAAGATCCTGCGCAGCTCACCCCGGTCCAGCCTTCCCGCGCTCTCTTCGTCGCCCTTTCCGTCGATGCTGAGCGCTCTGAACTCGTCTTTTCCGATCACATCCCGGCTTCCCGCGGTCCGCGACAGGGCGTGGAACAACGCCTCGGAGCCGCCGTGTTCTTTCCAGTCACTCAGCTTCACGCGTGGCGGGCTGTCCTTGCTCACCAGATGCCTCGCGTCCAGGTCCGCCCATCCGATGTGCTCTTGAAATGTCTGATCACACAAAAAAAAAGCCGGCAGGGCAGATTTGTAAACGTAATGCAAAAACAAATTTAAAGTAGCACACAGCAATACTATCTCTGTTGCATATCTTCTCAAATAGTACCATGGTGTACAACTGGGATCGCCCATTTTTCATCTTTCAAATTTGTTTTTGCGTCACAAATAATATGTAAGTACCAGCCATGATGCAACATGATATGCACAATATGCTCTGCCGGTTTATTTTTTCTGTGTAATACTTTTCTTCTTTCTTCGAGCGCGCCAAGTCCGCGAGAAACAGCTCGTCGCGCGACACCCCGGGCACACCGTCCACGTTGGCGTGCGCCAAATCGTCGCGCTTGAACGTGCCGCTCGGCTCCGTTCGCCCGGCTAGAGTTTCCCACGTTTCGGGTAACCCTTTCCACTCTGACTTTTTGATTTCCTGCTGGCCGGCGTTTTTTTCGCCGGCTTCCGCGGGAAAGAGATCCGCGCCCGAGATATCGGAATGAAAAAAGCCCCGTCCCATAGAAAAAAGGAAATTTCTGTTGCTGCATGTCTGCACACATATCAGTCGTGCTGTATTGCAGCAAGCGCATGGAGGCATTTTCTGAGCCTGCGCGGGTATGGTCAAGGCCAGCACTTAGGCATGGCAGAGAGCAGCTATGGAGGAGGCAAAAGCGCATCACAGATTGGATGTGAAATGCGCCAAACGGCCTTCATTTTTCCCATAAGCATCACAAGTTTTCATTTTGAGTCTGGAGAACGGGGAGTTTTTCTCACAATACGAGATTTGGTCCTCGTCGCCCGAGTGGTCTGCGACCTCAGCCTCCCAACGGATTTGGTCCAGCCGGTGCTTATCGATGTGTATCCTGAGTAAAAACGTACCCACACCAGAGTTGTAAGACAGGAAGACTTGTAATGCGCATGCCCATGAAAGCCATTTCCAAGCGTGTTTTGGAATTTGTGATGCTGTGAACAGGATGAGCGGATGAATCTGTGATGCGGCTGCACTTGCTAACCTGCACTACACTGCATAGTGCAACTTGTCATGCGTGACTCACAAAACTCCTAGGTTTGTGTTGCAAAATCCCCATCCTGACTCTGGTGTGGGTACGTTTTTACTCAGGATAATGTGAAAGCCGTGTTCGCGGTCCCCGAGATTGTACACGGAGCCCCTCTATGGAGTGCAAATATAATGTCTGAGTCTGGAGACGGGATGCTATAGGGTTTGTCATGCGCATTTTGCATAAGATTATAGTAAGATAACCCACCATGCCTGCGATGCATACCCTGGGATCACAGCTTTTGTGGCGGCTTCTTGATGCCTATCCAGCTTCGTAAGTCATGCCCTCTCGCCCGTGTAGCAACAACTCGAATGCGCTTGCTGCTCCTGCAATACAGAATTTTGTTAGGATCCGAGGTTAGCATCACAAGTTTGCAACATCCTTCGAGACCCTCCAGACATATTTGCAAGGCATACGCCTTTGTCGAAGTCACTAGCGGTGAGCTTGTGGTCCCGTCCCGCGAGGGTTTCGTACAGGTCCTCATCGAGCCCGCCATCCGTCCACTCCTTGCGGGTGACCACCTTTTTTTCTGCCGCGTCGTCGCTCTTCGCATTCAGGTCGTTGACGTCTCCCCAGTCGAGATAGTCGTTGTTGTGCTCTTCGTTCCTGTTGTCGAAGAGTTTGTGCCGGTTGTGCTCCCAGTCTTTGTCCTCGGCCAACTCGTCCTCGGTCTGCCGCAGTGGCGTTTTGTCCGCCTTGCTCTCGCATGGTTTGCAAATATGTCTGGGTCTGGAAAGTTCCAAGGTAAGTCTGTGAGTACTGTACTAGTCATGACAACGCTCTGCAATGCATAGGGAAGCATGACAGCAGGAGGTTTACTTTGGGCGGCTATGATGTGTTGCCTGTAATTGCTCATGAAAAATTGCGTTTCTGCATGACCACAGGACACTAGACGAGCTCGTCTTCGGGTGCATGCAATACACGACATCACGCCACAGACAAGCATGACAAACGTGTGCACCCTTCTCGACCCAAAGATGTTTATTTTTGCATTTGATACCTCATCGAAGGGCGGGCTGTCTCCGGGGGAGGCTTCCCCATCCCACCCGAGCAGATCCAGATGGTAGCGCTCATCCACATTGAGTTTGCCATCCTGCTTCGTACTGACTGGGTAGTATTTTTCCAACACGTTTTCGACGCGTGTGAAGTCGTTTTCGTTGACTCGCCCGTCGTGATTCCGATCCAGTTGGTGAAACAGGTTGCGCGGCATTGGGCTTTTGAAATCCTGCGACTCTTCGAAGGTGACGCTGTTGTCTCCTGACTTGTCCAATTTGTTCAGGTCCGCCATGGAGAGGATGTTTTCCTTGCCCGGATGGACTTTCGTGGAAGTGTATCCCGCCCATCCGTCGCGCGCGTCCACGTCATAAAGCTTCTGCATTTCCTATCAACTAGAGTAAAAACGTCCCCGCACCACCAGAGTTGTCATGCTAACGGAATCTTTGCACCCCAGCAGAGCTGTCATGCGGATTTGGAGTGACAAAAAGATGAGCAATGTGCATACGCATACTTGATCGCAATTGTGATGCTGCAAACAGGATAAGCAGACGGCTTTGTGATGCCGGCTGTCCTTCTTGCTGACCTGCATTACACTACTTACAACAAAGAGCAACTTGTCACGCGTGACTCCCAAAACCTCTGGATTTGTGTTGCGAGATCCCCATCTTGACCCTGGGGATGTTTATGTACTGGAAAAGACCAAATTAAAGCACAGAGAAACTTCAAATTTTCACAAAGGAGAGGGTGGGAACGTTCTTTCGCAGGATATTTCCTTCTGGTCCAGATTCTCTTCCTTCCCGGCCAGTAGTTTCCACTCCTCTTCCCCGAGGGTATTGCTGCCCGTGATATGGGCCGCTCAGGTATTAATACTTACAGCCTCGACTGATGCAATGAATCAATAAAGCGGAGATTTGCAATGCAAAAAATGCACCTAGAAAACCAAAGCGACACAATGCAAAAAATGCAATGAACGACGCACGATCTGCTGGTGGCATATGCTCAACACAGGAACGCCCGTGACAAGTTGTTCTCGAACTCCAAATAAGTAACCGCACAAGAATCGTCGTCTTCCGGTGAAATTTGTATTCCGAGGAGCTGAGCTGCCTCGGTATGATGTTGCTGTTTATGGAAGACAAAATCCAGAGTCCTCTGTCGCAAGATTGTATCCAACAGTTAAGATTGTAAGTAGCCCCTTAGCTGCAGGTGATACACGACGTCGCCAGGTTTTTCTGCGGGCGTGTACGCGGTAGCCGCCCAAGAGTCGAACAGTTCGTTGCTGCCGCCCTTCGCGACAAATTCCGATCGAGTAATTTTCCCGTTGTCTGGGTCTTTGTCGAATAGGTTGTCCAGACGGGTCCAGCTGATATGATCCTTACCGTTTCGCAGGTACGCAAGGTAGATTTCGTTTCTGTCCACGCCCGGGTTCCCGTCCACGTCGGCCTTACTGAAGTCTTCGCGTGAAAGCTGATATCCTGGAGAGAAGCCGCACGCTCGCGAAGCCACCAGACAACATTTGCGTTTGTGTGCTCTATGCTTTATTATTTCTCGCACAAAGTAAGCTTTGCAATGCTGAGCCGCAAGATGGGCGAGGTTAAAGAAACCTGTCGCGCTGCAACATGGAGACTGTAATGCGAAGAAAACTGCACGAGAGATGACTCACGACTGATAAATTCATGAAGATGCTCAACAATAAACAATAGACGTGGCGGGAGCTCCTTCTTTGTAGACGCGACAAGAAAACACTACGTACTGCATGATCTACAAATACTTTCTGATTTTATGGCAGTATGGGTGCGCTTGTCTGTAGGATAGCTCGGCTTTTGGTTCGTGCAGGCTGCTCAGCGCGTCCCAGGTTCGTTTGCTCCCGTGCCATTCGCTTTTTTGGATCTTGCCGTCTTTAGGGTTCGTATCCACGTTGTTGTGTTTGCTCATCATGTCGCCCCAGCTGAGCTCGTCGCTGTCCTGACCTGGGAGGTCGTTTCGGTCCGCCACTTCGGCTTCCCAGGCAGCGTGATTGTACTCCGCGCGGCTCAGCTGGCCGTCGGCTATCCCGCAGAAAAAAACCGGCGGCAGGGCATATTTCTACTAAGTAATGCATAAAAAAAGAAAAAAGAAATACACAAAAATAAAATCTGCCACCGCACCTGCAGCATGCTGCTTAGGATGCACATTGCAGATTTTCTCACTTCATTCTGCGCATTCATTCTTGCGTTACAAATATAATGCCCTGCCTGCTTTTTACTGTGGGATATCTGCTGCCGTCTCGCTGTTTGCGAATTGATGCAGGGCGGATCCGGATTTGAAGTCCTCTTTGGTCAGTTTGTGGTCCGCTCCCGCCAGCTGGTCGTAAGTGTCACATATGAGAGTGAAAAATCGCCTCTCCCCTCATTCATCAACGAAGCAAGAACTACTACAGAAAAGCGGTTTTCTTTTTTGCGCACACAACCTAACTTCTCACCTTTAAAGCGATGTGGCAGAGATCATACGACATGTGGTTCTGTCTGGCATTCTTAAACAGCCATTTGCGTGGTCTTGGGCATCTTCACAGAGTAGAGCAGCTGCATGGCACGACAAGGCATGACAAATAGCCTGCAAGCTAAGCTGCGAGCGTAAAAAGTACTTCTTTGCCCTTATTTCTAGCCATACAAGACGAGGATTTTTTTATGTGAGTACTTCTACATCACAAATCTCTACTCGGAAGAACACAGAAATTCCTAACACAAACGTCGAGCAGAGGGAAAAATTCTTCGTTACGATATCCGAATCGTATCAAACAAAAAAAGTTCGTCACGATCACTCATGCGCATTTTTGCAATACAAAACTTTCTGTCATGCGTAAAAATGCATCACAGCCAAACTTCGTAAGGGATTTCCCTAGTGTTTCTGCAATACAGGGGAAAGCTGTGACGCTGAAAAAATTTGTAATGCAAAACCTGCAAGGCAGTGACTGTGACAAACTTTTTTCTCTCCATAAATCGCCGCCCATCTCTACCCAATCGAGTTCGTTATCCTGAGTAAAAACGTACCCACGCCAGAGTTGTAATGCAGATTTGCAAAGACAGGAAGACTTGTAATGCGCATCCCCATGAGAGCCATTTCCATTCGTGTTTTGGAATTTGTAATGCTGTAAACAGGATGAGCAGATGGATTTCTGACGCAGCTGGCCTTGCGAACCTGCACTACACTACGGACTGCAACTTGTGATGCGTGACTCCCAAAAGTTCTAGGTTTGTGTTGCAAAATCCCCATCTTGACTCTGGTGTGGGGATGTTTTTACTCAGGATATTCGTACAGCGCATCCTTGTGCTTCCCCCGGACGTCCGCGTAGGCGTCGAGGTCGTTCCAAGTGAGGATCTTATCCTTGTGCTTATTGTCCTCGTCAAACACCCGATCCTTGAAGCGTTTCTCCATGTGTTCGTGGAACCCCCAGCCAAAAGCTTTGCGGGGCGTCTCCCCGTGTTCGTGGGGTTTTTTTGGCAATTTCACCCAAACTTCGCTGAAGTCTTTCGGCCAATCGTCGCCGTCGTGGTGGACGTTTGGAAACTTATTGTCGGGAAAAGCGTGCTCGGCCTCGTCTTTTCCCCACACGTCTGCCATGGATTCCAACACGGCCAGTTGCTGGGGAGCCGGCACGCGGTCCAGGTCCAGGTCTTCCGCGGCCGAAAAGTCTGCCGCCTTATCCGGATCCGTCTGCAGCAAGTCGAGAAAGTTTTCAAACTTTTCGGCGTCTGCAGGGTCTTTGAAGCCGGGAATCCTGTGCGAAAACGTCCTCCCCACCCCATGCAGCCCAAAATCAAAGTTTCTCATGCACAGCTCCATGAGGAAGAGGAGAGATATCTATATGCTATCTGTGATCTTGTCATGCTAGCATCAGGTTTAGGCGACCGACTTCTTCGATGATGCGGCTGCATTAGCGAAATAGGATTAAGCTGCGAGCTCAAAAATTGATTTGTTGAGCATGATATCATTTTTTGTTTGTTGTGTGTTTTTGACTGAAAAGACCGCACCTAGACCTACACATGAATCTGAAAAAAAGTACATCATCAAAAGCCCGTCTTTATTATTATTATTCCCCTCTCGCTCTCGTCCAGAAAAAATACCCAAATAAGTGCCTCTTCAACATCTATCCCATACTGACTTGCTGTGTAAGTTGTAGCCAGATTCCCATCTTCACTTTTCGGTGGGCGGAAGGACGTTTCCACATAGGATACCAGGGTCTGTGTTGTCAAACCCCATAGTGGAGTCGTGGTGGGCACTCCAGTTTTCTTCCAATTGCTCATTCACGTCGTCGAAGTTGATGAATTTGTGTTTAGTTTCAAAGTGTGTCAGTGTGAGGCTGTCAGGTTTGGCATGCAAGACACCTGGAAACAGTTGCCATGCTAGTCCTGCATTGCAGGATTCATTCAAGCGCATGTTGGTCACGCACTCTCTACTGCGCGTGACAAGCTTTTCCTTTTGCTTTTTTGTCGGACTACAAATTTGTAAAGACATATCAAGGATGTTTTCCGAAAAAGATATCAAACGCTAGCACACTTTATTTCTTGACTGGATATTATGTGTTCCTCTTGTTGTGTCTTTTTTTCTTTTTTGCGCGCGTGCTGCTGCTCCTCCTTCTGTGTCGTTTTTGCTTCTTTCCGTGCTTGCTTCTGCTCGAGCAAGATTTCCTCCCCCTGCGTGGTTCTCATCTGCGTCTCCCCTTCCCGAAGAAGACGGCGCTCCTATTTTTTTTTATTCCGCTAGTCCGATCATAGGCACAGGTGGAAGGTGACAAGGAAAAATAAAGAGTGCTACACAATAAAACCAGAATCGGCCCTCGTGCGAGTCCTCGGAAATTATAGAGAGCATGACAATAACATAAAGCAACTCAACACGGATGTTGCTAGTGAAGTAAGTTGTGCTCATGCTGAGAAAACTTTTTCACTGACCACGACCACAGAATGCATTTCATTTCCGTATACCTGCTCTTGCAGATTCGTTCCCTCACCGACCGCCACGGCAGCGGCGAACAGAGGCGGGGACTTGCGGGGAGTCGTTTTCGAAGCGCCAGCCCCTCGCCATAGTCGACGTATAGACTGCAGTGAAGGCCATTCTCTTACTCGCGAGGAGTCAGACTCCTCGCACGAGCCTACTTTCTCGCGATTGATGGTGCAGTTCTTCGCGACCACCATTTGGTGGTGCACGGCGGTACTATTTTTGCAAGTCGTGCGGTGCTCGTCGTTCAGGACGAATGTCGCGTTTTTAACGTCGGCTGCAGCCGCCGTGTGGTCGTGAAAAATCGCTTCCCGCCCCTTGAAGCACGTCGGTGTACCGGAACACGACGCGGCCTTCACGTCGTTTCTTCTCGCGTAATATATTATTTGCGTGCCCTCGGTGGGCGAAGCTCCTGTGGGGTGCGCGACTTCTTTTTCTTGCCGACCGAGAGTCCGGCGCTGGTGGACACGTCGAATTATGGCGCGCAGCACCGAAAGCGTACGCATGGACAAGGAGCGTCTCGCCTCTCGTGACGAAGAGCCAGTATCTTGTTCTTCCTGCGGTCGACGACCACGCGAAGAAATAGACCGAACTTCGTGAAGCGCATTGCCAGGCGCGGGGGTGCTCGAGGACCTGGAATCAATTACAATTTGTGTTTGAGTCTAGGTAAAACATTTCAACAACATGGTAATAAACTCTCGTCATCATGATCTATCAACATCCACCTCCATGACAAACTAGAGCATGATAAGTAAGTACCTTGACGATTGAACCTCGTTCGGAGCAGTTGCAACCCCGTGGACCGGTTGCCGCCATACCTGGCGGTCGTGCGGTGAATTTATTTCGTTTTTCAGCACCCCGCGCTTTGCTGCGAAGAGTGCCTGCAGAAAGAGTTTCACTTATCAACATGAAAAAAAATTCCCCGCCCTCTCCATACTCGAGCGAGGGGTTCGTGTTGCTGATTTGTAGCAACAAATCACCGGTGCTTGCACACAGAGGAAATGCAATGGGACGCTTTGTACAGCCAATCTGTAACGCGTCCTCCAGTGCTGCAAAGATGCCCGCCATGCTCGGTAGCTGGTGCGCTGCATAAGTAAGTACATAAACAGACTCAGGATTATATGCCTCAAAGAACGCGCGGATTTGTGTGCACAAATGCAGCATGAGGAGTTGCCTCTTGATGGATCTGCGGATGAGGGAAGGTCTTTCATTCTGATACCATTTCGAGAATAGCAAGCGGCTCTCCCTCCGACTTCGCGGAAGTACACAAGTTCTTGAATTGTGACCAGTTTTTTGCGACTTTTGGCGATTGTTCGCTTGTAGCCATCGTGGTTACGGGAGGAGATGATGCTGAAACCGGACCGCCGCGCACGCGGCGTCGGTTATTTTGCAAGAACGGCTCTGCTTTGCTAGCTCGTGCGCTCCTGCTTGGAAGTAGATCACCACTCGTCCTTGCTTGCAGCAGAGACGCCTTCAGCTTCAAAAGTGGGACTTTCTTTGTTTCACTAGAACTGTAGCTATGTTCCGGTGGTGGAGTACTAGATTTCGTGATCTCGGGCCCGTTCTCGGCCTGCTGCACTAGAGCAGGTGAATCCACGCCGAGGCGGCCCTGGTCTCGTCTGCTCAGCGCGGAACGCGATCGGCGCTGATCCAACAGCATCATGCGGCTATGGACTACAATCGTGTCTGGGTCTGGAAAAGGAAAACTTAAACAACCCGCATTGTGCGATGCCTTGCGATCCACCTGTGAAATCTACTGTATTGCCTGATTAACACAACAAGCATCAAAAGAATCAAAAATAGAGTCAATTATCAGCACCCAGAATGAAAGCACGAATTGTCTCGTCTAGACCCAGACGTATTTGCAGTTGGTAGCGGTCCTGTCGCAGCGAAAGCAGAGACCGTCGCACGTCGTTCCGATGTTCGTTGCTTGGAACTTGAGCTGCACGGCTTATTCTTCTCCCTTGCTCTTCCACTTCGTTTCCGCCCGTTCGGTCAGCGTTTTCTTCTCCGTTGCTAGGGTCCGCCTTGTGTCGGTTCGCTTGTCTCGTCACGCTTCGTATCGCAGCATCGTTATCTGCGCTGCGCTCGTCTTCATCCTTTGCGTAACGCGTGAGCGACTGCAACGTTTCATAGTGGCTCACCAGGATGCGTTCTCGCTGTGACAATATCCTATGCAAAAAATCATGGGCTTCATTCAGAACAGCACATTCGAAGAGTTGAGTCTTGTCAAAAAGTAATACATACTCCTTCAGAGTTGTTGCCAAAAACAGCAATAAATTATAAGCGACCGGGGCGTGCATGATTCGAAGTATGCGCACAAGAATTGAAGATGCTCACACTATAGGTCGTATTGCTCCTTCGAAAGGCAGAATACAAGTCTGTCAAGACGTTCTTCTCCATTGTTAAAAGCGCCCGTCGTAGTAAGTACGGAAATAAATTTTCTGCGGGATAGACAGGAAATCATGGAGATTCGGGAAGAATTCTTAGCGCCGTCCTTCCAGACGGCGCTAAGAGCGGAAGCAAGAGATAAGGAGTCCGGAGACGCGACCTTTTCTAGCTGTCTGGGCACACAAAATCCACGGCACCGCGCCGCTGTAGAAACCCGAACTCGTCAGGATCAGAAGCAGAACACACAGCCCCGTTCCCTCACAGGAACGCCGATCCGCTAAACGAAGTGGCACCTGTAGAGAATTCCCGCTCAGTCAGGCCTCCCCAAACCAGGCCTCAGTGCCTTAACAACTCGAAGGCCGAGCAAAACCCATGCACGCTACTCGTAAAAGCACGAACAAAAGCACCCCCAAGTTTGCCCATCTAGGGCCAAGAGCTTAAGGGTCCAACCAGAACTCGGAAACCACCACTCTGCTCAATGGAGATGGGAATAAAAAAAGAGAAGATCCTAAGTCCACAGGCGCCCGATAAGACGTATCAGTCGTATCGAAAAACAAGATCGCCGACAAGAAAGCCAACTCACGACCACCCAGTAAGTGTGAAACATCTGAAAGAAAGCTCCTAAATGGGGGGCAGGAAGGGGCTACCGCTCCTGTGGGGCCACTCTGGGCAGAGGCCGCCCGATGGCGTCCGCCGTGCAAGTACGTGCCCTCCGCAGGGGCTGGGACTGAAAGCACGCGCCAGTGCGTGTAAGTACGAAGGCTCACTTTCTCCCATCGTCCACGAAGGCCGAACGGATGCAAGTTTTGCGGGAATTCTTTCCAAACGCACAGGATGAGGACTGGTCGCAAATTACGGCGGGACAGAGGGTGTAACTTTAACTCTCGGTTTCTTCTATAAGTGGATTGAAGCAATTCCAATTGCTTTGTCATGCTGTATTTTATTTCATGAGAGACAATTTGCTCTTCTAATTCTATAGTGCAGCAACGCGCAACACATTCAGCAAACAACCACTCTCGTCTCAGGTGCAAATCATGAAGGAAGACAAGGCGAAAGTCGGGATTATTCAATTTGGCACCGAGATCATCCAGAAAGCGGACCGCACCATCAGCGGCTTAATGGGCGCGAGTCCGGGGGCGAGCGTCTCCGTGCAAATCGCCTTGGACGTGGTGGAAAAAGCGTGGCCGGATCTATCCTGTGCAAAAGTTGTATCGTGCTCGTAGTAAAAATCGCAATTATGCATTACAAATCTACTTGTTAAGGTAAATCCGCATTGCAAATTTAGTTTGTAATGCTGAGCCAATTTGTATTGCGAGTTACACTAGCGCTATACTTTTGCAATGCATAGGATTTCGTGCAGGGGAAATGGAAAAACAAGCTGGAGCAGATGATTCCTGGGTATAAAAAACAGCTGAACGAAATATGACAGGGCACAACTTCCCCTCGTACCCCTCATTTGTCATGCAAAATCCTAAACTCTCTCTGTGCCTCTTGGCACTGGTTGCATGACAAGTTCTGGTAGCCCAAACAGTACGTACTTACATGAGGTACATAAATTTGCCATGCAAAGGCTCCACGTGTGTTGGTGTTTGTGTTGCTGTTCATGCAAAAATAGAAATGAGGGGGAGGGGGGGTTGTGCACTGTAATACGAAAACAAGGATTTGTACAAAGAGGTGGCCTTGAAGGACAAAACCGGGTCCCATTCTGTGTTGGGGATTCCGCATTAGAGGGATGGAGAAATTACAGGAGGGGGTGGTACCAGGATGTGCGTGAAAGATTTTGAAGAGGTTGAGGTTCCTTGATCACTACTAGTAAGAAATAAATCCTTTTACTACGTTATGCAATACGTTTATGACAATACTTGTTCCCTTCGTTTTTAATGCAGAAACCCATGACAATACTTGAAATTATGGAGATTAGACAGGAAATCATGGAGATTCGGGAAAAATTCTTGTTCCGCCGCACTGCTCGAGGACGCCCCACTGCCAATTTGCGGCAGCGACAAGACTATCCTGTGCAAAAGTATCTCGTACTAATTGCATGACAAATCCAACTTTCTACCTGAAATAGCATGACAAATTGAATTTTTTTGTTGGGAAAATTTGTAATGCATTTTATACTAGTAAGTACGATACTTTTGCAATGCATAAAGACCGCCACGAGTTTTATGTGCTCCCGCCGCAAGGTCGGATCCGCGGCGACGGCCTGGCCGATGCAATTCCGCTCCGCACACAGCGACCCGGTCGGCATGCTGACCTCGAGGTTCAGGCCGCGGTAAAACTTGCGGACCTTCGCGAGTTTCTGCTGGGAGCTGTTGACCACTTGCACCTCCTCCTCCTTCTCCACCATCAACACGCACAAAACCGGCTTCCGCGTCTTCCGAAGCCAAAACCCGGCCAGCTCCGCGTCCTTGGAGGAGCCGAGCTGCTCCACCGCCTTCTTGTGGGCCAGCATCTCCTTCAAAACGAGCCTGATGCGGTTGTCCAGCTCGGCCACGCCCGTGTAGGTGCGCTCCCGCTGCTGCAGCAGGCTCCGGTTGTGCATTCCGCCTCCTGGGCTCATCACCATGTTGCCTGATGTTCCAGCTCCTTGCTGGAAAAACAAATTCAAACTACTGACAAAGTGGCCATTGATGGGGATGGCGGGGGCGACCGAGGCTTTGTCAAAGGGTAATGCTTGGACCCCGTCGGCGCGGAGGAAGGGCTCGTCGCGGTAGGATTTGGGGCGCAGGATATGCACGTAATTGGGCCGAAACTGGTGCAGGGACTGCGTGATCGCCGAAACGCGGGCGGGCGCACCCTCGGCGAGAATGAAGGAGACAGCGAATTCCTGAGTTGTAATTGAGTCACTTTTGGCTTTGGCACCAGTCGAGGACCAGCACAGGTGGTCATACATCGTTAATGAGCTCGTCTCGTCATATAAATCAATAAAAGGTGCGAATCTTCCGAAAAAACATGACTACAGCGTTATATACACTGAATAAGACCATCAAACTCGTGTCTCTTCTACCTGTGCCCAATCCCTGTGCGGGAAGTGCTTCTGAAAGTACTGAACGCACTGCTGACGATCCGAATCCAAATAGGGTAGACACTCGTTGTTCATAAATCGCACGTTCTCGTCGTACAGAAACACCCCGGGGCCGCTGTGAATGCACCGCAGACAGATGTTTAACGCGTCCAGACGACTGCTGGTGGAATCCCGGAGCCACTTCGGAGGCACCACCTTGGTAGTTTCTGTCGTCGTTGAGTTGGCGGAGTTCCTGACACTGCCGGCGTTCGAATGAGTTGCCGCAGCGAAAAACCGGGTTTTCAGCACGCGCTCCGCAAACCGCACCAGGCACCGGGCCGCGGACTCGGTGGTGAAGGTTTCGCTCCTTTTTGTTCGTTGGTGCGAACCGGAAAGAAAATAGATCTTGAGAAAGTCGCACCCGCCACGCCGAACCAGAATGGACTCCAGCCAGGATTCGACGGCCAGGGCGAAAACGGGGAAGACAATGGCCTTCAGCTTGAACTTTTTTGCGTGCTCCGCGTCACCGTCAAAAAAGGCCTCAGCGAGAAGCTGCAGCGAAATGGTAGTTTTTGTGGTGGTTGAAGAGGCTGTGGGCGCCACTGGCATGTTGGTTGCAGCGCAAGCAGGCGCGGTCGTTGGAGATGATGTTGCGGAGTTTTTACTCATTTGCGGGAGAGCAGAAGCGGCACCGTTCAACGCCGACGACGTAAGAACTGCGCCATTGTCAGTGTTGTAAAATGGTTGGTCCATACCTTGCAGGTCGAATCCGATGCAGATATCGCTGGTATTGTCCGGATTCGCCTGCCCAACCTGCACTTGCGTGCTCGTACTGCTAGATCTAGACAGGAAATCATGGAGATTCGGGAAGAATTCTTGTTCCGTGAAAAACAGCAAGAGGCAGGCGTGGAATAGGAATTTTCGCATTCTGGAGCACGCCGGCGAGCCCGGAACAAACGCCGGGGGCGTGGCCATCTTACTCTTTTGCAGCACCTCCACCTGGGAATCTCCGGTGGCCGACCTGGTTCTTCTTCTCCTCACACGATTTTTGGTCTTCATCCTCGTCATCACCGTGCGCGGACAAGCGTGATCCTGATCTTCCTCCTCGCGACCCAGGTCAGGCTGCTTCATAGTTTTTTATTGTTCCCCTGCCTGGAAGAACTTTTCATCCAAAGACTCAGACAGGAGGCATCTAATTTTCGTTTTCTTCACCTACACCTGTCGTGCTTTTTTATGGTCATTCAAACGAGCGGCTAGTATTTGATGCAGATGTTTTGGTCGTCGACCGTCGACGATTGAGACGATGAAAACTTGATTTCATTTTCCTTTTCATCATCCCCATCCAGCGACAATTGTGCGTGCAGCAGGGCGATGCAAGAACGGCTGGCACCGAGTGACGACGAGGGTCTCTCCTCCAGTATCATGCATCTCGACGTCGACGAAAGCAGTCCACTGCAAAGTAAGTTTTCTGCACGAGCACGACGAGTTATAGCAAAGCTGTTCAAATTATAAACAGGCTCGGTTTCTTGTTCTTAAGGCACGTCACTAAATTTGCTCCGTTCTTTCGATCGAATGCTATAATCTCGTGGTGCCACGATAATATCAACGCTTTGATTTTGCGATTTTTCTACAAAAGGCATCGCTTCTCGACGAGACCACTGACCGACTCCGCATATTTTTCACCTTTTGTTGCACTCACGAAGATGAAGTACTGCAAGAATAAACCTCAGACATGCAAATAATTCATCGGGCTGAGACGAGGTGAAGGAGCAGCTTTTGTTCTCACGATTTTTTTATGCCACTTCTCACCGAGTTTGCAGCAGCGCCGTCCAGTGTTCTTTGTACAACGAAGCCGAAAAAATGCTTCTGCGTCCATCCGCAATGATGCTCCCGCTTTGGCGCTTTGGTGGTATTCATCACCATATGCAGACCACATTTGACAGTGCCGGATAGCTTGTTTATCTATATTAGCGCGGTGCATCTTGAATATACACATTCTCCTCGAATGGATTTCTAGTTTCTACTTCGTTTTCATTCTCATCTTCGTTTGACAGAAGTGGACCTGAGGTGGTTTCGCGTTCTGTGCGGAACGTGACCTCGGTGCAGGTCCAGCGGTTTCTGGTGCCGCTTCAAGCAGTTCGCTCGAGGTCAACTGTCAGGGTGTCAAAATGAAAAGTCCCTCCTTCCCATGCTCAAAGCAGAATTTGTGTAGAAATGCTGCGCACACAAATCACATTGTTTGAGTGTTGCAATCGGGCATTTAGATCTACTTTTTCAACATCCTTGGGCGGACTTACTAAGTCTGTGAAGCGAATCAAATCTTCCTCGCTGCCAGGCACGACAGACGCCGCTGCTGTGGCCGAGAAACACTAACAGAATTCGTCCGCGACAAAATGCAACAAAAAGCCCTCGATGCGAACATTTTATGCAGTTCGGATCAGAATGAAATGCGCACATAAAGTACACACCCCCATCCCCTTTTGAACCTGGAAAGATGGGACTTTACCCCATTTTGATACGGAAAGAGGAGCCAGCAGGTCTCTAGTCTTTGCACCGCAGAAGTGAAACTCAAAACTGGTGTACAGTGCAGGGCACGTTATTAATTTCTGAGGTTTTCTTCATATACCCCGTATGACACTACAGAAGAAGCTAGCACACCATGCATATAGCGTATAGAGTGGCCATTAAGTATAAACAAAGAAACCTCTCATGATGGGCTCAACTGTATACAAGAGCAACGGTGTTTCTTCAGGGCAATATGCAACACAAATTTCTTTGTCTACTTCCATTTCGTTTCAGAATCTACAAATATGGTGTGCTAGCTTTTTCGCGGGGATTACATTTTACACTTGTACTAGGAATCAACATCCTTTTTAGCCTCAATGTGCTAATATCCGCAGGAAAGTTTCAAATACGAGCTCCAAAACGTGAAAATAATTTAGACGCTGCTGTCTGCTGGAAGAATATCGATACAGAGAGTTTCAAACGATTTTTGTTTTTCTGAAGATCTACTCTCAGGAAAAATTCTCGTATTAGCTTATAACTGCGAGGACTGCCGGGTCGGCTTTTGATTCGGTTCATCAAAGTGGTTGTGCAATCATCAGTTCGTAGCCTATGCAACAAAGAAAGAGAAGACCACTACTACGCGTAAAAAAATCTTCCATGACTGTCCTCATGCAAAACTCACGTGAAGTAATCTTGTATGCATGACAAATCAACGTTTCCAGGTACAGACAGTAATTGGAATGGTGCATTTTTTCTCTTTTCGCATAGCAGATAAACGCATTCTGGAGTGGTAGGTAGCGGCGGCCTTTTTCTTTTCTCGGATATTACAATGAATTTTACCAGGGCACCATCAGGGGTTCTCCTGCTTTGTCTTCGGCGCGTGCGAATTCTTCTTACAGGGAAAATTACATGAACAAATAAGGATCGCGTCAATTTATTCGCCGGAATCTAAAGGGGCACAACTTACGGGTCTTTTTTGAATACGAAAAGCATGGTCCTTGTCAAGATTCATTCATATCCTAACGTCGTAAATATTTTTGACTAACTAATTTGTATTGTTTCTAGTACTACATTGTTCACCGGTAGAGCAGGTTGCGTGACCGCTATCGATTATTTTTCAGTTGTGACAGTGTAAAAGTAAAACAAAGAATAGAGTGTTGCTCCAGGAATTTTTGGAACGCGTGCTTCATCTAGTAAATGCGGTAAGTATAATCACGACTCTTGGGCATTGCTGCCAAATACGCCATGAAATAAAAACTACTACGTGCTGTAGTTTTTAATCGAAGACAGAACAAGTTCTTAATTGCTAAGTCAATTTTTTCAAAAGTCTGCAACGTCTGTTTCACCTCATACATACATAAATGCATTAACGAAAAATTAGGTATGCAAAGTCTGAAACGGCGGCTGCATCTCCCCACGAGGAACCTCACGACTCCATTGTCGTGCCTGGCGTCGTTCCCTCCGCAGTGGTGCGTTCGCCCAGACTGCGGCTTTCAACATCCTCCGCCGATGAGGGTTGTCTTGCTTCTGGCCCCTGCAGTGGCGGAAGAGCAGTCTGGTCGTGGGCCCCTTGTCGCCCATTCTGGCCGATCAAACGCAGACCCTCCCGTGGTGGCACCAGACGCCGCGTTTGCCGTTATCAACATAGGAAATGTGTGCTCCTGCGTGCTGCTGTTGATGCAATAACTTTTCTGGACGACAATAAATTCCTCATACCACCAGGGCAAGTTACATGTCGAATAGTAGAATGGATGCCATGCATATAATCGGAAACGCATGACGACTGTAAGTCAGTGCATTGCACCGTCTGCAAGATGAACGCAACGTGACAGTCGACACAGTTTTTTTTTTGGGTAGCCGTGCGAGAAAAAGGAACATGGCTCCAACCATGAGGACGGAGAAGAAAAGAAACACCACGGACCAGCCCAGCTCGTTTATGACACAGAGAAAAGCTAGCACGGAACATCATTTTCTAACAACGACTGTTCCAATGCAAAAATGCATACAGTACGAAAATCAAGATTTGGTTTTGTCAAGGACCAGCCCATAGCATACTGCCTGCAGTGGTACACAAAACAGATCCTTTATTTGTGTAAGTACACGACTACCTTCACATTCCTGTACAAATATAATATGCTAGCTTTTTCCTGTACAATATCGCTTCTGAAGGACGGAGCCAGGGAAGACGTAGATGAAAGCAAATCCAACGCAGAATCCATTTTTACCGTCTCCTGGCCGCGGCCAGTGGTATTCGTGGTTGCAGCTTGTATCCCATGTAAAAACGACGTCCCCATTTAACAGTCTCTCACGATGTTGAGAATTCAACAAGACAATAAATCCTCAATACAGCTAGAAAATGCTGTTCGTGGGGAGCCGCATCAGGAGAGAGAGACTTGCGGCATTACATGCCAGATTAGTGTGGAAAAACTGGAGTGAACATCACATTTTTACAGAGGATACCTCGTCTGAAGCTCTTGTGCAGGTGATCCGCCGGATGTTCCTGTCTGTTCGCTTTTTCACCTTGCCCCGCCCGCGGCCCATCCCCATTTTCTTCTCCTACTATGGAGAGAAAAAAGTTTGTCACAGTCACTATCTTGGAGGTTTTGCATTACAAATAACATCACAACTTTTCCTTGTATTGCAGAACCCCTAAGGGAAATCCCGTATGAAGTTTGGCTGTGATGCATTTTTACGCATGACAGGCATTTTTTGTATTGCAAAAATGCCCATCCCCATGAGTGATCGTGACGAACTTTTTTCTTGCGATACCCACTCGGAAAAATACAGTACCCTCGGAAGGACCGTCGGCGTGTCCGTGCTCGTCGCTCTGCCCGAGTAGCCAGGAGCTGATGGATCCAGGTGCGTCATAGACCACCGCAGAGCTCTATCAAAAGGAAAAATCCCCCTTCCCCATATTGAAAAGGCATGACTTCGAAAATTTGCGCTGCTGATTTCGCGCAAATCATATTTGTCTTGCAAGAAGACAACGGCAGGGGCTTTCGCCCCATTGTGGAAGCGATTTGCCATGCTGTTGGGCCTAAAGGGGAGCCGTTTGCCATGCTGAACAACTAGACCCATACGCCCCTGCCTAGCCTGGGGATCTGGCCGCAATGCCTTCCTGCAATTGTGTACACAAATCCAGCGTCAGAAGTTTCGTTTTGATATAGGGAGGGGGGATTTTTCATTTTGACAAGTTCTTGTCGTCTTCGAGCACCGTCCGCTCGGGCTGGGGCGCGACAGCGCCTCGCAGGTTGGGGGAGAATCCGCGATCGCGGACGAGAGGTTTCGGTTTTGCCGCTTGTTCGCCCTGAAGCGCGACTTGATCATTTTCCTGCTGCTCGTCCGTCGATGTTCGTTTGAACTCGTTCCGGTCGTTGCCAACTACGTCACCCACAACTGACGCCGGAAGGCTCGTCATGTCTTCAGCATTCCGCTGCTGCGCGGGGGCTCGCAGAGTGCCGCGCAACGCGGCCTTGCGGCGGTCTTCGCGTTGCTCGAACGAGAGGCGCGGCTTACCACTAGCCTGACGAGAATTTCTACCGCTGGTGGTCTCGACGGTGTCGGTTCTGGGTGCTTCATCGTCACTGGCGCGAGCAGTTGTCTCAAACGGCGCGTCGTACTGGTTTAATCCCTCAACCAGTCCTCGTGTCGGCTTCTCTCGTCCCCTCGCCAAAACGCTGATGGTCGCAGGTGTCGCAATAGTACTTCGAGAGTGCGGCCGTTCATTTCCATTTGCGGATCGCTGCTCTGCGAAGACCTCCGGCGTGGTTTTGGGATTCATCGAAGAGTCCTCGTTGTCCACCACCCACCTCTCGCTTTGCTGCTGATGTTCCTGCTGGTTTTCTTGTTCCCGCACAAAAATCTCGTCGTCCGAGTCGTCAGGATGCAAATTAGGAGAGCCAGCCTCGTTCTGCTTCGTCAACATCGTTTTCGTAGCACTAGCAGTGCTCGTAGAAGAAGTCGTGGGCGGCAGCACCTGCTTCCGCCACCGCCCAACCTCGGAGGTGCCGTCGTCCAGCGCCAGTTCTACTTCGGACCCTCGCGTTGTAGAGGAAGTCGTAAGAGAGGCCTGCTCCTTTCCGCCCTCTGCATGGGTACTACGCGGCGTCAACGTCTCCACTTCGGCGGGACCGGGAGGAAAAACTCCCGCAGTTCCAGTTGTGGGACTCGGATCTTCCTGGTGTTTGGTTTGCAAAAAAGATTCCAACTCGCTGCCGTAGCCGTCATTATCGTCGTTCCTTGATCGGCTCTTCTTGCCCCTTTTTGACTTGCTTCGATGCTTCTTCTTCCCCTTCGTGACGTGTACCTCGACTTGGGTTTCCGTCTTTGGAGCGGCGACCGGAGGGGACGGTGGGTAGAGAGGTGAAACGACAGGTTCATGCTGCGGCTGCACAGGCGCTTGTATCAAAGTAAAAAAAGTCTCCACCCCATATCGGAAACGGAAGATGCGGGAATTTGTGATTCTGTATTGAGTACACAAATCAACTGTATTGCTAGAAGGCCAAGAGACGAAGCTGCGGCCTAAATTGCAGGCAATCTGTCATGCTGTTTCCCACTTCCAGTTGCCTCCTGTCATCCTGGATCTGCAAGGCTTTCCCACGCTAGAACGCACTACAGTCCGCATCCTTTGCCTTCTAGCATCACAAAGCTGATTTGTGACCACAAATCTGCATCACAGATTTCCGTTTTGATATGGGGAGGAGCATTTTTCATTGTAATAGCTTGGGAGCTATCTTCACCCGAGTCGCTCGACTCCACGTATCGCGCCCGGGATCGCTCTATCAACTGCAAAAGTGTCTGGGTCTGGAAGATTGCAAGTTGTCATGCTGTTTTTGGACTCTAAAAAAATTTGTATTCGCATGACCAGCAAGAGGGGTACAATTTGTGCTACACGGACAGGGCATTTCTCATGCAGAAGGTGCATCAGGAAGCCCTCCAAAAGTCTGCGATGCCAGGTCCTGCATTACAGGCATCATGGGTCATGAGAAATATGCATGACAAATCGCGCATTCTTCCAGACCCAGACATTTTTGCATTTGATACGTTCGCATCATATCCTGAGTCAAAACGTGCCCACGCCAGACTCGCCATGCAAATGTGCATCCGGAGGATGTTTTTCATGCGGCGAGGATTTCGCTAGAATTGTTTCTTGGAACAAAAATCTGCCATGTGCTAGCCAGAGTGTTGCACTGGATTTGTGATGCGTCTGGACTAGCTAGGCATCATTCAGGGTTCTCGTACACTCCGCGTATTAATGCGTGACTCGCAAAAGTTTTGACCAAATAAGTAATTCTCATCTTGTTCACTAAGTATCGTGCGTGGGTCCCGTTTTTACTCAGGATAGGTCCTCCTCCGGCGAACGCTCTGTAGCCAACAAACCCAAGCGCTCCGGTTGATACACCCGCGATCGCAAGGTTTGTTGGTGTTATCAGACCACCACCACCACCACCACTACCACCACCATTGTCATTCGGGACAGCTTGGTGCGGAACCTATGAGATAGAAAGACGCTAGTACACCGCATTTGATGCATCATGCAGAAACGAATGCAAGGACTTCGGAGCTCAGCATACTAGAGCGGTGCTACTTACCACCCGCTGCGCGGTGGGCTTTTCTGGATGCTTCTTTTTCATTTCTATGTAGTATTGCTATTGGTACAACAAACGCGATGCGCAAGCTTTTTTTCTGTGTGATAGAAGATCAGCCTCTGGCTATCACGGTGAAAGGCGTTCCGCCCTCGGGGTCGGGAAAAAATGTTTGCGCTAAACGATATACCTTGTCGCAACTGGAAAAGTTTTGTTCTCGTTCTGCACGAAATTTGATCTGGATTCTGTACTCATCGTTGTAGGAATCAACATCCAATGTATGATGGCGATTATAATTTTTATGCAGGGAGGCCCCGATGTAGAATGCAAATGCTTGCCAAGCTGTAATGGATTTTTTGTGTATTGCTGAAGTGTGCTGCAAAAATGTTCATCGATGCGGGCATAAGTAATTACGTCCACAACTCGTCACGAAGAACTTTTTTGCTACTGCAAACGTTTTTTCACTGATTTGCTCGTAAGGCGGACCGCTTTTCGCGTTGTTACTGGCGAGTCGTGGTTTGGTAGCTGGTTCGCAGGATCGTTGGGTTCCGGTTTTTGATCCCAACCGGCGTTGTCGAGACGGTCGCGCTCCCATTCGGACAACGATGTGTGATCGCTGTCGACGCCCGGAAACTTGTGTTCGTCCAGCTGCTATCCCACGAAAAAACTGTTTCACTGTGATGATTTTGCTAGATCTGCATCACAAGCTTGTTACACATGACACTGAAAGTCTGTCATGCGCGCTTCCCAAGGGAAATCACGCTTGAAAATCCAATGTGTTGCAGGTGTAGCAAATAGTTCTGTGTTCCATTTTCTGCGTCACAAGTTCACAGTGAAACAGTTTTTTTTGCGATAGCTGCGGGTTGTCCGCTAATCTGGTGAAGTCGCCCGCGGTGATTTCGTCGTTGTGACCGTGCTATCAAATGCAAAAGTGTCTGGGTCTGGAAGGCTGGAACTTGTGATGCTAACTAACTTTGGACTCTAAAAAAATCTGTATTGCATGACCTTTTTTACCCCTCGACCACAGTCACCCCCTTTACGACCGATGCCTCTGGGCATGACCTCGGGGGGATTGGGTCAAGCTCTAACGCGGGTCGGACCCGAGGTGAGGACTCGTTAGAGTGGCAGCATGTTCTGGTCGATTCCGTATTGCATGACCACCAAGAGGAGTCTCGTTTGTGCTACGCGGAGAGGGCTTTTGTCATGCGGAGTAGACATCAGGAAGCCCTCTAAAGATCTGTGATGCTAGGTCGCGCATTACAGATATCCTGGGTCATGCAAAATATGCATGATGACAAACCCGGCAACATTCCAGACCCAGATATTTTTGCATTTGATACGCGCAGTTGGTTCCAGAGGTTCAAAGGCATGCCTGCGCGTTTTGCTTCCCTCCAAGTGACCTTCGTGTGCGGGTGATTCGCATTGTACGGATGATTATCATCGTCATGCTTCTCCACGTATTTCTGCAAGTCATGGAAGTCGAGCTGCTCGTGATCCCCGGATTCTTTTGCTGCATCCCCGGCCCAGCCGTCACCCTCGTTGGTGTTGAAGATTCTCTCAAGCTCCTTGGAGTCTAGCACGTTCGGACTCCCCGTCGCACCCCCGCCGTCGGTGCTCAGCTTGTGGAACCCGCCTTCCGTCAACACATTTTCCGATTGTTCTGTTCCGGCAAGCGCGTGAAACTGTTCGGGCGTGCCCCCATGGTCCGTCCACGATTTCAGGGTAACTTTGTTGCCGCTATCGACAAGTCCAGCATCCTTGAAATCGTTCCACGAGAGCGTCTCCTGACCATTGGCCGAATCCGCGATCGCGCGGTTCGTGTCGAACCCACCCTCCATGCTGTGAATTGATTTATTATTTGCACAGATCGAAGACAAAAATGCTCTAGCGAAGGAAGAAAATCGAGATGAAAGTTGTATCAAGAACTCAGTACAGCTGCAATGCGCGTTTTCCGAGGGAAAACATGGAAGAAACTCCCATTTCTTGCATGTCTGGCAACACAAACACCACTGTGTTGCGTGATCGATGTGGGTGTCGCGACAAGAAGTTTATTAAAGCAAAAATTCATCATTCTTCAAAACAAATCGTCAATAGTACAGGCTCTTTATGAAGATCTCGTCCCGGGTCACTCCTTATGAATTGCAAATATTTTTGGGTCTGGATTTGCGACACAAGATGCGAGGTAGGACAAGATCTGTGATGCGCGAAGAAGAATGAAAATGATAGATAATGAATCTACATCAATGATGCGCGGCTGCCACGGGCGGTAATAAACTTCTCATGCTGTCATGCCGTACGAGTCGCCACGCCGCCAAGCCAATCGCAGCAACGCAAAATATTCAGACCCAGAAATATTTGCAGTGGATACGCCTGGTATACCGTCGATGTTCGCCTTCTTGAAGTCGTCCCGCTCGAGTTGGTCAGCCGGCTCCTATTCTGTGTAAAAACGTCCCCACCCAAAATGGGTCATGCAATTTGGTATTCCTAAAATGTGTGTCATCCGCTGCCGCGTGAGGGGCGTTTTCTAATCTTACATTGGAGTTTGTTATGGTAGGAGCAGCATGTTTCTTCGTGTTTGTAGCAAATCTTTTTTCATCATCGTTTGGTGAAAATGGAAATGTTCTTCTCATTCTAGGGTTCCCACGCCCGTTGCGTGACAACAGATTGCATCGCGTAATAACCTTGCTGATTTGTGTAGAAAATTTACCAGCACGACCTTGGCTCTGGGTAGTTGGAGACGTTTCTACACAGGATAGCTCTGTGCTGCCCGCTAGCGCGTAGAAGTCGGACGGGCGGCCTATCAAAATGAAAGATCTCCCCTCCCCATATCAAAATTAATGGAAATCTGTGACGCGGGATTTGTGTACACAAATCTGTCTTGCAGTAGAGGACTGCAGACAGGTGCACAGCCTGAGTAGGGGCGTTTTGGTGTAGGCGCCTAGCAAGACAGGCATATCTTCTGTAGGCGGTACAGCATTACAAACTGCGTGCACAGCGCAGCGGAGTCTCTGGCGTTGCCTTCGTGCAATACAGAGACTATTTTTGGCTACAAATCAGCATCGCAAATTTTCAGGAGTATCTCTTTTTAGTATGGAGAGGGGGAATTTTTCCTCGCAATACGCCCGTGCCACTCGTTGATGGACATCGTCTGGGTGCGAGCGCTATGGATTGCAAATATGTCTGGGTCTGGAAACTTGTGATGCAAGGAAGGCATTACTATAGCACACTGCAATGCGCTTCCAAGCATGACAATTTTTTCCGTGGTTCTGGCTTGCGTATTCCGCATGAGAAACTCCATTTTTGCATGACAGGCAAGAGGAGCTCCTCGCGGCCACGCAATACAGAGTTCAGAGTCATGCGAGACTAGCATGACAAGCCTCGCAACCTCCCAGACCCAGCAAATTTGCAGTTGATACGCGCCGGCCTGCCCGTCAGATTGGTCTTGTGTCGGAAAAATATGCACCGTTGCAAATATGTGTGGTTCGTTTGGAGAGATGCAAAGCGTGTGACGCTGGTCCAGAGTAGAAACAGATGTGCGCTTCTTATCATTCGAAGAAGGCCACTTTTTCTCACGCGGGCTACTTAGGCATCGAGAGGTCCTCATTGCAGACCTTGCTAGTACAATGCTCTATGTAAAAGCTTGTAGGCCTCCTGCGTGCACCCGATCATCCGAAATAAATTGCGTAGAGAAATAATTTTTTCCAGGCCCAAAAATAAACATGTTTGCACTTGATAAAACAGATCGTTCACAGACAACACGTCTGAATCGCCATCGTGGTCCTATCCTTAGCAAAAAAACCGATAGCACAACCCACACAATCCCACAGGCAAGGTGGGCACTCTCGCTCTGCAAGAAAGGTCGATAATCTTTGAGACTCACGAGCTTGGTGGTCATGTGCATGCATTCGCGCGTAGCTAGGCCCGTTGCACCACAGAGGACGACCCTGTTCTTGCTTATCCTGATTTTTAGTGTGCGACGGATTTTTTCTAATCACGGCGAGAACATGTTGCCACCCCTACAGCGAAGCCGCATGAGTGACGTTCTGGGCATGCAGCAAGTATGCATGACAAGTTCTGTCGGAAAAGATGGATAACATAACAAGTACGGTTTTACACAGGATAGGTCCATGGCCTCTGCTTCCCAACGGATTTGGTCGTACACTTCCCTGGTAATCTGGTGGTGGTTTTTCGGATCTCCCAGGTTGTATGCGGCTCCGCCAGATTCGAAGTCCTCTCGTTTCAGCACGCCGTCTATCAAAGTGAAAAAAGCCCCCACCCCATATCGGAAACGGAAGATGCGCGAATTTGTGATGCTGTATTTGAGTACACAAATCAACTTGTATTGCTAGAAGGCCAAGAGACGAAGCTGCGGCCTATATTGCAGGTAATCTGTCATGCTGTTTCCCACTTCCAGTTGCCTCCTGTCATCCTGGAGCTGCAAGGCTTTCCCACGCTCGACAGCACTACTGTCCGCATCTCTTGCCTTCTAGCATCACAAAGCTGATTTGTGGCCACAAATCAGCATCACAAATTTCCGTTTTGATATAGGGAGGGGGGATTTTTCATTTTGATACCGTCCTTTCCAGCTAACATCTCGAACACATCCTCGTCGAGTTCTGGGGGGCCGTTCTTTTCCGCACTATCGAAAGGAAAAACCCCCCCTCCCCATATCAAAACGGAGTTTCTGATGCTGGACTTGTGTACACAAATCAACTCTGTATTGCAGGAAGGCATTGCGGCCAGATCCCCAGGCGAGGTAGGGGCGTATGGGTCTAGTTGTTCAGCATGGCAAACGGGTCCTCTTTAGGCTTCACAGCATGAGAAACCGCTTCCATAATAGGGGGGAAGCTGCTGCCCTTGTCTTCTTCCTTGCAAGGCAGATGCGATTTGTGACCTCAAATCAGCAACGCAAATTTTCGGAAACATACCTTTTCAATATGGGGAGGGGGGATTTTTCCTTACGATACGCACCCCCTTTGGGCGCGAAAATCCCGCCTCCCGCCTCCCACTCCTGGTAAGTGATTTCGGCGTCCTCCTGTGCAACCACGTCCCCACCTCACGCTTCTCATGCGAATCTGCGTGCCTAAGCCTAAAATGTTCTTTATTTTCATGCGCATCCATTTGTTTCGTGGTAGCATTGATTGTCCACTGGTGCGTGGAAATTTATGTATGCAAAGCTAGAAGAACAAGAACCTGTACCAGGATCATGAGGCGATCAATTTGATGTGACGCGATTACATTTGCAACTAAACTCGATTTTTACAACTACACTACGCCGCCAAAGCTGTCATGCACAACACAGAAAATCTCATGGGCGTTTGTGCAGTCAAATTCCCATCTACTTGACTTTAGGCTGGGACGTTTTTTTTTGCAGGATAGCCGTCACTGGCCGTTTTGAATTTCGCTAGATCGTCGTACTTTAGCAAGTATCAAATGCAATTCTGTCTGGGTCAGGAAGGAGAACGCAGATTTTTGTCATGCTGTTTTCGCATGACACAGAAGGTCCGGAATGAGAGCCCTAGCTGCATCACAGGTTTTGAGAAGGAGCGTCCGCAATGCCTAATCCGCATGACAGATCGCACACTCTGGGCAACTTTTCCTGCCTAGGTATGAGAGATTTTTGTGTGTTGTGAAATGCGCATCACAAGTACGCATTCTTCCAGACCCAGACATATTTGCAATGCGTAACACGTTGTCGTCGCCGAGCAGCTTGTTCGTCGTCGCCTCAATTCCTGTGGTTTTTGTTTTTTGTTGATCCCAGCGTGCCAATGAAAACGTTTCGCAAGCAGTAGGACGAATTCTTTTAATAGAATCGAACTTCCGTCGATTTTCATTCGACAGAACTCCTGCAGCGCTTTCGCCCGGAAAACCGAGCAGCCATCACCGAATTAGGAAACGAAAAAACTCCTTCTAATTTTAATAAATTAAAATAAGCTTAATAAATACTTAAATAAAGACACCAAGTACAGCGAACGTAAAAAATCATCTGCACTAGTAGATACAACCAAGGTCGTCCAGTCGTGCTGAATCGCCAGGGTAAGGAAGGAAAGATAAATTTTCTAGTGCATGAAGATAATACCATTTGCTTCAGTGGGTTTCCATAGATTGTTGATGGCCACTTTCGGATCTGTCATCTCCTGAGCATCGAGTAAAACGGTCGAATGCGACTGCTTGTAAGCCAGCTCGTATCCTACAGAAAAGCACACGACCCATTTTGCTTGACGCACACGACCCAAAGTTTTCATTTTGCTTGATGCATTTTTTATCACTGTTTGGATCTAATGATGTTTTAATTATATGATGGCTGAAAATTGCCGTCCCCACATCGTGTGGGGCCCATGGTTTTGGGCTTTTTTTGAAGAGAGAAAGAGTGTAAGTATTTTTTGAAGAACAAGAAGCAAAGAATGGTCTCGTTGGTCCCCGGTCCTTACATCAAAGCGTTGCGAGGTGATCGATCTCGATCACCCACACCCGGACGGGACTATGGACCACATCCAGACGTAATTGTGGTCCGATAGCAGCTACGGCGAAATCGGAAATGTACGTAAAAGGCGGTGGAAAACCGCACTTCCAGCAGTGGCCAAGCGGGCCGCCAGGACAAGGGAAGGGACCACCAGGTCAGCAGTTGCAGCCGCAGCAGCAGCAGGCGCAGCTGCCAACAACTGGCCCACAGTATAGTCCCCCGCCCGCATTGCCACCCTTTGCCCAGAATCAACAACAGCAGCAGCACACGACAAACCCGATGGGAGGACCCCCGCATCAGATGGGCTTCGCGCCGCAGGGTCAGCTTCCGCTCGGGACAGCAACTGGACCTGGACAACAGCAGTGGGGACAGACAGTGCAGCTACATCAGCAGTGCGGCATGCCAAGCGCTAGTCAGTTCGGGCTCCAGAACACACAGATGCAGCAGGCCCCGCAACCACCACTGCCAATGCAACAGACGCAGCAGCAGTGCGGGGCGCCGGGACAACAGGCCTTCACGCAGTGCCCGCTGATGCAGCAGAACACTTTTCAACCACAGCAGCCCCCCCCGGCACAACAATGGAACCCGAACCAGGGCGCATTGGCCCCCACGATTCCCCAGCAACCCTCACCAACACCTCCATGTAGCCTGCATGGACCCCCACAGGCACCGGTGGACTGCTTGTAAGCCAGCTCGTATCCTACAGAAAAGCACACGACCCATTAATATATTTATATAAGGCAAACTTTGGGGCCGGAGAGGGTCCGATAGAGGTTGGGGAGAGGTTTCGTAGAGGTTAGACAGAGGGTCGGAGAGGTAAAGTAGAGGGTCGACCAAAACAAGAGGGTCGGGGAGAGGTAAAGTGAGAGGGTACGGAGAGGGTCGGGAGAGGGTGCGCAGTATAGGGGACCGTATAGCGGCGCTATACGCCCGAAGAGGGTGCGTAGAGGTTGAGTAGAGGTCAAGTAGAGGGTAGGGGGAGAGGGTCGAGAGGGTCAGAGAGGTTCCACAGTATAGGGCGACCCTCTAAGCGACCCTCTATGTCGACCCTCTCCGGGAACCTCTTTTCTACCTCTCGGCGGACCCTCTCGGGACCTCTTGGACCCTCTCCGCGACCCTCTCCGAACCTCTCCTGGACCCTCTCCGGGACCCTCTCTCGGACCCTCTCCGGGACCCTCTCCCGGACCCTCTACCAGAACCGCCCGCACAGTGAAGCTCGCCCGCCTGCGCGCAGTGCCTGTGTCTTAGAGTAAGAATAAACAAAGCTAGGGCCTAAAAGTTAAGGTCGCCTACCTCTGCAAGTTTTTCTTTTTTGACTCCAGGGCAGACCAGGGCGGCTGTTCAAAGTGCATGCGCCGCTCTGCGTCCCCCGGGGGGGGCGCGGCGCCACGCCTTAACGTAGGCGGCCACCTAGGGCGGCCGCAACTTCACACAGTGCCCGCGCGCGGGCAACAGGTGTTGCGTCTTTGTAGCGTTGTGAAAGTGGTTGCGACCAAAGTAGCGAAAGTTTTTCTCTGCCCCTTGTCTCTCGGCGCAAGCATAGCGCATTAGCCTTCGCAAGCACATGCAGGGGACGGCCCACTCGCACAGGCACAGCCCCACTCGCCTATAAAGGGAAGACACAGATAAGGTGGCCCACGCAGGAAGAGTACCCCAGCAAAAGCGCAGACACGCTATCACAAGCAGCCAGCAAGCCTGGCACATACTATTCTATCACCACACCCGACAGCCGGGCAACTAATACCGAAACGAAGCGCCGCCAACCCCGGGCGACTCATGCTGATATATCGGATCAGGGGAAACATTAGTGCACGATGAAGCGATGCTGGCAGAAGCGTCCTACCCCAAGGCCAAGAACATCTGCAGATAAGCAGAAATCCCCTGCGGAACGAAAGGCTCTGCGACCGGTGGCGCAGCAAATCCGTAAGGCAACTTGCGGAAACGATCACGCGAAAGGGAAGGTAGACAGAGAGTAGGCGGCAACGTTGAGGTTCCCCAGATCATCAAATGCCAGAAAAAAGAGTTGTGACAGTAGACCCGCCATCCCCCAGCTCCCTCTCGGGGAGAAGTATCCTACTCACCGACCCCCCGAGTCAGAGCCGCATCGACAAAAGCATCGGCGCCACACGTGCCCAAGTAGCAGCAGAGGGCGCCTGCCGGGCAAGCCACTTCCAATACTAGCGGCGAGCCGCGCCACCCCGGCAACCTCGTGAACAAAAGCCGCCCGGTTTAATCCCAGCACCAATCTGGGAGTAAGTCCTAGAGCAGCTAGATCCCCGATGCCTGTATGTAAATATGCATGCGCAGCAACCACCTCCACGGGCGCGTGGTCCAAGCTCTGAGACTAAGCCACCTCAAGCAACCATTAACGAATGGGAAATTTATGTACCAGAGCCATCCAATGGCTGGAAGCGACCCCAGACACTACAGAAGCGCACAACTCCCCCAAGCAACGCGGGAATCTCCCAGGACCTAAAAGTAGCGAACTATCCTCATAACCCCGGAGCGAACTGCGACTACGAGCGAGTGCAAAACGGGCTGACGCCTCTGGTTATCTCAGAACTGCCACTGCCTGCCCAACAGGGAACCCAACCCGTATACTTGTACTCTGGAGGACACAGATCCCCGATGGACGTCTGCGGCGACCTTCTGTCTGCGCGACCTGCTAGATGAGAAGAGCAAACCTGGAAAAACAGCCCCGCAAGGTAGGGAGCCTGAGCACATGGCGGCACGCCGACGTAGAGAGCTGCCCCTTCTGGGCACGAAATACAACGCCCACTCGCGAAAAAAGCTTGGGCAACATAGTCGAGCGAGTTCTACCATCACCCGAGAAAGACTGCTGGAGCAAGCCAAAAGCACCCAAGACAAGCAAAAGCCAAAACGGGCACCCCAGGGCCACGAGCTGGAGGGCCTACCCCGAGCTCGGAAAGGTGCATCCTGCTAGGACTCGAAAGCAGAGCAGTCCCTCTGATCACCACTGCTTGTAAGCCAGCTCGTATCCTACAGAAAAGCACACGACCCATACCAGAAAGAAAACGAACTTGTCATGATAAAAAGTCCCCGTTACATTCTCGATATTTGGGATGACAGATAAAAATCGCCTTTCTTGCGGATCAGCATCACAGAGCTTCTTGTGAAAGAAAAACAGTAACGAATTTTCATGCTTTTTTTCTGGTACTATGGGAGAATTTTTCTGTACAATAGCTCGTCCAACAGATATCGTTCTTTTACGTTGAAGACGGCGTGTATCAAAATGAAAACTGCCCCGCCCCCAGAAGTCCGAAGTGTCCTTCATGCTGCCCAAGGTTTAATTCACATGAGAGCTTTCTGTTTGTTTTCATGAGCGAGGGACTCAGACGGACACGAGGACTGCTGCAGCTCGTTGCTTCTTCTAATTGCGCGAAAAACATTACTCTACTCATCCCTCACATCACAATTTTCCTCCCTCATAGTAAGTACCGGGGCTGTCTGCAACACATCAAATTCACGATATTTATCTCATTATTTTCCCAAAATCCTACCATAATCTAGTACTAATCTGTGTTGCTGGCATCCTTAACGTGTTACCAAACAATTTTTCCCTTCGAAATACAAATTGAGGACTTCTTGTTCTTCGTTCCAAGTTCTGGAATACATCATAACTGGGGGCACAGCTTTTTATCATCTTCTTAGCGTGCCCGTCGGAGCCTGTTTGTGTGTTCAGGCCGGCTTCATTGGGGTATACCTGGTTTAGGTCCTTTTGTACGTTATCAAAGTCCTGCTGGGTCAATATGCCGTTTATCCTGATTAAAAACGTACCCACACCAGAGTCAAGATGGGGACTTTGCAGCACAAACCTAGGAGCTTTGGGAGTCACGCATGACAAGCTTCAGTCCGTAAGGTAGTGCAAGTTAGCAAGGAAAGCTGCATCAGAAATCGATCTGCTGATCCTGTTTACAGCATTACAAGTTCCCAAACACGATTGAAAATGCCTGCCATGGGGTTGTGCATCACAAGTGTTCCTGTCATGGCAAATCTGCATGACAACTCTGGTGTGGGTACGTTTTTACTCAGGATACCGTTGTCGTCGTGGTCAAATTGGTGGAAGGCGTTGAGGTATCAAAATGAAAAATCCCCCCTCCCCATATCAAAACGGAAATTTGTGATGCTGATTTGTGGCCACAAATCAGCTTTGTATTGCACAGAGGCACTGCGGCCAGATCCCCAGGTTAGGTAGGGGCGTATGGGTCTAGTCGTTCAGCATGGCAAACGGCCCCCCTTTAGGCCAGACAGCATGGCAAATCGCTTCCATAATGGGGCGGAAGCTTCTGCCCTTGTCTTCTTGCAAGACAGATGCGATTTGTGACCTCAAATCCGCAACACAAATTTTTGGAAACATACCTTTTCAATATGGGGAGGGGGGATTTTTCCTCTCAATATGAGGGGCATAGGGTGTTTGCCGTCCCTGGCTTCCTCCATGGTGATGGTGTCGGCGTCGCGATTGTTCTGATCCCAATGCTTCATGTCGGAAAAGGAGAAGACGTTCATGGTATTGCGAGGAAAAATCCCCCCTCCCCATACCAAAAAGGGACACTTCTGAAAATTTGCGATGCTGATTTGAGACCACAGGTCGTCTCTGTGGCGCAAGAAGGCAAAGCCAAAAACTCCGCCGCATTCTGCAGGCAATTCGTAATGCTGTATGGCCTGCGGAGGATACGCCTACCTTGCTAGTAGGCGCCTGCACCAAAGCGCCCCTACTCTGGCTCTGTATCTGGTTGCGGTCTTTCACTGCAAGACAAAGCCGATTTGTGTACACAGATCTCGCATCACAGAGTTCCATTTCGATATGGGGCGGGGGGACTTTTCCTTTTGATACATGGCACCGTCGCCGTTCGGCCCATTTTCCTTCTGCGAAGCGTACGTGAACCACCCGTCTCGCTTGTCCATGTTGAACAGTTCCTTCATGTTGGCCCGGGTAAACACTTGATCGTCTCCGTGGATGTTGTTGTTTTCGGTACCGAAGGCAACTTGCCAGTCGTCCAAACTAATCTTGTGTTGGTCGGTCGTATGGCTCGCGCTGGCGATCATACTAAACGAATGTTCGCTCCCGCCCATTTTGGTCCAATCCTCCAGTTCGATGGGTTTGTTGTGTGCGACGCCAAGGAAGTCCTTGACCTCATTCAGCGACAATTTGTCCGTGAACACACCCGTACCGTGCGTGCCGCCGTCGGTGCTATCGTACAGAAAAAAGCAGGAAGGACATTTCATCTGTAATGCAAAAAATAACTAACAGAAAAACTTGTCATGGGCGAGCCCATAGCATGCTCTTTAGGTTACGCAGTTTAGATATTATTTTTGCGCGTTTATTATTGCATTTACAAATATGGTCTGCCTGCTTTTTTCTGTGTGATAGGTGCGGATCCTGGCCCAGAACATTTCGTCCGCGGTCACGCCCACTATCCTGAGTAAAAACGTCGCCGCCCCATAAGTAGTCAACATGGGAAATCTGCTAGACAAATCCACAAGTTGTGACGCTGGCGCATGACAAGTTTGGAAACGTAGAATAGTCCTGCCTAGGTACTACTAGCCCGGACGAATCACAGATCCACTCTGTTATCGTGAGCCGCGCATGTTGACAAATTACCAAACACGATCAGAAAATGCCGGCCATGCGGACCCGCTGCATGACAGATGTTCTGAGCATACAGATTTGCATGACAACTCTGGGGTGGGGACGTTTTTACTCAGGATACCCTCGACCCCGTCCACAGAAGCACTCTGGATATCCTTGCGGGTGATCTCGTTCGGGTCTCAGTATGGGAAGAAAAAAGTGATACAGTTACACATTGTGTTGTAGACAAAGCAAGAGAGACAAGGTCTGTCATGCCGAATATGCTTAGGTCTTTAGTTTCATACGTGTTTATTTCCCTCATCTATGATCACTGCATTGTAAGTTTCTGGGGCTGGTGTCATGCAGAGCGAGTTTGTATTGCTGATTTTTACCCAAGAACAAATGTGTAACTGTAACACTTTTTTCCTTGGGTACTCCGGTCATTTGCGCCAGTGCGAGGAAATGGGCCCGGCTGCCTTTCCACTCGTGTTCAGTAATCTTATGGTCGTGTGGATGTTTATCGATTCCCGTGATGTCGCTGTCGAGGTCGCCAAAGCTGATCTCGTGAGAGGCTTTGTTCGTGTCCTCCACCGGTCCACCCTGGGCTGCAACGTTTGCCTCCCAGACCACCGATTCAAACTCCCCTTTCCCAAACTTTTCGTCGTCTCCCGCCCAGTCATATTGGTCGATGGTTCCGCCCGGCTTGAAGTCATCCACTGTCAAATAGCCGTCAATCCCCGCCAGCAGCGGGAACACATTCGGGTCTCCGCCATGTTTTACCCATTCCGTTTGGTCGATTGCGTTGTTTGGGGATCGATCGACGCCCCAGCCTTCAACGTCGTGCCAGTCGATGTCGTTATCTGCTGGACCTGGTAGATTATTCATGAAATCGGTCGCGTCAAAACCGTCAAAGCCGTCGAAAGTCTCCTTTTCCAGGAAGCTGGCACGAGGTGGACTACTCCTCCTACTGTTTATTTTCCTTCGTTGCAGCGCTCTCTTCCGCCGTGCCGGCGCGTTCAACTTAGTGAAGGCCTCTGCGTCTTCCTCCACAGCTGCCGCGTCGCCAGGGCCAGGACGCGCGGCTCCTCCGTAGGTGCGTCCTTCTTTCATCACGTTTGCTACAAATTTAACATCTGCAGCGCTCTGTCCTCCACCTCCCTGCGCGCCGTTGCGGCTGTCGTCTTCCTGCGCGACGACCAGCACCTCTGCGGCAGAAACAAGGAGGGACGGTGGAGCCCTGCGCTGGCCCCCCGTCAACCACCCAGCTGGCGAGGTAGTTGCACGACGTGGCGACTGGTGACGTCGGCACGAGGAGTAGGTGCCAAAACGACCGGCGTGCTGACAAGGTGTCCTCGTCGTCGACCTCGATCGCCTTCGACCTCGAACGGCGGCGCGCTGCCCGGCACCGGCTAGTATACTAGCCGCTCTCAGCGACATCTTTACCACCTGCTGTCTGCTTGATTCCTTGTTCCAGTCGACATCTTTTCCACCGATCGACGAGGACTTCTTGTTGCTCTCCAGGACAACTCCCGAGTTGCTCCCCAGGACTTGTCCCGCCGAAGAAGTAGTAGAACTAGAAGTCCCGCCGTCCCCACGACGACCTCGGCCTGCAAGTGCGAGATTTTTACGCTTTTTTGATGTCGATGTTGTGTTGGTCGCCGCGGGGGCAGACTCAAAGGCCAGAACGGTCCGCGTCTTGCTTTTCACGAGGATGGCGAGAAGTTGTAGAACCGCACTCCCACTTCTGTGTCGGATCATGATTCTGCCAACTGCGTCGACCACCAAAAGTTTCTTCTTCCCACCGTTCTGTCCGCCCAATAGGGATAGGTGGATCACGAGGAAATTATCAACTTTTTTTTTTTTTTTTTTTATACAAATTACTGACAAAAGGGCTATAAAAGTTCCAAAAACGACATAGAAGGATGGCTTTGGCTGCTGCTGTTCCTGTCGTCCTCAGTACTTCGTTCTTCCTCTTGCTTTCGTTTAGCATGCGCCCGCTGGATTTGAACTCGCTGGGTTGCTCTTGGCAGTTGGAGAAACAACTCCCAGGTCCTTATTCAAATGCGTAATTCCTCTTTTACGCGGCCCCTCGCATTCACGTCTGCGGTGGAACGGACGCCCGCCATGACACTGCCTGCCGACTCCTCCCCCCACTGTAATCGGGGTTTGGTGAAGGCAATACAGCGCCAACAGTCAGATCGTTAAGACCGTAGGTGCTGACTGAAAAATCTTCGGCAATGTCGCTCTACCTTTTCCACTTTTTAGCCTTGACTGTTCACACTTCTTCATTCGATGTTTTGAAAGAGAGAAACTGAAATACCATTCCGTCCTGTTCGGTTATACAGAACTGCAATCTGCACAACCACATCCAGGATACGGCGCATGGCTTTGTGATCTGTGCTTTCGTGTTAAGCCGGAATAGAAATGAAGATCACCCGAAAAAAAAAGGGCTCTTCTTTCTCGCATAGCGAGGTCATGCTTAAAACTGGTGGACTTAAAAACTGTCCTGATCTTACTTGTAGACTCAGTATCTTGTTGTTGGTGAACGATAATTAGACAGGATCTGACTTAGCTAGTTTTTCGCGTTTCACAAAACTTCTGCTGATCTTGTTTTCCTTTATATTTTCTAGTTTCAAAAGGTCATACTTCCTGTGAGCATATCGGTGCTTCCGGATCTCCGATCTGGAAAAGTAAGAGCCTTTCGCGATCGTTGGGGTCCTTTTGTGTCCTATGGCAAGGAAAAGCTCCCACTTCCAGTTTGCTTTTTAGAAGCTTGCGCAGCAGAGCTTCTATTTTTCATGTCTTGTTTATATGCTTTTGCGTTCTCCATGCGTGTATGTCCCTTTTATTCATTTTATAAAAAAAAATTCATCATCTAGCACCTTACGAATAGCTCGCGTTTTGTCATGGCAAGAAATCGGCCACATCCCGGCTCTATTCATCATATAATCTGTAAATACTAAAATACCCCTACACAATAGCCCGTAGCTCAGATCTTATACAGAAGGATAAGGAAAAATCCAGACACTCATGCTATCTTCCACTATGGACTCATCCTGTTCGCATGTCTAATGCTAAGAGGAAGTGTAGCTTTTGTGGTATTTGTCCCTGCTTTTTTTCTGCAGCTGCCTTCCTGCGCCAGTTCTCCGTCTTCTTGTGCCATGGCTCTACTGTCTTGCCCGGTTCCTCTCGCGTACCATCGGTACTTGCGTATCTTCTTGGCATTTTGCTTGTGTCCGTGCAAGCTTTGCCTGGATGTCTCGGTCCATCCATTTGATCTTGCGTTCTGCCCGGCCTTGCTCGAAAATTCCGGTCAAGCGCACTAAAACGCATGACTGCAGCGAAGCACGGAGTCTGGCTCAGGGATATATTTTATTTTGTTTTTTGAAGTTGAAAAATTATTTTGTTTAGCTTTGCACAGTAGTCTGGCAAATCAAAGTACTTCACCATGGAACGAGATAAAGCATATTGAGTCAACATATGTGAGAAATACGCAGCTGCAGTTCTTAAACAAAAAATTTATGTACTTACTACTTACTCATCTTCTTCATGGTCTAACAGAAGTTCTTTTTCTATACTCTTATACTGCCACCCTAGTTTTTCATATGTGTTCTCCTCCTGTTTTTTTGTTTTCGTGTCCGCCTTCATCCTGGGCCGTATGCAGTGCAGGTTTTTTTTGATCTGCTCGCATGCAAAATTTTTCAGGAACTTTTTCCCCTTGTTTGTTTCATGTAAAAATCGGAATACTTTTTGCGGTTGCGCAAATATTTCTTTTTCGTTTTCCATTGTCAACGGAATCGTCGCAGCCCCTAAAATTAAATGTCTAGCTGTTAAAGCTGCTGGACAACGACAGTCCATAACCAAATGGGACGCATGCCCCTCTGTTACTTCTTCACATAGCATGCATTTTTGAAAGTATTTTTTCTTGTCAGGGTCATCATCATCATCTTCATGCGTTGCCATTCCTGCTCCCAGAATGCCACTTGGCACTACTCCTGAAAAAAGATAAAAGTAGAGCTGTTCTAGGTATCTTGTTGGGAAGGTGCCTGCTTTTGGTCTGAATGGCCCAAATTCCCTTGCCCGCTCCACCAGCTGCGGTGCGCTGGTTGGCTTGAATTCAGCTACTCCGATCCAGTATCTTATGCGACGCGTAAGTATTCTACGTAGTATTGATGCTGTAATTTCTTTCTTATATACTTGCGTGGTCACCCCTTTTTCCAGTGCTCTTTCGTGTCTGTCAAGTGCCTGTCCTGCTATGCTGTCAACCAAATCATTGAAAAATAGACCGCTATGTCCTGCATTCCAAATAAATACAAACTCAATCTCGTTTTCAGGTGCTATTGCAGGCATCATGGGATCTTCATGCTTGTACTTGCATCGGAATTTCATGCACTGGTCGCGTAATTCTTCCAGGGCGTGCATAATGTGAAAGAACATGATGTTCGATTTTTCATGCATATTTGCTAATCCTTCGAGCACACTGTTTGGGTCCAGATAAAAGCTGACCTTCGTTATCAGATGCGACAGGTTGTTGATCCTGAGGTGCTCCGTCGTCTTTTTCGTTTGGTGCACTAACGCATATGTCTCAGCATCAAAAGAATCTACTTGCGCGTCTTTTATTGGCGTTTCCACGATGGCAGTCGAAGTGCAGATCGGCTCCACTGGGTACCAATCCGCGAAATCTTCATTGATCACATGATCGCAGTTGAGATCGCTCGCCCACCATGTCGCTCCTCCACAGCCGCCATAGTGCCCTTCCCCCGCGGAGGCACTGCCGTCGGTGGCAATTACCAGATGTCCTGCATCCTGCAACTTTCGTCGTATTTCTCGGTCTTGTCTCCAAGATATTCTTTTCCTCGTGCGATTGATCTCGTCCTCGCTGCTGATTGCTGTGAGGCTGTCGTAGCCCCACTGTCGTCCTACATCATCCATAGTGTGCACCGACATTCTGACTCCCCGCCAGCAGCGGCGGATGATTTTTAGCGGTGCTGCAACAAGTGCTTCATGAATATCCTTTAGTCTTTCCATGCTGATTGTTCTCATTATAGAAGTCCACTTTTCTCTTATTGGTTCTCCTGCTATCGGGTTCACCATGTTGTTATTTATTATTCCGTACTCAGCTTGTGTCAGTTCCTCGCCGCTTTCTTCCCATAAGTTTTTCGCGAGGCCTTTGTAAAAACACATTAAGCACTCGCGCAAAAACATTATGTGAGGCCTAACTAACCCCGTGCTTTCGTATAAAGCGGTAGAGGGAGCCCGTTTGGGCAGACCTAGCAAAACTTTTAATTTATTGGAAACTGTATTTTCAATTTTCAACTTTGCAGCAGAGGAGAAGTAGGGATACTGAGGCGACCCCGTGCTAGAGAGGGCAGAATAGCAAAGACTTTCGAACACGTCTACCTTCTTGGTAGTTCTCAGCGTTTTCAACCCTAGGCAGACGTTAGCTTCCCTTGTCATGTCTTTCAAGATCTTGTCCGACATAGCGTTGTGCGTCCACGTGCCATCGAACAAGAAGCCTAGAGATCTTCCCGCTTCTTGCGGATCATCTTTGTAGTTCTGGCTGTAGAAGATGGTCTCGCTCTTGTCCTTCTCAAAGAAAATAAAAAACTTGCGACCAAAATCGATCAGCGAGCTTTTCATTTTGCTCAGCATGCTCAAGAAGCCTGTTTGCGTATTATCGTCGGAATACTGCGTTACTATGCCGTTGGGGTTTAACTCCATCAAGTACCTTATTAGCGGGATGTGGTGCAGGTTAAACACCCCACCTGAAAGCGGAGACCCTTGGGGCATGCCCGGCCGTAGCACCCAGACCCTAGACCCTTCCCTTATCTTCACCGTCCTTCCACTAAGCCAGCTAATAATCACCCCCAGTAAATCATCAGGCATGTTTTCCATTTTCGCTGTGTTTATTAATGTCTCATGCTCCACTACATCAAAACCTGCTATGTTATCGTTCAGCAGCACGTATTTTGGATCATTTAAATTTTGCTCCATCTTTGCATATAAAAAGTCGCACAGTCTTACGCATGAGTCCTCCTTCGAGTATCCCTGCCTGTAGGCGATGCTGTTTCTTGGCAGCACTGGCTCCGTTTTGTGCGTGATCTTCCCGCCGAGCCATTCGTATCCTTCGAGCCATTGATTCATTCTCGTGTCGACTATGGCTTCAAACAATTTGCTGTATACACTCAGCAGCGATACCGGACGGTAATGCATCTCACAAAATGGAAGGTCTTTTGTCTTTTGCACCGGTGCCAGTTGTGCAAGATTCCCTATTTTGGGAAAGCTGTCATGCTTTAAAATAACATAAAAAAGTCTGTACAGTAGTTCTTGCCCTTTGCCTCGCAGGCCTTTTATTATCTCGTGCGGAGTATTGTCATATCCTGGCGATTTTTCTTTCTCAAGCCTAGTAATAGCGCTTTTGAATTCCTGAAAAGTCAATTCTCTATAAAAGCCAGAAGCTACTCTATGCATAGCACTCCTGTGGGCATTTTTGCGAATCTCTTCCAGTTTTTCTTTGTTGTCCGGCATCGATATTTTATTCTGCTGGTAGACCTCTGTTGGTCGATTTTTATACAAGTTTTCAAATAGTTTTACTATTTGTTTTCTACAAACTTTCGGATCCTGCGAAACGAGCAGTCGAACTTTCGGTAGTTCCTGCGCGTTGGAAATAAGCAGCAACTTCCGCGGCCGGCCGCGACGGAACAACCGGAGTAAATAAGGAGAGGACCACGACCACGACCACTTTTTTGATGTCGCAGCAGGATGTCGAGCTCCGGAAGTAGAAGAACTTGTCGTACGGAACGAAGAATTTTTGTCCAGCTGCGACATCTTCACGAGGACCTGGCGGAGAAGATCATTGGCTGGTATAGTACTGCCTTTCATCAATGCAGCAATTGTACTCCTCGCCCTTCCCCTCCCGCGCGGGTCGTAGATCAGGTGGCTCTTGTTCATCATCTTCGTGGCTGTACTTGTAGATGAAGCAGTTTCTACTGCTGCTGCAGCAGGTAGTACAGCTAGTTTCTGACTTAGATAAAGAATTCCCTCTCCGAAGCTGCGCGGGTGCTTCGGCTCCCGTGGCTGGGCGAGAGCCCTAAGTGGTAGTAGTTCAATGTGCTGTGGGTAAATGAGATCACGCTGCTGCATCAGGTCCACGATCTCCTCCTTGAGCGGCACGTCGAAAATACAAGAACGACCGTCCTCCTCGCCTTGGATTCTTCTAGTCGTACAAGGTTTATTCGCAAATAAAGCGGAAGCTGCAGACTGTCGCGCTCCTTGTGCCAGACTGTGCCGCCAAGTTCTAGAGAACAACTGGGAGGACGGAACATCCGGGCTGGAATTTGAATTATCTTCATGATGTTGAACAAAATGTGCTCTTCGTGTACTAGCCTCCTCCTCGTCCACCCGGAGGTCCAAAAACTGCTCCCGCCAGTGCTGCTCGCGCATGTGGAAGTCTTGCAACATCTGCTGTTCCTGCTTCTCGAAGAAGGCGAATTGTGTGGTGTCGAAAAACACCAGGACTAGCGGCGTCGGCAAAAGAAGCAAGACCAGCAGAAACACCAGGCGGCTGCGCAACGCCGCGACGAAGTGGCTCCACGGCCCCGTGGCCGGCGGTTTTCGGCCGCGTCGCAACTTTGCCACAACTGCCGTCGTTTTCTTCCACCAACGGCTGCTGTGATTCATGGTGGTCGAGAGGAGTTCTGTCCCTGGTCCTTGTACAAGTACTATGGTTTCGAGCACGAGCGAACTGATGCACAGCACGACTTCACCAATGAACACACAGAGTCTGGTGCTCCTATTTTTCCCAGCGCCGCGGCACGACCCGTGCGTCGTGGCGTTCTGCTTAAGATCCACCGCACTTTCATCGCTTTCCCCGGTATTTTTACGTAAAAGAGGTCGCGCAGCACCACACGGTCGTTGAGAACTCCATCTTGTCCACCAATCGGGTTGATGGAAAGCAACCGCTTTTCTTGCTGTGTCTCCTGCGACCATCGCTATTTGTAGGACATGATCACGGGTGCTGCGCGAAAGACCGATACTCAACCTCGCCGTTTCCAGTCGTCGCAGACACGACGAAATTCCCGCGCGCGCTTGACAGGAACATGATGAGGTAGACTTGTAGTCTCTCTTCTTTTTCATCAAGAGCCTCGCCGCTTTTTGGTATTGTTCCGCAACATTCGGGCTCGGAGCCCGACTTTTCGCTTTACAACAACTCGAAGCAGCGCGATCCGTTCCTGCTTTCGGAACAGGGCTTCCTGGTGGCTCTGGCATTTTTTCCGACCGCATTGGATTCTTGCCAATGGACCTCTCGTCTGGAGGTGGGAATGTTGTTGCCACTACAAGGTGGCGGCGCAACGACCAATCTCGTCTACTATCTTCTCGGTCAACGTCGTCATCCGGGCAGGTGGGTCTCGAAAGTACTATTGATTGGCCGCATTTATCATTTCATGATGATCCAGCACACGACTAGCTTGTTGTGGTGGACGAGGGTGTTACATTCGGTAAATCAAGTTTTGGTTGAAGCGTAAAATTCGCGAAGGTTTTCGCATCGTTTACAAGAAAGGTCTCTTTCATTTCACAACATGCACATAAGTGAGTATCATGTAATGTCGTGAAATAGATTTTGTTCCCTTCTCCTAATTTTTCCATTCGAAAACAACGTCACGTGGGAGGAAGAAGGGGTGGCAAGGGTGTATCATCATCATGATATATCACTGAAACGAAGCGTAGGTCTTTTAGTGCTCCTACTACGACGAAGGCAATGCGTGAAAATTAATTCGGCCCGATTTTTCGATTTTTCTGTACACGAACGTTTGCTTCGACAATTGATAGACGGAAATCGAATTCGTATATCATTTTTGTACAACACGACGATGATATTTGCAAGCGACGACGACATATCTAGGTCGTCTCGAGCGAGCGCGATTTGTGTCAACTTTTCTCTACTTCTGTTTTTCCACTCAAGAAAGTTCGTCCTAATATCGAGGTCGAATTCTCACAACGAAACGATTTTTGCAGTTTTTCGGGCAAATAATTCGGGCAGACAATAATTTTCAAGGCAACGATTCTTCTGACACAACCTTAAGTGAAGCTGGGCAAGCTAGCAGTCCACCAGCTGATGAAACGATCGAATAGAAAATACTTAGAACTGGAAATGCTATTTCGTTTGGTATGTGTCAAGTGCAGGCTCTTGCTTTAGTAGAGGTAGAACGTCTACAACGGGGCGGAAATTATAGAGCTATTCGATGATCCCTCCGCACTTCTGCAACAGAACGACACTAGGGAACGCAGATCGACGCAAAGGTAATATCATACTGTTGATCTTGTCTTTGTCTGCCACCTTGGAGGAAAAAAATCCATGCCATCAAAATATTCTTCAAGATCTTGGTTTTTCACCTAGAGGATGCAACTTCAAGATCCGGCGGATCCGGTGAAGAGCGGTGTTTTGTCGGAGGTTTACTATCCTGCGCTGCAAAAAGGTCCCCGACCCAAATCCGCACGTTTCGGGAGTCACGCATGACAAGCTGCCATGTCGAGAGTAGTGCAGGCTAGCAAGAACAGCCACGGAAGATCACAAAGCCATCCGCTTACCCTGTTTACAGCATTACAATTTTCAAAACACGAGGACGGGCAATGCCTCTTAATTATGGGGATTCGCATTACAAATTGATTCCTGAGGATATTACAAATCTGCGCGACGAGCACGGGTTGACTTCGTTTTTATCCAGGAAAGGGTCAATAATTTGCTCAGATCAGGGTAGAACACGACCTCCAAAAAGTAAACCAGAACGGATGCTGTCCCGCCGAAGATGACTGTACAGCACTGTTGGGCAGCGAAGTACGAAGACGAGGCCTGTATCAACATAAGTACAACAAAGAACTTTTATATAGTCTTCAAACAATCAAGGTTGATTCTGAGGCGGTACAGATACAAGTCAGTGATAGTGACAACAAGTACTTATCAAACAGGGTTTGAACTTCATTACCGGGATTTTTTTGGTTGTGCCTTTGTTTCATATTTCAAGGACACGAAATCCTGTGCTTCATTTTTATGCAGAGCCGCTCGTTTTAATCAAGTAGCTCCACCTGCTCCTTAGGTTCGTTTTTTTCCGAGGTTCAGAAATTTCTTTTCAATAAGACCGGGCAGGAGGTAGTACAATCAAAGTTTTGGACCTTGTGAGGACTCAAAACAGAGCTACGGGAAAATTGAGTCGAAAGAAAGACACAAAATGAAGAGGAGTGAAAAATTATAAGTAGATACAGCGAGCCCCTTCCAGCAGATGAGTCCGCCTAGTGTCCTCGTGCAGTTCTCCCGGTTTCTGGGGTACTAGTAATAAATGAAGAAAAAGAAGCTTTGTTCTGCTGAAACAGAATCCGAAACGGAAAGAGAAACAAAAAAAATCGTAGAAGTTTCCCTGAAAATCAAGGTGCATGTATCGAATGATACATACATACTGCCAACCAGGGTGGCGAGATATTATCAAAGAATCTAAAGAAGTCGAAAGATATTGACTCGAAATACAAATCGACTCAACACCACTGTCGCTACTGTCGCCTGTACAACTAATGAGTGAAAGAGCAGCACCAATAGCTTGATTGAAAAATTGAAAAAATCGAAAATAAAAGAAGAAGATTATGTACATACGAACCTCGTACTAGAGGGAAATAAAGACCAAAATCCTAAGTATATTATCAAAACTGTCGAAACTAGACAAGACGAGACATCATCATTGCCGCGCTGTTGGAAGAACATAGTGACTTTATTTCTGCTGCTTTGGACGCACTTGAGCTGACTAAAGACCGAAAAAAAAAGTGAGAAGTTTTATAATTTTTTTTTTTCCACGTAGTAAGTTTCTACGTACGCATAGCATTCGCTTCGAGATCGCGAGCAGATATTTACTACTGAGGAACTTTGGAAATTAAATAGGCGGACCATAGAAGCCTACTTGGAAGAAGAAATGAAGCTCCTCTCCGGATAGAAAAATGCCAATATACATCAAATTGGGCAGGTCTGACCTCAAGAGACGCAAAGACGCGCTGGCCTGACGGATATATTTTCGTACCACTGATTGTTCAATTATTTTACTACAAGTGCAGTACCGCTTCAAATCATTTGAATAAAACCTGACGCCAGTCGACACGTCATTTCATCACCCGACTACTTGAGGAGCTGCGCAAAAGAACATAATTGTGTGTAGTTCTTGTACCTGTCATAAGAATTCTTTGACTTTAGGAAGGCCAAAATTTGTTTCCTCTTGTCACAAAAATATTAAGGCTACAGACTACATTCGAGGAATGTATAGGTGAGATGTTGTCCATAGGGGGACAATCATCCTCCGGCGTTTTTCGCTGCGAGAAGAGTATACAAATATCGCGAGTCTTTTTTTGTACAGGCAAAATACGAGCTCAATGTAAGCAGCGAGCATTATTTCTACCGTCGACGAGCGAAGCATAACTTTTTGCAAATTATGCGAATAAGACAGTATGTAAAGTACATTCATCAGGTGGAAAGAACTATTAAGAACAGCACCGAATTTTTATCGTCCAACAACATCTTCACTGTAGACAACCTACTGACCACCGCCTCCCTACTCCTGCTCCAGAGCTAAAAAGAACTACCGCTCGCGTAGACCAACAAAGTTGGTGTGTAGCAAGCTTTGATAGTACTATTTCCACCACGACGAGGACCTGAGCGGTCTTTTTCCTTCTGATCTACTCCTCCATCCTCCGCCACTTCCCGTGCACATACTTCGGTGCTGGCGCCAGGAGATTCCAGTAGTTCCAGTGCTTCTTGTAGGGTGCTGGGCGTGATTTCCGTGCCGTTCTGGCCGAGGAGCCAGGAGCTAATGGATCCAGGTGCGTCGTAGACCACCGCAGAGTTCTATCAAAAGGAAACATCCCCCCTCCCCATATTGAAAAGGTATGACTTCGAAAATTTGTGTCGCTGATTTGAGCCTTAGTTCCCCATGATATCCGTAGGCCAACTTTTTTTTTGCTAGCTCCCCCCTCCTCGCAGGCTAGAATTTGCGTGGTCCCAGAACATGCAACGTGTCCTCCGTGCCATCCGGGCACAAAGGGGGCATTGGCGTCGCATGAAAAACAAGATCAGACACCAATACCGGGCACACACATAATCTACCGTTGGATCGGGTTGAGAAACTAACTAAGAGGGGATGCGGCCCCTCCAAATAGAGTAATCGAGCAAAGGATAAGGAAGCAAAGGCCAACGTCGGGGGTCCCTCACCCCCAACTGATTTGAGGTCGCAAGTCATATTTTTCTTGCAAGAAGACAAAGGCAGGGGCTTTCGCCCCATTATGGAATTGATTTGCCACACTGTTGGGCCTAAAGGGGAGCCGTTTGCCATGCTGAACAACTAGACCCATACGCCCCTACCTAGTCGGGGTTCTGGCCGCAATGCCTTCCTGCAATACAAACCTGATTTGTGTACACAAATCCAGCATCAGAAGTTTCGTTTTGCTATGGGGGGGGGGGATTTTTCATTTTGATAAGTTCTTGTCGACAACTTCGGGCCCCGTCCGCTCGGGCTGGGGCGCGACAGCGCCTCGCAGGTTGGGGGAGAATCCGCGATCGCGGGCGAGAGATTTCGGTTTTGCCGCTTGTTCGCCGTGAAGCGCGACTTGATTATTTTCCTGCTGCTCGTCCGTCTGTGTTCGTTTGACCTCGTACCGGTCGTTGCCAACTACGTCACCCGCAACTGGCGCCGGAAGGCTCGTCATGTCTTCAGCATTCCGCTGCTGTGCGGGGGCTCGCAGAGTGCCGCGCAACGCGGCCTTGCGGCGGTCTTCGCGTTGCTCGAACGAGAGGCGCGGGTTACCACTAGCCTGGCGAGAACTTCTAGCGCTGGCAGTCTCGATGGTGTCGGAGGTTCTTGGTGCTTCATTTTTTTCACCAAGGCGATCAGTATCAAACCGCGCGTCGTGGAGGTGTGCTTCCTCCGCTGGACCTCGTCCCTGCTTCCCTTGTCCCCTCGCCAAAACGCTGATCGTCCTCGCAGGTGTCGCAGTACCAGTACTTCTAGAGTTATGCGCCCGCTCCTCTTCATTTGCGGATGATCGCTGCTCTGCGAAGACCTCCGGCACGGTTTTGGAATTCATCGAAGAGTCCTCGTTTTCCACCACCCACCTCTCGCTTTGCTGCTGATAGTCCTGCTGGCTTTCTTGTTCCCGCACAAAAATCTCGTCGTCCGATTCGTCAGGATGCAATGCTTCTTGCAGGGTGCTGGGCGTGATTTCCGTGCCGTTCTTAATGCGGAACCACTGCTGCGCATGCTGCGCGTAGATAAGCTGACTGGTCGTGCTTTTCGCCATCTTTCTGTCCTTCGCCGACACGGAAGATGTCAGGTTAATATCTTCTTGATGCTCTGCTACTCCTTCCTCCACTTCCAGCACCAAACACGTCAGCGAGTAGAATAGCCCGCCTGGGGCTCCGTGGAGGTGGGACGTCCTACAGGTAGTCTGCGTATTCGGCTCATCATCTGTTGCCGTAGGTCGTGGACAGCAGGTCGTGGTGGCACTACTATTGCAGTGTCGATTTTGCAGCTCATGGGGGTCATCCAATATGGAGGACGACGCACTAGCACCAGGGAAGGTCGTTTTGTTCGCTTTCTCGATTGACCTAGTTCCGCTCGAGAACAAGACATCATCCGTAAGAGCACCGCTTGTTCTTTCCGCTGTGCCTGCCTGCTCCGCACAGAAGATCGGTTTGTACGCATTGCTGCAGGGTTCGTAGAAGATATGCTCCGGAACGATCGTCATACCAGCGTTGCTGCCATGTACTAATTTCCGGCTTTTCCGCTGCGAAGAGAACGGCGATGTTGCCAAGGGGCGGCTTCGGTTTTCTTCTTGCTCCTCGAAATCTCCAGTAGTCGCTTCATTGGTCGTCCGGCTGCCTGGTTTATCAGCTTTTGATTCATCGTCGTCGCCACTTGAAGACGAAGGTAGTTTTCCTTTCGGTGCTTTTTTGGTGTCCTCCTGTGCATGCTGCTCCTGCTTCTGCTTGGCGTGCGCCTTCTCAAGAATTCGCTGAGACGCAATGTTTTCAACAACATCGGAGGCGTTCTTGACGATCGCGCCGGTTCTTGAGCTATCCAGGGATTTCTCTTGTCCACTATCTTCCCCAGCACGGGGCACGAAGAAAATAGCACGCGGGGGATATTGAAGATGACCCATCTCGCTATTTTCAGGCAACAACTGCCGCTCCACCGGTTCACACTTTTTCTTATTTTCCGACAACTCCGAACCTTCTTTGGAGCCGCTGTGGCGGTTTCTGGCATTTATTTTTGCCGTTCCTTGTTTGGACGGAACGGCCGCAGTCACAGATGTACTAGAGGCAGCTGCTGGATCCTTCATGCACGTTGAGGGAATGTCTTTCGCTGCTGTAGTCACCACTTGGTCATCATCGTCCGCTACGGACGCAGAAGATGTTGAATCGCCCGGTGTCATGAGCTTTTCCATACCGCAGACCTCTACGGCTTGACTGATCCTTGCGTGCGCGTTCCGCAACAGAAATTGCAGTATCGAGGAAAGGTTGCGATTGTTTTTTGGCACCGTGGTCGTCGAGGCGGAGGGCTGAGGTTGTTTTTTGCCTTCTACAACTTGTTTGCCGCGGGTAAAAGTCAATATGCAACGAAAAAAGTGTACTTACACTCACGCATTGTGTTCTTGCAGGCCGAGCAATACAGACAAGATCTGTCAAGATGCTGGATACGACATTGGGGAGCCTATTGGCTTCTTCCTACGTGTTTTCTTTGCTTCCTATAGGATCTCTGCAAAAATGGAAATGCAACGTTTATTTTTTCTCTGTCCAGCAGAGAAAGCTTTTTGTGTTGCTGAAGTTCTTGTTACATTTAAATGTGTAAAAAAAAACTACTCTATCTTCTATGTATAAACACTTCTTTCTCAGGATATTAGACGTGGACGCAGGTTTTTTACCACTTGGGTTCGTGGTAGTTCTCGTCGCACAACAAGATGAATTCGCACTTCTGCCACTTGAGACACCGAAGAAGGCCTTATCGAGGTCCAGTGGCTCCAAAAGTGGGGCACAGGGCGCCGTGAAATAGTCCAAAAGGAAACGATATGCGAGTGTCCCGAACCTCGAACTTCCACTCCTCCGCATTCTTTCATGCAAATTAATAAACTGCAGAGAATCATCTTCGACGTGTGCGTATTTCTTGTTCTCTGCAGTTATAATTTTCTTTTCAACTGCGTTCTACTTGATGCATGACCATTCGTACATCTACCAGAGGGCGTTTTTCTCGTATGTTTGTGTTTGTGCAGCTTATTCTCATCAAATGAGAAGGAAATCACGGAGGTTCTACTGGTGCAGTGCTCGGATAACCGAAGAGGGTCGTAGTCGTTTTCATTCGATTGAAACGAAAAAGACGGTTTACAATAGTCAGTGCCCACCTGCTGGTGCTGCAGGGCAACTACTCCTGCTTTAGCCGCTGCGGCCGCTCCTTTCGTCTTCCGTCTATTATTCACCTCTCGACTCCTCGCACTACTTCTACTTCCCCCGCCGTGCTGCTGGTATAGCAATCCGTTTTTGAAGCACCTCTCCTCGTACCGAAGGCCGTCCTCTAGATTCTGCAAAATCGGGTAGATGGAAAGCAGACCGTGCGTGACCGCATTGAAGGCTCGATTGTCGCCCGCCAACGGCCGCAGCGTCACTCTCCACCGGTGTTGGGCGAGGTGGACATGGCAACCACTAGACGTCGCCACTTGATGCGCGGCGACCAGGTTGGTTTCGTGCGGGTCCAGCGTTTCAGCGAAGTTTATGGCCGCACACGGCAACATATTACAATGAAAAATGCCCCCTCCCCATATCAAAACGGAAATCTGTGATGCAGATTTGTGGTCACAAATCAGCTTTGTGATGCTAGAAGGCAAAAGATGCGGACTGTAGTGCTGTCTAGCGGGGGAAAGCCTTGCAGCTCCAGGATGACAGGAGGCAACTGTAAGTGGGAAACAGCATGACAGATTACCTGCAATTTAGGCCGCAGCTTCGTCTCTTGGCCTTCTAGCAATACAAGTTGATTTGTGTACTTCAAATACAGCATTACAAATTCGCGCGTCTTTCGTTTCCGATATGGGGAGGGGGGATTTTTCCTTACGATACAACACATCAAATCTGCCGCCAAGCGCAGTACTTGTGCCAGCCGTCTCGAAGGAGCCTGACGAATCAAAACGGTCTGTCGCAGGACCGAAGAGAACAGGAGTGCGAGCATTATATTGATGCCACGACCAATAATAGCCGCCGCAGCGGGGGCAGTGAGGTCATGGCTGTTTTTTTGTCTTCACGCCAAAAAAAGACGCGACTTCTCTGCCCAGCATGCCATCGTGAGTAATGTTATGCACAACGGCACGGCGGTCGCTAAAAATCTCGATCCAGAGCTGGCCTTCATTTGTTTTCGAATCGAAAAACCTTTCCCGCATGCTATGGACCTGCCAGGGCCCCCGCCAGGGTCGGCCCCTTGGGAGCCACAAATCGGGCCCATAACATGCAGGCTGGCTTTTTGCTTTTGGCGGACTTTGGTTTTTTTTTGTTTTTTTGTTAAAATGCCGCATCTTCTGGCCTTTAGCCCGCCTCTGAAATGGCGGATTTTGGTGGCGTCTCTTGCGGGGCCCGAATGTGGGCCAAAATGAGGCCCATACCATGCGGATTCGCTGTTCTTTTCGGGCTGCTGCTTTTTGGGCGCTCCTTTTTGGGCGCCCAAAACCGCCAGAAACCAAGGCGGTGGGCGCCTCAGAAGGGCGCCCCTTTTGCCGGCTCCCCTGCGTCGTTTTATCAAGCGGGAATCGATAGAATTGGCTCGGGCTTGTTTGATGGCAAAGCCCCGCCAGCTTGATAATTGAAAATTTTTTATATCCAAAAACACTTCCGCCCGCTTAGTAACTGCCGGTCGTTTTGCGCACTGCATGTCAAAAAAACACCTAGGATAGAACGTTCGTGACCTCACTACATATGAAAAAGCAGTAGAACTACTATGATTGTCGCTGTCATTCTGTTGCATCTGTAGCATGCCAGGCTGCACGTAGTTGGCGGCGTCCCCCGGGAATGTGAAAGCCGCACTGCTGCTATAGGATGTCGACGCGGAGAAATTGTTATCCGTGTAGAAGTTTTGGTTGTCAAGGAAAGAGGTCCCGTAACCTCCGCGACCCCCGTCCTGGTAGTTCATCTCGTAGTTGCACAACCGAGTGTCCTGAGTACAAACGTCCCCTGCACGAGATAATCTCTTTACTTGCCACGCAAATCTGCATGCCCAACCAACTTGTGTCTCATGCACAGGAGCCCCACGAGCATGAGATGAAGCATTTTCTGTTGCTAGCTGGTAGCTGGTATCTATAGTAGCTCTCGTGCTTGAAAGTCACATAGGATAAGGAAGTCAATGTATTTTATGTGATGCGCCTGCGCCAACTAGTCGTAAGCACACTAGACGTCGAGACCCAAGTACAACCAGCTAAGTTATCATGCGCAGGAGCCAAAGCTTCGTGGCTTGCGTGGAAAGCTACCTGCCAGCTTGACTATCAGGGGCCAGGGGCATTTCTTCACTCAGCATACCGAGTGTCCTGATGCCGGTAGAGGTTGCCGTCGCTCCCATAAGAAGCTGCACCAGGGTAGTTGTAATACAGCGGGCCTTGGTGCTGTGAGCAATCTCCCGCAACCAACATGGAGCCATAGTCGTGATAGAGCTCGCGCTCCTGTCCGAGCCCGTCTACTTGCGCCACACCCTGCTGGACTAGCACGTTCGCGGTGCTACCGACAGTACCGCGAACGTTCGATATTGGAAGATCACATGGGAAGATGAAATCATTATAGCCATTTGTCACTGTCGTAGTACCATTTGAAGATGCCGAAGCTGCGGGCACAAATTCCACAAAAGTCTTCCTACACGACAACACCGATCCGTCCTTTTGTTCGTCGCCGGGCGCGCCACTGTTGCTAGTACAAGAAGTGCCAGGTGGACCACAAGCAGATGGCGCTAGATGAGTTCTTGTCAAAGCATTCTGATCATCATCGCAAGAATTAGTAGTGGTATCATCATTTTGCGGCCCTGTAGCAGAATTCATCTGTGCAGCCGTGTCCGTCGTGGCTCCTCCCCCGTCCTCTGCGCTGGAGAGGTGGGAGCTGTCCTTTGTCCTTGCGGCGAGTACTGTAGTACTCTCCTGGCCCACCAGGCACGTCCTGCTTTTTTCCTCTTCATCCTGACCATGAGCAGCCGACGGTCCGGCGCAGCGAGGACCAGAACTCTTGCTTGCACGCGTTCCTGTTCCACCAGCTGCTTCATACAGCAGATCCTGTGCCGAGCACGCCGTCGCAGGTGCGGAGGAGGAGGCCACTTGGTCATCCACCGCGAGGCATGGCTTTGACGGGACAACATCTTTAGACGCTTGTTCCGCGAGGATTGGAGGTATTGCACTAATAGTACTAGCTCCATGCTGGTCCTCCGGGAACAGGGCGGCCGTTTCTGGTGGGCGCGAGACAGCAGGATTCTGATATGTCGTGCCATTATGGTCGGAAGTACTTGTACTGGTATTTGTCGTGACCACGCAGCGCGGCTCGTGAGAGTGTTCATTGACGCCTGCTGCATCGGATTTTTCATCCCAAGAAAGAACTGTTTATATACAGTTACACACTTGTAGTTGCAACTTCAGCAACACAAACCTGTCCTGCATGCCAAAGAAAACTATACGGTGTGTCGAACACGCTCACAAAGGAAAGTACTCATGTTGAGACGAGGCTTGCAAGGTTGATGTCTGTCTTGCTTATATCTAGTTGTACACTGCAATGTGTAACTGTATACATTTTTTCTTTGCATAGGATTTTGAACCCGACGCGTCATCGTCGACGACGAGGTCTTGTTGTATGACCCCCTCAGGTGCTACAATCCCCGCTGTTAGTAGATCAATATATTGAGCGATGGAAGATACATTTCTTTATTAGAATCTCTGATGCAAAAAGATGAAAAAGTGCACTACAGAATGAACAAGTGCGCGTGCCACGAGCTTTCTGGAGTGACATCAAAAGTCACTAGAAGAATCCGGCGAAATACTTTGCGCTGTATGCTTCTCATGCTCTTCTGGTTAGAGAAAGTCCAAAATGATTCTGTTCTTTATGTACCTCTGACGCGGCTTGAGATCAACATTGTAAGGCCTGGGCAGATCAAAATCAATATAAGTACGTGGTCTTTGCTCCTGTCGCTGCAGTTGTCCTACTTCGTGGTCGTGTACTAGTCCATCATGATCGTCCACCGAGGCACCCACAGTATCAGAAGGAGGACCGCACCGCTCTTGAACCATTGTCATCAAATGCTCGGTCGTGGCGCCAGAAGTTGCAACTCCACCGTCCGGAAGAACAAATGTGCAAGTATAATATCCTGAGTAACAAGGTCCCTATCCTAGAGTAGTTGTCATGTAAGTTCGCATGCCTACCATGTTTTAACGTGCGCGGCCACACCATTTTCTCATCTTGGCTTGATGTAATTTGTCATGCTATTATCAGGATGAGGTGAAGATCAATTCCTGATGCGGCTGCACTAGCTAAGGTGCACTACTCTACAAACAGAAAAATCTCATGCGTGTTGAAGACTCCCAAAACTCCTGGCTTTGATGTGTTGCAAAATCCACCAAATTGTGGCGCTGGGGTGGGGGCGTTTCCACACAGAATATCATATTTGTCAACAGCTGCGACGACATCGATTTTCCGAGAGGCGGATACTGGTCCGAATACACTTCACATCTAGAAGTATTTGCCGACCCTGAACAACTATCGGAAACGGGAGTAGGGCCCCACACACTACCGTTGGTGTTTTTCGCCCGGTTTGTTGTTCCTACTTCAGGGAAGATTACACCACTCAACATCGATTTGTTGGCCTCATGCTGCTGTTCCCGTGGAGCGTCTACGAGCTGCGGCGCGAGCTGTTCTGGTACCACCTGCTGGTGCGCGTGGTTGCAATGATCCTGAATCATACCATTTTGGAGGAACAGATGGCAACTACCGCTTCTAGCTGCACTAGTTCGTGGTCCCGACGAGGAGGAGGGATAGAACGCGGGGGCGTTAGCGTTGAGCGTGGAACGTTTGCGCACCTCTTCGGACAACTTTTTCGCGTCCCGGGTCCGAGCCTCCCCTGCAAAAAAAGCGGCTCCGCGCGCCAGCACCTCTTTCTTGTTTTCGCGAAAGCACCTCTCAAGCAGATCCGTTGCTGTTGCGCAGCATTCGCGACTGCCTCTCAGCAGGATTTCCTTCTGGTCGGCCAGAAGCCGAATCTGGAAGTGGGAGACCGCGCTCTTAGTAGAAGTCGCGGCTTGTTTTATCCTCAACAAGAATAATGCCCTCGCTGCAGAGGTAAGTGGGGACCTTTGTGAGGCGGGTCCAGAATTTTTGGAATTTATGCGTGACAGGTTTGGCTATGTGGACGTAGAACAGTAGTCTAGCCTAGCTAGTCCAGACGCACCGCAAATCCACGCTATCATCTTGATTATCGCATGATAGTAGATTCCCAAACGGCACTGGATAATACCTCTCATCATGGAGAGTCGCATAGGAAATATCCCGAGCATGCAGACTTGCATGACAGCTCTGCGGTGGGGAACTTTTTACACAGGATATGTCGCACTGGGCCTTCACACGACTTCTTGGTTAACGTCGGGCGTTCTACTTTTTCTGTTGCAGTGCTATCTACTTTATCGACGTCGTCCTGCTGGCGCATCTTGCTTAATAGTGCATCCTGATCTTGTTCGCCGCCAGTACAAGATCGATTTTCTTGTGCGACCAGTATGGCGGCTGCAAATATGTCTGGATCTGGAAGGATGCAGCTTGTCAATCATGCGAGGTCTCCATCACAAAAAGCTGTGTTGGATGAACGCCAAATGTTGCTCAGTTCATGCTGGGCAAAAACAGGCGGATTACTAATCTCACGCGTGGTGATAGGCATGAGGACGATCCAGCAAATAGATCTGCGACGCTTCTTCATCTGTGAGCATTCCAGACCATGTGCGTGGTCCGTGCGATGCATGGCAAATCTTGCACTCTCCCTCCAGACCCAGACATACGTGCATTTGATAACCTGCCTCAATATGGTATTCAAGGCACCTTCCGCGTCCGCCTTCGAGTCGGAGAGGAACATAAAAAACCCGACTTGCATATTGTGAGAAAAAATCCCAATCCCATACCTGACAGGAAAACTCGCGACGCAGATTTGTAAGTAACCACGCATCGCTTCTGCCTTGCAAGAAGGCAAGCGCAGGGGTATGTATGCGTCGTATTATGGAGGCGATTTGTCATGCTTAACAAACTGCGCTACCGTGCCCGGGAGGGTGCAGGATCCAAGGGGTGCACTATGCCCGGTAAGGCCGAGCATCTGGCTGCAGTTCCATCCAGCAATACAGATCCCATCCGTAGCGTCAGAGGCTTTGTTTTTTGTGTGGGAAGGGGTGGCTTTTCCTTTTTGATATTCCGCAATGTTGCTACTCGTATCAGGATCTTCATCACCGGGTTGTAGACGCAGCTCGCTCTGCTTGTTTCCTGGTCCCTCGTGGTCTTGCTCCGGTTGCTGGTCGTGAGGTGGAGTGCATGGTCGGGAAAATTTCCCCCTCCCCATACCCGAAGCGGAAATCTGCGCTGCCCATCCGGGACCACAAATCTTCGCCTCTGTCTTGCAAGAAGAAGGCGATGCCAGAGATGTCCGTCGCATACATTGCGCGGCTGATTGATGTTAGACTTTCATGATGGCAGCCGCCCGCCATGCGAAATAACACACATCGTACGCAAGAATCCCCATGATTGATACCAGCGTGCAACCTGCGATTCCCGGCTGCAAGACAATAAAGATGATTTTTATACGCTGCAGAAAATTCGGCGTCACTGATTTCGTTATGTGGCAAGGAGCGGGAGGAATTTATTTTCATTTTGATATTTTTAGAGTGCTTGTAAACTCGGAGGATCTACTTCTCGGGGAGAGAGGAACGCTTTGATGGCCGCCTCGGAGCCGAAACGTTTCGAATCTGCACTCGTTTTGCAGGACGTTCTGCTCAAATTGTCGCAGGTCCGTCTCGCTGCCGGTGATCGTGAGAGTCAGCTCATTTTTACCCTCGGTTCGTTCCGCGGGGAGGTGGGCCCCCTGCGAGGAGGTCTCTCCTTCTGCTTCCGAAAGCACGGTGGACGCAGTCACGCCCGCCTGGCTCTGGCTGAAAACCGTTTTCACACTGTTCGCAGGCCCCTTTTTCATCTTCGTGCCTTCCTTTTTATCCCGCTTTGCAGCTCCACCGCAGTTCATCGCGATTGCTGCATTTTTTCTTGCGAAAGCACCACATGAGGAGGAGAGAGCCGGGCAGGAACTGGAATTCAATTCCAGCTTATAGTCTCGAAGATACTTTTGAAACTTCTTGGTCGTCTTTGGTGGATGCTGCAGGGACTGCACACCACCGATCGACGTGCTTGAAGACGTAGCTGCTGCTCCTATCGCAAGAAAAAACTGCAGTTTCACTCTGAACTTGTGATGGAGAAAAAGGAGCGCCAAAGTGTATCCTGTCTTTACTACATCTGCAAAGCATTGGATTTGCCGGCGTGCTTATTTCCCTTGGGAAGCGCGCATGGCAAATATTCTGTGTCATATGTAACAGACTTGTGACGCAGATCTTGCAACATTCATCACAGTGAAATAGTTCTTTCGAGGGATAGCTCCTCCGTTGCTGCATTTATTATTCGTCGCATTCTTCTTCCCTCCTTTTCCTTCCCAACCACGCTGCGCGACCTGCGGGGCCTGAAAGAGTAAGTTCCAGGTGTGCAACGAGGTGATCTCGAAAGTCCGGGTTTGCTGCAGCACACCCTGGGTCGTTCCGGTCGTTGGCAAAACAAATTTCTCCCCACCCACTAATTCTGCGTCTGCCGCGAAGGGCTTCCCCCTGTCTGCGTTCAATGTTGCCGCGCCCGCAAGCGCTTCGGGGACAAAATCAAAAGCGCAATCACCTTCGGGGCGTGCATGCGGTGTGGAACAGCTAACAGGTGTCGATGAAATGCCGCACCCAGGGCGATTTTCTGCCGGGACCTCCTCTACCTTTGTAATGTGCTCAGTCTGGGTGTCGGCATCACAAACACGACGTGCACCTGCGATGCGGGCTCTGCAAAGGCTCGCAAGTGAGACCTGCTCCTTGTGCACGATAGGAGGCCCGCGCCCGCCACTTGACAAGCAAACTTGTACCTGCAAAAAAGGTGCGTCGTCCCGGTGGGAGGTCGTGCTGACCTCCGGCAGTAGTTCCTCGGCGTCGGACCGAGACACGATAGACTCTTCGAAGTCCAAGCCGCTCCGGCTGCGCACCATGTTTTGATAGTGCAGCGACGGCAGCGACTCGCCACTCCGCGTTGCACTTAAAGCCCCACCAGAAGTTGCAGTCGTGCAGGTCTGCCCACGATCCGAGTTCATCACGGACTGGTTAAAAGTCCGAGTTTGCCTCGGCGAAGAAGTACTGGCAACTTCTGCTCTTTTGGTACAACTACCTTTCATCACTATATCCGCCGTTTCGGATGAGCAGCTCCTTCTGCTGGTCGTGGTATTCCGATCGTCGACCACAACCGAACAACGCTGGACTTCTGAAGAACCAGTGGCGGGTAGGTCTTCTACCACACAGGAATTGCTACGCCCGTCGGGTGGAGCAAGTTGTAACTCCTTTTCAGCACAATTTTTGTGCGCAGATGGAGCTGCACGTCTCCTGTCAAGAACAACTTCTGCCGTCATTTCCTGCAGCAGAGTAGGAGAACTTGTAGTGCTGCCAGCGCGAGGACGCGGAGGGTTCCTAGAAGTACTACTGGCCGGGGCTGCAGCTCTTGCAGGGGCTGACAGGTGCTGGCCCACTCCATGCAGAGCCAGCGCTTTCTCCTCGACCTGCTGCAGCCCTCTGCAATGTCTCGTCGTCGCGTCCTCCTTAGCGGTAGTAGTTCCTACCGGCACTTGTACTGTCGTGGAGGGAAGAACATCAAGTGGTGGTCTTTCTTCGAGATCAAGATCTTTCGCAGGCTGCCGCTGCGAATCTTCACGTAGTCCTCGATGTCGTACTGAAGTTGTTGTCAGGACTGCGGTCGTGCTTTGAACAACCTCCGCCTCCGCCGGATTGTCCGACAAAACTGCTCCAGTTTCCGAATTCACGTCCGATTCCGGGCTCCAGCTGGAGCTCCCCGCGTCTCCGGTACTCAGAGATTCTTCCTTCGCCTGCTCTGCACTGAGGACGGCCGTCGAGTCGTCCGCGGAGATTGTACTGGCGGTAATTATATGGAGCGCCGCCCGCCCGCTTGGTAAAGAATCCTCAAGAACGTCGTGGGCTCTACTTGCTGTGGAAGAACTACCTGTAGATCGACTAGGAGGATCTTGATGTCCACCGCCCTCTGGCGTCACCAACCGTATCGCGGGCGAATCTTCACGGACGGGAGGCGTGTTTCTCGCGGGTAACAACTCCGTGGTGCTGGAAAGAACTACCTGTTGTTCTCCCGAATCTTGTCCTAGAAGAACGTCAGAAGACCCGACGACGCCCGAACGGCCGTCAAGCTCGTGGTCACATTGTGTGGCCACAGAGTGCTTGTCCTTCGCCCGACCCGCTCCGACTTGTCCTCCTTCGCCTTCCGCCTCAGTTCCGCGTCGTTCCGGGCAATTAGCTTCGACGTTTTGTTTCTGCACAAACTGAGGCTTTTGCCTGTCCGCCATAGGTCCTGCACAAGTGATTTTCACACAACCACTTTTGTTCAGATTCGACTTCGGGGCCGGATCCACGCTCGACTCCGCAGAGTTCCCGGGCAGCATTTCCACCTTGACGGCGGCTTTCTTCGTTTCCTCCTTGCCCTCGGCTGTAGAGTCCGCGACGAGTTTTTTTTCTTCTCGATCTTGCGCGCGCCGCGAATCGCCTTCAGTATCGCCCTCAAAAGCGGCCTCCAGGACCACGGCCGGCGAGTCCAGACACAGTGGTGGCGACGAAAGTGCGATGGGAAGTTTTCGGGGTCGGATCTGTTTTAGTTCGTGCGGCGGTTGTTCATCTCCTGCATCGTCCTCTTCTGGTCCCCCTTGAATATTTTGCTTTGACGTGCTTCTCGTTTGTTCGTCGCTGAACAAGGAGCCCCGTGAACTGGCGCCGCAGGTTTCTTGTGCTCCGGCCGCGGGAAGTGGAACAAGACCTGTCAACACTTGCGTCTCAGTCACACCTGCAACTACTTCCTCGGGACGAACGAGATTTTTCGCCTGTTCTTGTACTATGCGCTGAAGATTTTCTGCTTCAGCTTCAGCATCGAGCCTGGTCACTTGCAAGGGTCGTGTCGCCGCACTCCCGACGTCGCAACTGCTGTCGACGGCGTCCGGTTCTCTGATTGTCAGCCTCGACCGGGGGCTCTTGGTCTTGTCTGGAAGAACAGAACTAGAGTCGCCTCCTTCATCTCTGGTGGCATCGCGGCCCTCTGCTTTGCCGGCCGCGACAGGAGAGGTCTCCACTTCCTCAAGATCTGCTCTATCAGCCTCTTCTAGAAGCTCCTCGACAGCACTTGCGCCACTGCCTGCCGTTTTCGGTTTTTTGTTTTTCCGCTTCTTCTTGCGAGCCACGGGCGGCGGCACCAGTGTATTCACGGGACCTCCAGCGGCCGCTCCACCGGTCGCAGAGAAAGGGTCAGTGCCACCGAGACTCGTTGTACCCTCGTCCTCCGTCGCGATTTTTCGTCGATCTTTCACCTGTTGCACTTCGCAACGGTACCTGAAATTTGCATGCAAACAATCTCGGGTTTCGTGCTGAGGATCCACTTCGGTAAGATTCGGACTGATCGGCATTGATGCGAATTGCGAGTGAGTAGTTGTTTGTGTTTGGTGCGTGGGACAAAAAAGAAAATCAAAATTGTTATAAATACACGTAAACATTGAACATTTTTTATCTACATTTTTTACCTACAACGGATCAAAATTTGTGTAAAACGAACTAGGACGGTATAGTGGCGTTTATGCGTATTTGATTCCGACGAAAATGACGACTTCGCGTGACTGTTGCAGCATTTCAAAATTTTCGTCCAATATAGTTGGGGCTGAGTCCGTTACGGCTCGTTCCGGTTCGTTTCACCGTAACGAACGAACTTTCGTTCGTTCGTTACGGCTCGTTCCGGTTCGTTTCACCGTAACGAACGAATTCCCGTTCGTTCGTTACGGTTCGTTACGGTTCGTTTCACCGTAACGAACGAACGAACGAACGAGTCCGTTTTTGGCATCCGAACGAACAAACGAACGAACGAACGAATGCACTGGCTTTGGCATCCGAACGAACGAACGAACGAACGAATGCATTTTCGTTCGTTCGTTACGGTTCGTTTCCCCGTAACGAACGAGCGAACGCGTCCGGGTCTGGCAGCCGAACAAACGAACGAACGAACGAACGAAGGGATTTGCGTTCATTCGTTCGTTCGTTATGGTTCGTTTCACCGTAACGAACGAACGAAGTGGCTTCGCGGGTCCGCTAACGACCAAACGAACGAACGAACGAACGGACTTTCGTGAGCTCGTTATGGTTCGTTTTCCCGTAACGAACGAACGGGCGAACGAAGTGCTTCGCGGGGTCCGTTAACGACCAAACGAGCGAACGCGTGGGCTTTCGGTCGCCCGTTCCGGCTCGTGATCGGCGCACACCAATCCACAAAAGACCAAAGTAAAATTTATAAACGCAGGATACCGCCGCGGGGAATATTCCGCAGGAGGGTATTCTCGGTTTATATGCTCGACGTCCACTAACCATGACCGTGAGCTGCGCAACGTGCGCCAAGAAAAGGCAGCGACCGTGACGCACCCAGGGGCCGCCCGCGTGGGGGACACGCATGCAGAATTTTTTGGCCCCCACACTAGTACCGAGCAAGTTTATAAATGCAGGATACCGCCGCGGGAAATATTCCGCAGGAGGGTATTCTCGATTTATATGCTCGACGCCCACTAACCATGACCGTCAGCTGCGCAACGTGCGCCAAGAACAGGCAGCAACCACGACGCACCTCGGGGCCGCCCGCGTGGAGGACACGCTTGCAGGATTTTTTGGCCCCCACACTAGTACCGAGCCGGGCCGGCTCACTCGGATGCCCAGGGCCCCGCCTAGAAGAACACGAGGAGCACGCGTATGACCTCGCCATACTCGGACGGCCGCCCAGGGCCCCGCTCGGACCACGGAGACGAGTATGGCGCCGCATTTCTCTTTGACGAGCAACCGCCTGCCCGAAGCTCTCAACGGACTTGCTCGCTAAAGTAAGAAAAAAGCACAAAGCCAGCACCGGATACGACGACAACACTGCCGAGCCGCCGAATCTTCTTCGCCATCTCGTGGAAAGACGACGAGGAAGCTTTCACCTTTTGCAGTGTTCACGCACGGACGTCTTTTTCACATAATCAGATTCGTTCGTTCCGGCGTGCCGGCTCGTGACGAGCTCGTTCGTTACGGTGAAACGAACCGTAACGAACCATAACGAACGAACGGAAGTTCGTTCGTTACGGTGAAACGAACCGTAACGAACCGTAACGAACGAACGGGAATTCGTTCGTTACGGTGAAACGAACCATAACGAACCGTAACGAACGAACGAAAATTCGTTCGTTACGGTGAAACGAACCGGAACGAACCGTAACGGACTCAGCTCCAACTATACTCTTTTCGTTCGTCGCAAGCATACCATCGTGATTCGCATTGGACCACGATGGTATGCTAATTGAGTGTCTTTGCTGAAAAACACGCAAGACTACACGATTTCAAAAAAAATAAAATAGAAAAACCGGTGTAACGGCTCGACGCGGCAGACAAGGGATGGCACCATGCACACGTTCTCGGGGAAAAACCTTGGCTCCTCACCCGGCTTCCTGGCTTCCACACGCTGGAGGTCGAATGCTACCTTTGCATTGTATACAATATTTGACTTCGATCCTATTGCGTCGGAACAACGTTATGATTAGCGACAACTTGTTTTGCCCGAATAAATTCTTGCGGGAGAGAAGTCGTGAGTCAAACACACACTGTATTCGTAGACATCAAACAAGGTGTGCAACATGTTTGTTGAAGAACTACAAGCTCCATCATGCTGAACAAATAGCATCAGCATGGTGCTTCTTAGTTTTACTTACCTCCTTGTACAGGCATAAAGAAAACAAGCCAGGGTCTTCTTCATCTTCGGCATGGTGATTCACTGTGGGGTGCCCTGCACGACGGGGTTGCTTTTGCTGCTGTAGCTGTTTTTCTCGGTCTTCCCTCATATTTCGGCCTGTAGTTTTTGTCGCCGGCGCAGCTTCAGCAGGTGGAGGACCACTTTTCGTCTTGCCGAGGACCACGCGCGTCACCACGGGCCACAGGTTCTCGTGCCAGGTTTTGTTCAGGTCAACAAAAATCAACACACTTTGCGTTGTGGATAGCACGGAGGTGGTTGCTGTACAACTACGTGCTGGCACGATCGAATCTTTATCCTCGCGGCGATATAGAAATTTCCCGTTCAGAGCAGTACTGTTTGAAAATATTTCTGCGCGTCGTGCGACACAGTGCGCCGGGACGTAGATGCGGACCCAGATCGCGCGCCAGTGAGTGCTGTGAGTCGCGGGGTTGTCGAGTGCGAACTTCGCGATCGCCAGTCGCTCGTCAATTCCGGCAGCCAAGGATCTCAAGCCACCAGGCTTACTGCTTTTCAACAACATTCTACGCGAAGTAGAACCCCGGTCCTCTTGATTCTTCGCGCGAGTGAAGACCGCAGCAGCCTTGTCTAGCACGACGGGCGGCAGGCCTGCTTTCTTTACCAACACGACGCTCCTCTCCTGCCGCGCCAGCACCTCCGTGAGCGCTGCAGTGCGGACCACTTCGCTTGCCGGCAGCTGCGGCATCCGCGCCGGGTTCTGAAATGAAACCGGCGGCTCGTCTCGCTGCCGCACCCACGCTTTCCCATGCTTCTTGCTGAAAAAGTCAATCACGTGAAACTGGGGTGGTGCTCTTGGTGGCTGTTCTACTTTGATGTCCTTGATATCAGCAGGACACCTTGATGTAGTTGTACTCCTGCAACTATTCTGGTGCTCCAGCTCGTCAACCACCACCGCGTAAGGCGTCAGGCGGAAGGGAAACGTAAATGGTTGCTGCGACATTTTTTGCTTCGTACTGTTTTGTGCTAGGAAGAACTCCTCGGTCGCAGTCGGCACGGCGCTACAGTTGCTCTGCGCTGCTGGTACCGTAGTAAAACCAGTGTTGTTGACTGGTCCTGTTTTTCCAAGATCGCGTGTTTCTGCATGTGCGGAGCTGCTGTTGGGTTGTTGTAGCAAGCTCTCGCTCAAAGGAGCCCCCTCGTCTGCTGGGGTCGGCGCGCGCAGCGTCCCGGCCACTCCCCAGTGCAACTGCTGCCACACGGTAAGTTCGTGGCTGTCGGGCGTTTCCGGGCACAGGGATAGTGCAGCTACGCTCTGCGCGGTGTCAAGCTGCTGACTTTCTTGCGCCGCCGTCCCCGCTGCATTTTCTGCTTCCGCATGCCCGGCTTCGTGGGCCTCACTCGTAGTCGTTCCAACAACTGCCCGATGACTCGTCTCCCCAGGCACTTCGTAGTGCAGCCCCCGTTCGCCCGGGGCGGGGACAGGAGACGGTGGGGGCGCCAAAGCGGGTTCCTCACGCCAAATGTGGGTATCAAGCTCGTTCGAGGCGATTCGCGGGGCGTCCCGGAAGAAGTCTGCAACCACGGATTCGCATCCAAGACAAAAAAGCTTCTAGCAGGACAGCAGGACCTATTTGTAATGCTTAAGAGTAGACCTCCGCGCAACGCATACCCGGCTGCACCGCATCAAAAACCTTTGCAGCACCGTTATGCAAAAACAAAGAATCTGTCATGGGCGCGCCCCGTGTAGATGTGCATGCATTTTTGCCGTATTTATGATCTTTACTCCATGTCAAACGTGATACGTCCGTCTGCTAGCCTCATCTTTCTGTCTGGTAATTCGGGCAGCATGTGCTGAAACGAGAGGGTGTGCGAAGCCCACTCGGGTTGCGTGTGGTCTGCCAGGCCAAACGTGGGACCGGTGCACGCCAGGAGCACGTCGCCCGACACGGTAGAACCGGTGGCCCCGGCTTCCACGGCGGGCGGCGCCATCAAATTTCGCTTCTGGAGAAACTTGACCAGGTCCGCGACCCGCTTGTCCGCGGGGAAATACACGATCTTTTCGATGGTGCCGTGCGCTTTCACTTGCGCGTAGTCCGGCTGGCCTCGCAGCGCACCATGATCGCGTCCGTCGTGTACAGGTTCCGGCACAATTTCAACATCTTGCTCGTGCTCCACCAATACGCAAAGCTCCAGACACGCGGGACTACGCTTGTAGAGCGGGTACTTGATTCGAAAGGCTTCCACCTCCTCGTGCAGCTCCGGGCGCAACACATACCGGAGGTCCACCTCGCCTGTCGTGCCCAGCCCCGGCTGGTTCTGCCGGACGAAATTCTCCGGTTGGCTGATCGGGCACAGTCGTGGGCGCGCGAACAGTATCAAAAGGAAAAATCCCCCCTCCCCATATCAGAACGGAAATCTGTGATGCAGATTTGTTGTCACAAATCAGCTTTGTCATGCTACACGGGAAGTGCTGGGTGCCGTGGTCAAGCCTTGCATCTTCAGCATGATAGCAGGCAGCTGAGAGCGGGAAACAGCATGACAAATTGCCTGCAAACGAGGCCACGACTGCGGCTCTTGGCCTTCTAGCATGACAAGTCGATTTGTGACCTCAAATACAGCATCACAAATTTCGTTTTCGATATGGGGAGGGGGGATTTTTCCTTTCGATAAACAGCCGCTTGCAGGCGGGGCCGTGCCTGGTAGTGCTGCCGTGGTGGAGAGTAAAGGCGCGAAGGCCGCAGAACGCGTCATCCAAGTAATCTTGTTCAAAATCGGACAAAGGCGTCGCCAGACCTCCAACTCGCCGACGCTGGAGCTGCAACTGCTCCGGTTCGCCATCTTCCGGCCCGGAAACACAGGCAGGTTTTGGACCTTGCGTCAACTGGTCCTGCTCGTCGCGGGGTGACAAACTTCCTGCAGGCCCGCTGGGCGTCGTGTGCATAATCCGTCCTGCTTGGGAGAATAGCCAGGAGGCGGTTCTTGCGTAGTAGTTTTCTCGCCAGGCTGCTCTGAAGTTGAAGGACGACGACCCTCTGCCGGGGAAATTGGCTGCCTTGACTTCTTCACCGCCGTCTTGACACGCAATTCCCTTGGCAGCAGCTGCACCTGTCGCTGCCCGCTCACACCCTTGTCGCTCGGCGACCTCTTTGTTCTCAAGAACACAAGGACCACTGTCCGAGGCGCCACGAAGGTCCCCCGCCACAGCTGCCGGCGCTGGTCGTTTCGTAGTGCTCGGAGCTGGACTGCTAGTGCCCGTTCTTGCGCTAGTACCTGTAGGAGCTGCATTCGTTCCCAAGTTCGACGTCGTCCGTACGAAAAAGTAGAATTCCGCCGTGGCGGCGAGTTGCCGCGGGTCAAACGAATCGGCCAGAGGGATCGCCTCCGGGAACACATTTGTGAAGCAGTGCCAGACCAGTTTTTCGCCGCCGCTGTCGTCCTTTGATGGTGGTGGTGTGTCATTGCTCATCCCCGCTGGAGGTTCTCGCTCCTCTCCGCTGGAAGCTTTCGGGAGTCGCAAGTACGCTGCCCGGGCGGTGACGATGGCCTTTAGTTCGTATTCCACGTTCGTGTCAAGCCAGACACGACAAGAGCGAGCCGGTCTCTTATCATGATTTATTTCATTTTCAGACTCATTTTCTTCTTCGCCAGTGCGCTTCTTTTGTTCGTCCGTAGATGATGTTGACCCTGAACAAAAGAGAAAATCCAATTGGTCCAGCTCCCGGTCGCGCGCGCGGTCTCCCGCGATGAGAAATAAGAACGGCGGCTGCGGCGGGTTCAATGTACTACCACACTTCGGGCCCCCGCAGGAACTGCTGCTAGTTGTACTTCTCTCCACCACGTTAGGGCGGACTGGTACCTCTGAAGACGGCAACCGAGCCGAGCTACCGTGGTCACCGGTGTCACCAAGTCGTGGTCGCGAAAGATGATCTTCGGAGGCCGAGTTGTTGTCTTCGGAAGTGGCTGATAACTTTAGCATTTTTATTGCCCCGCGCCGCTCTTCCACTTCGTCTTCCTGCGCGATTTTATTTCTTTCAACCGCAGGCTCCTGGCCCTGTGATGTCGTCGTGCCCTCCACCTCTCTTTGGTGCTGGAGTTGCTCCGTGGCAACAGGGGAGCCGGCGGGCGGGCCGCTCCTAGTACTCATCAGGACCTTCAGCTCCTCGAGGTAATAGACACAAGTCGTGAGCGAAGGTGGGGATGGACTGCGGTCCGAGTCTGAGTCAGCTCCGACACTGTCGCTCACAGTCGCGCCAGAACCAGTTCGAGAGGTGAACAATTCATCCGCATGAAAAGCAGCAAAGCGTTGCAGGAAAAACGTGATCCATGCGCTGCAGCTGGCCCGTTTGGAGAAGCAGCTGCAGGCGTCCTTTGTGGCCATCGCCGTTTGCTCCGCCAGATACAGCTTGAACAGACGGAGAAAGTGTTGCTGCTCCATGATTAGCCTCTTCCTACAACTACTGTTCTGGCGGTTCTCGTCTGCCGCGCCCGTATCTGCCGCGTCAGTGCCACCGTCCGGGGGCGAACACTCTTTATCGTCGGCCGCCTCTGGTCTATTTTCGTCGACCTGCACTAGTTGTGGCGCATTTTGAACGGGAGTTTCGCCATCTCCTGACCGATCCGGAAGATCCCGTGATTCTTCCAAGCAGATGCCCCGCTTTCGGCGCGTGTTCAGCCAATGCCGCTGCCAGAAAACGGCCTCCATTGTCGGCGTGTGGAAGTGCCGCTCCATGATCATGGGCCCCAGCAGCAACAGGCCGGAGTGCAGCGCGATCTGAGTCTGGGCATCGTTTTTGGCGTTGTTGACCAGCATGCTACCCTCGCTATTGTTGATGTTCTCGCACGGGAAATGATTTTCTTTCCCAGGATTTGTTGCCTGATCATGGCTGCTCTCGAAGAAGGTCTCTCGGCGGGTTCTTTCATTCTCCGCATGTTGATCCACAAGAGGCGAAGAAGCATCTACTCCAGATGTTGACTCCGCTACCGCCCCCGCCACTGAACCAGAATTGAACGGCTGCACGGCGCGGCTCCGTCGGCTTTGTCCCGTGGAGCGGAAGCTGCGGCCGTAGTTGGCGAACCACGGCGACTTGGCCGCCATTTCGCACAGCAAATCGACGCCGGTGTGCTGTTCGAAGGGGCGAGCGCTGGTAGAAGAAGTAGCGCCAGACGCCTTGTCTCCCCAAACCTGCAACGACTTCATCTTCCCCAAAGGCGCGGCGTTGGTTTCTATGCTTTCCACCGCGGTCATGTCCTCCGCGAAAAGCGATTCCTGCAGCTTCTCCTTTAAAATTGAGAACAAATTATCTTCAGCAGGACCACGAGACCCTTTAGTTGTGGCTTCTTGTTGAAAACCATTCTCTTCTCTCCCGTGGAACTCGATCAGCACCCCCGCTACCCCTTCTCCCGCTTCCTCTTTCAGTAGCTGTTGCTTCAAGTGTGTTGATGTTCCAGCGCCGATCGTCGCGCTTGCAGCAGCTTCGCGGAGCTTGCCTCCAACCGTTGCAAATTGGCAACCCGTCATGCCCAGGGCCTGTTGCAGTTCCATCCCGTGCCGCTTCGCTACGTGGTAGGCGACCAGCAGCTGGCAGACTTCGAAGTGCAACGCGGTCTCCTCGCGGTTGGGTGCAATCGCGAACAGGATCTCCGGAATAACTACAAGCGCTCCTATTCCTGCCGGTGGAACCTCGAAACAAGAAGGAGCGCCGGCAGTAGGCACAAAGGGTCCACCGCCGTTTATTGTTGTACCAGAAGGTTCGCCCACGACTTTTGCAGGAACATCACTCGGCGCATCGGCGTCCAGATGCGACATCATGGACATCAAGTTGGTTCGTTCAAAGTTCACGATCCAGGAACAGAAAGTGTCGACTTCGCCCACCATATCTTGTTCCAGCATTTCCTTTTCGACATCAATTACCCGCGCTGGTGGAGAAGGGGTGGTCGGACCACAAGTTCTTGTAGAACTACCTCCAGACCACATGTTCCTGTTCCACCGGTGGCCGCTGTGTGCACCAGATCCGCCCCGAACCCGATTGGCAGACAAAGATGTGCCGTAGAGATACTTGCGACCGTCTGTTCCGACGAAGGCCACGGACACTTGCGGGGCAATTGTGGGAAAAACCTGCGGCCGCTGCGATCGCTGGGAGCCGGCCCACCTGGGTTTACTGATAGCACTCGACGAAGAAGCTGGATTGGTGCCGGAAACCACGGCGCTTACTCCACCAGCAGAAGCCGCGGCTGTCCCGGCGGAGCTGCGAGCGCACAGCCGCTTGCTCAGGTGGGAGCTTCGGTTCGATGGCTGCAGCAAGAGCGCTTTGGCTCGGGCGGAAGATGTAGTTGACGGAGATGATGCGTTGGCGGTTGCACCTTTGTTTTCCGTCTCGCTCACGTGCAGCTCGTCCGTGCCAGCGCCTTTGTGCCCGACCGAAGTTGCATCTTCCACATCTGTGGGAGAGCCAGCTGCACTTTGGATTTGCAAACGCGAGCCTGGTGCCTGCAGGAGAGCGGCAATTTTTCGGGCTGGCTCATGCTCCTCGTCCGCGACGGAGACGATTCGCAACTTCGGCCAGAACACGCTCCGCACAAAATCCACATTCGACTGCACTCGCTGCCGCTCCAGGAGACACTGCTGTAGCCGCTTTTGCAACTCTGCCACCAAGAAGTTGTCGGTGCTGCTGTCGTGGTCCTCAAAACCCACTTCGTCGCGTTTCCCGCGAGTAGCCGTGGGTGGTGCAAAAATCTCGACTCCCCTTTCTGCATTCAAGGAGTTGTTTGCAGGGCTCGCTACCATTCCGGTTGTGCTGCCACCTAGTACCCGTTGCACAGCTCTACCACCTTCGCGGCGCAACTGCGCCTTCCTCTGCAGCAAAAATCTCCTGAATAAAAACGTCCCTATCTACTTTCCAGACCTGTCGTGCATATTGGAATTGCATGCCCGAAACATCTTTGGTATACCCCTGCCCGGGACGAAACTCTTCGTCAAATTTGTAAACCACTCATACTGATATTGCATCCATCCGGACACAAGATAAACTGGTACGGCTACACCGCATAGCCACATAAGAAATTCGCGGTTTACCTTGCAGAATACCCATAGTGACAGCACCAAGTATGGGGAAGGTACGTTTTTCCTCTGGATAAAAAGAGCGACCTGTTAGAATATTTTCGTCGAACGATAACGAATGTGCATCTTCAGCCTAATACTTGCTTCATCTTGTCGTAGCCACACCTAGGTGCTACCCATATGGCTCATGCAAACGGGCTAGGAATGCATGTACGTTCGTGAAGAGGAAACATACTATTGCCAGCTTAAATTTACTTCCTCACACAATATTTCGCGCTTGTTCCCTGTTGAAGCAGTTGCGAATGAAGCTGATTCTATCTACTTGCTGCAAAGACACGTACCTCGGCCTTCAGCTCGGCGGACCTGGCGGTGGACTTTTCGTAAAAGGACTCGCAAGATGCAAGACACATGGGAGCAGGCTCATCGTGCACGTGGTCGTCCCACTCCTCTTCGTTATCCACGGCACTGTAGTTGCCGAGCGTAGCCTCGTCGGCTTCCGGCAACAGCGCGGTTCGGGCCGAAGTTCCGTCAGAGTGAGCATCCAGCTCGCATACGCCATTTTTGTCCGGAGCGGGAGGAAATTCTTTTCGAGTACTGGTTTCCGTTCCGCGCTGGATGACCAACCCATAATTTTCTGCGGTCTCCGAAAAGACATCACCGCTGTTGCTGGTCCCATCGCGCAGTTCCCCAATGGGTGCTGAGGTTTCCGGCAGCGTCGGATCGATTTGTGTCTGTGGGCGATTCAGCACGGGCCCATAGTGTGCCAACAACGTTAAGAAACCGTGTACATTCCACGTGTCAACCTCGGCGCTTGGAACCATATGGAAGCGTCAGGATCGAAATCGACAAAGTTGAAATGCGTCGCAATGCATAAAATCGATACCAATGGGGCGCACATTTTCTAGTCGATGCGTGGCGAATTTTGTCCGTACCGGAAGCCAGTTTGTCATGCGGTCTAGAGCAAAGGGGTTCCCCTCTGTGATGCTAATCAGCAGCCCGATTCTCGACCCTTACCACCACTACAGTCTCCCTGCCTTGCGTCCTCTGCAATATAGAGGCAATTCTTGCGTTGCATTGTATGCATGACAAACTACTTATTTCAACTTTGACGATTTCGATCATGACACTTCCATAAACGGGAAGGGACACGTATACGAAGCGGTCTTGTCGCTTCATTGTCGCGGCAATCTCCCGTTCGATCGTCAAATACGCGGTGGCACAACCCAATCACTCAGCCACTTGCTTCGGCAGAGGTCGGCGCAGGAAGAACATAACGACGAGTCAATACTCGGCGTGAAACAACCCCACCGGGGTCGTGCTAAGCCAAACCATGAGTTCTGGCGAAAGGCAAATGGCGATGGCGGGCATAATCTAAGAAACATGCCACTCGGAAGGGAAAGACCTGAAAAGGAAAGATTGACCCACATCTGAAAATCATCAATCAATCAATCCATTATCGTGTAGTTGCTGAAGGACGTCATCATGCAACTACACTTCACGGCGCGTGTGGTAGAAAATTGGGAACTTTTCACACAACCCATTCTGCTATCCAAAATTATTTGAATGGCACACTACAAAGAAGCAACAAGATGTGGCAAATTCAATCTCTAACTCAAAAAACTTCCACGGTTTACTAATAAATTTTAGAAACAATGCTGGCATTGATTTCGAATGCTAGCTTTGTCGCTGAGGATCTGCGAATTACAATTACAATTCATGTGCCCATCCAGATCCGCAACAAGACTCCAATGTGCAATCTATCGATGCAACCGAAAAAAATCGGTAACTTGAACTTTCACTACATGTTGCTTCTCTACACGATAACCTGAACTGAGATAATTGCTGATCACGGTGATCAAAATCACCACCATCATTTATCCTGCACTAGGGGGGGGGGGGCGTGCGGAGGTTTGGGCTCGAGTTTGAAAAAAAAGATGAACAAATGATAAATTATAACCTCGAGGACGGAGCCACAATCTAGTGGCCACTCCGTGCAGATTCGAATTCCACATCAGAAATGGTTACTGACTACTGTATCAGGTTCACCAGTAACGAAAAAAAGCGTCTCAACACATTTGAGTTTCATCCATCATACACAGCGAGCTCCTTCATATTTTCCGTGCTTGTCACGGTTTTTCGAGAGCTTGGATACTCGACGTTCAGCATCTACAGCTAGCCTTCTTGGAAGGCAGATGCTCGAGCTTTGTGGTAGTTCTGATACTCTCACCGAACCAGCGAAGATATTTTTACACATGGCCAAGCTATCAAGTTGTATTTTGTCCACTGCAGCCTCTCGCTTTTTAGTTCTGACTTTCGGTGCTTATACTTCGAACGTAAAATGAAACACCAAAAGAAAAGAAGAGCGCGAATCATCTCTGAAGATTTTTTATTTTCGTATCTCACTAGAAGCAAACGCATCACATCAGCACGCTAGTTGTAATTCACGATGTCATACGCCGTTTCGCTGATCCCCCAATTCGCCAGTTTTTGTTCTCCACACCATGCCGCGCATCCCCCGACGCCAGGAAACTGTTTTACCCCGGCGCCAAACAGCCCCCCCCGGCCCTTCGCACGGCGGATCGATTTCGCCGGCCTTGGCAAACGCGGCTTGTTCCAGCACGTCTGGCCTGTTCCACCGGCACGGGTGCGTCCAGGAGGTACCTTTGCAAGAGCACCCGTAAGGCCCCAGTTTCATTTGAATCGCCGACACCACGCGTCCATCACTTCCCACCATGGTCTCCTGCGCTCCTGCCTCGTCCGCAAACTCAGTCTCCACCCCGGGGGGCGGAGGCGGGATAAGCGCATGCACCGCGCCCGCTGCGAAAGCAGCGATAGCAAGCAGCAGCTTCTTGATAATCGCGAAGGCCATTTTCGCATACAGGTATGAACCGACTCACTTGCTTCAACGCTGAATTGGACTGTCTGTACTTGTCACAATCGGTTTGGGGTTGCATTGCATCAGACTCGCGCGCATAATCATGAAAATAATAGGTGGATGACTTAGCCAGTAGCACGCGTCTTTGTTTTCATTTTTCATTTCAATGAAAGAACTTCCTCGTCCCATCTCCATCTTCTCTCCATCCTCACAATTGTACAGTCAACGGGTGGACAACATACGTGGTCATCTCGAAAGACTGCGAGCCTGGTGTGTACTAGAACAAAGCCCTGGTAAGGTACTTGCACTGTGGTGGCCATACAATGCCTGCTTACTGCATTGCAAATTTTTGTTTTTATTTCGTGTGATTCTCATTCTGTAAAAACTGATTTTACTGCTCACAGCTTTCAGGCCTGCTTCGATGAAGCTTGCCGTGGGAAAGCTGGATTCCGACAATGTCTTATTTTCAAAAAGTTATTCATGTTCATCTCTGCTGTTCACAGAAAATTGCTTCCTGCACAACATCAAAAACCACACCTTCTGTCTGACTGCCACAACGCTTGCAATACGTACAAGGAGTTGCTTCTGGTGACTTCGCCTACTTTCGCGCGAACGGGCTGGTTGCGACTGCAGAAAAATAATTTTACAGCATCGCCCTACGGCAAAGTGGTTATAGAGTTCGACGCGACATGCATTGCAGACGATATTTTTTGCCCTAGACAGATGCAATTCGGTCGTGTTTTGAATAGATGCGTCCGATTGAGAGATATGTCTATTATGGTTCTGTGGCAATTTCTACTTAATCATAAAACATGATGTGATTCTATTAAAACCTATTTAGTCTGATTCCCATTTTTCAGTAAACTTTTCGATATTCTGATTTCCGACCACATTGTTCTAGCAGTGTGCCGATGTGAACCTCTAGGCGCGCTCTGCTTGTTCGATAGTGTCACAAAAAGCCGACCTTCTACTGTGTTCGAGTAGCGCATTTCTGGATACTTTGCTACTGGCAGCGACTTGTGATGAAACTACATCACAACCGTGGAAGCTTTTCTGTTGACTCTGTGTTTTAGATAGTATCCTCCGACTCTCGGCCTTTGCGCTTCATCCGCCTATCTAGTATGTCCACATACCTTTGTCCGTACAAAAATCAAGGAAACAACATTTTCCTCGAAACTGTATTTGGTCGTTGTATCGTACCGTAATAGATGTGCAATCTATTCACACTGATTGATAAAAAATGCAATTCTCGTACGAATTGCTCTCTTCCACCTGATTTCTGTTGTCTGATGATGAAACCTGTATTATTGAGTATCAATAGCAACCTGTGCCGTCGTGTCTACTATTCGAGTTGTCTATACAATTTTTACACGAGCTTGATAGATATTTCTACAACTGCAGTTTTGCATCTGTGCCTGACAAAGTTTTGCATTTCTTTGTCTCTGTACAAAGTCTTCCTCGACTTGTTCCATGACTGCTCTAAAATTCACGTCACTGTGAGAACTCTTCAGAGCTGCGGTGTCCCTTCTCCAAGGTGGTGGTGGCCGTGTTGTTGACAAAATCTACTACCGCGCAGCTCGTCCCACAGTTTTATCTACTTTTGAAGGAGCAGGCGAGTCATGGCGTCGATCTCGATCAGATCCGACATTTACTTGTCAGAGATGGCGGCACCCCAGATGCACAAGCCTGTTTTTGGAAGTTGGTTCGTGGAATTGTAATTTTGTTTTCAACACATTGGTATGAAAGTAATAACAATTCAACCACGCACGTTTCTGATGATTGAAAACGAGCTGCTACGTAATACTATTACTCGCAAGCAAAAAGTCAAAGTGTAAGGCATGAAAATGTCACTGTTGCACAGAGAGCAACTGAATCTTTAGAGTACCGAAGGCGAGCTTGTTGACCAAGTCCGCGATGTTGTAGATGATGTTGATGACGGACTGCTCGTGGTAGGTGGCGGTGGAATATGCCAGTGGACAGCAGCCCTCTCCCCCGAAATCTCTTTTAGCTCACATGCAGAAAGATCAAACGGTAGTTCGAATGCTTTAGTTCAAAGGCAGCGTTCTGCAGATTTTTGCACCGCGGCATGCCCAACCAGAGCTCAATAAACGCGGTGCTCAATGATTCCCTCGGAATCAATCTTGGAGAGAGGGGGGGTCCAGTCATCTTTCATAAGGGGCCCAACAAGGTCAGGTAGTAGCCCAACGGGTAGATGGCCCTGTTTTGATTCAATTATAAAGTTTCTCACAAGTACTTCTTGATACCAAATTTGTTTGTGCAGGACGAACTCTGTGTCGTCGACAAGACAATAGCATGTGGTCTTCTCCAGTTATTACACGTGTCTATTGGCACCATAGGAAAAGAAACATGATGATACCAGCCAACGGTGATGATCAGGCGCATGGTGTTGAAGGCAGAGAGGCACGCCTTGTTCCCGCAGCCAGGCTATGCAGCGGAAAATGAGGTCGCGAGCACATGGATAGCAGGACACCACCATGCGTTTATTTAAAGCCAGAAGTTACCAGATTACATCTTCCGCTTCAAGCATAAGCGGTCGGCGCAAGGAGCAGCGTGTTTCTGACAAGCGGAGTAGAAATGCCAATGTGCCCGGTTTTTTCACATGCCCCCAACATCCGCCGAGTCGATGATTGCAATGCAAACTAAAATCCTATCCTGCTAACAATTTCACTCGGTGGTGTAGCCATGTGCGAGCGCGCCGACGTTTCATCTCATACAGCAGCCAACTGACCAGCTTCACCGGTGAACATCTCGTAGATGAGGGCGAACCAGCACAGCATACCTGTGAATGTCGAGGATTTTGTGCCGTCGTTGCAATTTTTTTCATCGCACCCATCCAAGTGTAGCTTTCATTGCGTACTCCCCATCTAAAGCTACTAATGCGGCTACTACTTTAAACATGACTGCAATGCAACTGCAATTCTACTCTGAGACTAATAAATACGACGATGCATCGCACGACAAGGGAGAGAAATTTTCTTCAGTTCCTCAACTACTGCTTGTCAGAAAAACTAAAACCAGCTATTACCCGGGATGAAGCCGCAAAGGACGGAGACGATTCCAGTCTCGCCGGCCCAGCCGCACAGCAACATGAGGACGGACTCGGCCATGAGGCGGTAGAACAGTGCGGAGCTGATGTTGGGCAGGACGGCCTTCAGGATCAGGTAGAACTCAATGATCTGCAGTGGCACAGTGATCAGCCAGTCCGTGTACCGGTACACCGTTGGGGAGGTCTGGGTCTCGACCCATGACTCACGCATGAAGCAGTAGTTCCTGATTATTTTGTCCACATATCTTCTTGATTGTGCCAGGGTGTTCTTGAAAAAATCAAGTCACGACCTCATCGAAGTTCGCTAGGTTTGTTGTTCATCTGCATCATGTTCATGAGTCATGTTTTTACAGAAACTAAACTTTCATACCAGAAGGCAATGCCGGTAACGAGACCCGCGACGGTGACGGAGGTCTTCCACTTTTCTGGGACGGTGGCCCGCTCGGAGAAGAAGAACACGGAACCCGCCAACATGGACGCGCACGCAATCCACCGATATGCACTTGTTGCAAAAGCCCCTCTGTGATACAGCACGTGAACTTATTATTGTACCAGTCCACAACGACAAGCATGATTACTTACTTACTGCGCCGGTCCGCACTTACTATTTCGCAACTTCTCGTTACAAACAACAGACAGGGACAGTTACTTTAAAGAACCGATGAGAAAGAACCAAGAGAGGGCAGCTTTCACAGCGCGTACGAAGGTGACACCGACGATGTCGTGGGAGCCCAACACGCTGTCGTCGTTCATGCCCTGGACGATCGGGATACCTGAGTGTAGGTACGTTTCCATCTGCACTTTCAAGAAGCGTCGTGAAAAGTCAATGCGGAAGTACCAGATGACTGTTTCTGTCTCTAAAAAGTCTCTGCAAAACAATCATATGATCATCATGCTCCGCGATTCTTTTTCCCTTTCGATGTTCAGCAGAATAGTGTACAGCTTTCGAAATGAAATCTGGTGCTTTCCAATACCACTTGTCAACATCTCCACCTGCAACAACCAACATAATCCCTACCTTTGAGCAGTCGAAAAAACATACACTTCTATTTTAAAGTAGTACCAGTGCTGGACAGCGGGAAGCCGTAGGGGTTGGCGGCAGCGGACCGCTCCGCGCGGGCGAGCGCCTTGATGGCATCGATCTTCTCGGACAGCGGCATCTTCTCGAAGGCGCCCTCGGCGGCGCCGATCTGCTCGGACGTAATCACCATCTTCTCTGGAAAAACGTTTCTAAGACCACAGATGCAATGCAAACATGTCTGGAGTACAACCCTGGAAAGCGCCAATTCTTCACAAAGTGCACTGATAAAACCGTGGGGAGAATGCACGTGGTCGCCCAAACTGTTTTAAGAGGTATATCATGTCATGCAAACGGTGGATTGCGTTTGCAAGCAAAGCAATCCGCTGCTGGGCATTCACTGCAGCAATGCGTCTGAAAAAAGGTCCCGACCATTTCATTGTTTATTCTGTGCTCATGCATACATCAAACAGCGGCACTTTTCCAGAACCAGACATGTTTTTTGCCGTGGATACTACACCTACGACCTTCAAGCCTTTCTCTCTTCTTCCTACGGTACTGGAATTGTCAACAAGAGTTGTTCAAAAGCTAGTTGCTTTACTTTTTCTAAACAGCACTCTCCACAGATGCTGAGGTGGGTCTACTTGTCTCTCTCGGGTTTTCTCCTTGGGCCCTGGGTGGAGTTTACGAGGCGGGGGTGTGAATGAGAAGCGGATAAACAAAAATTTTGTCCCTCACTGGTCACCAGGATGATACAACGAAATCAATTTAAAAATTCCCAGCCGGGAGTACAAAAAACATTGTTTGAAATTAGGTGGTATCAGTCTCTCGTGGTGTACAACCAGGATATAAGGGGACGCTTAGTGGTGAAAAACAAACGCGCACCGACGTTGACAGAGGAGGCATCACCGAGAAAGTGAATTTCTATTGTACGTACAAACGCATTCGTGAAAAAAAAAGGTCGCTCATTCATTCGCTCTGCTGGAACCGAATTTCTTGCGCTTGCGACCGACGAAGATGTAGTGCCCTGAGGTACAACTAGGCCCGCTACGCTCAAATTTTTTGCCACTGGAGATATCACGCTGACGGCAGGGACAGAGCGAAAGAAAATTCCACTTCTACGTCTGACTTCGGTCACTCATTTACATGCAAAACATATTGCAAACGCTGTCAAACAGTAAGCAGTATACGACAATCACAAAGCAATGAGGCCAAGCAAGTATTTGACACAAAAAGAGCAACACAGCACCGAGGTTGAACGTGCAGCGCCACTATTCGATAGCACCACAAAGGAGCCTCGTGCTCGAGCGGGCGATGCAAGAATCATGGAACTTCTTGCAGGAGACGCCGCTTTGTTGCGCTCTCTTTATAAGTATTAAAAAATGTGTTTTTTGATGTGTTTTACCGTCGTTTGCTGTTTCGGAAAACTTATCATGTTCACGCATGTGTCAAATCTGCGACCTGTAGCATAGCTCTCGGCTGCAACCGTCGTCAGCCTACGCAATGGGCTACAACTTTTGCAGTGTGTTGCTGATTATGCATGGAGAAAATATGCCTCATTTCCCGACAAGAAAATCATGTGTTTTCAGCACCACTAAAGGTATGATGAAATTTGCATCGGCATATCGCAAATGTGAACTTTTCTCTCGCAATACAAGATCATGCTGACGAGGTGCTATCTTGTCGCGAAACCCGGTATATTTGCATTCGATAGTAGTGTTCGAGAATCCCTGAATGTTTTCTACATATGGCGTATCCTGTATGATTGACAAACATACCCCCGCCTACATTGTCGTCATGCAAGATGAGAGGCTGGCAACATGATTGCCCCGACTGCTGTGGTGCAAATTTGTCTGCAACTTTGCGCAGGCTTTAACAGATGGCTGCGAGTCACCAGCACTTCTTCTGTACAAAAATTTCAGCATGATCGGTTCAACACACATTTCAGGTTTACTTGTTATTCATTCTCATCCCTACAGTGCCAAGACCAGTCTGAAAGAGGCGGGGGTGTATGAGTGCTTTGCGTACCTCCCGCAGCAACGGGTCAGGGTCCTTCTTTTTCTGCTATGCGGTCCGATATAGATGATACTGTGATTCTACATGAGATGAGGATATGGTCCTCCAGATTTGAACGTAATGAGGATCCCTTACAATTATCCTGTAGTTGTGCTTAATGATAATCATCAACCCATACTGTCTAACGAGAAAATTTCGAGAGGTAAAAATACCGCACACGCTGCCTATCATGCCTCTTCTCCCGTCCCGACTGTGTAGCGTGATGCAGGTTCGTCTCATCAACTTATGCTTCCAGTGCGTCTGCATGCAGTCCTAGAGGCGCAGTGTAATAAAATTGTCGGCCGATAAAGCGACAGGTGTGGGCGTGTTTCTGTACTTCGAAATTTCCTGCACCTGCGGGCTCCAATAACTGATGCCCAACTTCGACTTGCGCAAGCGCAGTTCTGTTTTTCTTGCAGGTGCGCAAGTGTAAAAATTTGAAACCTAATTGCTAAACCTTCACAAAACTTATTGGTTCTATTCCTGATTCTAAACTGGTAAAATGATTCTGATAGGTGCTGACTTGCTGTTGCCAATGTGTATCCAGCGCGAAAGTCGCCATCCCCAAAAGCCCTAGTAAGTGCGGCCCTTCTTTCAAATTTCCGCAGCTGGTTGGCCTACTGCTGAAGAACTTTTCTACCGTCTTGCAAACAAGTGCTGCTAGCCGCACGGACGGCGGATTACGGACCTACTTCTGTGGCGGGACGGAGACTTTTCCGCTGGATACTATTGATCACTGACTCGTTCTGGTCCCTTTCACTAGTGACCACGTTTGCATGTGCCCTGGTTCATAAGTAGATCAGAGCGTGGTCTTCTACGTTCTGGCGTTCCAAAAGTACAGAGAACGTAGTTTTCCGCCTGGATGGTAGTTGAGAAACAACTACAACTAGTAAAAAGGGTCTTATCCTGATTGATGTACTGTTCGCATCAACGAAACTTGAGAAAGTAATGTGCTATCAAGTGGTTACTTATTTTCCAACTCCTAATTTCCTTTCCGCCGCATGATATTGTCATGAGCAGCATCGCGTGCCGTTGCTCGCAGTCCTTCGCTTTTGCCACGTGTTATGGTTTGTTTCATATGGTAGATACTTCTACGCCGTGCGTGGTAAAAATAAAAGCGACATTGCACGTTGCTCTGTTTCTACATCTACATTTTAGTGAATTCGTTCATGGCGGTGTGCGTACTAAAACTCTGACGCTGAGCTGCAAGCGCACTTAAGCCAGGAGGCCCTTCTTCACGTCCGACTTCCGCGTATGCAGTGGGACGAGCGGGTCTGGTTTTTTCTAGGAAGCGGATACTGACAGACACAATTGATGTACAACAGCAAATCATAAAAGCGGTTTGCCCTTGCCCGGCAATCAATGCATGAGCGTGACAGGGGTTTAGGGTTTACGGTTTCATTTCAACCTGCACTGTGATGCCCGGCATCACTTGCAGTTTCAATTTCAACCTGCACTGTGCGTGACAGAAGTTGCATGATGTTACGGTAGCGGACGAGCCCTGAAGGGGCCCAAGCAGAAATGTTGCCAATCGCAACCTCGTGAGCGAGAGACCAGCAACACCAATGTCATTTTCGGCAAGATTTATATACAGCTGTCACGCAATGTGAAAATTTTGCCCGCTTTGCTTCCAGATCCAGACCACGGGTTACACTACATAGGCGGCGGCCCAGATGCACAGGCCGAAGGCACCCTTGTTGACGAAATCTGTGTTGGTTTTTTTTTGATCCAGAACTGAATAAAGCATAGAATTAGGAACCCACATCACTGCATAACGCAAGAAACACCTCCTTACAACTCGGGGCGACAAAAAATTGTAGAGCAGAGCATGGCACAACAACGTGATTCTATCCTTGCAACGTTGTTGTAGCGCTATCTAACTACTTACCAGCCAAGTTGTAGATGATGTTGACGACGGAGTCGGCGTGGTAGGAGAAGGTCGGGCCCAAGTAGACCATGTAGTAGCCGATCGGGTAGATGGCCCAGCCCACGGAGACGATCAAGCGCAGGGCGTCCTGATTAAAAACGTCCCCACACCAGAGTCAAGATGGGGACTTTGCAGCACAAGCCTAGAACTTTTGGGAGTCACGCGTGACAAGTTTCAGTCCGTAAGGTAGTGCAGTTAGCAAGGAAAGCCGCATCACAAATCGATCTGCTGAAAGTTCCCAAACACGATTGAAAATGCCTGTCATGGGGTTGCGCATCACAACTGTTCCTGTCATGGCAAATCTGCATGACAACTCTGGTGTGGGGACGTTTTCACTCAGGATACAGGGTGTTGAACGCGGACGCGCAGGCCTTGGAGTTGGCGTTGCCGGCGATCTATGCATTGCAAAAGCATCGCACTAGCATAAATTGCATTACAAATTATGGCAAGAAGAGAAATCGAATTTGTAATGCTGTTTTACCTTAAGAAGAAGATTTGTCATGCATATTTGCAATTAGTACGAGTACGATACTTTTGCACAGGATACGATCGCGCCCGCCTCCCCGCAGAAGACCTCGAACAGGATGTACAACCAGCCCAACATGCCGACCACGAAGCCGACCAACACGGAGCAGGCGCCGACCTCACCGCAGAACCCGCCGACCAGCATGACGATGGAAGCAATCAAGAGGCGCCAGAACAGCATCACAGACACGTTGGTCGTAGCCTGAAAGTGACGTGAAATCAAAATACTTTTCAGTACGTACTGCTTTTTTTTAAAGGATGTTGTCTTCCACTTCCTTCCTTTTACATTTCAGTCAACAGCTTTTCATGATTTGACGACTGTTTGCAGCTGTAGGTGCCACAGAGCAACGAGTAGTTCAAAAAGGAAATGGATGTTTCGTGTGTATTATTCCAGTGCGGTTTCGCAATCTAGGTTTGCAACTTGCTCATGTCAAAAAGATGTGGATTTCGACTAGGGAGCGATCATTCATGATATTATTCTGCATTGGGAAAGCATCAATCGAAACGAAAAACACTTGTACCTGCAGGATCAGATAGAACTCGACGATCTGGAGCGGCACGGTGATCAGCCAGTGAGGTATGAAAAGAAAAAGACGTATTACTGCAACCTCTTACATATGCATCAGTACAAATTTCAAAGAAGTGGTCAGACACATACGTTGTTTTGGTTCTTCATTTCTTCTCTTGCACCCTGCAAAAAAATAGTGCCTGACCTCCTGTTTCTTCTTCATCTCTAAAAGGCGCATGACAAACCCTATTTCTACTCTACAATTCCGGCGTCCTTACTGCCACGAACGCAACATTAAAAGAACGACCTCAGTGGTCGGAATCGAATTAATGCAAAACAGCAGAGCACAGATGTGGTCGTCACAGCACTACAACCTTCTGTGTGCGATATCGGTGTACCGGTAGACGGTTGGGCGGAGTATGAAATGCCAAAACGTTCGCACGTGGAGCACGAATTTTTGTTTAGTTGGTGAATCATTACATAGGTAGAGAACATCATCACCAGAATTCACCAGAACAGCAACATGTTTTTTAGTAGAAAAAATAATTTATACGACTAAATTACTTATCATGGCAAAAACTCGGATCCTTTATCTTTTTGTGTCGTGGCGGATACTCTGCTGCGTCTTCACCAGCGTATGCAGGGGAAGGAGTCGGTCACGATTCTAGTTGGGCTCAATGGAAGATACCTCACTGGGAAAATCGAAATCCTCGCGTCGCATGCGTATCATGAACAAGCCCAAAAGCGCGACGCTCCCAGAATACAAAAAACTGTTCTTTCAAGCATTAGCCACAGAGAAAGACATCGAGCCCCCGGAGCGCTCCCTCAACAACCACTTCAAGTTCAACTTCCAATATTGCGCATGACATTAGAATCTTGTCGTACATGGCAGTTTACAAACAAGACGAACTTGTAAAGGACCGATTTCCAGAACCGAAACACCTCGCTTCCCTGCATATCACGCCCCTCGCATGTAGAAGTAGTTCCAGAACCTGTAGTTTTGTTTTAGTTGAGTTAGAGCTGCACATGTCACGCATCATCAGTCCTCACAGTTTTAGGAGACACTGAAACTCGCTGCAAACCACGCTACTTCCAGCTATGCCAAAAGGGCAACTAACTTGTCCCCGTAGCATTTCTTTTTCCGCCTCAAAATGTTCTGTTACTCTGTCAAGGAGGATACTAGGCTCAACGCCGCCTGCGTGAAACAAGCGAGGCGAAGAATCAAGAAGCACTCATCTATCTAAATTGTATTTCAATACGCGACGCCCGTGACAAGCATGGCGACGGTGACGGACCGCTTCCACTGGGCGGGCACTGCGTTTCGCTCGAGCAGGAAGAAAACGGTGAAGGCCAACATCATGTTCATCGCGATGAAAAGAGTATGCATTGCAAATAGGTCGCGTCGTAGGGTACTAGTCTGTGCTCTTTGTAGAGTAGTACTCACGTATTCATTTTCCTTGCAACTCGTGTGGACCCAATGATACTGCAAGAAAACTTTCGATCCCATCACCAGATTTTTGGGCTTTCGGATGCGTGGATGCCGCCGTGGGGATGCGTTGCTTCATCTCGGTGTCATGCGCAAAAACGAGCACTCGCCATACTAACGAAAGCATATCGCTGTAACCTTGGTTGCGCAGACGCAAGCGCATCAGAAATGTACAGAGGACCCAGTAGACAGTATATTTGCAACATTTCGTAGAAGGTTGAGCCGACAGGTATGGGGATGAAAGAAGCTTCACGGACCTCTCCTACAACCCATGACTGGGAAACCGCGAAACGAAAACATGTTTCGTCATGACGAAGCTACCGCTGAAACCGGAACCGCCTACATATGCATTTGCAATATCGTCATCATGGATGCACAGTGAACTAGTCGGGAAACTACATTGTGCGTCTTGTGCCGCAAGATGATCCAACTACGCCATGACAAATTGTGCATGACAAATCGTGCACAGCTGTCTTCGCCACTGCTCCCGCCATTTGAGTATCAATTCTCATCTTCGCGGTTTTTGGAAACAAAGGCAACAAAGAGCGGCCGTGGCTGTTATCATCAAGGTGATACCGATGTCGTGGGCACCCAGGACTGCGCCAGACTCCGTCGAGCTGTGTTGATTGAGTTTGTGATTATGTGCCAAAATTCAGACTGGATGGCAGCTTCTCACACATGGATTGATGAATAGCGCACGACAAAAGACTATGTGAAGTGTGCATTTACATGGAGGTAGGAACGCAGGGTTGAGAATGCGTGATCATGAGGTTTGTTCAGGGTTTTAAAACAAAATCAGCCCTTTGCTCGCTTCTTATGGCCTGCGAGAAACTGTCTGACATATGCAGCTAAAGAAGTTTAAAACAAAATCAGTACATCCACGGGTGCGTGGGCGGGTTCAGGGATCGGTCGATCCATTGGACGATACCAACCTGGTCCTCATGGGGCAGGGACTTGAAGCCGGCCTCAACCGCCTGGACGGCCTGGTCTGGGTGGGACGCGATCAAACCTTCGTTGTCCAGTGCCAAGCGTGCGACAGCGCGCAGCTGCGAGGCGTGGAGAATATGGAGGGGCCGGAAAGCGTACTTTTTGTTTCAAAAATGCAAATGCTGTTTCATGTCTTGCAAACATCGCCGCGAAAGTGACGCGCAAAACGCGACGGGATGGCTCACGTGCAACCGACACACGCGGTCGCACCAGGAATTCTTGTCATAATGATCTAGGCGTTGCAGGGGACTGCAATTCACGCCTGCGAAGGCAAAGTTGCTTGATGCATCATGTTGACCTTGCATCAGAAAGGCCGTATATCAGCGTCGCTGCGCGTTACAGCATGCCGTATCATATCCACATCGGTACGCTCTTTTTCCGAATCATAAATGGCCGACGGAGCCGTGTCGTAACCCATGTTTTTTGTTTTTTCTTAAGCTCAACCTTTGAAACACTGAACGCACTTCTCTTGTCCGTCTTCCGTACTTACAACTTCTTTTCAAAGTTGCAATTCCTACAGTTCGGTCGAGTGGGGAGCGGGATATAATTCGTGGACAAGACACTTCAAACTCACCACAGTCCCTGGTATAGCATTGCAGTCAGTTTCTCTCATAAAAAGGATATACCGCCCATCGCACATTAGGTTTCCAACAAAAACGGAACTAGACCGAATCAGTGCCCTACTTGTCCTCTCTTACTTTGGTAGCACTCGAGTAAACGTTGCCAGCGGATGCCTGGCAACAAAGCAGCACCAGAGACCTCTCCGGGAACCAAAAAAAACGAAACATCAACCATTCCATTCGTGAAGGAGGTAAGGACACAGACATATTGCGATCGCAGTCGCATCATTATTCACTCATCCACAAGACTGAAACATCGCTTACTCTCACTTTTATTATCGCAGAAGTATTACATGAATCCACATAAATCAAAAAAACTGACCGACCCGTGTCATGCTCGACTGTTCCTCTTTCGTGCTCACCTTATAATCCTGCTTTTCCCGACAAAAAGCACCAAATGCAAAAGCGAACATCGAAGTTTGTTTCTATCAGCGTCTGGCTAGGTGAGATTTCACTGCGCACCATCTGCCCACAAAAGGCTCCGGCGACCTCTGCCCACAACACTGAAACCTTCACGAATCGAGCTATGGTCGGTAAGTAAGCATAGCGGGATCTTCCAAAACTAGAAACGCCACAACTCCATGTGAGAGACCGGCGCTTCAGAAGATATCAACTACCGACATTTCTCGCGCAGCACAGTATACGCAGTTTCCACAACTAGAAGACATCGAGACAGCGTGCTAACGAATGGCACCTGTGATGTGTTTAAATTGTCCCAAATTCTTTGCCAACTTCCGAAGGCTTCCTGGAGGCAGGGGCTCCTGTTCCGGGTACTTGCGGTGGCGCCGCGCCGGCCATACTGGCTCGGGTTCTGATGCAGCGCGCTTTCCTTTGGCAGGCCTGTCTGCGGTAGTCCGGGTCGGGGGCCAATCCAGAAACGATTTCCAAACTATTTTGACTTTGCCTAATGAGTGAATCAGGCTCTGATGGACCTGTCCATCAGTTTCATCACCTGGACACTACGCGATGCCTGTCCGGTCCTCCGTATGGCCTGGCTTTCGTGCAGCGCAGAGCTTCCTTGCGGTTTTATGTGGACACTTGCAGCACGCGAGCGCTTAAACCCTGCGTCTCCGCTCGTCCTGGATCATACCGGACATAGCATCGTTTTTGTGGCCAGTCATGCCGCGTCGTCAGGTGGTCCGGGTCCGCGCAAGACATGGTTGGTAACACCACTGGGAAAGGGACTCTTCTTGGCTTAAATCGGAACTACTATGACATCGTGGCCGTCGAATCCTCCTTAAAGAAAAGCTTAAGGTAGCGCGTTTTTCCACCATCCGTCTCCATGTGCATGAGGTAGCCACTTCCGGTTATCGCTACATGTCCCCCCGTCGCTGCCACGCGACGCGGGCTCTACCATATGAACTCGTGCAGAATGAGGCGGCACATGTGTCGCGCCACACGCAAAAACTTTACTAACGCATTAGACGCGAGTTGGTGAGACCATGGCCATCGCGGAACCTCGTGTATAAGAATTTGTCCGCCATGGTATTACACGAGCGAGGGTGGGCGTGGAGCGCCAGCCGATGGATCGCGCGCCCCAACATGATCATCGCTAGTTTAGCATACGAAGTTTTGTTCTCGCGGGGCCGCCAACTGTCTGAGATCGCTTGGCGCATACTAAGCACCAGCCTGACGCGAATGAAGTCCAACTGATGAGCGCACCTTTTCCAAACAAGCGTGGCACACGCTGTTGCGCCGCACTTCGCATGAGTACAGCAACGCCAGAACTGGTCTGAAACTTTGTCATCACACCTCCCCTCTGTTGATGACACCAAGGTCTTCTGATCAGAAGTTACTCATCTCTCCACTGTTCCCCACACTACTCAATGAAATTGGGCAACTGAAAGTGGAGACTCGCTGCTCAAGGATGCATACCGCTGATTCCGTCAGCGGTATAATTCTCGCTCTGCCTCTCTCTCACTCTTTTTCTAGCGCCGCTCCTGGAGCGGCAAACCTGCCTTACATGCTCTCGGTACTGTGTCGAAGAATCTAAAACTCCTAGCTGCACAACATAGAACACACTTCCTTGACCCCATAAGCTTTTTCCAGCGTTTCCAGGCGCTTTTCACACTGAAAAAATTCTTCCACTACAACACCACTCCGAGAGAAACTGAAGCACAACACTCAACTGTGCATTGCGGTTCTTGTTCTAGGACGCAAAGGCCGCTTTTCTATCGCGAGCATTACATTGTACTTCGCAACGTAGAGTGTCCCGTCATCAATCTCAAGGGTTGGACCAAACCAGAAGCAGCGCGTCGTGTCTACTCCTGTCGAAGGATCCTGCCCTCCTCTCCTTCTCAAGGTGCACCTTACTGGTACTTGACGAAGCCGATCTGGGTCGCGCGCTCGCGGAAGCACTGACGGCAGATGTTAATACCGTACTTGCGGACCAAGGCGTGCTGGTTACCTGTAATGAGGGCGAATTGGTTGATATTATGGTTCTTTGCCTGGACTGAGATACTAGAGCTCTTCGGCATTCAATAATCACCTTGTATGTTACTTCCTGTTGCGATTAATGGCCAAAAGACATTCCGGGAAAGCAACCTAAAAAAACTAAAAACCTATCCTTCTTCCGAAAACAAATGAAAAAATATCATTGAATACCACAGACGCGGCACTTGCGGGAACCCGGACCGTAGTTGCGCGGGTGGACACCGAGAAGAGAGGCCATTTTGTTTGAGTGGAGTTTTTTGTTGCGACTAGAAGTCAACGTGGAAGTTAATCCAACCTTCGTTTCCCTGGAAGCGATTCATGAACATAAATATTTAGAAAATTGCATTGGTTTTAGACGACACAACATGGGTCGGAGAAGGTGTCTCCATCAAGATTTTCTTTTAAGCATCAGTTGCAGGAAATATTTGCAACGCGCGGAACATTCTTCATTTCTGATCTCCGACTTTCAAATGATCTTTAGATTTGGGAACGATGGGCGGGCATATTGGAACCTAATTTATTTAGAGGCTTACGAACCAGATTTAGATCCACAACATCTTCGTTTGGTTTCTCTAAAACGTGTAATTATTTCTTATGAGGCCGGCTGGATCTCGACAATTTAAAACTTACAGAATTGGAATTCGCGGCTCTTCCGATGGATGTGAGCTGCACTTCTTTTCCAGAGCTGTCGTTCTCCACAAGACCTTTATCTGATGATCATTCTGCCGATGTGAAATAATTTGAGTAGGTTGCATGTCTGCTCTAGTGGGGCGAAGATCAGCGCTGGTTTCACAAGTCGAGGCTGAAGATAGTACTCTTGTTTAGTCGAAACAGAACGGAGGATCTTCAAATTTGGCCTAATTACCATTTCAAAGGAGCAAGCACACCAACACTTGAAAACTCGGCTAGGTCGTATAGTGATCCAGCACACCAACACTTCGCGCGATCAGGACACGTCACTGTCGTGAATTCCATCTTCCTGCACATTGCCTGTTAGAATCCCTCTTTTGACGACAAACCTAAAATCAATGCAGAGACACCTGCGGTCAGATGTGAGGTATGACCCGCTGGCAATCGCTATGTTCACCAAGAAATGGCGCGTATCAGTATGGAATCGCTCTGAGTGGGCCGAGAAACCGAAAGAACAGAGTTGAGTAAGTAAAGCTGAGAAAAAAATTTAAAAAATCATAATCAAAATCCCAAGAATAATTTTTTGCTAAAAGATGTCTGCAACAGGCACAGTGCCCGATTTTGTGCGGGAAACGTTGGCTTTTATTTGGCTGTCCCTGCTGCGCGAGTAAAATCCCTCGTGCAAATAAACTTTCTGTTGCTGCCAGCACCCATGGTACCCAAAGGCGCGGCTGAAGGTCCAACAGAACGAATGTCGGTTCTGTCTGGGGTTCTGGAGAGTGTGGTACAGAGAGAGTTTAGGAAACCAAGACTAGATGCGATACTTTGTAGGTACAAGCAACAATTGCCAGCGGAGGGGGACGCAGAGTCGGAGGTTGTGTCGTCCGATAGGCAATCCGCCTCACCGCTGCCCACCGGGAATTCCGCTCGGTCAGAAAATGATCCTACTCCTCGTCGGTTACCGTGCTGCAGGAGCTGCTGGATCTAAGCTCCTTCGCACCCATTCTGCGCTGCTTCGTCTTTTCGCGCCGCGCAGAGGTACTACTACATCAGTCGCTGTGTTAGCGTGTGGCCGCACATCACGCGAAACGTCTGTGCCGCGAGACACTCATAGGGATAGTGGCGCCCGATTATCCTACAGAAAAGTACACTCATGCATATGGATAAGTAGCAGCGAACAACTCTCCACGTCAACATGACCACAGTCTCCTCGGGTCTGGTCAGCATGAAAAACTGAAACGTCTCCTTCTCGCGGGCTTCGCGCAGGGAAGTATGAGTTTCATTTTGCCTGGAAAAAAACAAAAAGCTTTTGTTTCCGTAGCAGACGTCTCTACATTCATTGCATAGTTTTTCATCAGTCACAGCAATCTTGTAACACATCTCCTTTGTGGTGCACGTGCCCTTTTGTGTTGGATATCGATTGCCGCATTCTGCGCTTCCAACCGCAACATGCTCATCACTGCAGGGCCCACGCGCTGCAACATCAAACTAAAAAGCGCCCGCGGCACCGCGACCCCCCACGACGGAATATGAGTCCAGAACACCGTGCTTCCTTTTATTCAATGCGTCAGAATCAATGACACGCGCATTTTTTTTTCTCAGATTACTTCTAGAGGTACCGCGACTGGCGAAAATCCGGAAGGCTCGCTGACACCACGTTCAGTGAGGAACTCGAGTACTTTGTTGAGTTAGTGTCGGAGGCGAAATGCAAAATGCACTGATGCAACACAAAAAACAACTGCAAAGTTTTTACTGGGTCGTACTATATGCTTCAGAAACGCTTTTCTTTTTCATATGCAGCACGTCCTCCTTCCACACGGGCAGCCACCTTTTCGTGCAGAATGATGGAATTTCCATGTCTTGCTCTACTTTCGCATGTAGACAGCGCGAACAGTTTGCACCATACCAAAATTTGCAAGCAGGAACCTCCTTGTGCTGTGTTCTGCGGGCGGGGGCGCGCGATCTAAATCTAGAGCTGGCACGATTTTCGCAACTAGTGTAATTAGAAAAAAAAGAGAAAAACAGTCATATCGCGAAAAAAACCGGATAACTTACAATCCTGATTGCCAACTTTACACGTTTTATACCTTTCCCTCATCCACGGTTTCCATTTCAAACTGATACTGTCCGGATTCGACATCGCGTTGCACCCCTGACTTTTCCAGGCATCACAGTAGAAAGTAGTGCCCCGTCCTCCTCCCGAGACCTTGCAAAAATGGAGCACGCTCTTTGTGTTTGCTGGGACCACAAGCTTCTATCCCCTGAATCTGAACGTTTAAAGCAGCGGAAATAACAGACAAGGCCCGCTGCATCTATTCATACTTTTCATTCCTTCCGGAAGCCTAAGATCACAGGCTTTCGCTTCTAAAACTAAAACGAAAACCCGTTTGGATGCATGCTGCATAAAAATCGAGATGCACAAATAGAGTTCGCGTCCTCTGAGAGCGGGGCACCACTCTCAGTTTGATAGTAGAAATGTAACATTCGTGGTATCGGGAATGGTATATGGCGGACGTCACAGTCAGATCGTAGCGCATCACACAAACTTTAGATACTTGCAGCAATGTAGTTTTTGCACGACAAACCTGCTAGCACCGGCTGCAATGCAAGAGTACGGAAGAGATTGATGTCCCCGAGCTTTCCCAAGGACGTGCGTAGTACTCAACTAGTCTTGTGCGGTCGAAGCCAATTGCAAATCCGCTGGCAAGTACCTATGCTGCGTTTCCAAGCGGCACTGGACACGCGGGCAGCTCTCTTCTATGTCATGGCAAAAATAAAACCAGCACCCGCAAGGTCAACAGAGACCTGTGCGGCTTCGCAGTTCCATCCCCAGAAACCACACGGCTGCCTTCATCCCTAACTCTTCACGAGAAAATCTACGAGACGCACGGCCAACTGCGCGTCTTCGTAGCCCATCGCGTACCGCTCCCCCAGCGCGCGGTCTACATCCACGTTCAGTACGGAGAGCACTTGCCTTGTGGTGGCGTTCGTTGCTATCGAGTTGATGCTCGACCAATCCGCAATAGGCATGTTCGTGGGATCAAACAACCAACAACTGTCGATGTCTGTCGAGTCCAAGTGCCAGGTCGGAAACTGCACGATGTCGTAGTGATGCTCGGTCGTTGTAGTCTTTGTCGGCATGATCGCCGTCGGCGCGGTTCCAGTGCCTGCCGCCGTTGAGGCTTTACTACCAGTCCCTGAGCTTGCGGTACTAGAACCAGTCGCGTTACTGGAAACGTTTGCCCCTGCGATCACACTTGTTCCACCTGCCGAGGTTTTGTCGTTTTCCCTTTTGGCACCGGAGGATGCTTCTGCCCTTATTTCGCTCATCGCTGCAACTTCCTCGAGTCCTCTGTGTGCCCGGCGCCCCGTGGCGGCGAGCGTCGCCTCAACCTCTGACGAACGGAATGAACGCGGAAAATCAGAACTTCATCCATCACCATGTGTTTTTAGGTAGCTCGTTCTGTCCGGTTGGACTTACATTAAGGAGTTCTTGACTGTCATGATCTTTTTCAGCCCGCGAGCACTCTTCTGTGACATCGCTGCATGCAATGTTTCCCCAGTGCAGCATGCAAATTCTTCGGCGGTTTCGCCTGGTCTTTTTCGTACCTGAAAGGAAAAAACAATTTGGGGGTTGACACAACATCGACGGGCACTCGAAATTCATATCATCTCATCAATTTCAAGACGGAAGTTTGATAATGAGTGATGTTTCGTTTTTCTTGCGTCTGATAGCAAGCGTTCGAGGGCGATCTGCTCCGTCAGTTGCGCACTGTTCACACGATTTTTGGCGGACGACGGTGCCAGCGTGGTCTGGCTGCTCTTCGGGACTGCATGTTGCGCGGCAACAGCAGCTTGCGCTTTAGTACTTCCACTCGCTGCGCCGGTTGCAGCTCGAGAGGAGCTGCTTGTTGAGGTCGTGTATGCATTTTTGCAAAACTACCTTCGTTTTAGTATCAAGTAAAATCGTGTGGAAGATCCTGCTGTTTTGATTGAAGACAAAAAATAGGCTTCGCCATGAAGCTTCAAGTAAAAACGTAAGTAGATGCGTCTCGAAGTCGACAGGACGAGAGCGCAATTCAGACGACTACGATACAGTTTTCGTTTTGCACAGGATATTGTGGTGACGAAATCGCCCAACGCCGGCGCAAACTGCTTCCGCTCGAGGTAGGCCAACGTGGGCGGAACCCGCTGCAGGAGTGCTTTGAACCCGGTCCAGCGTTGCTGCCAAGGTTCCGCCTTTTCTGGACCGTACCAGTTGATTGCGTGGCGGTTCACCCAGTCCACGTTTTCGATGGTGCTGTAGCCCTCCGTTGGCTCCTCCTTCACGACCACCAGGTTCTTACGCGGTTTGGCTCCGGGAAGCGGTGGGCTTGTGGCCCGCCCGGGGTGCGTCTCCGTGTTGTGATCCGCCACCACAGCGTCCTCGTTCACACTGAGGCTGGACATCTGCTCGAGAAAGCTCTGGGGTCCGTACCACACCGTCTCGTAGCCGAGCTCCTGGCCCGCGGCGGCCATGTTCGTGAAGTCCACGAAGGTGGTCCAGTCGATCCTCCCGGCGCACGTGGTCCAGTCCCCGTGGCAGTGCGGAAGCTCCTCCATGAGATGGTGCGGAATGGGGGGAACAAAAATGCCGTCGTAGCTCGGGTCCACGCTGAGCGAGTTCGCCAGGGGTTCGTAGCTCGCGCCGTAGTCGATGGTCAACACGTGGCCGCCACTGTCTCCGATCAGGCAATCGGTGAGCTTCAGAAACTCCTCTTCCCCCGGGCGCATGACCACGTACAGCGAGGGGTAGCCCAGATCGTGATAGAATTTTGCGAGCCGCTTGTTCCGCTCGGTGTGCCGCTTCAGGAAGGCGCCGATGTTGGCGGACTGGCACCGGTCCGGCGAAATCGGGACCGACAGCCGTTTGGTCTTGGCGGCGATGAGAAAGGTGACGTCCAGGTTCTCGTGCAGATTCCCCCGCTCCTTCAGCCCCCGGCGGAGCTCCTGGTAAATGTTCCGCGGGATGGCCAGGAACCCGTTGAGCTCCTTCTCCAACTCGCGCACCTGCTTCCGCAGGTTGGCTTGCACGATCGGGTCCTTGCGCAGCCTGAGACGCACGTTATTCGAGGCCGCGGGAATTTGCAGGTTGGACGTCTCCATCAGGTTGCTCATCGCCAGGACCACGGTCATGCAGGTGGTGTTGCGCGGCACGATGCTCATGGCCGCCTGCCCCACGCTTGTTTGCATCGCCGTGCAAAAAAACGTGTCAGTAAACGTCTGCAATTCCTTCACGATGCGCTTGGGTTCGCGAATGCCCAGCTGCTGCGCGAAGAGACCCATCACGTCCTGTGGAAAAATCATTCTCCTGCGAAATACACAAAGCTAGTTCCTTTGAAAGCGCAGCACTAAAAATCGCTAGAACTAGTCCAACGCGGACGAGTTTTTTCTCTGTGAGGAAGCAGAGAAATAATTAATCTGCAGGTACTAGTAGCGTCATCACTACTACCTTGATTTTATTAGCATATTGATATTGATAGGAACAAGATAATACCCGAATCTTGATGAGGTGAAGCAATTTCATCTCTGTCCAGGAACTGCAGCGAGCGGGGTCCACATTGTCCAGGTCGAAAACCGAAAGCTTCAGCTTCACAGGGGCGAAAGCGTCGATGAGCTCATTGGAAATGACAGCGTTGGCCGTGAAATCTGAAAGAAGAATGCGGTGCTTACAAAGTGTAAATCCAAAATACATCAGTTTTCCTTTTCGTTTTCACCGAGAAATAAGGACGTTTTAGTTAATACCACAAAGCAAGTTGTACTTTTATCTTACTTGGCCTCTTCGCTTTGCTCTTGAAGTCTTCGCAGGCACTGAGCGTCTGCGCGTCCTGCACGATGACCTCCAGCCCGCGTTCGCGCTGGCGCTCCGCGAGCGCCGGGCTGCGTTCCAGAATCGTGTAGCGAAAGGCTGCCTTCCATTCCCGGTCGAGCTTGGGGCTCAGCCCCAAGCAGTTTTCCAGTACGCAGTCCCGGATGTCCTTGCCCAGCTGTCCCGAACCCGCACCCATCTCCACCACCTGAAATATTTCCTCCGTGGAGGTATTCTTAGACAGAGCTCCGGTACTATGATCCCCATCTACCTGAGGTGAGGACGACGCGTCGTGGTGCCCTGGGAGTCCTTCTGCTCCGCGCGCGTTGGCCTCGAGGGCGAGCTCCATTCTGCGTTTTCGCCTCCACATTAGGCATATGCATTGCAAAACTGTCTCGTGGCGTTCTTCTGGCAAGTTGTGATGCAGCTGCTTTGCGGATGATTAGGACGCTTGCAATGGCAGGCAAGCGCGACAGGTTTTTGGAATGGCTTCTAATAAATACATAGCACGCATCACAGATTTCGATAATTGCATGAGAAAGTAAGCTCCGCTTCTACTGTTCCCGCAGCACAACTTTGTCAGAAATGCACGATACGCATTTACAAGTTCCAGCTTGCCAGACCCAGACCTATTTGTACTTGATAAGGTACACGGCGCGCATGAGCACGCGGCCGAAGTGCGGGGCGATGGCCATGGGAAAGGTGGTATCAAATGTAAAAGTGTCTGGGTCTGGAAGTATGCAACTTGTGATGCTGAATTTGGATTCCAAAAAAATCTGTATTGCATGAGCAGCAAAGGGAACGCAATTTTTGCTACGCGGAGAGGGCATTTGTCACGCGGAATAGGCATCGCGAAGCCCTCAAAAAATATGTGACGCTAGGGCATGCATCACAGACATCATGGCCAATGCAAAACATGCATGACAAGTCTCAGAATCTTCCAGACCCAGACGTTTTTACATTTGATAGGTGGTAAAGTGCGCAAACTCGTTTGCGTCCGGGGCGAGCTTCCCGGCGCCCATTACCCGGCCGGTGGAATAGTACCCAAAGTCGGGGCCGTATTGCGCGTCATTGTAAAACTCGTCAAAGGAGTATGATTGTGCACAATTCCCCTCGTTTGTCATGCAGAATACCAAATTCTGGGTGCGCCGCGTGTCTTGGCACTGTTTGCGTGACAAGTTCTAGCGGCCTCAATAGCACTACAATCCAGTGCAAATTTGTCATGTTAAACCGGCATTCTTGCTGACGCTCGTATTCGTATTGCCATTCATGCTATACAAATGAGGGGGAGTTGTCGTGCAGTCTCATAAGGAGTAGAAGCTGTCCGTGGACTGTCCGTTGAAGAGGTTGTCCACCCACGAGGTTTATCAACTGCAAGCATGTCTGGGTCTCCTCCTCCTGGAAGAATCATTCTGGGATTTGGTGAACTGCAAGAAGTAGATCAATAATCATGCACGCAGAGCATGAGAACGAGAAGGGCCGAGAACGATTTATGTCCATGCCTAGCCCGTAGGACGAAGAGTGCCCGCTTCAGGAGGAAGAAAGCAACGCTTTGTGCTGACTATGAAAAAAGACAGATTTTCGTCCATTCCAGACTTAGCATCAGACCAAGTTGTTTACGTCTTTCGCTTTCCAGGCAGGCCCGGAGATACATATTTGCAATGCGTAAGGTACTCGGCTCGGTCAGCGCGCAGCACCGTTCGTAGTTGTACACGTCCCCCCAGCACTGCGGGTTTCCACGCGGGCCCCCACTGCAGCAGAATTCGTAGTTGTAGGCACCCTCCCAACAGTCGGAATTGGGGCAACCTGTAGTTCCATGATATTCTTTGTGGCGATACGGTCGAATCTTCATCCTTGTTGCGCTGGCCGCTCAATGTAAAGTAGGTTTCGCATTTCTCAATCTCGTAAAAACCTAGTTCATGTTTGTTTGTTAGTTCATTCCAACCTTCGACGAGAGAAGAATTTGTTTGTTGATGATCTCATTTTCAGCTTGTTACATTCTGCCATATGCATTGCAAATAGGTCTGGGTCTGGAAGTGCGCGGCGCGGCTAGTTTGTCATGCATCTTGCGGACGAGGCATATGATCAGATCTGGAGTGCACGCAACGGCATTGCAGCTTTTGCGCGGGCTTTTTGATGCACGCCCCGTATAAGAAACTCCCTATTCGCGTAGCAAGAAGTGGGCAGCTCTTCGCGTTGTTGCAGCGCAAATTTCATCTTATGATTTGGAGTTCGCATCACAAGTTGGAATTCTTTCGGACCCACAATATTTGCAAGCCATATCCCATGGTCATGTGTTCGTCCCAGCAGTCTGGATTCTGAAAGCGGCAGCAACATCACCTGCAAACATGTCTGGGTGTGGAAGAGTGCAGACGCTTTTCCTGCACTTTAGTAGTTTGGACCTGCAGGACGGTCGGTCTGGAGTGTGCACAGAGCATGACAACCTCCGGTGAGGCTTTTCCATGCCAAGGCTGCATGAGAAACGCCCTATTTGGGAGACAAAAAGCGGGTTCTTTTTGCTAGGTATGCAAGACAGATTCTAGATTTTTTGTTTACTCCAGACAAACAAGCTCCACCAGCGTCACAAGTTGCAATGTTCCACGACACGTAGACACCTTTGCAGTGGATAAGCAGGCGTCGGCGGTAAATTGGCCGACCCAACAGGTAGATTTGGATATGTCGATGAGCCCCGAGTATCCATTGCAAACAAGTCTGGGTCTGAAATTTGTGATGCCTGTTGCGGGTCACACAAAGCCTCTGTCTTGCATATAGGAGGAAAAGATGCCCAGTGTCATTTTGGACTTTCTCACACAGCAAGGTAGTCATTGCAGAGACCCTGCTGAACCTGTGATGCTAGACTACCTTGCAAACGCAAACATCGCGGGACATGCAAAATAAATCCGCATGACAATGATCTGCATCTTTATTCTAGACCGTAGACATATTCGCGATTATGCATACCGAGCTCTCCGCCAGTTGGTCCTCGGTCAAATTGCGCAGAGCCGGCATGATGAGGTCGTAGGGCAGAGCGTTGCTGGTCGTGGTCGTCGTCGCCGTCGTACTACTTGCCCCTCCGGTGGCCGCGCCTGCAGGGGCGGTCGCAGCGAGGGCAGCGCTGAACAAGGGTGGTGTGCCAAATAAACAGTGACTTCGTTCTTGCGTGGAACTACAAGTAGTAGCGACTGTAATCTTTGAGTGCGAATTGTTCTCCCACAGGAAAAGATGCAGCAGGCTCGCGGTCGCGCAAAAGTGAATGAGGACTGCGGTGAGGCCTGAAGAAGACGACCATGGTCGCAAGTGTAGCGGCTTCGTTTTCTTCTGTTCCGCTGGGTCTTGTACAATTTTTCCATCTGGAAGATGTTTATGTCTTGACTCAGACGAAGTTTCAGATCGATCATTTGATCCCGGTTCCTCTGAGGGAGTTTTTCTTTTCCGGCGTGGTCGAGACGAGGGGGACACCTGCAGCTCAGCACTGCTTGTGTTCTTCTTATTCCCCGCTGAGATCTTTGTATTCGCCGACGTTGGACGCGGGCAACCTGGGGTAGTCGTCTGCGAAGCAGAGACAGAGGACGAAGTGCTAGACGTTGCGGTTTTGCAAGACCTGCTGCTTCTTTTCTGTCGTGCCAGATGAAAAACTGCAGGCTGTTTGTCGTTCTCTTGGGGCACCAGAAAAGAGCTGCACTCCCGTTTTCTATCGTTGCTGTCACGAGAGGGTCTTCTCGTGCCTTCATGTGGTCGCCGCGGCGGCTGCAGGGTGAAAAATGCCCTGGCTACCTTACTTGCACAATCCGGCGAAGAACAGGCCCCGGAGCTGAAGGGGCGACACGGAGGTCCATTCTCCGCCTGCTCGCTTCCACCTCGTACACGAGTAGCACAAATTTGGGCGCCGTTTCGAAGTTCTTGCTGACAACTGCGGGCGGCCACATTAGGAAAGAAAATCCTGCTCCACGAGGACGAGCGTCTGTGACTACTACTGCTAAAAAAGTTATCATCTTCAGTCACCGCGCTCGCGCAAGTTTTTTTCCACGACCGGGGTGCTGGTGCGGGTTCCCATCTGGTGCCGAGTGTCCGCATCTTTATCTTCGGTCTGGTTAGCAAAGTCGGAAAAGAAAAACTTCCACGAGTGCGGCCGGGGCGATGGTGATGGCACGGAACATCGTCATGCCGGGTGCTGATCTTCATCCGGGAGCCAGTTTCCTCCACGTCCGTCGATCGGGTTTTTGTGGAGTTGGTTGTTCTCTTTCTACTTTTTCTTCGGCGGCGTGCTTGATGCTTGATGGGCGGCGTGCTGCGACTTCTTGCCGTGAAAGCAGGGCACCGTGGAGCACGACCATTTCTATGCAATTCGTGCTTTTCCTCGTCGGGGGTCTCCATCCTCGTCTCGGAACCTGAGTTCCACAGTCGCACCTCCATCGTCGCGCCTTGCACCTTACTAGTCGCAATCATGATCCCGTGTAAAAACCGACTTTACCCGTAATAGATACTACGCCATAAAGGTCAACAAGATGAGAAAAAATCTGCTCGACTACTAGTCCAGAATAGTTTTGGGACTCACGGGGGCGTGTGACGTGTGTGCATGATGAGGAGCCTTAGATTTAGTCGTGGCGCCGCCGCGGCGGTAAAAATCCAGGACGCGCATCACAAAGAGCAACCTCTTGTCTCAATGTTCTGATCAGAGCACGTAACACGGAGAAATTGGCGGCCGTAGTAATAAATTGGAGGGACGAGCTGCAGGCGAGATCATGGTTGTTCACCGCATCATGCGAATGTGCATTGTAAATCTAAATGTAAACCACGCAAGAGCAAGTGATGTAGGGCACTGCGTACGTCGTTTCTTGTACACGGGATAACAGCAAGAGGTTGTCCATCCACGACCTCACTGTCCCCGAAAGGCGAAGGTGCGTAGGTGATGTCTACTTCACCTAGTGGTGCGCTACGAGTCCTCTTTCTTGATGGACAACTTCTCAAGGAAGAGCCGCGGAGATCAGCGGGTCGTTCTCCACCTTGGCGGGGCGGAAAGGCGCCGCATTTCATACGATAACTTTCGGACGGCAGCGAAGACACGACGGGTCGTGCTGTGTAGTGTCTTCTTGCGGGGTGGGTTCCTCTACTCCTGCTGCTGCCACCGTGGAGAGGAACTACTTGTCGAAGATGCGCTGGCGCTGTGCTGTCCTCAGTAAAGGCGGACCTTCTTGCGTGGCCATGGTCGTTCGCCAAGTGGAGGTCGCACATCTTCAGGTTGTCGACGTCCACCTTTCCGCAACTACAAAAACGACGAGAAGGACCGACTAGGTCGACTCCTTCTTTGTTCCTAGCTCTCCTCAAGAAAAGGAATCCCGCCGAGGATTCTCGCCGATCCATCGTGCCGCGAGGCCGGTCATCAAAAACCACAGGATCATGTTTTGCTTCACCGGGCGCTGCCACGGCTGGCGCCGCGGAATAGGTGGAGGTAACAGATTCGATCATACGAGGACCGGCGCCTCTTGTATTTCCTCGCGCAAAAAAAGTAAAACTACTGGAACGACATCGTCGCGGTCCACGCAGTTGTTCCATTCGCGGCACTGCTGGTAGAAGTCGTTTTCGTTCCCACACTGGGGAGAAGATACTGATATTATCGATATCCACCACCTGTGCGTAATAACCCGTCCGGACCACGGCGCAACTGCCTGAGTCGTGCTCTAGGGCGAAAATTCTGTGAATCGTGCTGGTATGGAAACAACTTGATAAATGATAATGTAGAAGGAGAACAAGAAACTTGCAATGATCTTCCAGATCCGGGAACCAAATGACGAACTTTGGGGACCCACAGAGTCGGCGTACGGCAAGAAACGACCGATCGCGGAAATGGTGTGACAGAGAGAGAGAGAAAAGATAGATTAAATTTTTGCAGCCAAGATCGGTATATACATTTGTGCATTGCAAATAGGAGAGTGAGACATTTTGTAGTAGAACAAGAACTAAAAATAAATCCAGCTAACCAACGGCAAGTAGGTCGTCAACGTCTCGATGAACGGATGAAAAACGAGGAGCGTGAAAGACGGTGTCATGCTCCACAACACAGAAGAGAAAACTGCAACACTTGCTGAGAAGAACTTTGTTGCAGGTTGCAAAACGACTGGCTCCACGCCGAAAAGGGCGAAAAGATTAGAATAAACATTTCCAAGAACTACATGATGACGAAGCGCACGAGAAGATGAATATCACATGATCACGAGATACATATTGCAAAGAAAACATTTTTCACGCTGTATTTCCAGCGCAGAGTGAAAAGATGGTGCACAACAAAACAGACTTTAGCTCAGAGAGCGACACGCTCGCAGAGGTCCGTTATTTCTTTGCAGAGCGTCAGTGTTGGTTCAGATTCAGGGGTGAAAACTATCTGCGACCCCCAAACGGCGCTTGCGCAAGTACTCCACTGCGAAACAATCATGATAAGTACTAGGGAGTTGTGCATTTTAGCATGATTCTGTGCAAAGCTGCCTGCTCTGGACGAGTCAGTAATTCGCTGTTTGGAGTTCTTCTGTCTATATTCCTCTTCGGTTCTGCTACCAATCTTACAGCGCAGCTACAAGTAGAGTCGTTGTCTGCTGCTAGGACTAATACTGCTTTATCACGTACTGCTTTTGAGCATGGCGGCGGCCATCGCTGCTTTTCGTGATGCTTTCATTTTCTTTGAAGCAGACGGCTGATTGGCGGGAGGGTCCTGAAATAAAAGCCGAGCATTGGTACTCGATTCAGCAGTCTCCTTTTTGCGAAAGGAAGCCGCTTCCTTGTTTTCCGAGCGCGTAGCAGAACTCGTATGCTTTTGTCGATTTTGGTTTTGGACAAGCGAATTTGTCGTGGTCTCTGGCTTCTGCTCTGCGGTGCTAAGATTCTCGTTCATCCTCGCGCCGCGACTCACATCGCGCACCCAGCCATTTTCGTCTGCCTTTGTATGGTCCTGCTTCGGGGCGTAACTGCTCGTCTCGACGCGGGACTGCTCGGAAGATAAACCTTGTTGTTTGTATAATGGCAAGACAGAAATTTAGTTTCATCTCATAGATGAGATTTCCCGTTTCCGCAGGTGCACGTCAGCATGAACAGAATCTTCAAATCAATGCGTACAAAAAACTACGGTTCTTTTTGAAGCTGTAAGAAGTGTGGGGAAGTTAAGAGGTATCTATACGTCATAGATATCGAACGTTATAAAGCTCCAAAACTCGACGGCGCGCGGACGGGTAGAAGATATAGACGTGTACAATCCAAATCCAATTTCATAGAACTCAGACACATTTACTAAGATACCACGCCCTTGCCCTGGCGGGTCACCTTCGCGTTGAGATGTCTTTTCCATATGAAATGCAAAAGCATCGTACTAGTATAAATCGCATGACAAATTTCCTCAGCATGAGAAATGAAATTTGTAATGCGGATTTAACTTGAGAAAGAAACTTGTAATGCATGACCGCGATTACTACGAGTACGATGCTTTTGCACAGGGTATCCCAGCAATTTCGCCAATTTTGCTCGCTCCACCCGCTCCGTGTCGCACTGAAAGTTCAAGCATGCGTCGCAAATATAATGACTGGGTCGGGAAAGAAGAGTGGTGCGTATTGCGGATCACACAATCAGGTGTCTTGCATGACTTGCAAGAGATGCCTATTGCTGGCCACGCTGAAAAGGGATTTCCATTTCTCATGCAGAATCATAGATACCTAGGTATGTAGTTCAAGGGGCTGCAAAACTTGTGATACTAAGGCCTGCATTTTCCAGACACTTTGCAAAGAGAAAGCTTTGATGACAAACAGCACGCAACCTTCCGGACCGCCAGACGTATTTTCGCTTGATATCAAGCTGGAATACCTCGGCACCGCTGTCAACCCGCGACCCGCGACACGGATGAAGTTGGGCGCAGCGTCCAGCTGCGATCGAGGCCGCACGCCCCCCAGATCCTCGCGCTTTTTGTTCGCACCCAACAGAACGGATGAGTCGTAGCACGAAGATTTTACATCCGCGCCGGCGCCGGTAGAACGAGGATTGGTCGTTGTGGTCGGCGGCTTTGCAACTTCCTGCACATCCTCTCCCGCCCCCGGGGGTCGGTGAGTGCTGTGTATTTGCGATGTTCCTTTTTGGAGGGTGAGGTTCAACACGTCGTTGGCCCGCCCACTGGCAGCGCCTGACGAAGACGAGGAGCCCGCAGGTCCTATCCATTGCAAAGATGTTTGGGTCTGGACGGAGGCAAACTTCTTGCGAGGCGCATTTTAGGTCACACACAAATCGGTCATCCGTGGACAAGAAAAGCAGTTGAGCCCAGTCCTCTTTACCATCCAAACCACGGATTTTTCTTGCCCATGCGGAGTAGAGAACGTCGAGAAACCTGATCGAAACGTGTGAAGATGCCACTTAGTGTATTGGCTGCCTGTGAGAGGCAGAACGTTCGAGTGGGTATGCAAATGCTGCGTGGCAAACGTCTGCCCTTTTCCGGACCTAGACATATTTCTAGTATTGCATCTGATAGGGGGTGGTCCAGCGGCGGCGGAAAGCATCTTGCTTGAACTAGGCGATGACCGCCCGTGGTCCGGTTGCTCAGGAGGCCGGGCCGCGCCAGCGCGAGTTCTTTCGTGTTTGAATGCTGCTGTCAAAGGCGAGAGCACCACCCCTGCGGTCGTTCCCGTAGCCGCTGACGCGTTCCGTGGTGGTGTTGCCTTCTTGGCCCGCTTCAATGCTCCAGTTCTTGCGTCCCCACCACCGCCACGAGCCGGAATCAACGCAACCTCCTCGGCTCTTCCATCTTTTTCACCGGCTATAGGGATCGTCGTGCCAGCCCCTTTTGGTTCTTGATCGGGAGGCGACACTGCGGGTCGCTTGCGGTGATACTGGCCGGAGGACGAAGACGAGGAGGGCACCATCTTCAGTTTTCTGGCGACAGCAGTTCCAAAACGAAGCAGACGGACGCGGACCTGCGGCAGCACCAGCGGTTACACCGCTTGTTTTCCCGGCGGTCGCAGGTAGTGTTGCGGGGGTCACGCACCTCAAATACTAGCGGTAGTGCTGCTCATGATGTTTCTTTAGAAAGCAAATCGCCGTTGTATATGCATTCACCATTCACTCTCAACCTCTATTGCTCGCACTCTCTTCGATGCAGAGGGGCTGTGCGAAGGAGTTTTTGTCGTACCTTTTACATAGATACGGCGAGCAGGAAGCAACCGACCACTTCTCGGGTGCTGGAAAAGCGAGTACCAGCAGGTCCCCACGACCGGCGGGACGGCGATGGCTAGCATTCGAACACGACATTTTTGCCGCCGCGCAGAGATGAAACACAACAAATTTCTAGTGCTAGTAGCCGAGAGCGATACAGATTTGAGATTCATCTCGTTGGAAAACCATACTTAAACACCATAGCTATGAAGAAATCTCGTCGCGCGATCCTTGCCCTGCAACACACGTCGAAAATGTTAAGCGCTGCAGGCCAGCGCCAGACTCCTTTTCAACATTTTCCACCTGCATTTCTCGCTGATTACGTCAGTCAATGGAAGCAGGAGCTTATCCAAGTCGATCAGAAGTTGCACGGCTGGCCTGGGAAGTCGTGAATCAATCTTCACTCTTCTTTCTTGAAGCAGGGATAAACATTGTGCTCAAAACCAGGTCCCCAGCAGCGAGCAGGAAAGAAAAGAAGCCCACCACATTTAGCCATTGATAGTCCTCGTCAGGATTTATTTCACGACTCCAGAAACCAGGTGTCTTGGTCTTGGAAGAGCTGGATCGGACGGTTGAAAGATATGGGGTTTGGAAAGATTTTTTGTTTCCGTTTCTTCCGTTTTTCGTTCGTAGCATCTCCGACGGCTGATCCCTACAGCGAGTGCTAGAAGATTGGGCCAGATCGATGTCAATGATGTCAGTTCTTGAGACTTTCTTATCTTTGCAGCGGTCATTTAGGAGTTGTGACGCCGGGGAGTGGGAGTTCTTGTGAAATGATGCAAAGAGCGACCCCAAAAGAGTGCGCAACAACGAAAATCTAAATCTTTCGATGTTTTTGATAACTGCCGCAGCGAACTCCGACACCGCTTGCTGGACCTGGTTTGATAATAATCATGGATCATTGATGTCCCTCCCATCTTCGCAATATCAAACAGTGACAGGCACCACGATGCTTTCTTATTTTTTTGGGGTTCTTGTTGCGCAGCAGACGCAGACCACGCATGTGCAGTGCGGTACTTAACGATAAGGTCAGGCATATCAGATACTGGATTTGGAAAAAAAAACTGGAGAAGATTCTATTTGTTCATATTAAGGCTTTATACCCCCGCTTTCCTGCTCCAGTTTGGGCCGCAGATGATCCCTCCGGGGCCGAGCGCTTGCCACCAATCGGACAGGTCACGCAGCACGGCTTCTTTCGCGGGGTTGTTGTCTATGTACACCAGACTCAGTGGCGGGGGTCAGGTGTACCGGGAAAACTATCGTCCGGGTCTTTGTCTCAAGAGCGCACGCGCTTCTTGTACAGTCGGAAGGGAAAGTGAAGTAGCTAACATTCAACGTTCTTGGTACTAGTTGCTGTCTTTCCCTAAAAACGCCTTTATTTCACAAACAAATGGCGGGTATCACTGGCGCGTCCTCGAGGTGGATAGATAATGTATGAATTGGCTGCTCTTGTCCCAGTTCTTGCTCCGTACAATTCTATGACGTTCATGATGATATTCGTTGCGTACCAGCATGCATTTGTCTATGTCATTTAAACAGACTTTATTAGTCTTGCTTCAGCTTTGAGGAATAATTCGGTGCAGTATTTCCATTTTTTTCCTGCCAGAATGACAAATGACCCGATCGTCTTCATCACCATACGGCTGTTGCAGCGGGTTGTGGCGCCAGGTTACTGCGAACGACTCCGAGAAGTCGCGCATGAGGCTGTACCTGAGACGAGAAAAAGTACCGACCGATGATTAAGATGATCCTCATTACACGCACATCTTATCGTAGTTCTACTTCGCAAAGTAGAAACTGGCACTTGCATTTTTGGTGCCTTGCTAGTGTGCTAGGGGGGACTCACTGCACAGTTCCTTGCCACATGACCACCAGCACAAACATACCTTCCCTCAAATCGGTGAATTTTGTTCCGCAGGTCCTCGAACAGGCTTATCGTTTCGAAAAAGAAACCTGGTTACTGACAAGTAAGTATTTACATGCATCAATACAGGAGAAAGACAAAGACTAAGACCCAGCACGGAGGAACCAGGACGACAACGGAGTGACCCATCGATGTAAACTATAGTCGGTATGAAAGACAGGGTTTTTTTTCTTTCTGGAAGAAAAACTTGTCTTTTTCCGGTGGCAGTTTTCTACCATTTTCGCATGACAAAAGTGATATCAGGATCATTTTCCCAGTGCGATAACCCGTTGGTGCTCAATGTCGGACAGGTTCTCGGGCTCGTCGTAGCCTTGGAGTATCACCACAGAAACAGGAGGTTTGCACTACTTACACCATAGCATCGTATGTTTCTCATGCAAAAAAATAAATTACGAGGTTGAATTATAGGAGCGCGCGGCTAATTACTTACAACCATATTGAACAGGAGCGGGAGGAAGAGGAACAAAACCTCTCTTGTGTAAATGAACGGAACAACCTGAGGGTGCTAGTATGGAGAGAAGTTCATTGTTATTGGATTCGAAATTCGGTGTGGTGCACGCTTTTTTTCTGCAGGTTGATACGGTAAATGTGTATGAAGGGGTCCACCAGGTAGAGGCCCGGACTCGTGTGCCAGCTTTGCAGCAAGTCCAGCGCTATCAAATGCAAATATGTCTGGATCTAGGAGAGTGCAAGACTTTAAGTTTTCGCAGACCACGCGACACCTGGTCTGGATTGTACAAAAAAGATCATAGATTTTGCGAGACCTTGCTCATGCCTATCCCGTATGATAAATCCGCCTTTTGCTGCAACATCGCAAGAGGCGGGCAACTTTTGCGCTCACGCAACATAGATTCAGTCTGCCAGCCAGACTTTTTCGCATGACAAGTTTCAACTTTTCTAGACCCAGACATATTTGCAATGCAAAAGCGCCAGCGGATTTCGGCCCACTCCGAGAACAACACCAATACCACGCGGGTGACGATTGAGAAGAAAATCGAGCAGGGATCCTGTGCAAAAACGTCCCTGCGCCAGAGTCGAGATAGAAAGTCTGCGAATACAAAGCTTCCACTTCTTTTGTTTGTTGCGCGAGAGAAGCAAGTTGTTCGCTCGGCTTGGTATGCACTCGTGTTTAGCTAGTGCTGCAGCGTCACAGATCCAGGATCCTACCTTTATTCATGTACACGACTTTATTTTTTCAGGCATAAGAAGCATTTTTTTTCAGGGATGCAGATTGGCATGAGGACTTTGGGGTGGGGACGTTTTTACGCAAGATAGCAGGTTAAAGCTGTGCGCTTTTGTGGGCAGAAGTTCTGGTCGCACCGTCGCGGAGCGGACTTCGGCTGCGCCTCCGCTGTCATTCCCGCGCACCACATTGACGTGCGTTTTTGATGCTGGGTCCCCCTGCTGATAATGTTCGCGTACTCCAGGCGACGATGCGCTGCCAGCTGTACTAGGTTTCACTTGCATATCTTCTTTCCCCACGGTTTTATTACCATCATCGCTGCTCGTAGTTTTGCTTTTCCTTCTCCTTCGCCGCCGTTTCACGCCGCCACCGCTCGTTTGCCTTGCTGCATTCAAATTCATCGCGGATGCCGCTGCTGCATTACTCGCTGCCGTCGCATGTGCTGTTCCACTTCCGCCGAGCACCGCTGCATCGGGGAAGGGGATGGCCCGGTTTTGATACTGGGCCACTCGATTGAGCACCGTTTTTGCGTGCGACAGCTGCTGAGGTGCGATGCTACTTGCAGCCGCTCCAGCTGCACCAGAGTCGCCCACCGCACTTTGGCTCGTTCTGTATCCGCTGCAAAACTAGGACTATCTTCATCGATCTTCGCAGTTTTTCATAATAGTACTCAACGTGAAAATAGGTGGTGGTGGATCAGGTCCGATACCCTGAAACCCACTGCGTAGCGCCGCGACGGACGGGCATGTGCCGCTGCAGTCGGGTTACGCGAAGTTCCACGAAAAAAGATTCTTGGTCTGTCACCATGATCGTCGATGCGACGAGGTCGTCCTTGTGAAGTGTGTGACACGAAGCAAATGTAAATCTTTTCAACCGTACAATTTGTACGTTGTGTTACGAGCAGCCAAAAGTTCTTTTGTAAAAATGCATGCGCTGTTGAACGTGAAGAACGTGAAAGATGCCCGGTTATACATTTGATAACTCGCTGCAACCGCAGTGGATGGACAGAATGTATTTCCCTTGCCAAAACTGTATCAGGACGGCAATGGCCACCAGAAGCCAGTGCAGGGAGTAGTCAGGTGGCGATGTTGTTAAATTTTCCGCATAAACATCCGTCTGCCCGTACTCCTTCTCGGCGGAGGCGCCACCATTTTTGCCTGCAACAGGCAAGCCAGTTGCAGCGCGGTCCCTGTTTTCTACAAGTTTGGTTTTCATCGTGGTACTGGACATTTTCTTGGTGAGTTCTTTGCTGGAGGTTTTTCAAGAGTGAAACTCACAGAAGTACAACGTACTAGGGCCTCTCACGGTACAGGAGGAGAACCACGAGGGAAGACTTTCGCCATCCCATTGTGTCTGTTCTTTCGCAAGCGCTTCGAGCAGCGATAAAATGTACTTAACTATATAATCTCAACCAATGACAAGTTAGGACGGCAAGTGCTATTGTATCGCGCCTGCCAGAACAGGATCAGGATGAACTACATACAAGAGTGAGCGGGAACAACAACAATACCAGAGAAGAAAAACACCGGCAAAACAATAACACAAATGCGACTTCGAAATAGTGCAACAGAGGACGAAGACAAATGAACTTTCAAAGACACGGAATGGGTCGTAGGCCAAGTAAAAAAAAGCGAGACCAGGTGAAGCCCTTTGAAGGCAAATCGCAGGGATCCGATTGTATTTGAGCAAAAACACACACACATGAGCACGATCGGGTGCAATTCTATTTGCGCAAAACGAAAGATAAAAATCGCAAAGCAAGAATATATATATAATTCGAGCATTCACATGCATCCACATGAGAGAGGAGCGGCCACACACACACAGATCGTCTGGCGACAGGTTATTTCGAAGTGGCGCAGAAGTGCTCGACGGCGAATTTGCAATTTAGCGTCGAAAATATCATCAAGTGTGGGCATTTTTTTTCAGCGAGAATTGCGACGGAGTGCGATTCCTGTAAAAGCATTCAAGTCGGTGAAGATCGTGATGCACTAAAAATGCGGCATTTTCACCTCTCGTCCGATGAACCAACTTCAGCCTCCTGCTAAAACAGGGAGTCGCAGCTTTGTTCTTGGCGGAAGCAGCAATACATCCAGAGCAACTCGGAGAGGCGGAGGGAGAGGCGGGCGTAACTTAAATTTTCCACCTTCTTCTCCAGCATCCGGCCCCCGAACCCGATCACCGCCCCGAAAAAGAGCGGCGGAAATTTGTGCGGCACGTGGTCGACGAACGCGGAAAACCCGAGGACCAGGTGCTCCAGCATCACGATGCCGCTGGCGATGTACAGGCCGTCGCGCTTCGGCACGGGCACGAATACCAACCTTCCGTCGTCCGCCTCCTCGGAGAGTGGCCGGAAGTACCCGCCGAAAACCGCGTTTCGCGGGAGGCAGTCGCCGAAGTCGGCTTTCACGCCCTGCTGTCCTCGTGTCAGGGACGAGGAGCCGCCGCCGCGGCCCCCGGGGAGCTCGTCCCGCGGGGCTTTGGTTTGCAAGAACCCGGGGTGGAAACTTTGGGCCAGGGAAAACAAGTTCTGCTCGTGTTCGGGTTGCTCGTCGTCATCCTTGAAGTTGTTTTTGTCGCCTGCTGCTGCAACGCGGGGCTGCAGGGCCGGAGCTGCGGGGGCGGCGAGGACCCGCTGGACCACCTGTGCATCTGACGTGGCCGCATTTGGATAATCTCGGTGAAGATCCTCTGCAACAGCAGAGGTTGGGCCACTACTAGAGCTGGCTTGCCTACTAGTGCTTTGCGTGGTCATCTCCATCGCCCCGGGCACTTGCAAAGGTGTACTTCTAGGGCCCCCCGCTGGGTAGTTCCTGTTCCCGGCGGGGTCATCTACTGGGTTGTTCACAAGTGGCGCGTCGCGGGGCGTCGCTCCTACGGACGCATCTTTAATACTTCCCGCCCCGCGAGCGGGCGCGTACCGTCCGGTGTTTGCGTCGATATTTCCGTCCGCCCTGAGGTTTGCGAGAATCTTGGTCTCTGTGCCTTTGGGATCGAAAAACACGTAGCAGTAGTAAGTCACCTCGCGGAACACGAAAATCAGGGACAACAGGTAGAACAGGCTCTGCAGCATGAATTCCCAGTTGTCGGCCTTGTGAGCGGCAATAAAGTCGCAATTTTTTCCCACTTTTATATTCAAACGAAAAGCAAAAGCCTCCCCAACTCCTCGTATCAAAATGAAGAACCTTGGCGAGGCCGATTTGTTTGCGTGGCCAGGGGGTGACGATGATTTGCTATAGTACTAGGTCGGTCGTTAGATCTGTAGCAGTAGCTACAAAAAAAAGAGCATGAGAAATTTCCGCTTTGAGTTTGGGGAGATGATATACGAATTTTTCCGCAGCATAGTTCACCGCAAAACTGAGGAAAAAGGGCCAGGCCAGCGCGTCTGCGAAGAACCGGACCCGGCCGAGAAATTCCAGCAATTTGCGCCATTTGAGCGGGTATGCATCGCAAAGATGTGGTCTGGGGCTACGAAACGTCGAGATTTGAAGGACATAGGACAACAAACAAAATTTCTGGTGCAAGAACAGCCGGAGCGGCCTGCTTTTCACTCGTGCTACTTACCTGCGGGTCGCAGTTTGTCACGCAAAAGCAAAATGCAATTGTAAGTACACCTAGTATTAGAAGTAAATTTGCAATATTGCTACCACCCAAAAATCATAGGAAACTTGTGTTCATCCGTTGGGGTTCATCTTGGCTCACGCCGTACAAAAGGCCGCTTTGGTCGTCTGCAAGACTTGTCAGCGTGACAAATCATGATTAATTTGCGTTTTATTTTTGTCGTTCTAGAAGACATACACATATTTGCACTGGATAGCAAAAAGCCTCCGAAGGCGAGGACTAATGCGTCGAAGGCCAAGGTCGCGGACAGGACCTGCAGGGAGAGGGACGAGGCTCGCATACTGATGTGCGCGTGACCGAGGGTGAAGGAGAGGTAGATCGCAGAGATGAGGTTGCGTCGCAGCTCTCGCTTTCGCAGCTTCGTGCTGCTGCCCGGAGCGGCAGCTTCTACTAGTAGTCCACCGGCTTCCACCGATGTTGAATCACCAGCGGACAACATGATGAAGATAGAATACTTTAATTATTAAAACAAGCTCATAAAAAATTTTTGAAGCTCGATTTTTATTAAACACCTACGTCGGCCTCTGCCACGTTCGGACGTAAATAAATCGGGTCCTCGGTTGTACTTGTATTTTCATCTGCGATCAGGTCAGGAAAGTTGGTGGTCCTCAACTGCGCGACTAATTCATTAAGTACCGCAGGATAAAGACGGTCAAAGATGTTGACCACGCGAACTGGTTTATTGCGTCGCGTTTAGTGCTTCGGCATGAGGATCTTCAATCGTTGATCAACATTTTTCCAGGGGAACTGCTACAAAAATCGATGCGGGAACTATCGTATGAACTGCGCCGAGCCGTCTTCAAAAGGGTAGAAAATGCCACAAGTCGCCTGTGGCACGCTTGGATGGAATTTTGTCAGCACGAGAAGCTCCATCAGAAGTGACTATTAGATGCGCATTAGGGATGAACAAGGATCACCCAGCACAAGTTCATTCAATATGTAGTCATATGTTTTTCTTTTGTATAACCAGACCCCTTGCTGTTTCTGCATGGCTTTGCGAAGGGAAAAGGACGTGCTTGTGCGACGCGAGAACAATTGTGTACAGTGCGGCATCTTCCCATCAGGAGAAACAGATAGACAGAACGCCGCTGCAAAAAATATTTCTACTTGCTATACCGCTCGTCGTATCCATCAAAACATTGAGTACAAACATTCATTTTTTTCCTTTACCAGATCCTTTCTTCGAAGTGTGCGTTGGTTCATGTGGTGATACTAGTTTCCCTTTTTTCATGTGCGCCGCAGAAGTGTCCTCATGATGTGCGAGTGCGTCTTTGTTCATTATATTTCTACCACCCTTGTTATTTACATTTCCGTCACCGCCTGCGATCATTCCTCCGCCCCCCGCGCCGGGGGAGGACGGCGCGCCCGCTGCACCCTTTGCTCCGCTCCCCGCTGCTGCGCCGGCGGCGGGGGATGAGACTGAAGGCGTCCTTGCGGCCGCCGCCTGCTCCTTTTTCGACCACTGTGCGCGGTCGGTAGGGCCTGCAGTTCTTACCGTGTCTGCTTTATTCGCTACGTCATTCTTGCTGGTGTCAGCTTTGACGTCCACGTTGTTGGCGGTGGTATTTTTCGCGGTTTTTCCAGTCACAGCGGGATTCATGGTATCGCAGGGAAAAATTTGTGCAGCTCTTCTGTGGAAGTGACTTTTCTTTGCAAGCTTTGCAGTTCTAGTTCCACATGACATCAATAAAGAGGTAGCCTCCGATGCGTATTTGTTTGGAATTAGCTAGGGAGCAGAGCGAAACAGCAGAAAATTATCCACGGAGAAATTGCGTTTCTAGCAAGACAGATTAAAAATATGCTTTTTAGGTAGGCACCTCATCACAAGAAGTTTTGGCATCACCTTGTCGCAACAGTAAGAGTTTTCCTTTCTCTGGATATGTGTTGTTGTTGAACGGCCATGCGCGGAACTTGTCCTCGCCGATCTTCATCACGCGCTCGACCTCGCGGTTCAAAATGCGGAGCTTGAACTCCAAATCGCCTTCCAGCTTCCGCTATCAATGCGACAAAGATATTTTACGTCTGGGCCGCCTCCTGGAGGTGGGAACTTGAGATGCAAAATTGTCGATGTTGATTGGAACTCTAGCTCTACAACTATACTTCCAAGCGCAAGTGCAGCTGTGCATGACAGATTTTCATGAGAGTGGTCACTTAGATAGTTGTCGTGGATGCGCGGGGCGCGCAATGGAAAAACTGCGTTTTATTGGCTTGAGAAATATTAAGCAGGAGGTCGCACTCTATTTGCAGCCGGTGGTGGTCGTCAACATGCACAACAGTTTTTCTACAAAATGCGCGACAAGCAATAGAAATTCGATTTTTTCCAGACCCAGAGATATTTGAATTTACAATGCTTATCCGCGTCAGCTCGTTTGTGGAAAGCACCAACTTTTCGCACTTCGTCTTTTCCCGGTGCAGCAATTTCAGCACTTGGTCGACCGTTTCTTGCTTCCGATAGATCTCTCTCTCGTACTTTGCTGGGGAAAAACGTCTACCTACCCGCAGCTCCAGCATAGATACTTTTTTTGCTACACAAGTCAAGAAGTCGTAGGAGTCAACAACACGTATGACAGCTTTGGGATCCCACCGTCAGTCGTATGTAGCGAGGTGCACCAGCGGGCGAGTTTTCACAAACCGACCATCTCGAATACCCACGAAGCACGGTTAGAAAGCAGAAGCACTGCTTAGTACTAGGCTGCGCAGTAGACTACACAGCTTTCATGTGAGCACGCAGACTTGCATGGCAACTACGTTTGGGTAGGATAACTATCGGTCTTTACGTGTATGATACGCATTCGTAGATTCTCTTGTCCCTCTTGTTGATTGCGATTTCCGCTTTCTCCTCTACCTCTTTGATCGTCTTTTTGGCCCAGGACTTGACATCCTTCAACTGCTCAATGGAAAAGAGGAAGTCCTCCTGCTTTTTGGCGAGAAGCTTGTTCAGCAAGTCCGCTTCCTCGTTCTTTTTCTCCACCAACGTTTCGAGTCGCCGCTTTTCCTGCATCAATTCGAAGAATTCCTCGTTTTGCTGCCGCTTGCTTACGCCGCCCCGCTATCATGTGCAAATAAGTCTGGGTCCTCTGCAAAGATGCAGCGAGTGCGAGAGTGTGTTGCTGAATCTTGCATGACACAGGGGTCTCCTGTTGAATGGCAATACGGCATGTCCGTCATGAGGACTGACATTCGTAGTTACATCGCATGACAAGAACTACCTCCAAGCACGGAAAGCCTCTTACGAGATCCTGCTCTCGATACGAGTCTCGCATCACAAATCCAGACATATCTTGCCATGCTTACCTGCTCTTCGGTAAGGAGGGACTCCTTCAGCTGCTTTTCCTCGTACTATCCTACGTAAAAACCGTGTCACGCGGATTTGCATCAACATCAGGAACATTTGTCTAATGCGCATCCTGATGAGAGGCTTTTCTGTTCGTGTTTTCGTAATTCTGCACATGATGCGATGAGGCTGGCCGTGCTATTGCTAAGCTGCACTACAGATAAAAACTTCCCAACATGCGACGTGTTGACCCGTCCCAAAACTTCTCGTGGATTTATGTAGATGCAGGGTTCCCAATCTATCATTGACTATTCAACATCGGATAGTACTAATAAATTAAGTTACTCAATTTCTTGGGTGTCACCGGTGTTTACAACACAGGATACGTACTGCTCGATCATTTCGACGACCTTTTGAAACTTGGCATCCGTGGTCGCCATGAGATCGCGAATCTGCTGCTTCAGCTGCTCGTTCTCCTTTTTCAGCTGCTCATTTTCGCGCTTGAACTCTTGGGTTGTAACGTTCCGGTTCAGCAAATTTCTCCCGATTGCCATTTCGTCCCGCAGAGCCGCCTGCTGCAACGCGTTCGGACTGTTATTCCCCAGGATCATGCCGCCCCCACCGCCTCCTCCCCTCGGCGAGGGGCTGACTCCCCCAAGGTTCGTGTTCGGGCTGAGAGGGGGGCTGTTGAATCTGCGCGGTGCGCCGCCTCCTGGACGGGGGCCGACGCCGGTAGTTGGGGACACCATTGTAGCACCGGCGCCGCCCTTTCCTTTGCCTTTCACATTTTGCCCCGGCGAGAATCCACCTCCTCCGCGTGGTGACGGTGCGCCGAGTGGTCGCGCGGGTGCCCCAGGCGATTGCTTTGGTGATGGACCCGCTCGGCGGGCTGCTGTGCTCCCACCTGCTCCGGGAGCTGGTGGCCGGGGGGCGGGGGAAAACATCTTGATGATAGTCTATGTTGTGTTGCATGCACAGCAATTTTCAATATGAATATGTTGTAATTCGGGTTTACAATTGAAAGGGCGTTGATATTCTGGCATTTTCACAGAAGACACGTGGGACGAGATCAGCGCCTCATTCACGCGAACGTGGTACTACACTGCTGGTGCTAGGATCATCTTCATGAGAACTGACTTTTAAAGTCGAGCTACACACACACCTACGTACTCATGCCGCTCGTGAGAGTGAGAAACCGTTCACGGAAGAAGTAGAGGAAGCCTACTTGCTCGTCCCAAATTTCTGTGTAACAAAGGAGAACTGACGATAGTAACGTGGTCATGCCTTTCAGACATCCATCTCCCGCTTTCGCCTTGGTTGTTTTTTCGTTCAGTTTCGTCTGGCCCCCCCTTTTGCACACAAAAGGAAAACGAAGGCGTAATCAAAACCATCCGCATCATCTTCATCTCCACACGCGATAATATGTTTGACCTTGCAGTCCTCGAAGTAGATGCACTTCGTTTCATTCGACCACACGCACACACGAAACGCACTATCAAGAGTTCTGGCGACACACATCACCAAAATGCTAAAATTATAAGCACGTGTCAACATTGCAGCGGGTGCTTATCTCAAATACGAGCTATCCGCGCGTCGTACTGTTCAGGTCTATATGAAATGCAAAAATGTCTGGGTCTGGAAGAGTGTAGACTTGTCATGCAGATTTTCCATGACCGATGAGGTCTGGAATGCGAGACTTAGCATGACAGACTCTGTGAGGTCTCTGCCATGCCTATTCTGCATGAGAGACTCCGTTCCAACTTGGTCAAAAGTTGACAGCCTTTGGCACTCATGCAACACAGATTGTTGCATGCTTCAGATTTACCATGACAAGTTGCAATCTTCCAGACCCAGACATTTTTGCAATTCATAGTCTAGAGCACGGCGTATGGAGGCAAACTGCTTCCGCACCATGCTGATCTTATCAGTCAGCTCCTCCGTTCTACTATCCTGAGTAAAAACGTACCCACACCAGAGTTGCAATGCAGATTTGCAAAGACAGGAAGACTTGTAATGCGCATCCCCATGAGAGCCATTTCCAAGCCTGTTTTGGAATTTGTGATGCTGTGAACAGGATGAGCAGATGAATCTGTGATGCGGCTGCACTTGCTAACCTGCACTACACTGCATAGCGCAACTTGTCATGCGTGACTCACAAAACTCCTAGATTTGTGTTGCAAAATCCTTATCCTGACTCTGGTGTGGGTACGTTTTTACTCAGGATATCTACTCGTCGTCGCGCCATTATGGTGCGTCGGGGCCACGCCTTCTACCTCGTTCACAGGATCATCATAATTCTGCGTTGCGACTAGATGAGGTGAAGTCCTAGTATTCCCATTTCGGTCCAGCGGTTCCTCACCAGGATAAGCGCCTCCCCGACCAGCACCTCCCAGAGCGGGCGGCTGTAAGACGGTGCTCGGGGTGCCCGCATTGGTCGTGCTCGGGCTTCGACGATGTTGCTGCTGATCATCTCGCGGTGCTGGACTTCCACCGCGGCGGGCCGCCTCGTGCGCAGGAGCGCTACGCGGAGGGCGATGTTGTCCTGATTAGATGCGAAGCCGAAAAGTCTTATTTCAACAGTATTTCAATCGTGAGGGGCGGGTCAATCAGAGGACATGCAACAATGATCAAATTGAAGGCTATGCTACGGCGCAGAGTAGACTGGAGATAAACATCTTATGATCTTTTCCGGCAAAACGATAATCAACTTCTTTACTTGTCGGCGGGCCCGGCAACGTTCTTGGCAAGACCGCGGGCGAGGTCTTTGAGTTGTTGAAGTCGGGCAACGAAACTGGTCTGGGCGAGACGCAGAAGTTGCTTGTTGTCGCGGGCGTTGTCGGGTTGTGAAAAAAATCGCCGTGCTCCTGCTGTGCTTGTAGTTCCTCTTGTTGCTCCACCTGCGACGTCCAACTCCCGAGATGGTCGTGGTGGTGCCAGGTGTGATTCATGTCTCTAGCGGCCTCCCTTTGCTTTGCAGCAGAGGAAATCGAAGAGGTGCCACCTCCACCTGCGTACGAGCGGTTGCTGGCCCAGCCACTGGTTGCGGTCAGATTGAGCATCATTTCCGCTGGGGCTGTCTCGTTCAATGGTTGGCGTTCGTTTCTCCGTCTCGTACTGGAAGAGCTCGGTGCCGCTGCTGGCGACGAGCGGGGACCAGCAGCGTTTGCGTTGTTTCCCGTGGTCCTTCCACCATCGGAGGAGGGCCTTGTCGCACTATACGGCGCATTTTCCCGTTGCAATCGCGTGCCGAAGCTGTTCCCCCCTGGAAGCTGGAGCGCTGCGATTTTCATCGCAGGTGCTGGGGCGCGGCCAGACGGAGGAGGACCTCGTGCAGACGAAATGAACGCGTCGTCGGCCACACGAGGAGGGTCTGCGCCATATTGGATTTTCCGTTCTGGAAAGGGCAACGGCGGAGGCTTGGGGGGCTGCTGGCGATTTGAAGAATTTTCGTACGCGGAAAAAGTGGCAGGACCACCAGGAGAATTATGTACTTGTCCTCTACTTCTATCATGATCTCCAGACAGGTCATTTCTGGTATTTATTCTTCTTTCCTCGTGCCATTCAGCTGGACCACGACTCATAGATGAACTTGTTGAATTGGGTTCTTGTCGTTGATCTTCTACTTTCATCGCAGCCGTAGCGCTGTATTGCGTGTCCCGGCTCACACGCCCGCCGCCCGGAGGCACTTTTACAAAGGCGTCCTTTATCTGCCGCAAGTGCTCAGCCACGGAGAAGGTGGAGGTAAACGAAGTGTCGGTTTTATTCAAAACGCCAAGTTGCTCGTCTAGCTGCTGCCCTCTCTCGTCCGCAATAGACCGATGCAGCATTTTTTGATGGTGCGCCTCGTGTCTAGGCGCTTGTGCTGGAGGCACTCGTCCGCCGGCGTGGAGGTAATCATCGTGGTTGTCCATCTGCTGGACGTCCTCGTACCCGGACGCTCTGGTGCTCGATAGCATCTGTACGTCGTGCCCATTTCGAGCAATATCCGCTTCGCAGTCGTACTCCTGCGGGGGGTGGATCTCGCGGAATTGGTCATGATCTTCAAGGTAGTTCGCCCTCTCTTGCCCAAACGCTCCTCCAGCATCTCCTTCGTCGACAAACACGATTCGCATGCCGTTGGGATTTTTGGATCCTCCACTAGAAGTCCCGCCTGTCGTCATTCCGTGGCCCGCGACACGACCTGCGTTGGTGGACCTGGCACAGAATGATCCGTCGCGTAGCGCTGGAGTCTCCTCAGCGACATGCTGGTCAACAAGTTCATCTCCTCCAGAATAAGTGTGCTTTGGTGCTGCTCGTCTTCGATGCGGGTCCGGATTTCGCTCTTGTAGGTGCGGTGCCAAGTGGTGCTCGTGCTGCATTTGCCCTTCCACATCCCGCCTCGCGTAGTCGGACAGCACTTTCAGGGCCGACCGCACCAGCTCAACCACGTCAACTTCTACTTCAGCTTGTTCGGACGAGACGGTCTGCCGGGCGCGCAGTTGCGACGTACTTGGCCAGCTGAGCTCGTGGCCGAAGGACGCGTACACCTCGCGGACCATTTGCACGATCGTCTCCTCTCTGTGCCGCATCTCCTCCAACAGCTGCTCACCGCTGTGGCTCGCCATCACCGGACGGCTTGGGGTCGTCGTGTTTATAGTTCCGTAGAGGTCTGCTCCGCTCGACCCGGAGGAGGTTGCCGCGCCCCCGCTGGAGTTATTTAGTACAAGCAACTTTGTTCCATCGTCGCTAAGTTTCTTTCCCACGCCGACATCCTGCTGCTGCTGGTGTTGTTGTATCAAGGCTCCACTGCGCAACACTTGCTGCAATTTCTGGCGCATTTGCCCGATCATGGCTTGCGAGCTCGCGTGCTGCTGCGCAAACTCCTGTTTCAGCCGTCCCATCTCGTCGGTTTTGCGGCTCAACTCCGCTTGCAGTAGATCCGCGCGCTCATTAGATTCCCTTCGTTCCCTCTCCCCCGCCGAGGCGGAAGTAGCCGCGGTCGAAGCGGAACTCTTGAGCAGCTCGTTTTCTTGCAGGCAGAGCTTCAGGTTCTCGCTGGTCTCCGCAAACTTGAGCTGGAGCTCCGCGAGGGCCGTTTGCTGCCGCTGCAGCTGGTTCTTGCAGTCGTTGAGCAGTTGCTTGTCCTCGTTGATCTTTTTCTCGAAGACCACACTCTGTTGCTTCGCCTGCTTTTCCCTGTTCAGCAGCTGCTGATTCTCCTTCTTCAGCTTCTCGGTGAGCTTCTCCATCTGCTCGGTCTTCGCGCAATAGCCGTGCAGCTCCTGCGTCTTCTGCTGCATCAGCTCGGAGTACTTGTACTCGCGTTCGCTGTACGCTTCCTCCAAAAAATTCTGCTGCTGCAACGCGTGGGACAGCTGCCCCTGCAGCTCCTTCACATAGTTTAACTCGTTCACGGACGAGGACGAGCCTGTACTAGTGCTGTTCAATCCGCGGGCGGTCCCAGTCACTGCGTCGCGTTTGCGCGTTTCCTCGATGTACCTGAGTAGAGCACGTGGCAGTGGAGGGGTTGTCACAATAATGCGATAGAGTGATGTGATAGTGATTGTCATTGTGATCTTCAATGCACGTCGCACTCGCAACAAAGAGAAGAATCATCCACCAATCGGCATGTGCTTCTAGATCATGTTGTCATGCACTGGTACTATTGGTGGCAGTCGCAGTGGCACTACAACGAGCAGAGCGGTCACTATTGTCGAGCCCGCGATGAGTTGTACTCGTACCCAAAAGGTGTTTATACAAAGTCGTAGTGCCATTAATTTTTACTTACTCGAGCAGAGCGTTCTTTTCCAAGTTCCACTTTTCCTCCTTGAGTCGGTAGTTCGCGAATTCCTCCTCCCATTTGCTGCGCTCTCTTGTAGAAAAGAAAAAATAGATCACGATCCGCTGCCGCTGTGAGCAGTAGCACAGACACTCAATGCCGCACAATCTTCACGGTCGTGCAACACTGGTGATGAATCGCAAGTCGGAGACTCAACAAGAACTAAGTACTATACGCTGCCCTCAGCACGACAACTGCAGTGGATGTCATGAGCTAGTAGAATTCTCTGTGCATACCGCTCCCGAAGTCCTCGATAGCCGTCTCGTAGAGGGATTTCCAGTGAGTGACCTGGCGGTTGACGTTAATCACGGACGACCCATTCGGTGTATCTGGCCCTGTAGTTGCAGTGTTACCGGAAGTAGACGACGGCATAGGCATTCGTATCCTCGTTGCTTGCAGCTTCTTCACAGGCGAGCCCGAGGCGCTGCGACTGGAAGGCGGGCCGTGTTTCGTCCGACTGTAATCACGATCAGCTCGACGCGCTCCTTCCGAAAATGCCACTTGATTTCGTTCAAGTTTTCTTGCGCCATTTGTACGAGCTCCAGAATCGTGCTCCGGGCGGGGCGACGGGTTTATCTGCGGCAGTTGTTGGTCAGCACTGCAATCGTTCTTCACTCGCAAGGGCCTTGGCGAGGGTGCAGCGGTCGCTGCGCTGGCGCCAGCGGCGTTGTAGTTCCTTGGAGTAGACGTTCTACTCCGGGAAGTCGGGACCATCATGCTGCCCCTGCGATCGCCCGTAAGCAATTTCGCCGAAGAGGTGGATCCAGTTTTCGCTCCGCGTCCAGGTGAGCGGCAATACGAGGAAGACGAACTTGAGGTCGCGCTCGGTCCTGCGATATGAACGCGCGTGCGATCATGCTCCTCACGGACGGGAGGACCGGTTTCATCGTCCTCGTCCTCCTCGGGGTTACAGTTCGTACGGTCCTCGCCAGGCTTCGAACGGGAAGTATTAATCTCCGACCTTGCTTGCTGCTCCGACTGAAACGCAGCAGCAGCTGCACTTCTTTTCGTGCCCGGCGACGGACTCCTCGTGGTCTCCCGGCGGGCTGAGGACAATGGTGTGGAGGTAGACGGCTTGAGGACGCCAGTTATTTTCGACGCTGAACCCGGATCTTTTCTCGTCGCGGCGGCCGTCACAATTTTGCTGGGGGTCGTAATGTGGTAGGACTTCATGTTTATTACCCTGCGTTTTGGCAGTTCATCGGGGAGGCACTGGCGCACCACTTCTGTCGAGCGTATGTGGCAGGAGCTTTCTAGGAGTAAAGAGATTGAGAATAGCTGCTGCACATGGCAACTTCTTGCCTTTAGATAAAGTCTTTTGACGAGTCGGCTCAGACTGCAACAAGCTGTCCTTGATTTCTCCAGAAACTGAAACAGAAACTCAACAAGTTAGGAGAATACAAACATGATGTCGCTGAACTCCATCGCGTCGCCCCACAAAAGCAACGTGATCCACCGAGTCTCGCTCATGCAAGCCGTTTTTTCTTATCCTCGTCGCGCGCACTTCTTCGGAGCGCAAAGTCTTTATCCAAAGTGCATTGGAAAAAAGCAGAAGCTGCATCTTCGACGCTCCCACAATGGTATATTTATTTCGGAGAATCTCTCCTTAGGCAAGTACGTAGAAAAGAAAAACCGACTTGCTCCTATCGGAGCTGCGGGTTGAGATAAAAGTAGCCACGTTTGCGCTGCTCCGGACGAAAACTGTAACAAAGCAGAGGCTTCGGCCGACAGAACGATTTTTTCGGACGCGACATAGACGACCACGACCGAACATACAGTCGTTGATATCAAAAGCGGCCAAACTCTGAAAAGCTATAAACAAACACCTCAACTACAACGCGCTGAACTGAAACCGTTCTTACGACCCTCTCTGAGCCGTTCACGCATAGATGCACGCGTGTTGTGGGTACACGCTGCAAATAAAGAGACTCCAGTTATGCTCTTTGATGATAGAAATAGATTGTGATGTAATCTTGGCCAAATTGTACACGTAATTGAGAAGTTCTTCTTTCCGAGGTAGCTGTGCCGCCAGGTTTCCAACGCAGCCAGTCCGAAATAGAGTGTCCCTGGCAATTATTCGGTTTTATTTCATCGCGACGATTGTTCGATAAGGATAAAAGTGTTAACATTTTTCTCTGACGAACGAGTTTTGGTATCGAGTATGAAGATTTTCATTTGTCGTTGTTCATCCTTCTCGTTACAGCGCTGATGGTACCACCAGCACGTAAGATAGGCTTCTAGTGCCGTGCGGATTAAAAGCACGAAAACGACGTGACACCTCCAGAACAAGTTGGAAAGTTAAATACAAGTTGAAAACAAAAGAAGAAGCACAAAACAAGTTTGTTGAAATTTGGTACATTTGATGACATTTGAGAGCTGTTGTCCTGGACTGACTATTCTCGTCGCGGTGTGATCGAAAATGAAACAAACTGTAATTCTACAAGTCATCTTAGATAGGTGCAATTGCAATCGAAGTTGTTGGAGGTTTATAGATTTTGCAGTGATTCATGATGCAGTTGTGGCACTGCATGCTGAAGTGCGAAAAAATCAATCACGACGGAGCTGGTACAAGAAAATTGATTGATATTTTTCAGAAGGACCAGCAGCAACCACCCAAAAGTTACTTATTTCCTGCTAGAGGACGAGCTTCCGTTTTCTGTCCTGGAACTGGGTGGCGCTTGGATGATGTTCAGGTCCCGCGGCGTCTCGTTTGGCTGCAGGATGGTGGAATATCGCGTGACTTCCGGGTAGTAGGGCGGATAAACCTTTTATTCGATTTTGAAATTGCAATGGTCTAAAAAGCTGAAGAATGTCATAGTGGTCATCTTTGCATGTAAATATTATTCTCGGCTCCACGCACAGTGGTGTCTTTGTGAAAGAAGCATCAATCGCATCTCTGATGCTGGTCGGAAAAAAACACGAGATGCACCAACATACATCCGCAAACCCGAGAATCTGTCATCATGGAACACGACGATCGCACATTGCACTCAACACGGCCGTATCAAATCACGGCCCAAGCAGGTGGAGCTCCCTAAGGTATCTATACCTTTCCCAACTGCGGCTGGTAGAACAAATCTTTGTCTTTATCCTAAGTAAAAACGTCCCCACATCAGAGTCAAGATGGGAAATCTGCTAGACAAATCAACCAGCTTGGGCTGTTTCGCATGACAAGTCTGCCCTCGTAGTGGAGTCCTGTTTAGGTAGTTCAGAAGCATCACAGATGTAGCGCATCATGCTGATTATAGCATCACAAATTCCAAAGCACGACTAGGAATTGCTTCTCATGGGGCTAAGCATGAAAAACTTTTCTCGCATGCAGATTTGCATGACAACTCTGGGGTGGGGACGTTTTTTCGCATGATAGTCTTCCTTCCATTTAGGCTTCCAGCCCCCGTAGCCGCGGATACTTGCTCGCCAGCCGTTGTTATCAAGTGTAAAAGTGTCTGGGTCTGGAAGAGTCATGCTGTTTTTGCATGACACAGCAGATCTGGCATGGAAGCTCTAGCATCACAGGTTTCGATAAGTGTTCGCAATGCCGAATCCGCATGACAAATCCCTGATTTTAGTGACAGAAAGTGGGCAACCTTTGCTGCCTATGCATGAGAGATTTTTCTGTGTTCTGAAATGCGCATCACAAGCTTCAACCTTCTAGACCCAGACATTTTTGCAATTGATAGTTGTGCCCCCGGGTCTCGTTCGGCTTGTTCGCCGCCCAGGTCTGGACTTCTGTCGTGGCGTGGTTGTATCGATCCTCACTTTGGTTCAGCTTCATCTGTTCGGCAACGCGGAGCCGCTGCCGGTGCCTGCAGAAGTTGTGTGCTGTTGTACACTACCAGTCTAAAAGAAGATCATAGTTGTTCTCGCTAGGGCTAGCGAAAAATGATGCATATAATTTCGGCACAGAACATCAGCTGATTCCTTTTTAGTATCATGAGATGGATGCTGTCACTGTCACAATAGAAAACGATGGATCGACGCTTTCTATATTTAAATGAGTAAGTACACTGTGCCATTTCCGTACGGCGGCCCTTCCTGATGAGTCATGCCATGCGTTGCTGGGACCCAGTGCCGATAGGCCTGGTCTTGCCATGTTCCTGTGTGATCGTCGTCATCTATATTTTTCAAGTAAGTAGAGAAACTGTGAATGACGGGCAGAGGGTGTGAAAATGTTTTAATGTTTATATCTATCCTACAAATTTGAGCGTTCTATCTAGTTCACACAAGGTGGAGAAAAAGGCTTTTTCTTACCTTGTGGACACCGCACTTTGAAGCTCGATGTAGATTGGCGAAACCCGTTTTCGGTAGCTTTTATGACAAGGGAAACAAGCTGCATCACTGTGCCGGGTTTTATCGTGTGCACATTCAGCCTCGTTTCTTTTTTTGCCCTTGTAATTCAGCCTGTGTTTCAGTTTCAGGCACAAACTTTTGCAAGTCTTGCGCGACCGGTTCTTGTTATTAAGTGTACGAACATTGAGCAGTCGCAAAAGTTGAAGCTAGGGCGGGGCCACAAGGGAAGCGACGTGTTTTTAAAAATCATTCAAACACTGTGGAAGATGTGCTCGGCGTGTCGCGCAACGTGACCTTTCATGACCAACACCACACACACACGACTAGCATTTCGTGCGACAAAGCTTCGCAGTGATGCAGATTTTCGTTGCGATAAGTTTTCTCCTTTTGTCGATTGCAACCTCGGCGTACTCGTTGCTCACGGAGTGGCCATACCCATAGCTGAAGAACCAGAACAGAATTTGGTTTGGAAAACCACAAAAAGATCTTTCTATCCGGAGAAAACGATGTTCGAAAATGCATCTCATTGAGTTTAAGGATATTACCGTGAAGATCCCAGGCGTGACAGAAGCAAGTCTACAGAAGGTGTCATTTACTGACTGTTGCTCCACCTCCGGGTGGAAATTTCCGTACAAGGGACATCAAGAAACAAGAAGAAATCGTACACGTTCTCCGCAGTTTTTCCCCGTATGTGCCCTGTGTAGCCTGGTATTGCTGTCCACACCGGCGCGGTGGTTGCTAATATGTCGTGCAACGAGCCCTGTCGGTGCGGTCTGCAGTCCGTCATATCTGAAGAGAGCAGTTGTTTTTGGGTTTGCAACGTGCTCATCGGCGCCATTGAAATTCTTGGTTCTTCCTCTTGAAGAGGAAAATGAAGAGGAGAAAAATGACGAGCCAACAAATCCTTGTTCTAAAAAATCAACGAGTAGCATTGTCACCTCGAACTTCCGGGTTGCTTTGGGTTGGTATCAGCCTCCTTCTGGTCGTCGTGACCATGTATGGCGCGGTGTGTGTGACGTCCTTGTTGAGCTGGCATGGGTCGAGATTGAACGGGTGGTGGCTGTTTTATTGTCAGAGGATCAGTGGTCTCTGACCTCACTGTCGTGTGCATGACAAAATGGATCTATCTTGCACCATAGCACGATCGGAATTTTTGCTTTTATCCAAAATAGAATTAGAACTGCTGACAGATCGATGCAAACCAACGCGCTAAAAAAATATTCATGATACGCTCGCACTTCGTTCGGGTCCATTCCTCCTCGAAATGTGACGGGGAGAGGTTCTCGAATTTCCACATTTTTACTTCTGTCACGGTCGCAGGCATGGTAGTTGTCAATGTTCCAGGAGGTACTGTCGTGAGTAGATCATTTCTATCGAGGATTCAAAAGGCCCCTGATCAATGAATAGACCATGATCCATTCACTAGATTTCAAAAACAGAAAGAATTTAACAAGAGGCTTCTTCGGTTTACTGACTCTGTAGGGGCACACAGGGACGAGAACGAGAACAAGACTCCTGTACAGTGTAAGTGAGTGATATTCATCAGCAAGACTTGAATAGATACGTGTCCGGTCCTGCTATGTGCGGATCGGGTATGGAGGTGTCCTCAGTCCTGCCGTGCCATGCGTAGGCCTTTAGTCGCCCGTTCGGAATGAAATTTCTGGGCGTTATTCGCTTGCTCTTGGGACCGGGCATGGTAGCAGGCTCTTGCGGTGGTAGAGCGAAAAAGAAAGTTGTCCTCGAGAAGACGCCGCCGGGCTCGACGCACTCCAACGAAATGGATTGAAATGAATCAGGCGCCTGTGGCGACTGGTACAACTACGACCGCGGCTTCGAACAAGTCGTCGTTTTCACCAACACGCGCGATTGATTCGGACTTCCTTGCCACAACAATCTATGACAAGAAGGATTTTCGCACCTTGTCGGTGCCACCAGGTGATCGCGCTTGCACGCACTGGGGCTGCTTTCCCGATGGGGTGCAGGAACAAACAAGAGGACGTCTCGTCTGCCTGTCGGTGACAGCGCCCAGGATAGGTAACGTAACCCCCGCCCGAGTTTTCGTCTCGTAGAAGTTAAGTAGCCGAAAAGCTTTTTTGCGCCCGAGAGATCTTAATGAGAGCCGCGGGTTTTCGCTGCGCGATAGGCCAGCTGTGTTGCACCGGCTGGCCAGCACACGAGCCGCGACGGTGGAACTGCTTCGTCGTGGGCTCGAAGCGAAAAGTAGGCAAAATGCTAAACCAACTGCGACAGCTTGCTTTCACATCAAGGAGTACTATCGCCAAACAATGTCGACGCAGCGAAGAACAACTTTTTTCGTTTACCGTTGCTGCTGTGGTGTACTATTAAATACCTTTGATCTAGACTTTATGTCTCTTGTTCGATGTTTAGGTTTACTCACCATATAGGGTCAACGGAACAAGCGTTTGTTACAACGAAGTGCGATTTTCGACCTGTCGGCGATGAACAAGCGACCCATGATGCTCAATGCGCCAGCCTGAGATCATAGATTGCATCTGTGCAAAGATCACTCTAGCTCTCGAATGTGCGCTCAATCAGTCGCTATAGAAACGACCACGTAGTGGGAGTGCCATTGTTGGAAAGGACGTTTTACCGCCACCAGAGCACGAAAAATCTTCGCGAGCAATCGATTTTGGTGAAGGCTACTTATTCTTATTCCTCCTCACATCGACTCTCTATAATTTCAAGCTTTTAAAGCTTAAGAATGCTGGTGGTGCTGATCCCTAGTTACTTATGCTTTCAGTTCTCGTGGCTCCTGGTCCTGCTGCCGCAACTACGACGCGGCAAAGCAAGGCAAGGTGTGGCATTTTTGATGTTTTTTTCAAAAATTGCGAATGTTCATCCTGTCCAGAGGCCTGTTGGCAACTACTAAGTACATGTCGTACTGCTGCGATAAAAACATTCAGGTTAATCACATTACGCACTTCCTGTCCTCATCCATCGCAAAATTTCTGGATTCTTAAACAGGCCTCCTCTAGCTTTTCTCGGGGCGGACAGAGCACGATGCGGAAAAACCCAGGAATGTTGAAGCATTGCCCCGAAGTATGCCGTTGAAAAAAATCACCCACGACACCCTCGCCGTGATCCATTTCGATTTTGCGAACGGAACGCAAAGCCACAACCAACATACCTCCCATAGATATACGGAATTACTTATAGTCCTGTAGCACAACATCAACATACCATGCAAATGAACGCAAATCGAAATCGTAGTACCTGTTGTGTTCCGCACAAGTTGTTGCGCTTGGCAGATTGACAGAGGCTGTGATCATGTTGGGGACGAGGTGGATTCATTTGTGCAGCGGCATATGGAAGCGCAAACACGGACTGTTCCTGCAATAGGGCACGGCAGAACTCGACGTCATCGACGACTCGGTGTCCTTGCGTACTGTTGGCACTGTGCTCCGGGTCGAGAATCTGCACCAACACGTACATCGCCCCCTGCGGCTCGATGACGCGCAAGTGGTACTTTTTCTTCTTCGTCGAAGCAATTGACGTCGGAGAAGACTTGTCCGCGTCCTGGCGCCGCGAATCGCAGCTACCACTTCCTAAAATTTTCTGCACAGTCTCCGCGTTTTCCTTGAGCTGCTCCAGAACATGTTTTTCGTAGTATTCGTCGCTCGTTTTCTATCAAGGAAAAAAACATGTCGTGTCGATTCGTGTAGCATCATTCTGTTAGTTTGAGCTAGCAGCATGCATTACGAAGCCGGTCTGGAGAGAATCCACAGTTAAGGACCCGGTAAGACGGGAAATACCACTACACAAAGTGGCCATCTTCAATGATGTGAGACATCATGAAACGCGTACTTACTTACTAACTGTGCTGCATCCTCTTCTATACCACAATCTTACACTAAACACGGTTTTTTTCTTCATCTTCGATATTTCCTGCAACAGGAACGGAATCGCCATCTGCTGCAGCGTCGACGGTCCGAGAATGAGGGTGGAGAGGTCCTGCAGTCCGCTGTGGATCTTTTCAAACCTGTGGTGCGCCTTTACGTCGTCGTGCACTGTGAGCCAGCCCATGCGCCACCCGGGCACCATATACTGTTTCGCAATGCCGCCGACCGAAAGGAAGGGCACGCGCTGTTCAGCTACCTCGTGGAGCATCGCGTTCTGTGCCGGATCGAAGGCCATGTTCGCGTAGATCTCATCGGCGATAATGGGCACGTCGTGCTTTTCGTAAATCAGTGCGATGTATGAGGATGCACAACACCTCCACCCCCTCCATTGATTTGAATGCGAATGGCACGTCGAGTAGCAGCAGTCGCAATGCTTGTGTCTGATGTAGCTTTGGCATGACAACAAATTTGTCCACGGATTGCAGTAGGTAGAGTTCGAAGTAGAGGTTCCGGAATTTGTCATGCCAACAGCGGCTCAAGGGAAGATAGATGCGGAAGTGGTTGTATAATTTTGCATCACAAAGAAGATGAAAGTGGAGTCTTTCACAGTTATACGGTGAGCTCCTTCAGGTGTCGCTTCCCGAACACGTTGCCGCAGGGGTTGCTCGGCGAGTTGAGAAGCACCGCGCCGACCTTGTTCGTAACACCATTTTGCTCAGTTTTCCTTTCCGCCGCGGCAATTCGGAGTTTTTCTTGGCAGCTGCTCAAGACCTGATCCAAGTGTGTCAAATCCACCTCCCAATTTCGTTCCGGGTCCAGCCTATAGTGCGCGATCTCCACACCCCGACTTTTCGCCAGGGTCTCGTACAGCGGAAAGGCGGGTTGGGGGACGAGCAGAACATCCCCCGGGTTGCACAGGACCTGAATCGCCAGGTCTAGTGCGTGGGAACAGCCGGACGTGAGAATCACGTCGTCGGCTGTTATCGGTGCCGTCTTGGAAGAAAACCGGTCCGCGATCGCCTGTCGCACGGATTCCATCCCCGTGGAATGCTGGTAGCCGTTGTACTTTTGCGATTGTGCCAGCTCTGTGATCTTCTCCGTGAGGCCGTCGGGGGGGCGGAAATTCCCGAAATGCGTCGGATCCCCGATGGAGAGCGGGATCACCTCCAGACTCGGGTCGAGTGGCTTCACCTGCGTTCGTTCGATGAGGCGCCGGATCGGATTCACGGTGTTGGCCGCGGAGATGGAGGGTTCGAACAGAGGCTTTGATACGTCTGCACTGGAAGAACTCGAGCTTGAACTGCTTGTTGACGACGTAGAAGATATTGAGGAGCTCCAATGTCTGAGTGTCCGACACGTTGGTGATGTGTAGTTCACTGCCGGGTACGGACTACATGAAGTAGATGTTGGCGCGCAGACGATCTTGCAAAAACGATCTCTGGTAATAAAATTTTCATCAGTATTAAAAATCCTGGCGCAAGAAGTAGTAGGTGTCGGGCCCCGTACGGCCGCCGCTCTTGTGTGCGGAAATCGTGGTCGGCGCAGGTGGGACAACATCAGCGATCTCGTCAGCGGTTCGGAAGGAGGCAAAAACATGTTTTTTGAGAGTTTCAGTAGACTTTAGTTACACGGTCTAAAAGCACCAAGTGGCGCATCAAGAGGCAAATTCACGAACGGAATGACTTGCAAGCTTGTCTGGCTTGCACATACTTGGTATTACGGCCGGCTAAGCGAGACGGAGGAACATAGGTTGCTGGGAGGGTGGGTAAGAGAGGGAGTCAGTATGTACCTATTTACCTGTGAAAGCGAAAGACCCGACCCCGAGGAGGTAAAACTTTTATGCTAGCGCAGCTTGGCCCCACATTGCGTTTCTTACGCTCGTGTACTACAGTTGTGGAACACGTGCGGGCTGCTCCTCGCTCTTTCTCCAAAGTGGTTGCGGAAAAAATGCCATCATTTTCTCGTTTGCGTCTCCGTTCACTCAACACCCGCGAAGTGCATCCCTCAGCGTTGAACTTGAACACATCTCCCTTACCCCGGCGCCGCGGCCCACCATGCCTTTATATCGCGGCGTCTTCGGGTCAGACGTGCGGCCTTTACGTTCGTCTGGTGGAGTACGTACTTAATCACAACCACTCACTTGTTCTGTATCTCTGTGCTGGAATGATGAGGCGTGCCTCCAGATGAAATGCAAAAAGAATGCAGGAGGCTGTAAGAACTCTATTCTCCACCTTGCAGGTCTTGCATGCTGTCGATGTACTGGCTTTTGAATACTACTTACGCTGTAGATCATACGAAATCGAGACGACCGCTGACCAGCACAGAGGATTCGGAAATAAGCACACCTGAAGCTGCAGTGTCTTCATCAGCGCAAATCAATGAGCCTCTGCACTTCCGCAAAATCCTGCAGGAGCTGCGGGCCAGACCCGATTCCCAAGACCAGAAACTTGGTGCAGAATCGCAAGACGTTGGGCGAGTGCGATATCAAAATTGTAGCTGCGGCAGTTGTCGTTGTTCCTAAAGACGCGGCGGACTTATCATGCTTCTTGTCGCCCCCGAAGAGCTGCTCCGCGAGTCGCGTTTCGGTGGCTGAGTCCAGGTGTGACGTGATCTCATCGAAGAGGTAGAGCGTCTTTATTTGGTTCTTCTTTTCATCTTGCGGCCTTGGCGCAGATTCGTTTGCTATTGAGAGGAAAAGCCCCCCCTCCCCATATCAAAAAGGCATGTCTTGCTGATTTGAGACCACAAATCACGTCTGTCTTGCAAGAAGACAAACGCAGAGGCTTCCGCACCATTATGGAGGCGATTTGGCATGCTGTTGGGCCTAGAGGCCAGCCGTTTGTTGTAATGCTAAGCACCTAGACCCAAATGTCCCTCCGTAGGCTGCGGATCTGGCTGCGATGCCGTCTTGCAAGACTGCGCGCATTTGTGTACACAAATCCTGCATCACAGATTTCCCATTTGATATGGGTTGGGGGCTTTTTTCAAATTGATATTTGCGAATTGTTCCCCTTCTCCGTCAACATCGTAAATCGCCCGTGCCACCGCCAGGCGTTGCTGCTCACCGCCGCTGAGGCCCTTGAGGTCGGACAGCAGCGTGTATCAAAAGGAAAAATCCCCCCTCCCCATATCGAAAAGGAAATTTGTGGTGCTGATTTGTGGTCACAAATACCCTCTGTCTTGCCTATAGGGTAATGGGAGCAATGTGGCGCATTCCACAGCCAGTCTGTCATGCGCTTTTGACTACTGCAAACCTGTTTGTCATGCCTAATTGCTAGCCTTCTGCACATTCAAACAGGCTTAGAAAATGCCGCCAAGCACTTTCTGCAAGACAGATCTGATTTGCGTACGCACATCCAGCATCAGAGACTTCCTTTTGATATGGGGAGGGGGGATTTTTCCTTACGATAGCGTGCGACTGGTGCTTACAACACGACGGGTTGTTGTAGTCGAAGTTGGCTTGTTATTGTTTGGGCTATGTTCAACATTATTTTCAACATCATCCGCTTCTTTATCTTTTGCACTGCTAGCAGTGTTGACATCAACATCCACAAACGAGGTAGCGCAGGACTGGTCCAATGCCGCGACGAGTGCGGGCGAAGCGGACGTTCCAGCCGAAGAATCCCTCGACGGAGAAAAAGTGATGCTCTCCAGGACTGTCTCGCCGAACAGCGTGGTATGCTGGGGCACGTACCTGTAGTTTTAATGATTTCAGGGGAAATTTTTTTCCTGCATAGAGACGAACATGAGGATATACTTATTTTCGTTTTACGAAAAAGAATTTTCAACAGCTTCGTATAAACCTCCAGGAACAACTACAGATGAGCATGTCGCAACTGCCTTTTTTCACACTGGAGCTGCCCTCGTGCATCCACTGTAGGGTTGCGTTTTCTATCAAATATACTGCTTTAGTACGAGGAGCAGTCAATCAAATGGAACCTGATATTCGGCCCACACGGGTTGAAGAACGTCACCGTTCCAGCATCCGCACTGAGCTCGCCGAGGAGGAGGTTGAGCACGCTTGTTTTCCCCGAGCCGGATCTTCCACACAGACCCAGAATGTCCCCTTCCTTGAGCTCGAAACTCAAACCTTGTGCGGGGGGGAACAGGTAAGAAGAACTGGAACCACCGAGATGCTGGGATTTCTGCTGGCTGCGGCTGCCTTCGGCAACGTCGTTTGGAGTGCCCGCAGAGGGATTCGGTGAACTTGAGTCTACTGGGCCAGGCGTTGGTCCTATTGCTGACCCACCTCGCAGAAGACGCACATTCAGGTTCTCGACTTTTAGAACCAACTTCTGGTCGTTTGACAGCACAGCTTGATCTTCATCTGCAGTAGGCGGCTGAACTATGCGAATGTGTGGCGGCAAGTTCATTGTCTCGACACGCTGTGTCTTTGGTGGGCGAACGGAATTTTTTGACGTAGCTTGAGGTTCCTTAACAGCACCCGAGGACGACAACTCGGACTCCGTTGAGGCGGCTTCATCAGAATACTTCTCCGACGTGCCCAAAACCACCAGAGCCAGCCGGTTCCCGGCCACCACGGCTTCGGCGAATTCGGTGTCGAAGAACTGCAACAGGCCGTAGAACCCCAGTGCCGCCATGCTGCTGGCCACGAGAAACTGCGCCAGCTGTCCGCTGGAGATCTTCTCTTTCTTATCAAATGTAAAAGTGTCTGGGTCTGGAAGATTAGAACTTGTCATGCTAAATCTGAATGATGCAAAAATCTGTGTTGCGTGAGTACCAAAAGGAGTCCGCTTTTGACCAAGTTGAGAGGGAGCTTCTCACGCAGGAAAGGCATGATAGAGACCTCAAAGAATCTGTCATTCTGGGTCTCGCATTCCAGACCTCATGGGTCATGGAAAACCTGCATCACAAATCTTGCATTCTTCCAGACCCAGACATTTTTGCAATTGATATTTCTCCACCAACTTGGAGCCAAACAGGGCGAGCGAGATGAGAGTGGACTTCGAGAGCAAATCGATCACGGCGAACAGCTTCGCCTTCTTCACCTGTTTCGCGGATTCGACCCGTGTCAGCGAGTAGAGCAAATTTGCGTACTGCAAGGTCTGCTGGGTCGTTTTCCCGAAGCTCCGAATAACGGCTTGCGCCTGGAACCGGTCGTGCGCGTGCTGCTTCGGATCGGGGAGCGGCGGCCCGGACGGACCGCCGGTTTTGCTGCAGCTCTTGCTTTCACTGCCGCTCGTCGTGGTTTTTGCAGAATTTCGCTTGGCAACGGCATAGCCAATGCCGAAAAACAGCGGGAAGCTGTAGTTATCAGAAATGATGCAGGTGGACCACGCGCGCCGCCACGACCACGTGGTGGGTGTCGTGCTCCATTTACGTTTACCGAAAAATTAATAGGCTTTGATAAGCAATTACTGCAAGAGCTGAAAAAGAAATGAACTAACACTAAGACTAACATCACTTAAGTGAATCATCCTCAAGTGATCATCCTCTGTGAGTACCCCCACGCCGCGAGTGTGAAGCAGTTGTAAAACGCGACACATGTGCCTCCCACGAGCGAACTCGTGTACCGCACTGCGTTGGCTGCTTTTGCGGTGAAAAAGTCCGCGATGGTGTCTACGTCCTCGTGCAACAGGCTCAACTGCGCCATTATCGACGAGGAGCTAGAGATTCCTGCAGTTCTTTGGGAAGATGAGGACCCGCCTCGCTGTTCGCTTCCTCGTCGCGGTCCCACGGGCGCTCCTTTATTCGCAGCCACCTGCAGCGGTTCTTCATCCCGTTCATCTTCGTGCGCATTTTCCTCGCGGTCGCGAGCGGAAAGATCTACAACTTCGTCTGGGGGAATTTTATGCGTGGAAGCAGCGGTTGCTCCGGCTCCGGCTGCTGTAACGTCCTCTGTACATGCTTCATTCACGACTTTCAAGTCCAGCAAGCGGGGTCCGTTTCTCAGCACTTCGGAGAATACGCGGACTCTTAGTTTTCTCTCAAACAGCAGCTTCGCCTCCGACAGGCAGAAGGTCCGAAGAAAGGACGACACCGACCCGAGGAGGAAGAAGCTGCCCCACTGCTTGGTGAATTTTCGCAGCTCCAGCGTCTTCGTGTTGTCGACCACTTGCCGGAACGCCCCACTAGTTTTGAAGTTCACGTACGAAGTGCACAGCAGACTGCAAAATCCCACGGTCAGGAGGGCGGTGGGGCAGTGGCGGGAGAAGGACGTCGACCATGGGAAATAAATAAGCCGGTGGTGCACTAGTGGGGTCTTCGCCAGCACTCCCTTCCTAGTTCTTTCATCCACTTGATGCTCCGCGTGCGGTTGCGCGTGTGCTGCCCTTGATGAGCCATCTCCAGAGGACCCAGGCGTTTGCGGGGTTTGCTTGGACGATGAGTAGCTCGTGCTCGGGGTAGGCGGGCTCTTGTCAGAAGGCACTCGGTGTAGTTCCACTGACTGCGCTTCCTCTGTGCTCCGCCCATGATCCGACGGGTGCGTTGTGTTCCCAACATCATCTCCGTGTCGGACTCCGTGCAACAAGGGCGCTTCTGGAGGATAATAAGAGCCGCGGTCATGCTGATTATCCGGAAAGAACGTCAAAACAGCAGGAACAGGATCATCCTCGTCCTCTAGCCCGGAAGATAAGCAAAGCAAATACAGCCCACCAAGGTTTCTGGCGGAGCTGTTTGAGGACTTGCTCCCACCATGTCTCGTATTTACTGCGCCGCTGGGCATAGTTGCGTGGATAAATTTCTCTTGTCGCGTATTAGTGACAGAAGACCGTGCGCGAGGACCGTGGTAGAAGGTTTGGTCAAACGGTATTTATACGGAATAGAAGTCAATGCCACACGGTCATTAGTTATAGTTCCTTCCTGTTCTTACTTTGATGATGTTTAATCATTTCGGGTATCGGACACGAAAAGAAATCTCTCCAGATACTTCCAATGCACGACGTCGACCGGAATACAGTCAATATTAAAGGGAAAAAACGACGTCAATGTCTTCAAATAGAGAAAGGCACGTTATAAAAGTGCGTTTTTTGTCAGCCAAATGAACACCGATCAGAGCAGAAGATTAGGATCGCGAGTCACGAATTGCGCAGCAACCATGCAGCATGGGGCTTGTTATTGTCCGATCTGTTCAATAATCCAGAATAGGTTTTTCGCCATGCTCGTTGTGAAATGAGTGTGAAGTTACTTTATCTTCGAGACGGCTGCACGTGGAGTGTTCTTTGAATCGAAATCATATACTACGAGGCTTGGAACAACACACTGTCCTGCTGGTGCTCAATTCTTCATCGACCACCAGTAGCCCCGATTCTTGTTCTTCGAAAAATGCGAGGAACGCAACTGGTCTCCTTATCCTTGCACATGATCTGCCTTGCTCCTGCTTCCCGCGGTTTTTGCAAGGGCTTTTCCACCACAACCTCCCGTGGTTTTCTGCCAGGCCGCGGTCCAGTCGACAACGGGTGCTGAAGCCTTGATCTTGTTTTTCCTGTTCTGATTCCGCAAGGGCGTTCGGTCGTCATCGGCGTCCGCGCCAGAAAAGTGTTCGTGTCGAGTAGAGTCAACATCGTCATCGTCTACTTCCAGAACGAGGGTGCCGCCCAGCTGTACAACAGGGTTTGGTGGTTTCACAACAGCCGCGTTTGAAGATGAACTAGTTGTTTTGGTGGACGGGGCCGTCGTGAGCAGATTCATCTTGTCCGAAGCACAAGAACTTGCATCCGCAGTCCCCACCATCGCCAGGGAAAACTTCGGTTCTTGGGAATAAAGCGATCCAGCGCTCCTTCCGCTTCCCTCCTTCTCCGGCGTAGCAGGTTCCTCGATCAGAAAAGTGCCGACCTGGTGCCGGTGCACTTTTTGCACTTGCTCCGGCTTGTCATTTCGCTTTACTACCTCGCTTTCGACGGCTCCACCTCCTTGTTCGGCCGGCCTGTGTGGCTCCTTGCTAGCGCGCTGGTTTCCTTGCTCCGCACTCCGGCCCTTGTAATCGTGTTCGTGATCCGTTCTACTTGTTTGCTTCTCGTGGTGCCAGCTCTTGCCCCCCTCGCCATCCTTCCTATAATTCTTCCAGTTTTTATTCCAGAAGTGACCTTCTTCGTCTTGCTTGTAGCTCTTGTAGGTGTTTTTGCTTTCATACTCACGACCAGCGCTGCTATTTGTCTCGTCTTTTTTCGAGTAAGCGCTTGTGGTTGCTTCTTCGTGGGTCGATCGCTCGCTACTCCAGGTGCCGCTGTAGTTGTTACCTTTCCACTTCTTGTGCCACGACTGGCGGAGGTCGTCCGCAGACGAGTTGCAGCTATAGTTTTTCCAGTTGTCTTTTTCTCCATCCTTCTGACTCGCCGATGCATGATCATTATGGTAGCTCTTAGTTTGCGCGGACTTGTTCCGCGAAGTATTTTTCGATGACGAATTATCGTGTCGGGACCGGTGCTCTTCCAACATTCCGTCTCCCCCCTGACCTTGGTCTGTTCCCGCCCAAGAGTCTGAATCGCACTCGTAGCCCTGGTCATGCTTCCACTTTTTGTCGTACTGGTCTTTTTTGTGTTGCCATTCTTCGTACTGCTTGCCACCCTCGTCGAAGCCGTCGTCGCTCGCGCTCCACCACCAATACTTGGATTTGGAATCAACACGCCACCAGGATTTCTTAGTTGGATCATCTTCGTCCCGGGCTTTGTCATGATCTCTCCACACTGCAGATGAAGACCACGATTTGCTTTTATGGTCTGCTTGCCGCTCTGATTCTTCTTTTTTCCCCGATGTGGTGGTTCTTTGTCTTTCTTCGCCCACGTTCGCTGCTTCGTAGCTATAGCACGCTCTTTCGTCTTCGTGATGGTCTTTGTAGTTATGGCGCGACCTGTCAGTGTCATCACGCTTATCGGAGCCGTAAAAACTTTCTTCGTTCCTGTAGTTTTTCCACGAAGTTGTAGAAGACGTCCACTTGTTGGGGGAGGCTTTGTTTTTGGCATCATCGTTGTTGTACCCACTCCACTGCCACCAAGAAGTCTTTGAAGAAGTTTTCTTCTGCTTTTCATCTGTTTTCTGCGTGTCGAAGTCTCCATCAACACCTCCATCAACAACATCCTTCTCCACACAGGTTGTATGATCCGCGTCGCAGTTGTCGTGGGTTTTCGACGTTCTGATGTCGTTGCTCGTCTTTGAGGTTGCTTTGCACGTCCGAGAGGATGCGTCCGCGTGATATTTTTCGTCGTCCTCATACTTCTTCGTGCTCCACCAACCGCCCTTGCGGCCGTTGTCTCCTGCCTCGTCGTCATCTGGTCCTGCTCGTCGCGCTTTCGTGTAGTTCTTGTCGTGCTCGGACGGCAACACAGCACTTTCGTCGTCCGGTTTATTGCTGTGGTCGACAGGTCTCCTGTCGCTGCTGCAGTCATCGCCCGCTTGGGCCGCCCGACCTGCTGTTTGAGGATATTGCCTTGTTTGGCATGTAGTTCTCTTCTCCTCTGCTTCTATTGGCGCCGTTCCTTTATTTTGTACAACAAGAACCTCCGTCGTCCCGTGCTCAGCATCGTCTGTGCCGTCTTTACCAACAGCTGTAACGTCGACCCGGTGGGCCTCTTCGACGAGGCGTGCAGCTTTCGCTGCGGCCCTAGCGACCAGGAGGTCATCCACTTCGTCCAGCAGGGTTGTGTTGTAAGTCGGAGACGGATTCGCATTCATTTTCTGGGCCGGGAGGATCTTGCTTTTATTGTCATCTGCAGGAGGAGGTGGAGATGACCCCCGGTGTTCTCTCTCACTCGAAACAACCGGAAGCTGAGCTCCTAGTCGTGCAGCATCAGGGGATAACGCTCCTCCGGTCTTGCTCTTTCCGTCGACCACTTCTGTAGGCAGTCGCTTCATCTGCTCGACGACGGTCCTTGTCTTGTCGCTGGTTTCCCTCAAAAGCGACTTCTTGTCCTCGCTCCAAGGTTGATCTTGATCCACCTCAGAGTAGCTGCTGTCAACATACTGCTTCCACTCCCCAGTCTGTCGATCCTTGTACCACCGCTTGCCGTCGTTTTTGGTGCTACCGGTTGTACCGCGATCATATTGCCACTTCTGGGACGACCTGTTATAGGACGTGACGTTGACATCGTTGTGGTATACCGTGCGTGATCTTCAACAAGTACAAGATAGGAAGTCGGTTCATATGTGTTCAAGCACACAATTCTCCTGAAGTTCATTAGGCTAGTCCTGCCGTACTGTGGTGTGCGTGCTCGATTGCAAGACAGCAAAATTCTGAGGCAAGCCCGAGCCCGAGTAAGAGAATCATCAAATCAGGACGGCACAATGAACAATACTGAACGTACAGTGGTAGATGAGAAAACTAGTGCTTACCAATCGTCCTTCCACGAGTTGTTCTTGTCCTCCTTCTCTCTGTTCCCGCCCGCTGACGTAGATTGTGCAGCGTCACCGCCAGCACAAAAATTGTCCCGCTTTTTATCCCTTCGCCTCAAATGCGCTGGCTTCAGCCTTCGTGGCGGCGACCTGCTATTCGGGTCGTAGGTGTGAACCACTTCTCTCTTGGACGATGACGTCGTAAGGCAGAAGGGGCGCGGACTGGACGTAGAACTGCTACGAGAGCATGAAGAGCTGCTGCTACTTCCCCCGGCCTGTAAGTTGAGAAATTCACCGAGAGAAAGCATCGACGCGGCGGTGCGGCTTGGGTTGTCTGTAGAACTCTCTTCGTCCGGAGCATGGTTATTGGGGGTCTTCGTATTGTCGCTTTGCGAAAGACCGCCCGCAACTTGTGGTCTATTCGTGGCCGATGTAAAAGAACGAGAAGTGGTCGCTGATTCATTATCACCGTGACAACCTCTTGAGGCTATCCCACTTTTCGGAAATCTTTGCTCACAGCAGTTGCGGCAGAGGTAGTCCACCGTCGTCCCTGCTCGTTGGCCGACGGCACCGCTGCGGGACGAATGGGACGAAGAGGCGCTGCCATAATTATCCCGTCGCTGCCTGGTCGACACCACGGGAAGACACCTTCTGCCCTTCAAATGTGGATTGTCGCTGCAAAGAGTGCAGGCTGTCCAACGGGTCGTGATAATTTTTGTGGCGTTCTTCTTTTCAACAACATCGTGATACCGTGGCTCCTCGTACCACTGGTAGCGATACGGTCCCAAAAATGATGTTCTTGAGGGTCTACTATTCATTGCCCCGACTTCTAGCACCTTCTCGCCAAAAATGTCCGCCTTTCGGCTTGCGACGTCCTTCGTAGGAATAGCTCCTGTGCTACCAGCTGATACTTTGCTGAGCGCACAGCTTTTCTTGTGGACAACGAGGTCACGGAAGGTCAGGTTAATCCGCGGCTTGGTTTCCCGCCTCCTGTGGTGCGCGTAGGGCACGTAGTGTTGGGTGTACTTCTGCATCATGCCCTCCATCGTGATCAGGTCGCCCTGATGCAGTGTTGTCTCCACGATGGAATTCCGGTCCACTTTCGAGAAGTAATCTTCGTCCTCAACGCCCTCCAAATCCGCCAGCCAAAACTCCCGACTGCCTCCCAGGGAGAGCGAGAGAATCCGGGCGTCTTGGTTCGTGCCGTCAAACAGACTCTCGTTGTCGGCGTGCCAGCCCACGCCCTGCGACCCGTCCTCGTACAGGTTCAGATTCACCGAATTCGGCACGACCGTCATCTGGTCAAACTTCAGCTCCCGCCACAGCTGTCGCATCAGACCGGCAAATTTTTGCTTTTTGTCCTCCTTCTTTGACTCCACCCGCGTCGCCGTCCCGTAGGTGTACGCGCAGGTGCAATTCGGGTCCGTTACCCACCAGGCGGTCTTGCGGGAAAGCTTTTTCTGGTCCCGGCCACCTGGGATAATCATAATTCGTATAGTAATGATAATCATGTTGCACTATTGAAGTTCCGCTCTCCTCCTGCCACGGGGGCAGCGCCAATGGTCCTTTGTTGAAAACCGCACCCCACACGCACCATGAAACAAATGGACCTGGTGCGCGATGACAAAATTTGCCTCTACAAAAAGAAAAATTAGCATAGTCGAGTTCTTGTGTACTAGCAGTGAAACTAGAAACTGTTATACTCATGATATCCTCCCATGGCGCGTGATTCAAAATTTCAGCATAGTAAAACTCCGATCTATCCGCATTCAGGTAGTTTCGGAACAGAAAGGAGTAGCAGTGTTTGGGCTCGTCGAACAAAACCACTTGCCAATTCCGCTTGGCACATGTCGCGGCATGTGCTGCAAGTCGTGCATCTTGGTCCGCTTTATTGCTGATTCTGCTCGATGAAGGGGAACAAATGGAATCGATCGACGCGGCGACTAGACCTTGACCGCTCGGAATGGGGAGCTCTTCGAAAACAAACTTGGACGGATAGGGGGGACTTAATATCGCGGCGCCGCTCTGCTCGTATTCTCGCGCCTTGTTGCAGGAAGAGCTCCTGTCTTGGGCCGGAGCTGCCCCTCCAGTTCTTGATAATAGTGCAGCAGAAGATGTCGAGGTCTTCGCAGCTCTTTCGTCGGGCCGCGTCATGATGCTCATGATCGGGCTTCGCTTTATTAGAAGTTTTCTAGTATGAAGATGAACGAAACAAAGACAAGCTGAGATAGAGAAGGTAAATTCTGCAGTTCCAACTTTGATATGGACTACTTAAGTATTTCACGGCAAACATGATATGTGAGCATCAGCGTGCAACCACAGTAAAGAGCAACGACTGAACTAAACTCGGCTGAGAGAAGGATGGCGTCTTTGCACACAATTTGAGAAGTTTGCAATTGAAAGAAGCTCCTGGTCGTCCAGTCAGCAGGAGCGTCAACAAGGGACCGGAAGTTCTGAGGATCCACCCTTCGGACTGGACCTGTTGCTGTACTATCACGAGATCGAAGTGGAGCGTATAAGCTTCTATGTTATAGTTTTTTGGTTCCCTTTGAGCATCAGAGCCCTCAGTTTGAATGAGCATATTCACGCGTCGAAAGTAGCGCGGCAAGCTTCTATTTTCACATATGAATCATGTCAATTAAGTATCTATACGGCTTGGTACAACACACGAGCAAATTGATCTGGTGTCGCAAATATCAATAGAACAGGCAGCCACGACGAATGAATGGACGACAAAATCCAAAGCACAAACTCCAAAACCGATATTACAGGAAGTACAACATGAATTTACAGAAGTGCGTTGACATATGAACTAAGCACGAGCCAGTGATCCTCGAAGCAACAATGCAGATAGCCACTAACACCGCACAAATGCGGAAAGAAAATAGCCACAATCGAAGAGGATCTTTATCACGTTCCGTTGATTCGTTCGAACGGAAAGAGACACCCGTTGCCCCAACACGGAAAACGTTTTGGGGAGCGAAAAATCCGCCTGTTGCCCTTCACGACAGAAGTGGCTTTCCTTCACTTTCTGTTTCATTTCTGTCGTTGTTTGCTTTTCTTTTGTCGTATTTCGCAATTATGTTGTCGCAGGAGTCGCAGTTGATTGATGCTTGTAGGACTTATTTGCCAGATGTCGCTTTCGTAATCACGACGTCGCTCGCCAGTTCATTTTTTGATTTTCATTTCTGACTATCGAGGACCCACGAAACGCGAGGCCGCAAAGCCCGTCTTCATTTCAACAGCCGCGTCTTGTTGCAGAAGACCAGCACGGGGCCTCGCTAGCTACCAAACTGGAAGCCGCCGGCGGGGATACTTGCCCCGGCGCCGAAAGACGAGGAAGCCTGCGCCTGGTTGTTCGTCAGAGACGAGGTTCCAGGTGCAGTTGTGTTTCCTATTTGAGGGCCGCCGCCAAACAAGCTGTGATTTTGTGCAGTCGCGGCGGTGCTATTGTCACCTCCTGCTCCAGTGTTGAAGACGATATCGTCTTCATCGCCGTCTTCGGGGAAATACCGGGTGAGGATCTGCTCCACCATGTTCCCGACTTCGGTATTCATGGCCGCGTCGAGCACCGCGCGCAACTTTTCCACCCCGTCAGCCTCCTGGATCACGTGCACAAACTGCGTGGCGTCGCCACTCGTGAGGGACACGCCCCGCTCCAAGACGAAATTGATGCCCTCCACCGCAGCAATCAAAATCTTGCGGTCGTACTTGTGATCGAGCGTCGAGATCATGATCTGCAAGGCGCCGCGCTGAAGAAAGTACTCGAGATGCTCCGGGTGGCCAGACGCAAGACCGTTCCGCAGTGACCAGACGATCTGGTTCGTCGGGTGTTCGAAATCAATGGGTATTTTTTCCATCAAACATGCAGTGGATCGTCGGTCCACTTGGGCATTTTTTTGAAGCACCATTGATTCTACCACTTTTTACCAATCACAATCTGTGTTGAAAATAAAGAAGACAGAGCTAGAAGGCAGTTTAGTTCGTAGTTCTGGGACGGCACGTCAAGAACAAGATGATTTGTGAGCACGACTAGTAAACAGCAGTACTGAAAAATAACCTTACCTCCTTTCGCACGTCAAATTCTGCCTGCGGCCAGAGATTTATCAAGGCCTGCATGGCCCCGGAGTCGATGACGCGCTGAATTTGCCGTGGCGTGCCGGCAGTTATGTTCGAGATGGTCCAGCAAGCCTCTTTTCTCAAGTGCTTTTTCGCGTGCTGCATCAGCTTCATCAGCTGGGGCAACGCGTCGCAATCCAGGATGTACTGTTTTGAGTGAAGACAGAGAGGCGTTCATCAGAGGAGGGCAGCAGTGCTTGGAAGAAAAACGTACGACTCGCAACTTCATCTTCATGCGATCAATAGCATTGTCAAGATGTTGAAAGCGGAAGATTTCGTTTCATCATGTCGAAGCAAAACAAAAGTCTGATATTGATACGTCGGTTTGCGTGTCCGTTCCCACACAGATGTTCCCGACGAGTCGGAGCGCTGGTATGACGGCGAGGTAGTCCTCGTGCGACAAGAGTTCGCAAGCTTTTTTGCACACCCCAGCTTGTATTATGTGATCGACGCGGCGCGCGGACTGGTCACCTGTAGTTCGATTGTCTTTGGTTTTTTTTTTGCTTACATACTTTATCGCATGAAAGCGATGTTCTTGCATGCATCGGCCTCTCCTGCATATTGCTGTACTTACTGTTGTTTCACACAATGTCATCTTCTTTACGGAAAGTTTCTCGTTCTAATTCTATCGTCACATCTTGGATCTGAGATGAAAACAAGCTGAACAAAGATGCAGAGTTGCATAGTTGTATACTCAAATTCTTATAAAAACAAGAAAACAGAATACCATCGCAGAAGTAGGCCAGGGCCCAGCAGGCGTCTATTACCACTTCGAGGTCGTTGTGGTAGATGAGCATCTGCACTATGGCGAGGCAGGGCGCGACCTCCTCGAATCTTGGTGGCGGTCGGCCGCGGCACAAGTTGCTGATGGTCCACGTGGCGTTTCGCAGGAGCTCGAGACTGTTTTGACATAAGGAAAAATAAAAACTCCAGCTTCACTGTGTCTAAAAATCTGATGCAGAAAATGCAACACAGAAGCGTTTGCGTTTGACTCGCTACCATGATTACCAGACCGTGGTTGATACAGGTCGGTTTCCCTGTGGGAAGCACCCATAGCAAATTTTCCTTGTCATGGAAAACAAAGAAGCTTGTGCCGCAAACCTCTTCGCAAAATCGTGCTTTTAGCAATGTAGAAGTAGTGAAAGAGAAGATCAACCTACCTGCCACTATGCCTCACTTGCTCCATGATGGGCTGCAAAGCGCCCGCGTTCAGAACTAGATCTCTGCTCGTTGATATCAAAATGGAAAGTGCCCCAACACCCCCAGAAGTGTGAAATATGTCTGATGCAATGCTTCCAGATAGGGAGCTTTTGTCTTGCATGAAAGGACTAGGCGTCCTGTTTCAAATCCAGAGCCGAAGCGTTGAAAACCGTTCTCATAAATATGACAAGCTCCGTGGCTACTAGCTAGGCCTTTTTGCAACGAAAAATTTTGCTTTTGCTCATGGGGAATTCGGTTATTTGCTGGAGCTGCTGGAATAGGTAAGCTTGGGAATCATGTTTGCACGATTGGGATCTTGTGCAATGCAAACACGTCTTCGTCTTCATCGTCCCTGTCTCTAGTACTAGGGGCACTTTTTCCCATGATAGTTGAGCAATCCCCGGAGATGTTGCCCAGAGCCCAGATCGCCTGCTCGCGTATTGTGGTGTCCTTGGAGGTATCGAATGTAAAAATGTCTGGGTCTGGAAGATTGCAACTTGTCATGGTGTTTTTGGACTCTAAAAAAATTTGTATTGCATGACCAGCAAGAGGGGTACAGTTTTTGCTACACGGACGCGGCATTTCTCATGCGGAAGGTACATCAGGAAGCCCTCTCAAAGTCTGCGATGCTTGGCCAAGCATTACAGGCATCATGGGTCATGAGAAATATGCATGACAAATCTTGCATCCTTCCAGACCCAGACATTTTTGCATTTGATAGGAGGACAACAGTCGGACGAAGACGGGGATGGCGCCGTGATCTATCACCACCTGCGTCTGCTCCTTGGTTTATCATTTGTAAAAACGTCCTCACCCCAGAGTCAAGATGGGGATTTTGCAACACAAACCCTAGAGTTTTGGGAGCCACGCATGACAAGTTGCAGGCTGTAGTGTATTAATGCAGTTTAGCAAGGGAAGCCGCATAACAAATCCATCTCCTTATCCGGTTCACAGCATTACAAGTTCCAAAACACGGTGGGGATTACCTCTCATGGGGATGCGCATTACAAATGCTCTTGTGCTTGCAGATCTGCATGACAACTCCGGGGTGGGGATGTTTTTGCACAGGATATGGTTCCGCTGGCGATGTTGGTCAGCGCCCAGGCGGCCTCGAAGCAAATTTTCGTAAGGGCCTCTTCCAGCACGTCGTGCGGTATTTTCTGGACGCCCGCGTCGTCGTGATTATCAGAATTCACAATTTTCACTCCAACCCGCAGTACTTTACTCTTGTAAATGCTTGAACAGCTGCAACGGAGGCCAGAGCCAGAAATGCACCTTCCACACTATAACAAAGTACTAGAATCTTGCCTCCGCACACGATCACGGATAGAATTATCGCGCGGTTAGCCAGGCCGCGACCGCGGCCCTTGTAATTTTTATCATGCAGCCACCAGTCTAGGTCTACGAAAAGGCAAAAGCAATGGACTCTTAAGGAACAAGGCTAGATTTGGCAGATACTTTTTGTCATGACATCAACTTAGGGACACTGCTGCAAATATGAACGGGGGGTAGGAATTTTTGCGTATCAATCTCGTAGTGGTAGGCGAGCTTGTTAAATCCCGGCGTCCCGGTAATTCCGAGATCCTTCGATCGCAACAACGCGATCAGGCTGGGCACTACCCCGGACTCAATGACGCGCTGTATTGGTGGGTTTTGTTCGATAGACAGCAGTTTTCGGATTTTGGTCACCGCAAGCAGCTTATCCTCGAGCGTGACCGGGCCGCCGCCGTTCACGACCTGGAGGTCCATACCATTTGCATTTGCCGCGTTTGATGTTGTTGCTGTTCCGCCCCCGGGCACGGGCGGCCCGGAAATTATGTTCTCGGCCGCAGAAGTCGCGCTCCCATCCTGTAGATTTATGAGCACCCCGTTCACCACCGTGGGCGCCCCTATCGCAGCGACGATCTGGGGCAGCTGCTGCAGCGCTTCAATCTCCAGGGGGGAGAGAGCACCGCTTGCTGTTGACGTGGCTTGCATCTCGTTGTCGGTCGGGAAAAACCGGCTCGGGTCGTTGCCGTCCGTCATCTGCACCAGTCTCTGGTCTTCGCCGCCGATGACCCCGCCAGCGGTGCTGGAGGTTGAGCCTCCGTACTGGAAGGTGTTCGTATTGTGGTTCGGCTGGCCGGCTTGCTGCGCGAGCTGTTGCAGATTACCGAAGGGCTGGTTTTGGTGGTCTCCTGGTGCCAGTGGACCGCCATCCCGGTAGTGCGACAGCTGCTGCCTCTTCGCAGCAATCTGGGCCTCTTTCTCCGACTTTCGAATCTGGACCTCCTCATTTTCGCGCCGTCTGCGGAAGTCCTCACTGTCGATACCTTTTCGGATTATATTTCACGTCTTTTAGAACTACCACTACGACTACTACACGAAAAGCGTGAGGACAACACGCAACACGACCGTACTATATGACGTAGCACCATGAGCATCGGTTTCATAATGCAACAAAATTTACCACAACAGGAGGAGCACGACGTTGTCTTTAGAAGGTGGTACCTTTCTTGTAGTTTTTTCTGCGGCTCTGGTAACGCTCGTCCATCCTGCTATAGTAGTCGCGTTTCTTATTCTTCCGCCCAGCGTCTTCGCCCGTGCTCGTGCTTACTTACGCACGGGAATGAACAACGACTGTTTGCCGTTCTACTTCTTGTGGGCTCCCACTCCGAATATGAAAGCAGCAGAAGCTGCTAATCTAGTGGCATTCACCGATCCTTCTATGCGCGATAGCCATTATCCTTTTCAGGTTGAATGTTTTTCATTGAAATTGAAAATGGAATGAGATACTTACTAGAGTTTTCGGTCACATTGATACTTCTATGTCACTCGCCAAAGGTGTTTTTCGGAAACTGTAGGAAATTGAACATGAAAATGAAGTTGGGCGTAGCGAATAGAAATATCAAAAGAGAAACGTGTCGAGCTGAATACTGCCGTAGCTGGCGCTGGATCTTCCGTGCTGACAGCCAAGAAAGAATTTGGCGCACCATCACGACAAGAACCACCAATAGATGAGTCCTAGCTAATGTTACAGCAAGCGGGCGAGACTATAAACAGCAATACAACAAGACCATTTCATGTTAACAAGTGCAGGGTTCAACCCGAACCCGTCGTGATCCATGTAGTGTTGTCGATATTTCTTCTTGTTTTTTGGGATCGTGTGCGAAAAAATTCAACTTTCTTAGCTACTTCATATACGCTTCATCACCTTCAGGTCGTGCGCGAATCAACCTTTCAGGTTCTTGATGCTAAATCTTGGTACCTACGCAACTTGACAAAAAAAGGTCGACCAAAATCGCGAGCGACGTGAGACTATTTCAGTTCAGCCGTGTTTGCGAAAAAGTGGCACAAACTCACAACGTACGAAGAAAGCAGTTGATGATGAAAGGAATTATCGTCGCACCTGCTGTTCTTGAACTTCTTTCTGTGTGGATCAAGATGAAGGGGACGCACTCCGGTGAACAGCGGGTCGTGAGAGACGCACAACGTTCGTTGAAGCTGTACGACCGAGGAAGATCGTAAACGGCGGGTAGAGTCAACGCCTACAGTTATACACACGGCTTTTGCTTTTCCATTGACGTGGACCGACAGATCGAAAAATATTGCGAAGCCATAAAACCACATTGGGAATTTCAATTTGCTCTTGTACTAAAGCACCGGCGTCACAATCTTCAATATGCCAACTTGCTTTTTTCAACTTTTCTCTGCGCTTCTTACATTCGTCTAAATTTCGTCATACTTACGAATCTATCCTGTTCTCATACATGGTACTAGCAGAGCTGTGCTTAGTACAGTATTTGCAGCAGCTCTACTTGCTTAATGTTTTCTGGTCTCCGCAGCTAGTCCTGTTTTGCACAGGATCTTTCACTTGGGTGCTCACATGCTTGCATGTAATACTGATAAATATTTACCAACAAATTTCAGATGTTACTTCTTCCCCAGCACGCTTGCCTTTTTCGTTCTTGAGACTCTGAGTAAATCTTTGGGACATCTACGCCATCTAGTATAACTACATGATCGATTACAGCAGGTCTACAACTTCACTAGCAGTTGGGCAATATAACAAGCAGTACATATCAACTGTATTTCTTGTACTGGCTGTAAATGTAATTCTTGGTAAATCTAACTGGCGCCTCCCCCGAACGTCGGCATGGAGGTTGCGAACACATTGGGACTGGACGTGGACAGGTTGCCGCTCCCGCCGGCCCCTTCCCAGTTGCTGCTCATGAACCCACCGCCTAGACCACCCGCAAACATCGACTTGGATTGTGGCGAGGTACTACTACCTTGTTGCCCACCCGTACCCGTGCCACTGTTGATCACTCCCGGCACAATCGTATGACAGTGCACATCAACTCCCCTTTTCCTCGATATTCGTACTTCCGCATGATGCATAAATAGGCACACGGGCTGGTGATGTAGTTATAATACGTGTCGCGGCGCAGAGAGCCTTACTTTCTTAGCGGCAACTGCAAGATGAGGATTTTGGTATCTTTTGAAGCATGACTATATGAAAATGAAAAATCAATGAGGGAGACAAGAACTATTTGTGCAATCGCATAAATGGAAGCCCCTGTTGTGCCCGTCGCGAACATGCTTTTTGTTGCGGTTCCCGCGACCACGTTGCTACTACCGCCAAGCGGAGAGGTCGGTCCGGTGAGCAGCAAGTTCGGCGCGCCAAACATGTTTGGTTTCGACGCGGAGGTGGTCAGTTGCAGATCTGGGACATTGCTCGAATTTTTCATCGGGACCTATCCCGGGTGAAGACGTCGTCCCCACCCCAGATAGAATCAGCAAGTCTCGGACGTTTTTTCCATGCGCACGAACCACATAAGGTGCAATTTTCTAATGCTCTTTGGTAGTTTGTCATGCCAGAATGAGGCTAACAAGGGGAGCGAGATGTGATGCAGCTACTTAAAAGCGCCACACATGATCACACTGCAAGCCCAAACCTGTCATGCACGACAGCATATTAGCAAAATATCTATCTTGACAACTCTGAAGTTGGGACGTTTATTACTGAGGATAGCGGCACGAACAAGTTCATCATCTTCGCGTCATCGTCCTCGTGCAGAAACGTGTCCATCTCCAGAATGTCGTGCACGCTGGGCGCGCCGACCGACGCCACAATGGCCCGATCCTGCTCGTTCTGCGATCCGGCGGCGTAGTAAATCGCGAGGCCAAACTATGCGAAGAAAAAAGTGCTACAGTTACACACTCTGATGCAAGACCAGCAACACATACAACCTCTGTCATGCAGAAAATGCTTTCCAGCCTCATTTCATGCGTGCTTTCCCTGGTAGGCTGCGCATTACAAGTTTGCGTTGCTATGCAGAACAGCTCTGTGATGCTGAAATCGCAACAAATGTGTAACTGTAATACTTTTTTCTTGCGATACAAACGCCACCTTGTTCAACAGGTCCGCGAGATTGTAGATCGCGTTCAAGTATGCAGTGCAACTATGTCTGGGTCACTGGAAGATTGCGAGATTTGTCACGCATGTGGATTCACATGTGGATTCGAGACGACTCTATGAAGTAGATGCAGGGGCACGAAAAGGCCCTCCTACCTGTGATGGAAAAACGCAGTAGCAATTAATTTTCCACGCGGAGTACGCAATTATACATAGCACCTCAAATAAAATTTGTAATACGCGTGAGCAGTGCGTACTGCAATGCGCGCTTCATTCACTTGCTTTTTACATATACAACTTTCGAGATCCAGCCTTTTTGCAAAGCATATCAAGGTTTTTGTCCCCTCCAGGTCGTCGCCCACGTCCGCGAGGTAGCCGATGGGGTACAGCATCCCCGTCATCCTTAAGAAAAGCATCAATCCCACGACTCCACAGTACTCTTTCGAAGTGAGCATTACAAGTTTTTTGGGCATGCTCGAGCGTGGTGCTGTAATTAAAGGCTTCCTGGCTGCATGACGAAGCATCAAGTGCCTCAGCGTGATATCATGGAGAGCAGACCATCACATTGTTCACGACTGCACAAACAGTACTAAACAAAACGCCACTACTAGTAGATGAGAACGCCGCCTGCTGCCGTGGGGACGCTATTAATTTCTAGACAGGATACAGCCGAAGAGCAAGATGATCCGGATGATTTCAAATGCTAGTTGCGCCTCGGGTTTCTTGAACTCCTTCAGAGCGACACTGTTCGCGGCCGTCTGCCCGCTGTGTAGTTTTATGATATTGTGGTCGTGTTTGTGCACAGACTCAGACCATCGAGTCTGGTTGTGTGAATAAGTTCCAAATCAGTTGTGTATATATAATGTGTTTAATTCAACATTATTTCACATGATCCCGCAAGTTGTACAACATCAACTTCTACCTGGCCGAGTTCATCGCTTTCTCGATGGCCTCGCGCTTCGCCCGTTCGTCCACTTCATCGCGCTGCGCGCCGCTATCCTCGTCGTCCAGGTCCGCCTCGTCGTCGTCTTTCTTGCTACTGCCGACAAAAATGGCGAGAAATTTCTTGGCTTCGTCGAGAGAGAGCTGCGCGCTGATTTGGCTCGCCTCCCCGAAAAATACCTCGTAGAGGATGTAGGCGTAAAAGAGGAAGCCGATGCAGAACGCAATCCAGCTGTCCATCACATCCGACTCGCCGAGATAGCCGAATGTCAACATCAGCAGGGAGGCTCCCAGCAGGCGGAAGAAGAGAAATCCGGAGATCGGGGGTTTGTCGTCCGGGTTGGCCGCCACGAGGATCAAGTAGAACTCGGTCACTTGCAGCGGCACGGTGACCAGCCTTTATTTCTTGTTGTTGTCGTTGTCATGCTATATTAAATGTTGCCAAACGACAACAGGAGGGGAGCCGTTGGTTCAACTACTGGTCATGCTAGGTAAAACAGATTGATAGGAAGTAAGTAGATTGTACTCTAGTTCTACTCGCGCTGTGATTAACTCACAAAACCAAGCAGCTTTCGCGGTAAGTAGGTAATAATCAACTTACAGCATGACGAACATCTTTTTAATGTACCAGTCCACATAGCGGTAGACCGTGGGGGCGCGCTGCGTGCTGGCCCAAATGTCCTTCATTTCCGTGTAGTGGTGCCACGCGACGCCGCACACGAGCCCAGCGACCACCATGGAATTGGCCCACCGCCGGGGCACGAGGAAAACCTGGAAAAAGAAAAACGCCAAGGCGGCCAGCATCAAACTATGAGAGTGCACAACTCCCCCTCTTCCTCATTCGTTTTGCATGAACAACAATACAATCACCAGCACACATGGAGCCTGTGCAAGACAAATTCATGCGCCTAGTGTAGCTACTGTTTGGGCTTCCAGAATCTGTCATGCAAAGAGCGCCACAGGGAAGCACTTGGATTTAGGGTTGTGCATGACAAATGAGGGGGAGGGGGAGTTGTGCACTCTCATACAAACCGGAGGCCAACCAGAAGGACAGACCCACGTGATCCTCACCGTCCAACACCATGGCGAGCCTGGAGAAGAAAGGTTTTCATGTAGTTCTAGAGTTGCAAGAGATGTTGAAACAATACCATTTTTGCAAAATTATCAAACTACATACATGCAGCTTGGAAAAAAAAATTCAATACTGTCGAAAGGGGTTATCCATCTGATCGTTCCTGCTGCCGAGTAAATTCCCATGCAATCCGTCGAAAGACTTCTGCATCCGAGAGGACGCGGCTAGCATAGCGCGGTGCTGCTGCTGCTCCACAGGGGGGATAGAGGAAGTTGCAGCTTCCTGCATTAATACGCCTGCTCCGGACGAGGACGAAAGAGCCGTCATGACGTCAGGAACAGCAGCAGGACTCATCGTCTGCAGAGGAGATGAACTGCCCCCAGCGGCGGAACCGGAGGGAAAGACGAGGTTCAGAAGAGTACCAACTGCAGATGCAGATGAACCTCCGCCGGCTGCGCCCGGGCCGCCGAGGTTGGCCATGTTGAAGAGCCACAAATATTACTTCGGACGTGCCACTTCTGATCGAGGCGTTTTCTCTTACTAGGCAGGATTGAGACTAGTCATAACTTTTCTTTTCGATTTCACCACTGTCAGCGAACCACGGGAAGGTGAAACACAAAAAATTCTTCGTCACTCGTTTGCATTCGAGTGCGAGTCCTCTGTCTACGTCATAGAAAACAAAAGCAAAGCCAGCCCCCCACAATCTTGTCGCAATCTTGCTCATATGAGGAGATAGCCTGCTCATCTCTCTTCGCCCGGATGCTGGTTCGTTGCTGACCACAATGAATAGCGGCCTGTTTTTCTCTAGAAAAAAAAGTTGCCCGCCCCTCTCGGTATCTCAGATGCAGCAGAATCTTCATGTCAAAACTCTGACTGCGGAAGCAACGAAGGTGTCTGTTCCAGTACGTAGTGCTTGTTGGGTTGCTAAGAGCAAAGAACGGCAACCGCCGGCAGCGGGTCTCAGCCAGGCTCTTCGTTTTTTCTGACAATCCAAATATGCATCCACCACCAAGTAGTGGGCCGGCCGCATGAAGATCTATCTTGATGGAGGGGAAGTCCTTATTTCCCTGTCTTGCTTTGTTTTTAGTTCTGTCTTGAAGTCATTTGCGAAGAAATAGAAATCAGAATCACTTGTGGTTGTGATGTTTGAGGTTGTACTACTTACTGTCATCATGTTGCCCATTTTCCTTTGTGAACAGCAGCTGGTCTTTACGACTTAATATCGGTCACTCCTTGTTCTGCGAAGGAAAACTCGTTGGGTTGTTGCAGACCGCGGCTGGTCGTGTCGTTTTCATGTTCACCTGCACCTGGGGACGCCGACGCCGACGCCGACGCATATACTTTTTGGCCTACCTTCTTGTTTTGCACAAGAGGAGGCTGCTCCTGCGGTAGAGGTCGACAACTCCAGTCATGCAGTTGCGACATCAACGACCCGCCTTGCAGGTCCGCCTCCGTTCTACTTGGTGAAATACTAGTAGTAGCAGTTCCAGTTCTTGTCGCACTTTTCTTACCGCCGGAACGACCGCGGTCCGCGAATCGAACCACTGGCGGCACAGTATGTCCACGACCTTCGTACAGCGGATTTTCGCCCGGGCCAGGTATACCAGCAGCTTGAGCAGGTGGTAGAGACGTGACGTTCATGTCGCTGGGAAGGACTGAACGTGCCGCTACCGACGTAGATGCAGCGTGTTCCGGCGCATTCATGTTCGATAATCCTGTTATCGCGCCAGGCAGATGATCATGGTGCAACAACATTGGGGGTTCTTGGGAGAAAGCGACGCTAGCTGGCGGGTTTGCGTGGCCTCCAATCATTCTCCACGGCGTCGGGGGTGCGGAGGATATTAGCTTGCTCGTTGTAGCTGAAAAAAATGTAGTCACAGGACGAGTAGGCGGCCCCCGTCCGCCAGAAGTTGTCCATGAAGCGGCCGCGTAATTTTGCGCTGGAAAATTATAAGAAGCTGCGTTGATGGGGTGTGGTGTCGCGACCGCCGCTCCACGACGTCCTAATTGATGTATTTCCACCTTTTCTACTACTCTCCGCCTCGGCTCGAGTTTCAAGAAGTCGAGACTTTCGTAGTAGAAAGAAAAAATGGTAGTACGGGTGGTTTCTAGAAGATCTTCCAATTGCGCTTGCAAATGACAGAAGCTGGTGCATCAGTACAGGAATGGAATAATGAATTGTAAAATTCAGCTTGTAGTTCATGTTCCCTTACTTCGCAGTTTCATTCGTTCACGGGGATGCATATGTTGTCCCATTGTGAAGGCAATGACTTGTTAAAGCAGAAGTGGTGCTCCTACCGCTACTACCTATGTTGACTATCACCATCTAATGCTTAGATCTATTCCTGTTATTTTATCGCAGAAGTAAGAGACTTCGATTTGCATGATCCTGTCATCTCCTGAAAAACACCCTAATACAACTTATGTAGGCTACAACAACTCCAGTTGTACTCAACTGAAAGAATGATATTAAGTATGATCTATCCCCACCTTCTACCCAGATTTTTCATCAAACACATAGAAAGGTAGCGGAGGTCCCAACAAGCCGTTTTTTTCGCCACGACCACCTCCCTGGAGATGTTCTTCTTGTCCGGAATAAATGTGACTGAAGAACCGCTGCTGTTCGTAGCGTTTTCTCTGCTGCGACAGCTTGATCGCCAGTGCCGGCGGGATGTTTTTCACGACCACCTCCCGGTACCCACTCTCTTTCATCCGCTTTTGCTCCTCACTGGCGAAGAGTGAATCGCTTTTAAGACCTCGAGGATTACCATCCATCGAGGTCGCCGTGGTCCAAAGTGCGGTTGAAAAAGAACCACCACCATCCTCTTCCAGGCCTAGCCATTCCTTCAAACAGTGGCCTCGGTACTTTTTGCCGACGATGTATCCAAGGAAAAAAGTGTGTAAGTGTAAGTTTCTTGGAGAAATAGCATCACAAGTTTGCTCTGCATGACACAGAAAACCTGTCATGCGTAGCTTGCACTTGAAAACATATACCAAAATAGCCTCTGATGCATGTCCAGCATGACAAGTGTAACGGTTTTGCATTTTCTGCAACACAAAGTTACCCTTACACAGTTTTTCTCTAGGATACGATGCCGGCTTGCTTCAACTCGCGAAACCACTTCTTCAGAATCGTGTTTTCCAGCTTGCGCACCCGGAAAACGCGCTGGAGTTCCTCCTGCTCGAGCGACCCCGCGACGGAGTACACGGCGATGCCAGGGTATCGCGAGAGAAAAAGTGTGTATATGCAAAGCATGCAACACAGTTACTCTTGCTATGCTAGCCAACCATGGAGTTGTCCTATTGCTGTTTCATACGAATGTGAATACGTTTTGCTTTTGTTTTCACGTGGACCACGTGCCAGCTGTGCATGACTAGATTTCTTTGTCCTTATGCAGAACAAATTTGTCAACATGCTGCCACCCGAACACCTACAGCTACACGGACACATTTTTTTCCTGATGGATACGAAGAAAACTTTGTTGATGAGGTCGCCCAAGTTGTACAGTCCATTCATGCGCTCCTGCTGGGTCTGCAGGGAAATATCCGAGTGCTCGTCGTGGTTCCAAACGTACCTCGAAAACACCGGGCGCAGCGGATACAGTGACCACCCGAAGAGCAGAATTTTTCGCAGCGAATCGAAGGCCTGCACCGCGACGGGAGGCGTAAAATCGTCGTAGTTGATATCTTCCAACTCGGAAGATGAAGTGGTCCTCGTCCCGGCGGTAGAAGTTGGTGCTCCTGTGGTACTATGGATCATGTCGTCCTGCTGCAACTGCAGTAAGGCGGCCATCAGGCGGTTCTTTTCCGCGATTTCCTCGTCCGTCACGAGTGTCTTGCTCATGTTTTTCAGTTTCCTCATCAGCTCCTTCTGCGTTTCTTCCCTATCTGCCCGGCGCTGCTCCTTCTCCAAGAGCCACTGCCGCGCTTTCCCCGCTATGAACTGCAAAAGTATCGTACTCGTATAAATGCATTACAAATTGACGTAGCATTACAAATTAAATTTGTAATGCGGATGTGCCTTGAAACAAAGATTTGTAATGCATATACGCAATTAGTACGAATACGATACTTTTGCATTAGATACCCGCCGCCAGGTTGTTCGCGATCACCGAGGCATCGCCAGAGTAGTATCAAATGTAAAAATGTCTGGGTCTGGAAACTTGTGATGCTGGGTGGCGTCTCATGATGAGGCTCCAAATGCTGGCTCAGCATGACAAGTTTCTGAGCTCCTCGGTGTTGCCTATTCCGCATGACAAACTGCGCTTCTGCATCACAGAAAAACATAGCTCTTGGGTACCGTGCATGACAGATTTAAGAGTCATGCCAGACAAGCATGACAAACATGAATTCTTCCAGACCCAGACATTTTTACAGTTGATAAGTAGACCTCGTATACGATGAACAGCCAGGAAAACAAACTCGCGGAAAAGGCCGGCCACAGAGACATCACCTCCGTCTCCCCCATGTAGCCGAAAGCGAGCATGGACAGTGCCGCGAGGAGGATACGGGCACAGAGACTGGGGCGGACTTCTTGTTGATGTTGTACGAAGTGGGAATTGGTGTTCTTTTTATGCTCCTCGGGCGGCGGAGTGGCCACTTTCAACAGCAGGTAGAATTCGACTAATTGCAGCGGAATGGTGACGATCCTGGTGTGTTTTTTGCAACTTGTACTTGTGACAATGTGCTGCTTTGCGCTCTAGTACTAGGACTTGGTGCCCTTGTTGTGGAAACAAAACGACAACTTTGGCATTCTCACTCATCCAGCGAGGCATAATGAAGATGACAGGAAATAATCTTTGCTGCTGCTTGCGCATCCACGTCCACGACCACGCACCAGAAGCACGCCAACAAAATAAATCGCACCAATGAATTATCAAATGCAAATATGTTGTCCGGGTCTTCTAGAAGGATGCACGTAATGGTGATCATACGAGACGCTGATTATTCTTGCGTTGTTAGTAACAACAGCTGGAGGTGGTCGACTATCAATCTACGGCAGCGAGTAGGGTATGTTGACAAGCCACTGCACACAACTTCGACTTACATACTACAGATTCAATACGATTCGCAATAAATCGCATGATAGATAAACTCCCTACTTCCAGCACGACCTGTTCGGGTATTATTTTTTCACTTACGACCAGATCCATCTTGTCACGACCTTCGAACTAGTCTAACATGATCTTCACAACCGTAGAAGACACGACAGATCTTCGATTCTATTTGCATTGCATATCCATGTATCTTGCCGCGACCGGAACGAATCTGCTTTCGTCCCACTGGTCCCGCATATTGGTGTATTGCACGTAGGAAACCAAAGTGACTCCACCGACCAAAACCATTACCACGCACCACTCCCGCGGAACAAGGACTGCCTGCAGCCCCGAGAAGACCGCGATCGCCAACATGCAACCCGTGAGCAGCTATCAACTGCAAAAATGTCTGGGGCTGGAAACTTGTGATGCAAGGAAGGGAATAGTGAGCACACTGTAATGCGCTGCCCAGCATGACAAGTTTTTTTGTTGTTCTCAGTGAGTTGCGCACTCCGCATGAGAAACCGCATTTTTGCAAGACAGGGAAGAGGAGCTCTTCGCGGCCACGCAATACAGATATAAAGTCATACCAGACTAGCATGACAAATATCGCAATCTCCCAGACCCAGACATTTTTGCAATCGATAGGAGCTCGAAGGAAAACCCGACGTGGTCTTCGCCGAGATTCTATGAACTGCAAAAGTATCGTACTCGTATAAATGCATTACAAATTTCCTCAGCGTGAGAAATAAAATTTGTAATGCTGATTTTCCTTGGGAACAAGATTTGTGATGCAAGACTTGCATTTATACGAGTACGATAGTTTTGCACTGGATAGATTCAGGTTGGCGCGACGCATCTTTTTGCTATTGATCTCAATAGTTGTACTGCTACGTCAAAATCAAAAAACCCGACGAGATGACATTCGCGGCCATAGAAGCCGCACCTTTCCTTTGCGACGCTTGCGTGCCGTGTGTGGTGCAGTGAGATGCTTAGTGGTACCAGGCACCACAAAAAGGAAAACGAGAAGCGAAAAGCGCGATGGTATTTGCGTCTTGGTAAATGAATTTCTATCCGTCAACAGAAGTAGCTAGTAGTTTAGTACAACTTAGTTGCAGAAAAAAGCGAAACTCGATTGATAGTTATCCCTCAACCCGCGCTTGATATGTTCACACTCATCCTCACAGAAAAAGCACGCCGTTATGGGGTGAGCAGCTGCTACGCCGAGGTTCTTGGGGCGAGCAGCAGATGTTTTCATCGCTAGACCCCTTACACAAAAGAAGAGCGCACGACTCGCATGGTCGCACTGGCATCTTCCAAAGGGTGAAACATGGGTGGACAACGTCTCGAACAAGACCGTGTGCATTATCAGCAATACCTCCAGACTCTGTTTTCCTTCTGGAAACCGTCGTTGGCAAGTGGACATTCATATGCGAAGACCACTGTTGAATACGTGAGGTTTCTTCGTTCGCCCTTCCAACAAGAAGTTCTGGAACAGTAGTATACACTTGTTTTTCTCGTCGTCCTCGTCGTCACATGACGTTATCAACTTCGACGAACCTGGACTGACACGCTAGGAAATCTTTATGCAGCTCGTCTTGCAGACAGACATCAGGATCAAAGTCGTCCGTCCAGGCAAACTGCAGGTCCAGCTGCTCGTCTTTTACCGAAACGAACTGAGTTTTTTGTTGATGAGCGTCTTTGTGTAGTTGGAGGTCCACCCCGTCCGTTCGCTCTTCTTGTTGTACTTCCTTCATCTTGCGAAAGTCTTCGTCCGCAACTTTGAACACCACGGCAGCGGTTTTGTACAAAATTTTGCCCTCGACCTTCGTGCTCTGCTCGAAACCCGTCTTTCCCTTGACCACCCGGCTGTATTTGTGTTTCTTGCCGCTCTTTTGCAGCAGCCGACGCGTGGCGGAGTCCAGCAGCTTCTCGGAATACTGCGCCTGGGTCTTGATTTCATCTTTGTTGGAGCTCCTACTTGTCGTGGTTTCAGACGCAGTAGATGAAAGAGCACTAGAAGACGACGGCTTTCTATTTCTCGTCGCTGCAGCAGGGAGATCATTCGTGCCGCTAGTATAATGAAGATCAGCTGTGGCGCTGGCGCCGGCGCGGGTGTTTTCGTCCACATAATTCGTCAACGTTTGATTATCATCTTCTCCCTCGTTTTCCTCTTCGCCTATCGGAAGGTTTCCATTGTCCACAAACCGAAATTCCAGCACCCGGTACTCGCTCACCCGGTTCCCGGCAAAAGCCTCGTTGCAAAAGTTCAAGTCTGCGATCCAGTCGTCCTTGACAAAGTCGCTCTGGTTGTCCAGTTGCAGCTCGAAGTGGTTCTCGTCGTTGACGAACACGGCTATCTCGGTTTTCCCGTTGGGCGTGAACCCGACGAAGTGGTTGTCGTAGGTCAGTTTGTATCAAATGCAAAAATGTCTGGGTCTGGAAAAGTGTAGACTTGTCATGCAGATTTTCCATGACGCATGAGGTCTGGAGTGCGGGACTTAGCATGACAGACTCTGCGAGGTCTCTGCCATGCCTATCCTGCATGAGAAACTCCCTTCCAACTTGGTCAAAAGTGTGCCGCTTTTGGCACTCATGCAACACAGATCTTTGCATGCTTCAGATTTACCATGACAAGTTGCAATCTTGCAGACCCAGACATTTTTGCAATTCATAGTTTGATGGTGTGCGGAAACTTCGTGTCGTATTGTGAGGAAAAATCCCCCCTCCCCATAGCGAAAAGGTACGTCGCAGAAAATTTGCATTGCTGATTTGCGACCACAAATCATCTCTGTCTTGCAAGAAGGCAACTCCACAGACAACCGCCGCATTATGCAGGCGGTTTGTGATGCTGTGTTGGGCCTACAGCGCAGACGTTTCTCATGCTAAGAACCTAGTCCAAAACCTCTCTGCTCAGGCTCGGTATGGGCCTGCAGTCCGATCCAGCAAGACAAATCCGATTTGTGCACGCAAATCCAGCATCACAGACTTCGTTTTGATGTGGGGAGGGAGGTAATTTTTCATTTTGATATGTCGGGGTCCAGATCCGGATTTTGGTACTGCAAATCGAAAAATTTGCGGGCGGCGTCGTGCTTTACTCGGTCCGCGGCCGCCGTTCCCAGTGGTGCTGTGTCGTCCACTTCTGAGGTCCGTTGACTATGATCATCTTCTCGTTCTTGTGGGCCGCCGGCTGTCGTCGAGGAACTTTTTTCCGCATTTTCTGTATTCAACTTGGATAGAAGCTCAGCCGCGCTCGCGGCTCGTCCGGCGAACAAGTGTCTGAGTGGTACCACAAAACACCGGAATGCCGGATCTTTCACAGCGGGGGCGATTGTGCTCGCACGATTAATTGCTGGGGCGGGAGACGAGTTATTTGCAGAAGACGTAGAAGAAGCTCTTGGTTCTTGTGCCGTACCTTCTTCAACATCTCCGGGAGAAGTTGTTGTACCTCCCTCGCTTATTTCTGTCCCATCAGCCAAGTTGTCCAGGTAGTTCTGCAACTCCTGCTTCCCCGGCCTCTGAAAAACTTCTTCGTTTACGCCGCCCTTGGTTCGCTCGCGGAATAAGCGGCCCAGGTGCTGGACCACCTTTTCGGCGGCGGGCAGGTACGCGGCGCCCTGGAAAAACGGGTTGCGCCCGTACACCCGCTGGCGGTAGAGCTCCAGCGACTTTTCGCCAAACGCCCGCCGGGTCGACTCGTAGAAGGAAAGGTCCACGGACTTTTCGTAGTACATCTGCAGTCCCTTGGCGAGAAAGGTGAAATCGAAGTCGGCGGCTGTGAGGGGGGCGGGGTCGTCATGTTGCTCCCGCTGCGCCAGTTCGAGGAAAAGCTTCAAAAACCTCCTCGCGTCGTAGAATGCTCCTGCGGTTGTACTTGATGTCGCAAGATCATGCCTAACTTTTGATGTTGTTGTAGAAGAGCCATCTTGTCCTGCTTCTCTCTGTTCTGGTCGTGGTGGCAGGAACAGGGGCGCGTACCGGCGTTTTGCTATTTCGTTGATCAGCGTTTTCCGTCTACTTGCAGCTTCGGCATCATGTTCTCCTCCTCCTCCTCCCGCTGCTTGATGTCCTTGAACAAGATGATCCTGCTCCATCGGCGGCAAGCTGCTCACGATGTTCGTCAGAAGAGAGTGCAACGCGTAGCCCGCCAAGTGCCGCCCGACAGTTTCCATCGTGACTTTCAGGAAAGACTTCACTCCGATCAATCCCTCGGACTGGTTTTCCAGAAAAAGCTCGATCGGCAGCACCTGTTGCGGCAGGACCTTCACAGCGCGGCGCCGGCGCCACACGCCGTAGCACGACCGGGAAGCCGTGGTCGCAAGGAGGTCCTGCTCTACCTTGATGTCAAGGCCTGCGCTACTAGTTGTACCACTGGGGGAGTTCTCGTTTCCAGGTTGTAGTTCTTCATGATTTTGTTTGTCCTTTGCTTCTTCGGGGATTATATCAGGTGGAAACGTCGAAAATGACTTCTGCGTTCTTGACGACCAAAACCTTGCCCACCCGTCCGCTAGCAGGTTGGACTTGCGGGAGCTGCTTCCGTAGCAACCCGTGAAAATGGTGTTGTGGAAGTTCGGGCCCACGTTAAACACACTGAAGTCCTTGATCTTCGCTAGACTCTGGGGCGTGTTGATCCCAAAGGGTTCCGGCGAAACCTCGAGCAGCACCTCCTGGTCCAGGTTCTCGTCGCCGTTCGCGGACAACTCGTCCACATCGAGCGCTGTCAAGGTAATCAAGTACCCGGTCGTTGCCAGCTCGTCTATCTTGGTGATGCGGCAGGTTGTGCACAGCTCCTTCAGCAGCGTGGTCATCCAACCGGCGTGCGAGTACTCCACCGGGTAGCCGCCGAGGTTGTCGCGGGCCTCGATCAGGTAGCTCATGCCGCGACCCAGCGAATTCGCGTTGAATTTCTGATACAAAAAATTCCGCATGAACCGCTGCCGCAGCCGGTCCGGCAGGTCGTCAAAGGTCAATACTTGCCGGTTGTCGTTGATCTTTGCCTGGTGATGTTGAGCTTGAAGATGATCTTCATTTTCCTGGCGAGCCGCAGCGCCAGTCCCCTGCGAAGGGTCTATTTCTTCATGATCGGGGGTGCTCCCAGAGGAAGTAGCAGAGGACGCCGTTCTTGTGTCCTCCTTTGCCACCGCATCTTGATGAAGATCGTTGCGCGGCGGGGAACCATTCCCCGCGTTCACGCTTTGGTCCCCGAGGTACACTTCGGGCGGTTGTTGGTACGCGCCGCGCAAAATGGGGTCCAGGTCGAGCTCGAGCCACTTCTGCTTCCGCACCAGGGTCTTATCGACCGACATGGCGAGAGCGAGCTTTTCGCTGACCGCGTCGAAGCGGTCGACTTCCGATTTCAAGTCCTTAAACAGGTCGGCAAAGAGGTAGGAGAGCTCCATCAGCTGCTTGCGCCACGGCCGGCTACCGAGGTACTCCTCCTTCAAGTCCAGCCACTCGTCGTCGCGCTCGTGGGGCCAGTGTCTCCGATTGTAAAGTGCAATGAAGCACCGGCCGCCCGCGACTTTGGTCAGCGGGATGGCGCGGCGCAGCGCCTCGGCCAGATTGCCGGTGTGGTGCAGCACACCGTAGGAGTAGACTAAGTCAAAGTTTGACGCCACTGCTGCGTGGTTGTGTACTTCTGCTTTCGCAGCAGCTTCGGAGGTTTGACGTTCCGCAGTAGAAGGTGCTTTTCCCTTTTTCATTCCGGCGGACGGCGTGTCTTTTTCATCCTTCTCTCCCGCAGCAGCACTAGGGGGTTTCACGATTTTTCCGGCGTCAAGCGAAAAGGAGTGCGACGCCTGCTGCTCAAGCTCATTGGTTTCGGTGAGGCCCAGAATGGACCGCAGAAAACCGGGCAGCTTCGGGTCCAGTATGTTGCCGCGCACGATGGTCCAGGACCGCCCATCTTCGTCGTAGAGTTGCGTGTACGGGAAGGAGATTGGCTCTTCCACCTGGGTCTCGGCTTTTCCCTTGTCCCCGGCGGTCTTTTTTGAAGTATGCATGGCAAATAAATGTAGCTGGGTCTGTCGAAAACTTGTCATGCTAATAAATTAATTATGCATGATGCTGAGAGAGAGAGCACTTCTAAGCGCAGCCAAGGAAGTATGTCATCAAGTTTTTATGAGCCTGCATCTCAATATGTGCATTGCGCACGGCCCTAGAAACAAACTGCGTTTTTGCAGCATGACGTTTCACGATGATCTCTTGTCCGTCATGCATTGCAGATTTTGTAGGACGAGTGCCGGACAGGCAAAAATACAAGTGTTACAACTTCTCCGTACAAGAACCCAGACCTATTTGCACTGCGTACGACGCCCCATTTACCTCGTTCATCTCCCATTTGTAGAAATAGGCCTGCTCAAACGTGGTGATGCCCAGCTCTCCCTTCTCGCCTTGCACGTGGGGGTCGCGGAAAAACGCCCAATTCCGCAGTTTGTGGGTGGCGGACAAAGATTTGGGCTGCACGTCCACGGAGACGATGTGCTTCGCGCCGAGCTGCCGGGCGGCGGTGGACAGCAGGCCGGAGCCGCATCCGAGGTCGAGGAAGGATTTTTCTTTAAAGTGGGACAGGTCAAAGTCCGTCTGCAGTTGGCCAATCACCGGGTTCAGCCTGTGCTGCAAGGAGACGCCATCCAGGGAGTCTTCGTCGGTGGACACCGTAATCCAGTCGGCAAAATTGTCCCAGTTCATCCCAAACGAGTACTGGACCTTCTTCTCCTTGGTCTCGGTCGTCCACCCGTCGTCGCTCGGGACGCTGGGTGCTGCTGGTGTCTCTGGTCCTCCTCGTCCATCCACATGCTCATGGTCCCGGCTTGTTTCCTCGTCTATTTGTGATTTTTGTTGTTCGTCCTGCTCGGCGGCTTCCGCGAGCAGTAGTACACTAGAGGGTGAGCAGGTGCGAAAACTAAAGTGTGTGATAATTCCACTGAAGAGACACGAAATTAAGGCAACGACGGTGCGCCGTCTCGTTGTGGTTGCAACTGCAACCCCTCTTTTAGAAAGAGGAAACATTTTAGTTGACGACTCAACTTGCTGCACCATCATTGCCGCAGTTGCCGTGTGAGGACAGGAGCATGAATTGCAGGAGCGGGCACGACGCACTAGGTGCACAATTTGCGTTGGCATTTTTTCGAAAACATGACAGTTGTGCGATTGCTAAACATAGGTACAGGCTGAAATAAAAGGGATAGAACCTACTTTCACACGATGAATTAGATCCAAGTCAGTCCATTTTTTTCTGAACTATGAAAATCACAGCCAAGGTGGATCACGACAGACGCAAAAAAAAAAAAAGGAGTCAGACTGCAACTCAACAGGAACAGGTAGCACTCAAACCAAGACCACAAGAAATATTGCTTCTATTCCTGTCGTCTACCACCTCATCATGATCTTCAATGATCCTTGAGGTGGCAGGAGCACCTTCTTACCTGAATTGCCGCGGAATTCTGAATTCGGATCTATCAAATGGGTAAAACACCTGAGTTGAACTTTAAAAGGAAAGATCTTCCTACAGTGATGAGTTTTGCATTGCAGTCAAGCTTCAGAACGCCACAATAAGACCGACGATCATCTAAACGCAAACACAAACTAAAATGATGTCCTGGAACTTCTGAAAGGCGCGAGGCACTTTTCGTCTTGATATTCCTCGAAAACGCGAGGGCTCCTGCTTGCCGTGCGGTGGTCGTGTATGTCGCTGCCGAATATAGCGGCCCGACACATCTACTCTACTCAAGCCACAGATCGTTTTTCGTCAACGGTGCCGAGTACTTCTCTGCAACAGAGAAATCAGAAGTTTTTCATTGTGATATGTGTATGATGCGTTTTGCTACTTATCGTTCTTGCGGAGCCGCCCCATGAAGATGACCATAATTCCCCTCCAGCAAGTCCACAACCGACCAATGCTGTGTATCAACTGCAAATATGTCTGGGTCTGGAAACTACCTAACCTGTGATGCGGGTTGGAAAATCATCGCGACGCCTCAATTATTCAACGCCAAGCATAAAAAGTCTTTATTTCGTTTTCAAGTTACTAGGTGCCGCTCAGTCTGGATGGCAGACTGCGCTTCATCTGCATGACAGAAGACTAGCGCTAGGGCGTTTGGGTAACGTGCGTGACGGACTTGAGATTCGTGCGAGCAGAGCGTGACAAACTTGCACTCCTGCTCTTCCAGATCCAGACATATTTGCATTTGATACTCTTTCCGTCTCGCGTACTCGACCGCGGACCGCTTGAAGTCATCTGGAGACTCCGGGTCGGCGCCCTGTTGCAGAAAGTACGCGCACAGTTCGAGTCGGCCCGCGCGGGCCGCCCAGTGGAGCAGGGTGAAGTTGTTGGCCCACTTCATCTTGTGCCAGCCGCGGCGCGCCACCTGGGAAATGGCCTCCAGGTAGGGAATCGGCACGTCTTGCAACACAGACACCCCGACTATCGTGAGGAAAATTTAGTTTTCATCTTCTGATATATCCCTCATGCCGGAGTTGACATAGGCAAAAGAAAGCGACATTGGTGTTGCTGTAGCTTTATGTAGTGGCTTTTTCCATTTAGAAGTGTGGCTTGCTGCAGTAGTTTTCTGCACAAATAAACTTGGTCTGAAAGAAAAAACGAAAGACAAGCATGGTAAAGCAGCTCACTCTTTCGACTACAGGCAAGCTGTGCGGAGCAGTGCCGTTTTCTGTCTGCTAGTACTACAGCAGAGACATCGCCAGCCAACCTGCTAAAAAAATAAGGTTAAGGCTCCTGGGAACAGATAATTACATAACTGTTCCTCATGATACAAGCGGTGTAGTGAAGCTGCCCCACTTGGAGGTACTCGTTACTGTCGCTATGGTCGTGCTGAAACAGGAGTTCGTGCTTTTGTTGTCTGGTTCCTCCTGTCGCGGCCACGATTTTTGCGGCGGTAGCTTCGGCGATGGCACGCTGCTCGGCGGTCGGTGCTGGTAGAGCTGCGTCGGAGGGCCGGTTTTTGGATGGGTGACCATGCTCAAGATCAGGAGCCGACGGAGATGACCAGGTTTCCTTGCAGTTCAAGGCGGCCTCACCCGTGCTAGTAGTGTTTATTCGCACATCTTCCACATTTCGTGTTTTATTCGCGCTGCTCGCGGTGCTAAGATTCCTCGTCGCGCCACCGTTCGACCTATTTCGCGCTTGATTTCCTTCCAGCTTCGCGCGTTTCTCTCGCTGGATCCGCGGCAACGCGCCAGCGCTAGCAAGGAAATCACAGATCTCGAAGTGACCTGATAGTTATTCCGGGAAGAAAAACTCGAACTCCTTGGAAATGGATATTGCTTAACATTGCGGAAATGTTTTCATCTAAAACGACAACTGACATCAAAGCGGTCGGAATGTGATCATGCGTTAATCAAATCACTGTCGTAGCATACTTAATGCATATTCATATTGTACCAAAATCGCTGGCGTAGTCCAAGGGGCTTTTGCTGGAAATCGAATCCACTGCATTCACATCGGTGTTTGTCCAATGTAATAAAATCATCAATCTCCCCTTCTACTACTTCATGGTAATTGTCATGGGTTTTGTTCTTGGACCAAAAATGCGGAACAAGAGGGACATAAAGATCACCCATAAAAATTTGCATGCAGTTTACAACAGCCACGACATATTATCGTGCAACAGAGCGCCGCTCGGTTCGAAACTGTTCCTTCTTTCGGTGCTGTCCGCAATCCTAGTACAAGAAAAAAATATGATGAGTATACTAGGAGTGTGATTGATTTAGAGAATCTGAAGGATAGCGTTCAGCTGCACCAAGTATTCGACGAGTTTCTTGATCCCCTTCTTCGACGCCCAGTGCAGGAGCGAGTAGTTCAGTTGCCATTTCATATTGTGGTACCCCTCCTGCTCGATTTGCCGGATCACTTGGACTATGCATCTTCGCAAAAGTTGTACGCTAATGATCGCACGAGCATCTTAACTTGCATACATCGTCTTCACCTCAAGTAGTATTGTCCCAGTTGCGTCGAAGTGCAGCGTCACAGTGATGCGAAAGAGAAGTGGAACCCGTCATGCACAAGAAATTATTTTGGATGTTGTAATACGGATACGAATGCGATACTGTTGCGAAGGATATGGATGTAGGCTGGCGGAACGTTTTCCGCCTCAAGCACGCTGTCGGACAGAGCCTGAATATAAATTGGTAAAAGATTTGTGATATCAATCGACGTTCCTCGAAGCCTAGTACTAGACCGATGTTGCGGGAAAAACATTAATAAATGCGCAATCAGATGGAATAGCAAAAGTGATGCAACAGATACGAAAAGGAAAACAACGCCATGAGAGTTTGCGTCAAGAACGCATCCAGCTTCAGTAACTATTTTACCTGCGCACTGGTTGCCCCAAGCTGCTCCAGCCAGTGACAGAGCTCCTGGTGTGTTTCCCGCTTCGCGTAGTCGTACGGAATCAGGCCCTTCTTGTCGCGAAAAGTCAGTGGACATCATATGGAAAATCACCAACATGGCGAATCATTTTCGACGTGTTATACACGTATCCAACATAATGCAAAAACCAAACCTATTGGGTAGAAAACATGTACATACTTAGACCTCTTCTTGTGCATCTATCATCTGGCGCGATGCTTGGTGAACAAGATTATTTTTTCCGCAGCGTAGGAGATCGGCCCCGCCGGGTTTCTCGATGAGATACTCGATGATGTCCCTGCGGTTTGCCTGGCAGGCCCAGTGCAGCGGCGAGAAGCCGTCGGCCCACGAAAGTTCCTGACACCCGTGCTGATTCACCAACAGGAGAGCCATTTCGAACGCTTTCGGAATGTTTGCGAAAAAGGGGGTGCGCAGTCGCTGCAGCTCCGATTCCAGCTGCTCGATCTGCCCCTTCAGACTGCCAATCGCCTTCTCGGTGGTGTTGCGGTCGAACAGCTGCCGTTCCTGGTGCAAGTACGCATCCGAGCTGATCTTTTGCAGCGCGTCGATCCGCGACTGAATGTTTTTCTCCACGATCGAGCCCGGAGTCGTGTTCAACGTTTCGGACCGCGCGCGCTGGAGCAATTTCTCGGTTTTTTCCTGAATGGAAGGCAGCGTGCTCGTCAGCGTGCGCTTTTGTGGCAGGTGGGGTTGATGTTCTTCTCCCGCTGGTAGTTGTTCTCCAGTGTGACCGGATGACGACGATGCTCCTATGCTTTTGTTCGTGGCAGGTGGAAAACCGCGGGCGCTGGGAAATGGACTGTTCTGCACAGATATCAAATGCAAAAATGTCTGGGTCTGGAAACTTGTGATGCTGGGTAGCGTCTCATGATGAGGCCGCAAATGCTGGCTCAGCATGACAAGTTTCTGAGCCTCTAGGTGCTGCCTATTCTGCATGACAAACTGCGTTTCTGCATGACAGAGAAATGGGGCTCTTGGATGTTGTGCATGACAGATTTAAGAGTCATGCCAGACAAGCATGACAAACATGCATTCTTCCAGACCCAGACATTTTTACATTTGATAACAGATCGGGAGAGCTGGTCGAGAAGGCGTTGCTTTTCCTCTTCGAGTATCAACTGTAAAAATGTCTGGGTCTGGAAGAATCCAACTTGTCATGCTGATTTTGGATTGTAAAAAAATCTGTATTGCATGAGAAGCAACCAGAATGCAACTTTTGCTACGCTGAGAAAGCATTTGTCATGCGGATTAGGCATCGAGAAGCCCTCAAAAAATCTGTATTGCTAGGGTATGCATCACAGACATCATGGCTCATGCAAAACGTGCATGACAAGTGTCAGAATCTTCCAGACCCAGACATTTTTACAGTTGATATCGAGAGAGGCGGTCGGCGAGGGCTTCCTGCTCGACGTGGAAAACGTGCCAGTAGATGATCCTAGCACCAGCGCTGATTTATCGTGATTTTGCGAAGCGATAAACAAATCCTCGTGCTTATCGCCGGGTTCATTTTCACGACGCAACCTCTGCCGCTCCTCCTCTTGCGCGTCTCTTGTTCTCGATGGCATGTTAACCTCGGGAATGTTACCCACCTCAAGGGCCTCTTGCATGTGCTGAAAAGTAGCGGCAGTTTCATGGTGCTGCTCTTCGACTACTTCCGTGCGCCACTGCGACGATGAAGAACCTGCAGTGATATTTGGCGTCATCTCCGGACGACGAGGATCATGTGCCCCGTCATCTTGTCTAGCATGATCTTGGTTCTTTCTCCACGACGGCTCCTCAACATCAGCGAATTGCACACCATCCGCTTGCTCGTTTTTACCCACAAAGTAGTTACAATCTTCGTCAAAATCCGCTTGTCCCTCGTGTAATTCCTCGGTCATTTTCTCGTCCGGGTGCGAGGACGACGAGGGTTGCATTATCCGCGTGCAAAATCGAAAATCCAAATCATCCCTTTACAAGAACAGATGTTTTCTACGTTGTACTAGTGTGGTTCTTTCTCTCAAGAACTATGCACACGAAGAGTATCAGTGCATTGCACGCATCACAAATAAGCAATCTAGATCGCGAGTTTACTACATCGGATAAGCTTCGACGAGGCCTGCTTCGAAGTCGACGTGGAATAATTACAGGGCTGCTTCGACCAGACGCCCGAAGAACTACACGCGGCGGTTGCAAGCGTGCCAAAGTAGTCTTCGTGTTCATCAGCACCGTCCTTGATGTTCATCCCACTGCTGCTCTTGAGTTGATGCGGTAGAACAGTGCCGGACGCTGGTTCCTCGTCCTGCAAAACGAGAGCAACATTTGCCGAATCTTCAGGTTGCGGTCCTGCAGCTCCTTGTTCAGCGTGAGCAGTGGGAGCTGTTCTTGAGGCGTCGATGCATGGATGCGCCGATACGTCGTCGTGCTCATCCGGCACTTGAAACCGCTTGGAGTCTAGCAGAAAATCGTGGTCTGCGAGCAGCTGCTTCGCCTTTTCCAAAATTTCCGCGCCTTCGTCGGAGGATATGCGGGCAAAAGTTTCGTTTTTCTGTTCTTTCTCCATTTCCTGCACGTGCCCCCGCAGGGCGTCGCTTTCGTCTTTTGTCTCTGGTGCCAGTCGTGGAGCTTGCTCAACAATTGGGCGGTGCTGGTGCAGCTGCTGGACAGCGACGTTTTGCTTGTCGTTTTCACGAGCTGCAAATGGCGGAACTGCAGTGGAGGAAGTGGTGTACCCGGCATGTCCTCTTCGCGCTGCGTCAGCTTGTTTCTGCAAGAACTCTCTTTGGTTCTCTGACCTCGTAGTTTCACACGAACTTGCTCTGACCGCTTGCAGCATCCAGGGGCGTGGTTCGAGTTTCGTCGAACTACCGCTTTGGTCGTGGTCCCTAGAAGCGCTCGAGTAGACGTACTCATTCTTGGACTCGGCGAATGCAACATCGTCGCGGTGGTATTTGTTCAAGAAAAACTGCCGCTGCCCCTCGCGGTCCGCTTCACAAGCTGCAGCTTCTCGCAGAAGTTCTTTATTCTCGCCCCTTAATTGCTCGATCATATCCGCAAACTCTTGACTGCCACGCACACAGTCCTCCTCTTGGTATTCTTGATCTGCTGGTGGAGCTGCATGACCTGGTACAGCATGATCCGCCGGGTGGCGGTGTACCTGGTGCGCTGCAGTCACTTCCTGCAAGTGCATCTTCTTCGTCGGGTGAGCCGGGGCAGCTTTGCACACTTCTGCGGAATGCCTTCGCTCTTGTTTCACCTCGTGTTGCTGCTGGTGCTGCACTAGTCGTGCGCCACCAGGGACAACATGAGCCATCTTCGAAACGTGCTGTGGCTCAACATCCTGCACAGCCGCAGCTGAAGGCCGCCGCATGGCTTGGTTCGACAGAGAGACGAAGCTGCGGGGCCCCACAACCTCCCCGTGCGGAGGATCAAGACGGCCGGATGTTGACAAAACCGCTGGGATAATTCCTGGCTCATCAACATCTCCTTGCCCTTGCACGGAGGTGGGCACTGCGCCAATAGTTCCTTTGGACGACGACGTTGAGGAGCTGTAATTTTGCAGCTGCAGTTTCAGTTTTTCCAAAAGCTGCTGAATCAGCGTGCCGCGCTCCTCTGTCTTGTAGTTCTGCTGTTCGAGCTTGGATAGCAATTCCAGGGACAGTGCTTCGTTTTGCTGTGGCGCGCTAAATTTTTCGTTTGCCTGGATTTCGTTTTCGATAGCGCCGATCAACTGCTCGAGGTTCTCCAGGTGGAGGGACTGGATAGTACTGGCTGTTGTAGCATGATCTTCAGGTCTGCTTCTTGAAGAAGCACCACCCTCCACGCCCTGTGCATCAGCTGCCCGCGTACCAGCAGGCGCGTGCTTGTTTTGGTGCACGCCTCCACGGGGACCTCTCAGGAGTGCTGCGTGGGTAGTACTACTCCTGCTGGCGTGGTAGGGTACGAGCTCGAGGTCGAAGTCGCCGTGCGGGTGGTTTTGCAGGTGAAATAAAGGGTCGTCCCGAACATAGTACTTCTCAGAATGTTGGTCCAACTGCTGAACATCTACGTGCGAAGAACTGTAGCAACCATCATCTCCACCTGGTGCTCCACCAGCAGTGTTTGTTTTGAGAGATGAAGACCCTGCTGCTGCTCGAGATGAAGCCGTGCTTCTCAAGCGCCTTCGCGAGGACGAAGAGGAGGCTGCTGAGGTTCCCACCAGCAGGCCACCAGCGGTGCTCGACGCAGTAGAGGCAACGACTCCACTGGCGCTCTGTGGCCGCAGCAGGAGTTCGGCTTTGGGCTGCAGCCGCGGCGCGATGAAGGGCTTGAAATTCAGATGCAGGGACGGTGGGACGAGTGACGTGCGGTGGTGGGTCTGCTGTAAAAAAGAACCACCTGCAGGAGCTCTTGCGGTCGTGTTGTTGAAGGATGGGTCGGGTTGCTCGAGTTCATGAACAGCTTCCGGTGGCGTCGCGGGTGGAAAGGTGGTCGGCTCCTGTTGTACAAAATTCACATAAAGGACCACACTCAGGAAGACGAGCATCTTCGCGATCTTCGAAAGAGATGAAAGTTGTCTTGGTACTACCAGAAACAATTTGAAAAGACATGATAGAAGGCGGGATAGAACATCAAATCAAAATCGACTGCTTGTTGTCCTTGTGCGTGCTTACCTCTGTTTCGCCCGCTTCCAGATGACCTCCCCACACTGCCGTCCCGGAGAACACCCCAGCCCCTCCTAAGCCTAACGCCGAGCCAGTCAAAGCCGAGGACGTTTTGCTCGTAGTTGCCACCGGCTGCGAAAAGGGGCCGATGCCGGGAAAGAGCGGATTACGCAGCTCTCCGGTTGGAAATGGAAACTGGAGGGTCATGATCGCTTCTCCGTTTCAGAAGTAAGTTCGTTTTGATTTTTATCTCAAGCCTTTAGGTGGTGTTTTTCCTCCCGCCTTTCTTTGCAGGCAGCGGTACTAGTTGCTCATCAGGACATGGCATATTCAATTCTGATGGCATCTTCAACTTTCAGGAATATGAATCTATTGTGAGAGATTCTCTTGTTACAACTCAATGGTGCAGCACTATGCTGGTCACCAATCGTTAGCTATGCCGCCGAGAACCACGCAACAGGTTGGTATGAAGCGCGGACGAGGGGTCCGGCGCAAAAGAACTTTCATCAAGAACGACTCTACGCTTACCGCACTTGTTTCGCATGGAATGAAAGAAACACGACCTTCGTCCTTGTTCTACGAAAAGCGTTCCATGTATCTATCATCCACGATTGCAGCAAGCGTGCGAAAAAAGAACGAACAGATGGCGATGAATAGCACGCTCCTGCAACCAGCATTTGTGTTTCGCGAACTGCTCGTGATTGTGATATCTTCAATCGCACGTCGCAGCTTGCGGAGCGACTTTTCCTTAACTCTGCTTTGTCCATCTATTTGCCGGAGCTCTACTCGCTTCTCAGTGCAAGCACATTAGTTCATCTTCATCTTCTAGAGAGATGATATATCGAAATCATCTAGCTTCCGTATCACCATAAAAATTCGCGAGCCCCTGCATGAGTTTTGCCAAGCCGACGCTTCGGACCTCGCAATTGGCGAAAACGGCATTTTCCTCGTCCTGTAAGAATGTCCGGAAAAGTTCGGAAAGAAACTGGGAATGAGAAAAAGTTCTCCACTGCAAAAGCATCGCATTCGTCTTCGTAGCAGTTGCACTAATATACAAGCAGCTGAATCAACAGCATACACGCTTTTTACCTTGCTGAATTTTCATTTTTTCATTTTGCTTTTATTGCAATGCACATCATGATGCACCCACTGAGTCGTGCGATGCTTTGGTCAACATGGATAACGACTATTATGTTAACTTTTACCACGGCTGCTGCGCCACTACTTGAACGAGAAGTTATGCCGGCCGTTAACTTTCCCATGCTGTGCTCTTGTGCCTCCTCTCCGCAGCCTCCTTGTATTCTATCCTCGTCAGGAGCCGCGGCTACTGCTTTCCCGAACGATAACCCATTCACTACGCTCATGATTTCCTCGAGTAGCAATCGAAAATCCACCCCGATGCGCCTCCGCAGTCCGTCCATCGGTTCGTTTTCCGGGATGGGGTCCCGAGCCGTGTTGTCGGGGAAGTAGTCGATAAAATCGTACCTCTCCCGTTCCGCATCCAGGCAGCCATCCCGGTAGTCACAAGGGTGCACCACGCCCATCGCATACTCGCGCATCGCGTCGTGGGCAAACCAGAACCAGTTTTTAGTTTTACCGCCACGTCGAGGAGGACTATCAGCAGGTGAAATTTTTCCGTCTTGCTGTTCCTGATCGACGTTGCTTATATCAATAATTCTGTCGAAGACCCCGAGCTTTGCGGTAGCTAGAGTCCGACGCAAGGTCGACATTAAAACGATGTTGATCGCAGATCCACGTATCGTCCCAGCGGGTATGACATCAGGACAAAACCCGTTTTTCCGCAAGTTTTCCCAGACCTCCTCGCTGGCCGTTTTAGCGCCATGGTCTGACAATTCGGCGTTGAAATATTCTGTCGAACAGTACTGCTCTTCTCGTTCAGGAGACCCCTTTGGGAACCGCTTCGCGGCGACGTTAGCCGTAGACTCCGCATGGCGGATGAAGTAGACTGTCGCGGGAAGTAGAGGCACTGCTCGCCCTGGGGAGGGGTTTTGATTTGTCGTTGTTTCCGTTCGACTTGATGACTGCGAGGATGGCAGGAAACCGTTGTCAAGACCATCCGGTGAAAGAGAAAATCCGCGCTCTTTCAGCAACGTCTCGAGTACAGACCCGATCGCACTTGTGGCACTAGCAAACGCGGAGGACGAGGAAGACGAACTCATGGGGTCCGTCGAACTCGAGTGAAAAGGATCAAGTCGATCAAATCAAATAAATTACCAGGGGCTCTATAGATACCAAACATTTTCATTGAAAACCGCCGTGGACGTGGTCTCAAAGTTCTTCGTTGTTTTCCCCTTCAGGGTCGCGTTCACTGTGCTTTACAGTATATGAGAGCCCGGGTTTTGTTCCAGGGTTGCAACATCATGTCAAAGAGGAACAACTAAACACCAATGAAGACTAAGTGCCGCAAAGGGGCAGAACCACCAGAGCCAGGTATCTATGTTAGTCTTAGTACCCTTGCCGAAATAACTTTACGCACCAGATGCAGCAGCAGCAGGCATCGCTTGCGAGAGACAATGAGCTACGCGGGAAAGTTTGAATTTGTTTTCGCAGAAAGTCATCAATCAGTGAGAAGATACCACAACATGTAGGATGCGTATTTAGAGAAGCGCCGTTTAGGAATGAACATATTTCGCAGTGCGGGTATATTTCGATTACCTGCTTATACTTATCAGAGAACCGCTAGTCTGTATTCTCAATTCGCATTTTTATAGGAGCTCGCGTGCTCCTGTCAGCTCCTATTATCTAGAGGTCTGAATTCTTTAAAATCACAACCGGAAAGAGCCAGAGGACGAGTGAATTTCAGATAGTGTGTCCTCGTAACTAGTCGAGAGGTGGAAGAACGATGTTTAAACGACTGTAAATTCTACTGCAGCGAGCATACAATTCATTCGCTGTACATACGATCCTTTGACTGAGAGGGGTGCGCCTAGTACCCGTCAGACGAACAGGAAAGCACAGTCATTTGGTGGTGCATTAACATCCTCTACCTACGGCTCAAAAAAGTAGAGTTCGAAGTTGTCATGTTCGTTGAACTATTAAATGTAAAAGTGTCTGGGTCTGGAAGAATGCAACTTGTCATGCTAAATCTGAAGCATGCAAAAATCTGTGTTGCATGGTTACCAAAGGTCGTCCAGTTTTGGCCAACTCTGGAGAGAGTTTCTCATGCAGGATAGGCATGAGAGAGATCGCACAGAATCTGTCACGCTAGGCCCTGCATTCCAGACCTCATGGGTCATGGAAAAGCTGCATGACAAATCGCGCATTCTTCCAGACCCAGACATTTTTGCACAGGATATGATCCCCGCGCCGGTGCCCCCCGTTGCCGTGGAAAGCTCCGAGATGGACCGTTCAAAAGCGGCCGGGGCTTCGAAGGACGCGCTCTCGTTGTCGAGGTATTTCACCGGCACGAAATCTTCCCCAGGAGATGTTGAACCGCTTTTGTTGTGCGCCGCCACGGGCCGTTGCTTCACGTAGTCAACATCTACTCCTGCTCCTTCTTGCACAACAGGACCGCGCGTCCTCTCGGGTTCCTCCCCTTGCTTGTTTTCCGGCGTGGCACCAGCACTGGTGGTACGAGCAGAGCCCGAGTGCGGCGCTGACGAGGAAACCAGGGCAACGTCGCGCGCGGTGCGGGCTGCCATGGATTCCAGAACCGAACGCCTGTTGTAGAGCAGGTTGCTCTATCAAATGCAAAAGTGTCTGGGTCTGAAAGAGTCATGCTGTTTTTGCATCATGACGCAGAAGGTCTGGCATGGAAGCTCTAGCATCACAGGTTTCGCGAAGCGTTCGCAATGTCGAATCCGCATGACAAATCCCTGATTTTGGTGACAGAAAGTGGGCAGCTTTTGCTGCCTACGCATCAGAGATTTTTCTGTGTTCTGAAATGCGCATCACATTCTTCCAGACCCAGACATTCTTGCACTTGATATGTTCTTATACGAGTAGAAATTCGATTGCCGCTGAAACAGATTGGACGCCGGGCCCGTGGAGGACGAACTGCTCCCGACCGGAGCGCCGCTCACCTATGCGAGAAAAAAACTGTGTAAGTGTAAATCTGTCATGCAAAGCATGCAACACTGTTACACTTGTCAACATGCCAGCCAGCCATGAAGTCCTATTGCACAGGTGTTTTCCCGTACTAATTCTGCACGACAGGATTTCTGTGTCATGCAGAACAAATTTGTCATGCTGTCACCCGAAGACACCTACACTAACACAGTTTTATCGTTCCATATCACGGTGGCACCAGTCGCTGCAGCTGGTGGTGTTCCTCCAGTAGTTGCTGGCGCAGCTTCACAAGTTGTACTACTACACGCTGTAGCTCCACGACCGTCCCGCACGAAGTCACCAACAACATCGTTGCGCCTGTAGATCGTGTTGTCCTGGCTCTTCCTCATTCTCCCCGCGCCCAACACATCGACCGAACTTGTGCTGTTCGCAGCGCTGCTCATCATGCTGTCGGTCATCCCCGCTGCGGCAGTGGCTTTCGCCTTTTCCAATTGCTCCGCCGCCTTTTTGTTGGCGGACCAGTGCATGTGGGTGATAAAGGTGTGCTATCGAGTGCAAATATGTCTGGTTCCTCTGGAAAAATGGAACTTGTAGTGCTAGCTTTACATTCCTGGAGAACCTGTATTGCAGAACGAACCAGCAAAAGTCGGAGCCACTTTTGTCATGCAAAAAGGCAGTTTCTCATGCGAATTGCGTATGAGAAGGCGTTCCGGAAAGTTGTCATGCTGTGCGTGGTGCATTCGGAAGTAGTTCCGTCATCCACGTTTTAGCATCACAGGTTTCCAGACGCAGACATATTTACATATTGATATGTGCAGCGCAGGCTGGAGTTTCACCGCGGAAACCGCAGAGAAGACCCATTGCCACTGCACCAAGCAGAAAAAAAAAAGAACGGTTTGCACGACACGTGGCGCCAACATTCTTTTATTCTTTTTTGTCTCGGAGAAAAAGTTCAAGTTCTTGAAAGCACGAGTGTAGAACAAGCGCCCTGATTTTTGTCTCTTTAGTTGCTTCGCATTCACCGCAATGACACTGAATAATGTATTAGTTTTTCTGTACGTGTACGATCTCCTGGACCCAGTTCGCTTCCAGCAGCCGGGTGGAGAGACGAAGCAGCACGCAGGAGCGCGAAAACAAGAAAAACTTTCACTCGTTTTTCACATCATGAGATCCAGGAGTCAAACCAGAACCGCACACTCGAACAAGTGGCTGTGACTTCCCACTTCGCCAACGAGGATCTCCCCGGGGGGGCTTTCCAGATCGCACATCAGTGCTACTGCTTTCGCTGCGTAGTAGTAGAGAAGATATCAACATCATGGAATCGAATCAATCGTTCGATGGCGTGAAGTAACAAGTTACTTCATTTTGTTCACCATGAACTTTCTGGTTGTATATCACAGGGTCTGCACACATGGTTTATTCTACAAAAACACCTATTTTCGATCAGAAAAAAAAAAATGTGCGCGCGGTGGAACGTATATGAAGTACGACCATAATCATTAAATTTGGGTTATAACAGGTGGAAATCGAAGTTCATCTTCTTCCCCTTCTTGCTATCCCAAATCGCTAATTCTCCTTCCGTTTGTAGTACTGTACTGTTCTTTCTGGATGACTTCATCGATATTTATTTTCGCGGATTCTCTATGGTTCTTAGGTAGGGATATTCTTTCAGGACGAGAAGACATACTGTACTGGAGTTGCGTCAACTACAACTTCGACTTTCGAATCAAGATAGACTGCGACTGCGTGGTTCTTTGTGTTCATTTACTTTTTTAAAGGTATCGCTAATAAATTCATTTCTCGATTTCGAGAAGATGGCTGGTGGTAGTACAACTTGTACAACCTAGTATCTTTTATTGCTCCTGTAGATCATAGCTTCTAGGAAGGCTACGGCAAAGTGCTGGCATAATTGTCAATCATTTTCTCGCTTTTATTTTCAACATCATCCGCAGCAGCTGCTCCGAATTCCACAGAAAGTGGTTGAGGGTCTTGATGTGGACCTGGAATGAGAAGGAAATCAGGCGATAAGTGTCTCGATGTCTGAATTCCTCCCCACGGCCAGTAGCACGCAGTTCCCTGGCCGAAGCTTGCTTATTTTACTTAGATCACCTTCCTCACATATTGAAGGGGTGGTAGTTGCGGGGTGACAACTGGAACGGAGGCGGCGAAGCGACAACTGGTAAATGGGAGGCAGCGGCTCCTCCTGTAGTCGGGGGCGCGGTGCTGTTGGTGATATTGGTGTGAAGATGTTGCAGGTGGTGATACGTCGAAGCTTCTTCGATAGTCGAGGACCGGCTGCTGTTGGCCGACGACGCGGAACTATACTCGGAAGATTTTGTCGCGCCTGCGCTGCTGGTGCCAGGAATTGGAACTCCAGTGGTTAAGATCTTTGCTGTTTCCTTTTCCTCCCCGAATATCGCACAGGGATTCAGGTGGAAAGCCCGGTTTTGCGCCCGCATTTCCTGGCCGACGCGAACGCGGCGGCTGACCACAGGGGCCACTTGCTCCCGAAATTTTCTGCACCGATCCAGTTTGTTTGGGTTTGTTGCCGCAGAGCGAAAACCGATCTTGTTCAGTCGGACCGCAAGCACCGTGCTAGCTTGCTCCGAGGAAAAAATCGCGGAGCTACAAAATAGCATCAGCAAGAAGACGGCTCCTGCGGAGGTGCTGGCAGCAGGATGAATGGTACAACTTTTCGGTTGGCCGGGTCGTGCCGCGGCCGCGATTCGGTGACTGGGCTTGGTCCAGGCGCGATTCATGATCTCTACTCTTTGATGAGTACCTTTTTTGTTGAAGAGGGATTGTACAATTTTGTGCTCTTGGAGGAATCCGGCGCGGGGAGAAATTCCACCGAGCGAAGACGAGGCAGTCTTATGCTGCCCGTTCTTCTCGGGGTCGGGAATAAGTGCGGAACCGGTAGAACTCGAAAACGTTGCTCGGTGCTCCACCTATGGCGTACTAGGTAAATGTGATAGGAAATTTTGGTACTTAAATCGAAATGTGTGATCTACGAAAAAATATTAGCGCGGTTGTAAAAGTTTTTGCGTCCTCGTGATCGCAACAAAAACAGTCTGTTCGGGTCGTTTTTCAAGATAAGAGCTACAACTAAATTAGCAAGGAATATTGTTCGTGTACTGATCGGAATACATCAACAACTGCACTCGACGAAAAAGGAGGTTACAGATAATCGGAAAATGAATTACAATCTACATCAATACAAAAACAAAAAAATGACTCGGTCGAGGCCATTTGGAAAAACTTGTTCCGAAACAACCGCCACACGACAGGGTGTTGTTATCACTTTGATCACAAACAAAATCAGCTCGAAGATCCAGATTTGTAATCTTTTGAGCGTTTGGCTCCTGAGCAAGATAGATCCGGATTGACGAGGCGTGATTGTTGTATCGATCACATGTACCTATTTATTAACATGATCGCGACTTGGAACTTCAACTTTCAGGATATGGACGAGTCACGTTGGTGAAGTAGGTCGACCGTGTTATTCTTGTTTGTTGGTTTTCAGATGGATGCGCGGTCTCCGACTCCGTTTGAAGATTGTCTTTAGATAGGGTTTACGTTTAGGGTTCTATCTTAATATAAAAGTAAAAGACCTGCGAGCTTGTTACAGACACAGAGCCACTTTGAGCTCGTTCTTGAGAAACACCAGAACTAGTAGGGAGAAAAGCAAAATTTTGCTGTAAGAGATTAAAATCAAAGGAAACTAAGGCGCACGCTTAATAAGTCTAAAACTTGCAAAACAAGGCGGAACTGTGCTACATTCTTGCTTTTGTTGCTGAAGCGCGGCCGAGCTTGTAAAAGTTCCTCCTGTTGACAAGGACTGAAAGAAGATTTTGCTGAATTCAAACCGAAGATCTATTTTTTTAGAACTGTTTTACTTTTTGTTCAAATTAAAAATAATATTTGTTTTGATATTTTTATTTTTGCACCATCTTCCTTCGTCTTCACGAACTTTCCGTGACATTGACCAGAGCCATCCCGTGCCAGAGCCAGCGCTCTTGTGTGTAGGCCAGCCAGTTCTTCCAAGACCCCTGGTCCGGTTCGTTTGCATCCACGATGGGAACGTTGCCGCTCTGTTCCGCCTGCCACCACATCCACTTCGAGTGACCATACTCCGAGTCGTTTGGATTGTTCAAATGAATGTTGTACGGATTTTGATCCAGATCACTGCAGACACGCGGAGCAGCGAGGTCAAAATACGTTCCGCACTGCGGGAGGGCGTCAGCATGGAACCTGTAAATCTCTCTCACTTGAGTTGTGATGTCTTGGTTCAGTGCACGAAGATCGCCCGGGAATCGGTATTCATTGATGAGCGCAGGATAGAAAGGAAGGGTCCACAAGAGCAACATTGTGATCAGCTCGAGGATGTACACAAGACGTGGCAGGAAGAGACTGGTGGTGGTGGGTACCAGCGACCCTTTTTGCATCCGCACAATTTTATCGTCAACTACTTCACTTCTAAGCTTGTCGAGCGTAAGGGACGAAACGGCACAGCAGACCATGCAGACGAATGCGAGAACCACCGTGACCACCCGAAAACGGAAGATTCTCGGAAGTCTCTTCTCGGACGGCCACATACCGTTACACTCCGACGTCTCAGCGGTAAACAGACTCGGCGACATCCGGTGCTCCACCCACGACCCGTCGTGCTGCGCCGCGTTCCGGGCGCTTTGGCCCGACATCGTGAACAAATCGACGACGTGGACGCCCTCCCCGACGAAAAGCTGTAGACTCTCAGCCAAAAGGAGCCCACCAATCGCTATCATCGCCAGCCCGCCGTGCATGAACTTGAGCCAGCCTCTGCTTCGTGTCAAGAAGGCTTCCTGGGCGACACTCGTAGCACTGCCGGCGTTTTCGCGCAAATTATCGGGGTTTACGCCCTGCACATGCGGGCCGGACTCGTCCGACAGAAGAACTGGCCGCACTCCTGAAGCAGGAGAAGGAGTCGTGCTGGAGTTCTTTTTCGATTTTCCGGATCGAGCACCCGCCTCGTTCACCGTGGGAATTGCTGCAACCAGGATGAAGAGGATGTTCGGAACCAGCAACCAAAGCATTCGGTAAATCACCTCGCGGAAACTGCTTACCTCTCCAAGCCCAAGCTCGGCATTGGCAAGATCGCCCGCATCGTCAGCGCCGTTGAACGGACACCAATCCGGATACAGTTTGAAGGTGTAGCGACTAAGTAGCATGGACATCGCATAGCAGACAAGACAGGCTGACCATACTTTCCCCTGGGCCGAGCCGTGACTACAGCAAACGTTTGAAAGGGTACCTTGGTCAATGAAATCTTCCGGGAGAAAATAGTAGGTCTCGGTCTCCATCACGACGGCGGCCCCGCCGGCTTCTTGTTGCGCAGGTAGTTGTTCCTGCTGCGGCTGCTGCTCCCCTGTGGTGGTCTCATCCCCGTCCACGCCTGCCGCGGCGCGGGGGCGAACTCTGGACGCGTACTCATTATCGCCCACCACCTCCACTGGCACTTCTTGAATGGTCGGAAAAAAGACCAGAACCGTAGGAAAAATCGTTCCGACCACCGCGGCAATGAACCCAACGACTAGAAACACCACGGAGGTAAAACCATCCGCGCGCGTCCGCGCGATGGTAACGGCGAGCAGGCGCTGCAGAATGATTTCGTTAATCGAGCCCACGTTGCGCACAGTGACAAAACGGCGCTCTGTCGCGTTTTTTTTCCTCTGCAAAACGGCTCTCCAGCTTTTCATTCGTCGCGTTTCTTTCCTCGGCGAACCTTGCCTTCGTGGCGCTTTGATCCTCCTCTTGCTTTGCCCGCAACATCCGCAACTCTTGCTCCATTTGCTGCAGCTGCAAAGCCAGAGCTTTCACTGCGGGGTCAGTTGTCTTCGGGGTGGGACCAGTAGTGGTCGTTATCGTCTTCACAGCGCCGCCTCCCGCAGCTCCCGCGCCGTCGGCGCGCACTTGCAACATGATCTCACTTGTTCTGGTGCTCGCGGGTTGATGTACTATCCCTCCGCCGCTCGCGGTCTCTACTTCCTGGTCCGTCGGCACGAATCTCAAGTCGAAGACGGGCGCAGCACTTTCTGGTGTGCTGCCAGGGTCGTCTTGCGCAGCTTCGCCTGCTCGGGAGGACCACGAAGTAACTTCTGGCGGCTGCAAGAGAAATTGGTGGGTCGGCTCAACTACTTCATGCCGGCGCGCGTGGTCTTCATCTAGTACTTGTTGCGGTCCGGGTCCTGACCGGCGGATAGGCGGACGAGAAACTACCCGGGACGCCAGCATCAAGTGTTCCTCTTCCACCGCTACCGGCGCACACTCACACCGGACGATGACGTCAAGAAGATCAAGCAAGAACAGAAGCTGCGCTCCACCACTCGCATGGGACAATTTCCTCCGGACCTCCGACGGAGAGCGAGAGTTTTTGTTACGGAATTGTCCCACTCTAGTACAACTCTGCTGGTCCTCCACCTGCGCAAGAACCGTCCTCGCCGGCTCGTGCTGCATGTGCATGTTGGTGATCATAGTTAAAATAGTACTTGTACTTGATGTGAGATTGCCAAATCTCAAGGTCTACCAATCTCAGGAGACGAGATGAAAATGAAAAAACATATAGTTGTAGTTTTCATACAACAAGGATATGTTGCAAGATTTGAACCGCCTTGCTTGTCCTTCTGAGCCAGCAGGAAATCGAGATCTTACGCCTGTTGATCGGAAGATGGCGGTCGCGGCGCATGAACATCAGAACATTTGCGACGTTCGTCATCAGGCAGCAAGACTTTAGGCTTGCTCGTGGTTGCAGTCATCGTCATCTCCCAGAGTGCAGCCGTACTGCGTCGCAGACCTGCATCTGCTGGTCGTGCGTCTTCTTGTTGCATGGGAATGAAGAACGAAACAAGTCAAATCTTTTGCTATCGTCCCGGGCGAGTAAAAATATATATAATGGTTGTAGATTCTTCTATCACCCGACACTTGCAACTTTTCTTGATGCGTGCACAAATTCAAGTGGTGGCAGTGATATCTAGAGAAAGTATCGGTATCACGTTTTGACATTTTTGGAACCAAGTTTACTCGCGGAATCACGTTAACGGGATCACGTTTGCGACAGGATCGCGTTTGTCGAATCAAGTTGAGAAATGGAATCAAGTTGGTGGAATCAGGTTTGCTGATCGCGCGCACTCTTTCGCCGAATTCGACTTCAGACGCTCGCGATTCCCGTGGAAGATATATCTTGAACAAAAGCACACCCACCCCATACCCAGGATATGCGATCTGCCTATACAAATCCGAAACAGAGCGCGCGTATCATGCATGACAAGTTTGCCTCTGGCAGTGACATCCCCGCCACGAAGCAATCTGCTCACATATCTTGTGCACCATTACAAACCAGAAATAAAACATAACCAGCAAGCGCGACTGAAAAGTGTCTGCTGCAGCACTACGCCTGTGTGAAGATGGGGTGGGTGCACTTTCATCGATATAAGGCCACGGCAACCGCGCCCACCGTCTACTTGTTACGTTCGCCCGCGAAGCTGTCGCACAACCATAGCGCACCACTTGTGCCTCCGTGGTAAGGTCGAACAGATGGCGGCCGCTCGGTCGCAAGCGGTGGCAGAGCCGATCGTAGGTTGCCATCGCTTGCCAGCCCATGGCGATGTGCCTCCACTCTACTTCACTTTGCCACACAAAGGACGATATGCATTACAAATGTGTTTGGGTCTGGAACAGGAGCAAATAAACAAAGGTCACGCAAGGAGGCCACACTCTATGCGTGCCATGGGGTGTGCGACGCAGAGCAAATTCTACTATACACAGGCAACACCACCACTTTGCACTCGATCGCGCCTGCTTTTCGGTGACGCTCGCCTGCACACTCACCATCAAGAGCAAAGTCGAACGATCAGAAAACCCCTCGCCGCACAAGGAGCGTCGGTCACTAAGTCTCGCTCGGCCCCCAGGTTCAGTACCAGTTACGCCGTCATAGTCACCAACACGCGTGCACAAATTCAAGTGGTGGCAGTGATATCTAGAGAAGTACAACAATAAGCATAGCAAAGTAAACAGATGCTAACCGTAACCTATTAAACCTATTAAAAAATAAAAATTAAAAATAATAAAAAGCACACCTAAGTCGCTGATTTGTTCATTTTTAGGAGTGAAATGAGGAGCAATGAGAACCTAAAGAGGGCGCGAAAAGAAGAAGAGGAAAGGAGCAAGCGAGTGTTCGTTTGTACGTTTTCTGGTGGTCTGCTGGTAAATGTGAACGTCTTCACGGGCGCCTTAAGCACCGGCCTAAACCTGCACACCGTTTGCCGACGGTGCACAGATCGATCATGATCTGCGGCTCCAGCCATGAATATGCTCGTGATGGGAATGGGCAAGCAACATCGCTGATAGCAGCAGCTATCAATCTCTCATTTGTTCTCTCATGATTCAGCAGCATCGCTATAGCAGCAGCTATCAATCTCTCATTTTTTCTCTCATGAGACAGTGCTTACACAAACGACGGAAGAAACGCTTTTGAACATGAAATACGAGTAGCATGGCTTCTTTTCATGTATCAGCACATGCTACATGCATGCAAGAGAAAATAGGGCATTAGGGTAGAAAAATACTCTGAGCACTATGAATCATTTTTATGAAGAGACAAGCAATACAAATCCCTGTTGATAAAATGTAATGCTGCTCTATGCAAGGCGTCATGCAAAAATAGAAGAGTAGCACAAAGCGTGCTATAACTGACGCAAGCATTGCAGATGAGATAAGAACTTTCTGGTGCTTCGCACTAACCAATTCAATAATTGAACTCAACATAGGAAGACGAAGCCAAATTGCATGACGAAAACTCTCATGTGGATAGGCACAGAACATGCAGCGGAAATACAGCGTCATCATTTCCGGATCGTGTAGGAACAGCTAGTGACTTTGACCTTGATTGAAAAAACAATAATAAGTTGAGAGCTACCTCTATCATAGATCGCATGTTGGGATAGCAGAGAGAAGAGAAGCAGTGATAAGCAAAAGAAAAAGATAATAAGCAAAAATAGAAATAAGCATAAGCAGGCTATTAGCGATGAGCAGTGTGCTGCGACTGGGATTGCGACTGAAAATCCTGGGTATTTAAGTTGTAATGATTCTGCGGCCTGTTGTCACTGAGGGAGAAGGCATAGCGACCAGATCCCTGACCCAAGCGGTTACCGCCTCCTTGCTGGTTTTTGCCTTTTGGTTGATGATGATGCTGGTTGTTGTGGATAGGGGTAACAGTTTCTCCGCGTGGAGTATGGAAGGCAGGTCCAGAAGCAGGGGCAGAGGTAGCAATCACTTCTTTCTGGTTCAGATTCTTTCCCCCACCCTTATGGTTTTTCTGAGAAGAAGGATCCGGAAGTTTGTGGTGGGCATGCTTTTGTCCCTTGTTAGCGTTGGCACCCCATGCTGGAGCTGGCTTGCCTGGAGGCACAGCTGAAGACGAAGATGAATTAGCAGAAGCAGTGGGCTTGTCGTCCACAGTGTTGAGGTTGGGCGAGGCCAACGGCCTGCCCCGCTTGTTAAATGCATGATCTTTATTGTTTCGAAACAAACTATTGATCTTCTGCTGGTCGTTTTTCAAGTCGTCAATAGAAGAAGTAGCTGCGCCTACTTCGTCCGCGGGAGATGAAGACGGAGGGTTTACCGGGGCAGACTTACAACTTTTCTTGATGCGTGCACAAATTCAAGTGGTGGCAGTGATATCTATACGTTGGCGAAAACTGTCCACACTACCCCGGATTTCCACAAAGAGAAAAAATTTTAACGCACTGGCGGAGCTTCATGATAACCGGCCCCGCAACCTGCCCGGACGGCATCCGCCAGCGGCTCTCCAAGGAGGATAGTCCCCGACTTCAATGCGCGAGCTAATCAGTTAAGTTAGCTAGCTAGTGGCGCACAAAAACTAGGGGCCTACTTTTTGAGACATTAGTGCGCGCCCATGCTTGTAGGTCTTTCGGCCTTTTCCGGCGGCGAAGCCTTCGCTGCATCGCCTCGACATACTTGATCAAGGGCACGGCGCTGGCGAAGACCCTGCTGCGCTGTTGCCTCGTCTCGAAGCAGGGCGACTGCTCCGCAGACATGTTGGTCCTACGCCACATCATAGCCACGCACAGAGATCACTTCCGGGCTGGAGTAGCTGGTCGCATATTTGCGCGAAACGCAAGGGACGAGGGGGGCAAAAAGGGCCGAGGGGCGCCATCCCCCTTCGAGATCTTCCAATACAGCGAGGCAATCCACCACCAGATGGGCCATTGGGTCTCCCACGTTAAGCGCGCGAGGACTCTCAGAAACAAACAGAAGGCCTGGCCTTGGGCCATGCGCCAAATCATCTCGATGCCCCTTCGAAGCAGCAAGCCCCAAAGCGTCCGGAGGAGGCGCCCGGCACCGTTTCCCTGGGTGCATGCTCGGACACGCTGGCGCGAAAAAAAACGCATGCTGTGGATTTTGGTGGTAAGCAGCTAACTACGGACTTTCGGCCAGCAAAACGGGCGCCACAAAGCCCCCGAAAGTGCACACATGCACGACCTCCAGGGAAACGAAAAGGCCGGCGCCACGGAAATTGTCCGGGGCGGCCGCGGAAGGGCGGCTTCGTTCGGCCTCCGCCGCAAGCCAATAAGGGGCCGCGGCCCGATTCGCGCAGCCCCATGAACCGACCGGCCGTCGCGAATGGCGGCGCGCCCCCGCCGTCGTGCCTGTGGGCCCTGTGCGGCGGGCGGCGGCAGTCGGGCGCCTGAAAAAACGGAGCGCCGGAAAGCCCTCGGCGCGGGATTGTTTTGGGCAAATCGCTAGGGCCTGGCGGCTTACCTTTTGCGTGCACAAATTCAAGTGGTGGCAGTGATATCTAGGCGGTTGACGATATTGTCGAAAATAGGTCTGTCGGGATCAGAAGTCGCTCTTCTCACGTCCTGTAATGCGACCGATTCGTTCTGGATTCAGTTCGAGCATCACTTTTGTTGGCGGCGAGAACTGCGGAATCCCATGCGTGTTGTATTTTCAATTCTTCCAATAGTCAGAATGTGAATCACGGAAAGTTTTACACGAAAGAATTCGTATACTCATTGGCACCTTGAGCCAACCAGCGGGCAAACAAAGAAAGGATGGGTCCAGTGTGTTTTGTTTCCACCAAAGCATTAAAAAGGTCATGGACGTTTGTGCCCGTTTAGTCGGGTTTTTTCGGTTTCTTAAAGTTATTCTTTTCTTACATTCTATATCTATTTCTACTGCGACTCAGAATTATTATCACACCTACAGTCAAGGCAACCGCTTTCATATCCGACATACACACACACCACTTCTCATCCGAAGATCGCGCGGGGCGTGTGGCACGCGCAACGCATCTGTCTTAGCCACGGGCTAAACCTGAAACACGACCACAAACTGATCTAGAACGACTTGAGAACGGAACGACAATGAGGAACGACTGGTGTGACCGTAATCAAGGTTCAACCCCAAGTGACGATAGTCAAGGGCTGGGAAGACGGATGCACTGCGAGTGGGTTTTAGTACGCGCATACGTCGGGAGGGCGAAAACGGAACTTCAACAGAAACTAGGAACTTTCAACTGCACTGGCTTGTACCAAGCCCAAACAAAACATACAAACAAGGTCGGATATGTGTGTTTGCCTTTCCTTCGTTGCCCATAATTCTGGTGTTTGGCATAATTATTATCACGCCTACAGTCAAGGCAACCGTTTTCATATCCGACATACACACATACCACTTCTCATCCGAAGATCGCGCGGGGCGTGTGGCACGCGCAACGCATCTGTCTTAGCCACGGGCTAAACCTGAAACACGATCACAAACTGATCTAGAACGACTTGAGAACGGAACGACAATGAGGAACGACTGGTGTGACCGTAATCAAGGTTCAACCCAGTGGGAATCCAAGATCAATTTGCCAATCGGGTTTCACGATCTGGGATGAGCACGGCCATAGTGTAGCGGTATGCAGACATACCATGGGCCTTCTGGCCAGGTTGGGCGATAAGCAATCAACTTGGTGGCTTCAGGTTCAACTGTAAGGCTTTAGAGGCCACGTGCGGCAGCAGTTTGCCGCTAACCTGCTTAAAGCTAACTTGGCGCCCAGCCAGAGCTTGGAAGTGTGCTGCTCTGCTGGCGTCAAAAGAGTGCCAGTCAGACTGGGCTTCACAAAAACCACTCACTCAGAATCCAGCTCATGGTGGCACGTGGGAAACAGAGCTCTGAATTGCAATGCGCTTTGTAGTCCCTAGTGTAGTTGATGAAGTTTCTGCGTGCTGTTTTGCGTGACCAGCCAAACTGGTCTGCAATTTTGTCCATGCACAGGTCAGGAATGGTGAATACTCCACCAAGGTTCATAGATGCAAAGGTGAGCCGCAGTGCCATAGCGGCTGTGCGACGTGCACAGTGCGGCGTGGATTTGATTTTTCCTTGTGCTAGCCGCTTGTAGTACGCGGTTTTTGTTTCTACACATGCTGCGTTTGGTGTGGAGACAAACTTCAGAGGGACTAGGACAGAGAAAAGCTAGCTCTCCTGGCGATGGGTTAAATTTTACATGATCTGTGAAAACCTCGGCCCATAACTCGCCGGCGCTATCCTGTCCGATATCAAAGATTTTTCCCATCGTGACACTAGCAAAGCTACTGACCCTGAAGGCAGTTGCTATCCAGAATTGCATTAGGAGTTTGTCATTGTATCTCAGCTTCTCGAGCTGCTGTCGCGTGACAGGGGATGCTTTTTGCGGATCTTCCTGCGACTTAAGTCTGTTCAGCGACGCATACATCGACCACTGATTTTCTATTGCAAAAGCACAGCCTACGTCTAGCTTGTTCAAGTGCTTAAGGCGCTGGGGCACTGTGCTTAGGCGCAGGTGGTAGGACTGCCCTTGATCTACGTTTATGAGATGGACGCCATATTCGTGTAGCTCACGCAAGAACATCAAACTCGGGCACTTTAGCTTGTCCAGTGGCTCATTTATCCTAGGGATGTAGATCTTTCTGGATGGGAATTTTGTGTTAAACCAACTAACAAAAGCTGACCACCTGCAGGATCTGCTCATCATATAATCATAGCCATAGCTAAGCTCTGTGGGCCAGATCCTGAGCTCCTCATCTAGCCTGAGCTTGTTCTTCGGGTCGCGGAACAGGTTGTGGGCGCGGACCCCACGCTGTCGCTGCTGCTGCTTTTGCACTGCAGTGCGGACCTGGTAGCGGTACTAAGATGCCGCAGGGGCGTGATAGTTGGCCATTACTCAGACACAGATGCACAAAGATTCTCATAGGTTAGAATTTTTGCTGCAACATCATCTAGTGCTTGCTGCGCAACGCTTTGCCACTCGGGCAGGGCGGTTTCTACTGACTCAGCGCCTGTTTTTTGGATGAACAGGCGGAAGTCCCTTTCTCTGTCCCGCGTAACTGCGTCGGAGTGATTTACTTTGCTCCTAACGTAGTGCGTGATAGACTTATTGTTGATGCTATTCCTGTGCTGTCCGATGAGGGAGGCAAGCACAGCACCAGGGATATCATGCGACACCCCTTTGACAACAGCAAAGGCAGCTCCTATGTTGTCACAGTGGGACACGCCAACAGCGTTGCGTAGATGCGCTTCAAAAAGCTTCTGTCCAACTAGTATGGCTAGCAGTTCATAAACATAAATTCTCCTGCTCTGCAGCGTAGGCGGGAGTACTAGGTTGGCCAGGCTGCCAGTGGAGGACAGGCGGAAAAACAGCGGCTGCTGTTCTGGGGCATGAATAATTCCACCGAGCCACACTGACGCGCCTTCTAGTGCTGCATCTGTGAACAGCTCCACACACGAGCTGTGGATCGTGTGGGTAGAGATGATAAACGGGGCGCTTGCAAGCAGTGTAGCTCTTGCTTCTTGCAGCAGTACTTCTACAGCTGCGCGCGATCCTGCTGCTGTAGGCGCATTCAGCCTGCCTTGCTCGCGCGGGCATGTGAGCCTGTTCAGTAGTGATATAACTGGGCCACAGTCTGCATACTTACGAAAGTACAGGTGGTGTATCATTGTGCCTAGTAGTCGCTGCGTCTGCTTCAGGCTAACTGCGCAGCAGGCAAGGGACACTAGGAAAGCGTCTATCATGTCGAGCGCAGACGTGATCGCGTCATCTGGCATGAAGAAGTGGGCGCCATCTAGCTGCGCCCTGTATGCTATTCCTAGGACTTCGATGGCATGGCTTAGTCTACCTATTTCATCCTTTCGGTCGCTTTGGGCAAAGCCTATGGCAGCGACTATGCGCTTCGCACAGCGCAGGGCGTGACCTGCAAGCTGTGGTAGCATCATACTAATTATGTCGTCGATGTAGACATAAAAGGGGGCTCGCAGGTAGTAGCGTAAAATTTTTTGTATAAGCTCACTCGAGCTTCCGCAAAAATGGAAAACCGAATGCAAATTGCCAAAGGTTAGAGCGGTGCTGCGAAAGAGTTTCACCTCTCCGTCTGGGGCTATGATACTAATAAAGTAGTTGTCCGCGTCATTGTTCGCAAGCTGAAAATACGCTTGGAACAAATCTAATTTTGAGAGACACGGCACAAAGCCGTCCCCAACAGGGCACGTCCAGCCCTTCTCTATTCTAGGCAGATCCTCCCATGACTCATGGGTGTTCTTATTCGCTAAAGTTTGCTCATACAGGTGGCTTTTGAGGTATACCACAGGGATGTCAGATCCTGGGGCGATGACGCTCTGGATCGCATCAATTATTGTGAGTGGGGAAGTCACTAAGGGAGAGGCGCTCTTGGATCGCACTCATGCTTGAGCTGATCCATTTTTCATTAGCTATGATCCTGCACTTTTTGAAGTACTGCTCTACAGGGCAGTATTTCTGTCCTAAGGTAAAGACTGGGATCACTACTGCATTTCCATTTTCACGCACGGCCGCCTCAGACTCTACGGGCCACAGCACCGGGCTGTTGGAGCCGCTGAGCGGTAGGCTGGGGTCAAAAATATTTTTATTTATTTCCTCTATGCCTTTTGCTAATGACTCAGGTGTTTCAAAAGGGTACGGCTTGCGTCTGATTGTGTGAAACTGCTTTTGTGCTTCTGCTCTTTCTCTAGGCGAGACAGGGCAGGAGTTGAGGCGGTCTATGTCTTTGTCGGACATCGGCTTAGCGTTGTCCCATAGCCCATACCTATCTACTACGCCTCGGATTGGGAGTCCTAGACTGAAGTGTCCTGACGCGGACCAGCTACCATCCTCAAGGCAATAGCCAAAGAGCCTAGATCTAACTTTGCAATCTGCGAATTCACTATCAGTCGCGAGATTTGCTAACAAAGCCGGGGACTTCACATCCGTGGCGAGCCTAGTGCTGCCACATTGTGTGTAGTATGTGTTCAAGTCCGTGACGTGCTGCGGCTGCACTGCCAGGTCTTGCTTGTGCGCGCGTTGCACAGAGTCTAGGTTTTTTCTTGAAGTCACGTCTTCGACTCCCATCGACATCCGTTCTGCCAGCTCTTGTAGAATCTGATAGTGATCAGCTTTTCCATGCAGGCAGAGCTATGTGTCATAATGTCACTCTAACTGCAAATGTACATGCTCACCTGACAGGCCATGAGGCTTACCAATATGCATCAACAATGCCTGTTTCTTCCCACATGCTGTGGGTTCTTTTCTCACGTTTCTCACTACTTGCGCCAGGTCTTGCGAGTAGTCCTTCTGTGCGTGGCGTCTGTGGCGGGCGACGGTCATGATGCCGAGGTCGACGAGGTCGCTGCTGTGTTGATTTTGCAAGTGAAAAACCAATGCACTTTCATTATCAAATTGCATCGATTTATGTGCATCAGAATCAGCAACGCAAATCAGTCTCTCACTGCAACAGCGGTACCTGTGCACGTCGGGAGAGGGTGACATGACTCACGGGCCAAACTTCATTTTCAAAGGAGGGTGGCAAAACTACTTAGCACTAGGTGCGAGCATCCAACTTTCCTACGGGCGGGTCCTGTAAGGGTGGTGGTAAAAATGGTTCTTGTGATGCGGCAGCATCAACACTCTGGTCTCTCAGCAACATATATTGCGTGCGGAGAGTAGAATCAAGATCGTGCAAGAATGTCACTCTCATACTGCTGTGGCGGTGGTCTCTCAAAAACTATGTAGGACATGTCGCTCAAGGCGTGCCCATATGACTGATCGCCCGAGAGCGCCACTAGCTTTCACTCTGAGGCTGATGTACGAACTCTTTATACGAATTCTTTTCACGATGTGC